GCTTCGAGCTCGGATAGGTCGACATCTTCCATTTCGGCATCAAGTTGTTCAAGCAGACTCTGGATCTTCTTTTCTTTGTCGGCTGAGAGGGTCTTAGGCTTGATCTGGCCATTGGCCTGCCTCTTGGGGGCTCTTGAAGGAGTTTCCTTCGCGTGGTTCGCAGACGCGCGACGCGAGTCTTTTCTAGAACTACTTTCGGAGTCTTTCAAAATTGACTCGCGTCCTTTGCTCTTGCGAGCTGGCTTCTCTTTAAGTTCCGTCATGATGGGAGCCCTAGGTTTCGGTAGAGGTTCGGCGCTAGAAAGGATGTTGGAGAAGGACATCAGCTCTGCTGCGCGACTAGGAGTCTAAAAAAAAGGGGGACGTCAGCAATCATTGTCATTATCGTACTAATATTAGATAAAGACTAGGAAACGTTACTAATCACGTACATTTGATGATGAAGTTGGTTCCGGATTTAATAATGATGGCAGTGACGGTGCCGGTGTTGAAGAGGTGTTGCGATTGGTAGATGTGATGGAATCTAGTGCAGTACGGTTGTGACGCGAGGGGGGAGAACCCAAATTAAGGGCTTTGTTGGAAGGGCTAATCGGTCGGCCGTCGTTTTTGGGGTGCGAATGTGAATGCGGGCTTCGTGGATATTTTGAATTCACAGGTGAAGGTGAACCGTAACCATTGTAATATTCCGTCTTAGACTGCGAGAAATCATATGGGTCAGATCGCTGAAAGGGATCAAGGTTAGTTAAGGAAAATGTCGATGATTCCTAATGGCGGATTGGTTACAATAAAAAAAAATTTGATTGATGATGTTCCTTGTCCCGGGGCGAACACCGAACAAAACGTGATGGATGCTCGCACTGCCACTAAGCAAACTTATGTAGGTGCTTTGGAATGAATATTTTTAAGAGAAGGTCTGAGTTGCTAATAACCCATATTTAAGATTTTGTGGTGTCAAAACATGTTAAGACACATTTGGCCAACATAATGCAAAATGCTTAAAAAGCTCTAAAGTTGTGTTCGGGTATTGAGAGTGGGAATGTAGAATATTTTTATTTATTTAAAGCTTACCTGCACCTGCGCCTGCTTGGACCAGTTGTCGGAAACTCTCCTCTCCCTGGTTGTATCGGTAAGCGGGTCATAAAAACTCCCTGATGCTTTTTCTCTGGACGGTTGATGGTAATCAGGCGGCGAGAGATGGCCTGAGGTCTTAGGTGGTTGCAGCGGCGATGCACTTGCACCATTCGTAGACGACATGGCAGACGATGATGCCATAATTGAGCTCAAGGCTCCTGGCGGAGGAGCCAGAGGAGGTAAAGAAGATGAGGGCGCCAATAGTGTCGATGAAGAAGTTGATAATTGATGCGACGCGTTACTATAGGGATGCGCGAGGGAAGTAGTTGTAGTGGGTGGCGGTCGCGTCGTCGATCTCGATGTAGGCGATGCAGGAGTCGTGATGGATGCGACAGATAAGTTATTTTTTGGAGATGGAGAATGGAGGAATGAGGAAGAAGAAGTGATGGTGGGATTATGATTGTTGGTAATAGTAGTAGTAGTAGTAGTGGTGGTGGCGGCGGGCTGACGAAAATCTAGTGGTTTCGTCGAGGCCGTAACTGTGGGAGATGTATTATTGCTATTCCTATTGTTGCTTGTACTGCTGCTTGAACCGGCACCAGTGTGCCCATTGTAGGTGTGGGTGTGGCCGTGGCCGTGAGCGGCTTGATTTACGTGGGTTGGTACTTGCGCTTGAGCTTGAGCCTGAGCCTGAGTCTGGGCTGCGGCTGCGGCTGCTTGGGTAATAGGATTAGAATTAGTATTGGCGTCAAGGTTCAGGTCATTCGCGTTGCCTTTGCCGGTGGAATGGGAAGAATTGGAGAAACGTGGTCCTAGCGTATCTGAATATGTCATCCCCATCCCCATCCCCATCTCCATCCCCGTACCAATATTATTGTTATTGATAGACCCTATTCTTGATCTCGACGAAGGAGTAACACCATTCGAATTATCATCTCTACCGTCGTCGCTATGATTATCGTCGTTTACGCGTTGGAGGACAGTTGCATGAAACCCATTCGACGCCATATTCTCAACATTCAATTGCTCGTTTTATCGTCATTCACATATTTTCTCCCTCTCCCTCTCTTCTCTCTCACTTACTTACACACTTCCTTCTTCGCTGGACCGGTGGTTGATTTTATACTTGTCTTATATTCCTAACTCATCGTAATTTGGGTGCGACGTGATGGGGGTAAGACAAGAGGCTGACGCCTTGGGATTGGGATTCGACACCGGAGAAAATAGAGGGAAGTTCGGTTACAAATAGATAAGTAAATCTGACCAAGATACTTCCCCAAGATAGCTGAAGAAATTGTGAGATCTTTTTATTAGTATGGTAGAATCTCGTTGTCGTGACGTGGGAGGCCAAAAATATTTAAGTTAGAGACTACAGTAGATAGATAGGTATTTGTCTACAGTAGTTCTTTGTCGCAAAGGATATGCGCATCGGCAAGAAGACTGCTTTGAGAGATGCAAACTCCAACAAGGATAATTCAGACCGGACACTGAATTCTGTAATAGTTTGAACCGATTGGGGCGAAACTCTAGTCTAAATCATAGCTAGCGATATACACTCGAAGCTGGGTGATGATGATAGACGGGTTTATAGGGCTAGTGAATGCGACGATGCGGGCTGATGCAAAAACTACACCTTATGCGATGCAAGGGGAAAATAGCACCAAAGAAATGGGAAGAAAATAGAATAAGGAATAACCTAGGAATAAGGGTGGGTAGGGAATGGGAAAGGAAACAGCGAAGAAATCAAAAAGTGAAAGGGGCAGGTAAGAGAAACGACAAGAGAAGGGTGCAGGACTTTCAGGTGGAAGGGTCGAAAGACGAAAGACGAAAGAGACGAACGAAAGAGCAGGTGAGGGCCGATGCGATGACGATGACTTCTTCAAGCATACTGAATTGTATGAATTGTATTGTACCTTAGGTAAATATCCAATAAGGATTCGTACTAAGACTGTGGACATCGTACCTACTTTCCATGGCAGCATGGGCATCGCATTAGAATGCATTAGAAAATGGAGACATTGATTAGCCCGTTTTCGTTACTGCATGTTATGAATGTCACTGCCACTTTTCTTCTTCCCACATTCAGTGCTTCACGCCTTCTCGCCTTCTGGCCTTCTACCGCAGGCAGCGCAGAGCAACAGGGCAGCAGGGCAAGCAGGGCAGTAGCTCTCCGCCAAGAGGAGTCGTTCCGTGACAGTGACGATCGATCCAGACGGGGGCACGCTGGGGACACGCTGGGGACAAAACATTAAGCTAGACCAGGTCCAGACCCATATTCTACCCAGTCACAGGGCTCTCATACAAAATTCGAGGGAAAAAACTCCTCCACACAATGTCGAGCTCAATAATCCCTGTCTACCCGCTCACCCAATTATAAATCCCTGTTCCCTCGCGTCTCCGCACTCCTTCTATATATGGTTGTCTGGGTTGTATGCAACTCTAGATGTCCCGAACGAGGGAAAATACTACCTATGCCAAAAAGAAGGAATCAAGAAGAATGAACGAAAAGATCTCAACAACGTATAAGATTAAACTATTTCTTATATAATATCATTAAATACCTTAGGTAAGTTTTTAGGCATACATACCTATCCTCCAATAATATAAAAGCAGGAAGAAGCAAAAATCAGGTACAATATTACATGTACATATGATCTGATCAATCTGATGAGAAGTCGCGTCCATACAACGAAATAATAAGATGGATCGCCAGGGCTGGGAGCCAATCGATAAGAGAGAACAAACACCGCAGCCACGAATAAGAGCTCCGGAGCAGCCGCAATTTGCAATACATGCATACAACATGATAAGAGCTTATCCTGTTCGGGTTAAATGTGGACCATATGCCAGGGGCGTTTCGAGCGACACGGGACTCTAACGAAGGCTGGGCTTCCGCCTGCGTACCTAAGGTTAGGAGGTAGGTAGGCTTTCTTCTACCAACACGACACGAAACTGACCGGTTCAAAATCCTCTCACGCGCGAGTTTCTTCGACAGAAAAGAAAAAAAAATCAAAAAGGATTAAAAAGAAAAATAGGGATGTCGGTATCCGTATATCCACTTTCTACGCGTCAGCTACGATTGTACGATGTTTTGTATAACGTAGGTTGTCAGATAGATGGGGTTTTTCATCCATCCATCTATCTCGTACAGAGAGACTCGTACATGACTTGTCCACGCGCGCATCGCGATTAGTACAACGTACAACTCAGCTGCATAGTTTCGAGTTTCGGACGTTACTGTACTCCACGTTTCGACTGCATGGCTATATGTCAATCGCCTACCACGAAATTCAAAATGTGAAGTCTCTCCAACTCACCACTCTTCAATTCGGAGTAGCGAACAAGGAATGAATGAACATAATCTCCGACTATCTTATGTAAAGAATTCCCCCTCCTGATCAAATCAAGGAGATGATAAGATGCTCTACGAATTAAATGACCGAGAACGGCATCCAAACGAGGAATAGGCCACTGTCAGATGTTCTATTCGTACATACGTATGTTCCGAATACCTCGGGAAATCTTCACAGTTCGTAGTGTATACTTCTCTTAATTTTCAACAGCGCACATATGAAGAAAATCCATTCTATCTCAATTATTTTCAATCGATATCATAGTGCGAGTAAGATCTCGAATTGCACCACCCCTGGCTTCGTGATCAAGACAAGCCAAGCCCAAGCCATCTTCCCCGTCTCCACATAATAAATAACAGCCCCCTTTTCTAGAGTATGTAGAAGTGAAAAAAAATGTAAAGTGATCCAAGGAAATAAATGAGCGACAAGAAGTGAAGTATGCCATTTTAGTCTCCTTTCCCCCTTTTATACGATACTCTGTTCTCCTTCTCACCCCTATGATTACGACGTTACCTCAAGTAGTTTGGAACAGAGATGGAGGAGAGAATAGGTAAGGAGAGAACAGCAACCTATTCATTAGATCATGCGCCAGCTGCGGCGCAGGCGCTCGACGCCTTTGCCCTGCCGACCGCGGGTCTTGCGGCCGCCCCACCAGGTCCAATTATCCTCGTCTTCACTCTCCCGGATAGTCTCGTCGCTTTCATACTTGTCGGGTTTTCCGGTCGGGTATCCTGTGACGGTTGAGGTAGACTGAGGGTGAGTAATGAGAGTAGTAGGGACTGAAGACGGTGCTGTCACCGCATCCGCGGAAGACGTCCCATCAGGAACGATAGTGACTCCAGGCTCCATCGATCCGATTGGAAAGCAGATCTTGCCGCCACCGTAGCCGCCGGAAATGCACGTACTTAAAGGTAAAGACGAAGTCGCGGTCGTAGCATCAGTGCTGCCGGTAGAACTAGGAGGGAGAGGTGTCACGAGTACCGTACTGGTACTGGGGAGTGGCAGACTGGTTGGGTACCCGGGAGCCGAAGATATGGTGGGGAATGTCTCAGAGCTACCTTTCGAAGAGATGGTGGCCGTGGTGGCGTCTGTACTTCCAGTAGTGTAGATAGAACTTAAGGGGACGGGTGCTGGCTGGCTTGACGTGCTAGAAAGTTCGTCCGAGGAGCTAGTGAGATATCCGCTTGTTGAGAACCCAGAAGTCAAAGAAGTGGCAATTGAACTCGTGACTGCGCTTGTGTCCCCCGTGCTGTAGGTTGGAGTTGGTGATGCCGCTGGGATGGTGTAGCAGATATAAGTATAGCCACCTCCATAGGTTGGCTGCTCGAGGCATGTGGTGGAGACCGGGGCACTTGAACTCGGAGTTAAAGCTGTCTCGGTGGACACGGTTTCAGTCGACGATTCAGGGAAGCTATACGTCATCGTACTCCAAGTATTTGAGCTACTCGTTACTCTGGATGTCGAAAAGGATGTGGTGCTGATCGAGCCCGATTCATTCGGGGAAGAACTGGTTACCGCAGCAGTTGACGAAGTGCCTATGACAGGGCTAGAGTAGGGGCTTGAGCTGCTTGTGGAAACGGTAGGGTAAAGTTCTGAACTGGTCGTAGAGCCTATAACGACGGTTGTTGTATATGAGAATGAATTGCTAGGAATATAATAGGATATCGTATCTGTCCCAACAGTGCCAGACGAGGAGCTATATGCAGAACTAGTTGTACCACTGCCGAAAGATCCTGTCGATGAAGGTAGTGTCAATGTCGAATACGTCGTAGATAGCCCACTAGATACATCGGTTGTGCCAGAAAGACTACCTGTCTCGGTGCTCAAAGATAAATAGGAAGAGGCTGTGTAGCTGTGAGACCAAGTCCAGGAACCTGTGCTAAAGTTTGAACTGTAGATCGATGATGATATGCCAGATGAAGCAGAAGTAGAGATACTCTTGCTAATGCTACCAGTGCTGTATGGGGCCGTGCTAGAAGTGCCGGAGATTGAGGTATCTGACACGGTCCAAGGGATTGGAACGATGGTGGTGGAAGTGAGAGTGGATTCTACTGAGGATGGCCAAGAACCGGCTGGATATGTCGAAGTGGATAATGCTCCAGTTAACGTGCTTGACTCCGATGTAGGGCTAACGGTCACGGCTGGACTGGTAGAATATGTTCCAGTTGGCGATGTCTCCCCCGTGCTTGATGGGGACACATCGTGACTACTTGTCACCGAGTATGATGTGCTTATATCAGGAGTAGAGACTGCCGTGCTTGTATCGGAGGATTCTGCCCCAGTTGAGGACTCATCAGTGCTATAATATGTCAGTCTTCTATTCTGTTACTAAAATTAATCAATATCAAATGCTTTTTCTCACCATGTGCTACTTGACGTCTCCGGCAAAGTATTTTCCGTTGAGCTCGTGACTGATCCAGTACTATGGGACAAAGATGGCGATGTAATGGTGGTGTTGGGATATCCTGAAGAGTACGTTGGAATAGGAGAGCTGTAAGGAGTGCTTGTCGACTCGCTTAAGGTGGCAATGGAGCTTGATGTTAGAGTTATAGTGGTATCGACGGAGGTAGTAGAAAGAGTAGAATAGGAGGAAGCTAAAGACGAAGATCCAATAGGAGCCGTAGACGATGTTCCTAGCGTGTTAGTCGAGTACCACGGTAAAGTTGAAGACTCGGAACACGCGGCAGACACAGTCACAGTGGAAGCACAGCTGCTATCACAAACTGTAACTGTGGTCGTAACAGTTACTGCTTCTGGCTGCTGAGGGAGAGCATTGATGAAAGAAGCTCTAAGGTATACGTTAATATATAACACAAAATACTTAGCCTCAAGAAACATACCCTAGGCCTAGGAAGGCTAAACGAGTGAATAGATACATCATGGGGATCTCGAGATGGCAACTAAACAAAACGAATGTAAAAGCCTCGAGTAGGCGAGAATCTTAGAGAGACAGGATATAGAAGCGTATCTGATTCGAGAGCGCCTCCTCTTTATAGACCTACGTATGATCCAGCTTGCCATTACATAACTGAACTTACGAAGACACACATTGTTCGATGCTCTATGACAACATGGAAGGCTGATGACTTTCAAGGGGCAATGTGGATCTACGTTTGTATACATCAGGACAGCCTTAGATCCATGCGACATCCCGACGGAACATGCTTCATAACTTGATTCTTTACTGGGATCACCGACGATATTATATTGAATGGGCCGAGAGCAGTTGCTAGCCATAGTAACGCAAAGCTCAACGACGTCGCCAGAATCATTATCATTCTAAGACAATCTGCAGATAACAGGGCTGTGATGTCGTTCGAATTAGACTATTGGGCGGTTCTCAGTGACAAAATGTCTTACACGCACGTTTCCTAATGGCAAGTACAAGGTTATTCGCCATTCTTCACTGTTAAAGACTAAGATTAGAACTCGTCTGCGGCGTGCGACGTGGTTGTGCTTCGGGATGAAGCCGCCAACTAGTTGTTGATATAACGGCTGGCTACTTTCAAGATATCCGAGGAATCTGGTTCCGGTTAATACAAGCATCCAAGCAAACGAATCGGTTAAGTTTGGTTGGCACATGGTTTGCTTGACTGCATACCCTGGCTTCTCGAACGAATAGCACAGGCTACCGGTCCTGGGGACGGGATCTTGTTTAACACGAGCTCCCCTCAGCCCCCCTACCATATCTTGATACAAGATTTCGAGCTGAATTAAATGCACAAATCCGTTACGCTACTTATGCAGAGTTACGATTAGAGATATCAGCTCATATACGATATATGTAGGTAGTATATAAAATCTTAGACCGTTGTTGTCACTACTGATACGTAGTCGATGCTTGCGGGGTCAATAGGTATCACGACTTATACAAAAACTGTTCCTTGCATATATTCTGGATATATTGATCGATACCAAATGAGGATAATGTTGCTTAGGCGGTAATATTACGTGCCTTGCAGCTACTGACGATGCAGGCTTCCGATGCCGTCCGACAAGTCACAGAAAAAGCGGAACATATCAGAACGTAAAAACAAGGTAGACCATCACGAGGAGTAGGGTAATAAGGTGTTACGAACAAATATAATTAATAGGGAGGATTCCAATAACATTAGTAGCGTCCCACGCTGCGTGGGTGAGAGTATGAATTGATGAGAGGTATCTACTTGGTAACATAGTCCGAAGGAAATTTGTAGAATAGAACAACACAGAGGTTCGGCCCACGGGAGAAAGGGATGCTGTCAACCGTGAATATGTCCTTCAGACACAGAAACTTCCGAGCCGTGATTGAGTACCTAGGTAATAGACGCGTGGGCCCAGGTATCTGCCGGAACCCATTGAACAGACGGACTAGCTCACGCGTATAGTTGCTGACGGCACATTTTAATCGGCCGAGACCCGGTGTGCTGGATACATGCTAGCAAGGAGACTGTATGAGCGCAGGTACCATCAATTGAAAGTCAGGGTTGACCCAAGCGGCCGTCAATTCGCCTCAAAATGTCTCTTCGTCTACGTACGAAGCTTTCGTAAATAGATTAAGACGTGACATGATGGACTCGGAGGCCTGAGAGATGATTTGAAAATTGTGCTACTCAGACACAGCTTCTAATGCCACGTATCAATTTGTATTCCCCTGAGGATGTATTCATTTCGTAAGTAATTTGTCTAGTAATTCGTTTGCTAAATGTTGGGTCTCGTAAGGATGGTAGGAATTCGATACTAACGATGGATGGGTGTGAGACGATGTGCTATATGTCATAAAACGGTGGGCTTGACGAAGTTAATTGGCAATATATAGGTATCCATGGACTCGGCCAGGAGCAGCCGTTGTGGCTTTGTGATAACGCGTACACATAACGTCGGTTTGGTATCGAATAAGCCACATGTTATGTCTCAGGGCTGTAAGCAGCACTGCATCGTTGCGGTGCGCTATCTACGATGTACCGATGACTTGGTAGATAGGTACCTCTTATGCACATAAGGGAAATAGTAACCATAGAGAAGGCATGGAAACAAGTAGGATGTAGCTTTACATTATTTCATGTGCGAGGGGGAGAGCTGTACGGTAAAGCTCATCCCTTCCAGATTCTCAACAGTTGAAAATTTTCTTGAGAAGTTCATATTCAAATGCAGCTAAATTAGACATATTGCTCCAGCTAGTCTTCTAAAGCGTTGTCAACTGTCCATGGCATATAAACGATCCGGTATATACTCGGCAGATGCCGAAAAGCCGGTGTAGGTTCGTGCAAATGAGAGACATTGGAATAGCTCATTCGAATGAGCGCGGAGAATGGTAACTCATGAGGCCCAAGCTCTGAGGTTAGTTCAATGGAGAAGGTAAATCGGAGTTAATGTATGTCTAGCGAATTGACAATACTAATAGGGAGAAGTAGAGAAGAGTTGTCCTCTTAAGGATAAAATTCTCGAGTCTTAGTGATTGGAAGGGTAATTGCTATTATCCCTCAAAAACGGCCCTGGCGAAAGGGTTATGTTGTAGAACGACAACAGTTAAGATTTACATCTCAGGGGAAACCAGCCGTTGGTTCATGTATAGAGACCTAACCGAAACAAAATGCCTACACAAGGTCGAACTCAAGGTCCGATGTGAGGCTCCCCTTTACTTAGCTGTTAGTAGGCTTCAAATTGATCCTAAGGCACTTAGGATACTAGCCTTCGCAATAGTATGGGAGAATACCAGGGTAGGCGTCCTCGGTAATGCACGTCAATTTCCACTATTCCCTACTAGATGTTAATTGACTCTTAATTGTAGTCTATTGACGGAATAAGGATTATTGCGGCTCATGGTGGTTGGAGATCAATCGCGGTTTGATGCCAGATCATGTTGGGTAAAGTAGCGGGCAATTCTCCTGGTGGCGCGCAGTAGCGCTGGCGATATGAGACAAGCCATTCTCAAGAGTGTTCAGAACCCGCCGATCGTCATTGAAGGCCATTCCTCTACAGGACGGAGAGTATCAATTATTGACTCTTGACTGCCGGATGGCGTGGAAGGGCGGAAAAGAAAGAGCTCGGAATATAGAGAACACGCGGTCAACATTTTAATATATAAGACTGGTCGACGAACACATCCTCTTCGACTTTTCTCTCAGCATCACCAGCATCAAAAACGTAAAAAAACGCACTCTCTTGCAACCCACACTCGTTTACATATTCTCATCAGCAACGCTCGTTTAGTTAAGCAATTTCACTCCTTTTTTTAATTAATCCTCAACGACACATCCAAATCAGTCAAGATGCAGTTCACCATCGTCGCCGCTCTTACCATGGCCATCGGCGCCCTCGGAGCTCCCCAGCTCGGCGGTCCTCCTACCGGCGGTATCCCTCCCGTTCCCGGTGATGTCACTGTCGGTCAGGCTGGTGACACCTGTGGCTCTGACCTCGACCTCAGCTGCTGTGACAAGGTCGACCAGTCCGGCGATGCCATCAACACCGCTGAGGGCCTCCTCGCTGGTCTCCTTGAAGGTGGCTTGGAAGATGCAACAGTTGGTCTGTTCGACGGCTGCTCCAAGTTAAACGTTGCTGCTGGTAAGTCCATCCTGATGAGATATATGCTTAGCTACCTAAGTACCTTTCATCGCTAACTCGGTTCATAGTCATTGGCCTTGCGGATCTCCTGCACAGCCAATGCAAACAGACCCCCGCATGCTGCCAGCACTCTGGCCAGGAAAATGTCAGTATCTTACTTCACACTACAGTCTCAATATATAATTGTGCTAACTTTTAAGCAGGAGGGTCTTGTCAACGTCGGTGTCCCTTGCATCGCCCTCGGCAGTCTCTTGTAAATGTCAGCCTCGTTTCAATGGAACTTATATAACTGGCCCAGAGCATTTTGGGGGGATGAGATATGTTGGGCTGTAACGTTGAGGGGAGTGCCAAATTGTATTGCTAGTAGCCTGCTTTCAGTGATTTAGGAAATCTAACTTCAGTCGCTCGTTGTAATATGATCTTCCTGTCGTGACTTGGTTCTCTTCTCGGTTCTCATTTCTACTCCGACGCTACATTATCCTCTCCGCATCTTGCTGTTTTTAATAACCTCGTTTCCACGTATTTCTATCGCCTCTTGCTCCTACATTCCATATATTTTTTCGGTAATATTCTAGTTTCAAAACGCTCCCAGCGCGCCGTGCATTGAATTTCAATGAGTATATCATTTGACAAATAATCAAACCCGTTTTCAACACCAAATCTTGGTATGAATCGATTGCCTAACTGCTTCCCATATGGTATCATCCCATAACGCCAAAGTGGATATATCATCATACGTCGTTAAAGTCATTAGATCAAGTCGTCCCAAGGTTATACATAACCAATACTGTAAGATACCTACCTCCCTCGATTTCAATACCCTCTCGCAGTGACAGCCTCAACTGCAAGCAACTCGACGCGGCCGATGTATAATTTCATAACATGACAGACAGGATCGCCCCAGATAAGGCCCCTTAGCTGCTCGTCAGTCGCAACCTGTGCGACTACCCCCTCACTTAGCCGTTCTTCGACGGTCTTCGCTCGTTTAGTCTTGGAGCTTGAATTTCCTGACCTCAAGATAACAATTTGTCCCGCATTACTTAGAGTACTTGGTGGAACGTCCCATATTGGACCTGGAGTTTTCGGTTTGGTTGACTTCGACGACGAGCGGGGTGAAGAACGGCTGGATTTCACCGAAACCTTGGACGTTTTCGAAATGAGAGACGTATTAGAACCGGTACCATGTGCCTTGCCGTGCTTTGGGGATGAGCTCTTCGACGGTGGAGGATGCTTGCTGGACTCCTTGGCTTCTACTGGAGCTGGCGCAACAAAAAGTTCGAGAAGGCTTTTCACGTAGGCTTTATCGGCCCTCGCGACCGGGTCACCCTCGTTAATGAAAGTTAGGAACACGAACTTTTTGAATTCGGAACCAGAGGGTTTCTGTAATGGTAATAGCGAAACTGGAGGTGTGCCGAACGTTATACAATGCACTCTTTTAAAACAACCCGTTAGAATGCTAAGCTCCGATGACGCGGCTTTGGAAGTCGAAAGCATATGCGCGTAAAGAAGAGATGCGACAGCCCCTCCAGCTGAGTGACCGGTGATCAGAAGCGAATATGAACATCGTCGCGGGTCCTCTTCTAGAAGATGACGGAGCCTGGCGGCCACTGGAGAGATCATCTTTCGAGCAACCGACAGGAATCCTGCATGGCAGAAGTTGTTTGGATCGTCCTGGAACTTGTTAATATGGCGTCATGAGCTTGCCAAGCGTTCATAACTTACCAGGAATCCTTTAGGCGCCGTTGGTGCAGTATTCAGGTTGACAGACCAGTCCATAAAAGTTGCTGTTCCTCGAATGGCGAACACAATAGTGTTCATATGATCCATTGGAACAGACTTGATGCGCATAGCCTTAGCTCCGGTTCTCCAATCAGCATCGACGTGAGCATCTCGTTCTTCTCCTCGCGGATTCTCATACACTCTTTCCGAGTATTGTGCTGCTAGGCATACTAGGGGATACGTCGGTATATGGCTGTTGAATATTAGTGCTGGGAGAATATAGGGATTGTGTTACATCACGTACAGGCGGAGGGGAGTTAAATCCGATGATAGCTTCGAGTTTGCATATAATTCTACCTTGGCGAAATAACCTCGAGAAGCGAATGACGACGTTATTGCATTCGCTTGTCCCTTGGAGACTTCTTTTGGGGTTCCTTTCTTTCCCTTTTTCGCCGGCCCCTTATGTACGACGGCGTGTTGACGTACTTTAGCTGAAGGTGGGGGCACCGGATGAGACTGATACGTGAATAGATCATTCTCATTTCCAATGTACTTATCCCGATCAATCAATGTCATAACATCGTTGAAGCTGCTACAAATTTGGTCGTACATCGCAGCACTTTGGTTAAGCATCTGCGTGCCATAGGAATGCCATCTCGGGAGACCGTCATTTAATATTTGTTGGCCCATGTTTCCCGGGAACACTTGGTCTACTACATTGGCGGCCGGGCCGAGTTTGAGTTTACTAACGGCACAGATCCCATTGCTATGAGGGTAGGGGCTTACTACCGGTTGGTGAGACGCCGAAGGGCTCAGGTAGTAGTGTTGGTTTACAACGATAGGGAGATACTGCTGTTGATTTTGGTACTGAGGGGGAGGAGTTGATCTGGAAGGTGGTGTATTACTCCAACTAGGGGGCGGCGGCAATGGTGGCGGAGGTGCCAGATAGCCAGCAGGCTGTCTTGGTGAAGGAGTATATGGGTTGTCGTTAGAATGCCATTGTTGTTGTGGTGGCACTTGTGATTGAGACGGATTTGGTGGTACGAACTGGCCAACCTTGGATGGCGAGCACTCCTGAGTTGGTTTCTTCTTGGATCGACTGAAGAACCCCATGGTGACTCACTTTAGACTTTTGATTTTTAGTATATGTGTGTGGAAAGTATCCTATGTTGCCAAGGGACCAATAAGAAAGCTGATCGAGGAGAGGTATCTGATAGATCTTGAAGACTATCATAGGTACGGGCTGAAATACGAAACACAAAACACAAAACACAAGACCAAGGAAATGAGTAACAACTCGATCGGAAAAGTTGAACAAATGAATAAGAAATGACAAGAGGCCATCGTATTTTGTTAAATGTGTGTCACAGCAATGAGTCTAAACCTATAACACCCGTTCCGAATTGCTCCAAGCCAATGGAGGCTATCGAAGTTGGTGTACTTCCCAGCGGGTATGCCTTGCCGTTTATAGAATACCGACCAAGAATCATAAGAGTTCTGAATGGTGATTCGCTAAGTGATAATCACTCAGCCCCAATCATTATTTCAGGGGTGATGGCAGTGGTACCATCGAGGCTGGTCCGGTAGAACAACAGACGAACCACGAGCTTCAGATAGAATGAAGATTCGAGCTTATGCAGGTAACCTTGCATGCTTGCCATGCGAGTGGTCCCCGGAAGCTATCGGGGGATGTCTCATTGCAACTTATTATAGAGCTCTAGGTGTCTAGATTCTACTACTTTGACAGTTCCTCAAGCTATAATCCCCTATAGCATCTTGGGGTTTAGGGCTCCATGCATATGCGTTATGCGACTAGCCGCCGATAATAAAGGGTTCTCATTAGTAGGATAGAGTGTAATAAAGGGCGAGATAAGAGATTCTAATACGGGATTGGAACAATGTTGACTCGAAGTGAGTCGAAGTGACTCGGATGAATATATGTGCAACATAAATGATGAAAAGATGAAAAGTGGAATTGTACATGAAAAATTGAGTCTAAGGCAAGTAATGGTGGAGACTTCTTACCGAGGTGTATAGAGTTACAGGTACCTAAGATAGTACCAAGATTAACCTTCTTTCTGTGTTACACAAATTCCAAAGGTCCACTGGTGGATGAGTTCCAGTTTAAATGGCAAATTGAAGCCACAAAAAGTCAAGCCTCACTCCAGCCATCACGTAACTTATATGGACCTAATTAATCCAATAATGCAAGGATTACCCCGGTTTGCCTAATCATCAAGAAACATCTCGGGCACCGGATTTGGAGGGTGATTTATGCGACTGACCACTGACCACCATAGTAGATTCAATACCTCAATACCTCAATACCTCAATGCTGATAATTACAACTTCTCTCAACACGTATTTTTGATAATTGAGAGAAATGCCTCTCAAGACGCTATGGACTTTGTCAGTTACTCTCCTCTCCTATCTAAACTATTCAAAAATATTTCATAAAATATTTCTACTTTTCGCGACCGAGAATAGGTAACTAATTCTAGCTTCAGTGGTCGCGCCTCATAGCAAACACCCGCTTGTCTTCGGGGAGCTCGAGCAAGGATGCCGCACGGGATCCCATAAGACGTCGACAACGCTTCGAGAAGGAATACGGTCAACTCCTAGTGAGCCTAACAACTTCTTTCATGTTATTATCCCTCGGCAATCCTCGGTAAACTAATTCCTTCACCAGCAAATATGGAGAAATTGCCCAAATATCGCCCGAGACGAAGATGCCGCCGAGAACATTGAACTCCGCCTCCAGGGGCTCACCAATATACTCGCCGACGAATCCCGACGACCGTTACCTCATCCTTGTGTATCCTTCTCCGCTACTAAACAGATCTACGTCCCGATCGCCAAAATAGCGACATCGTCGTACAATGAGTGGATTATTAAGGAGGCCGTCTTATTTTTTGCTACTCTTATCGAAAGTGAAGAGGAGGCCTTCGTCGAAAGTGAGGCGTTTTCCGCGAGCTTAACCAATCTCCTGGTTCGTATAACGGGCATCAACAGTATTCGATTAGGTCCCGAAACTGAAGTCAAGGTTGTCGAGTTGGCGTTTAATATCACCACTAAGATCCGCCTTCAACCCGGTATCCTCTCTGCTTGGTTTAAATCCCACCCCGAGAGCCATACAAATGACGAGAAGACTAAGGACCAGAGGGAGAAGTTTGCCGGAAAGATTCAGAAGCAGGACTTTCCGCTTTTCTATCTATTGATGGACTATATACATCATGAAGGGAAAATAGGTGACTTCGCTCGGACTGGTCTGTTATATATCATCGAAGCCGCTTCTTCCTCTGTTGCCCTGGAACAGTGGATCGTAGAGAGTGACTTGTCGACCCTGATGGCTACCGGACTTGGCGCGTTATATAGTCAACTGAGTCGAAAGCTTGTTATCGACCATCCCCCGGAGAACCTCCCTCCAGTTCTTGCTTTGTCCGATTATCAACATCCTACATCAACCTTTGAGATTGTTAGTTCTTGCAGCCCGGATTTTCAGCTGCATTTAGAGACGTTCCTATCCCATCTGCTATTCTGGCAGGATGTCCTTAACCACTGTCGATCGGTGGAAGTGAAATCAACTCTTCTCGAGCATTTCCAAGTCATTTTTCTACAACAACTACTGTAAGTTCTAATACAAACCTTTGCTATCTCTAGTCTAATTTTTCGGAAAGGTACCCTTCCCTCTTGGAGTCTTCAGATGTAGATGGAGGCTCGTCAGTGGCCGTCTTAACTTATCTTCGACGTATACTAGAAGCTTTAGATCACCCCGATATGATCAACCTCATCCTTCACTACTTGCTAGCTCTCCCAGATGCGAAGTCAACCGCGCCGCCTGATGCCGAGCCGTCGGTTAGCGCTGCGCGAAAGCGAAAGTCTATGGACCTCGCCACTATGATGGCTACTAAAGTCGAACCTAGCTATACACCCCTATTATTTAATCTAGTTGATTTAATTCGATCATGCCTGAAGTCTCGGAATCAGCAGACCGTGTGTGTTACGCTTCAGCTTGTGGCGGCGATCCTTAAGCGGCATCACCGATACGCGACTACTACTCTTCTTCACACAGAAGGTATCGATACCAATACTTCTCGTAGAACTGTGGGTGCTCATGAACAAGAAGTCGAGTTTCTCACTACCCTAGCCGGGTCTATTGGGGGCCAAGACAATTTCAATGAGATATACGAGAACATCCTGAAAGATAGCATGTCGCGTGTAGAAGGTCACCCATGTTCTCTCAAATTGGTTACCCCAAACCTTCCCACAAACAGCCCCAAGCTACCAATAATTCCTGATTCCTTACCTGGAGCACCTGGAGATGTCCTACTACACACGCTGAGCGCAGAAGATCCTTTGTGGAATAGCATCTTGGACATTCTGGACTCCTTTTTCGTTAATCCTGTCGAGATGAACCTATCAGCCACGGAGACTATACTTGATTTAGCAGTATGCGGGTATATATCTGTCGAGGGATGGCTTATGCGACATCCAAGAAGATATTCGTACGATGGAGATACTGATGAATCTACATCTTTCCCCTTAGACCCCGAATCACCTTCATTTGCTGATACCGAGAAGTTAAAAGAAATTGAAAAGTGTCGTCGTTGGCCTGTGTGGCAGTCATCGGCCTTGCCACGTATTTTCACTGTTCTAGAAGCGCTTGCTGACCAAGTTGATTACTTCCGAGGTTCGGTACCGCGATTCGAGGAACTCTTGCAGCAACGCCGTGAAGCCTTCCAAACGGCTGATACCGTTATACCAAACCAGAATTTTCGGCCAACCTCCACCACGGGAGCCTCTATACCAGATCAAACAAGTCAGGATGGATCACGTGCGGCATCCCCACAGCGTCCCAGTGCACTTGAGGGGTTTGCGCAGAGGATATTGTCCGAATTTGGAAGTCCAAGCCGGTCAGGTAGCCCACGTGGGCGGAAGGAGACAATTCGAAGCTCGAGTACAGGATCAGGAACATCAGGGGGGCAAGGGGTTACATCACCAACTCCCAAATCAGTACAACCTCCACCGAAAGAATTTCCTCTAAACTATGATAATCCGTCCAAGAGCGGACTGGCACGATCGCTCTCTCCCGGGAGTCAGCATTCTGGTAACGATAGTCCGATAGTTAGCGAAGCTGCTGCATTCGCAGCAGTCGATCAAGGGATTCTTGCCCGACAAGTAAGCTTACCGGCACAAAAGATCGAACCAATTCCATTAGACTTTGAACGAAAGAGTTCCAATGCTACGGCAGATGTCGAAGAGGAACAGGAAGGTGGAAACGAAAGGAAATCAGATACTACAGAAGACCAGTATAGTAAAGATGAGAGTGATGTTGCGGACCAGTCCATTGCCCCAACACCACCCGAGACACCACCCGAAGTAAAGACAGTTTCGGTCTCACACATTCTCACCAATGTTATTATCTACCAACAGTTCTTATTGGAATTGGCGAGCCTGGTTCAGGTCCGGGCAGGTCTATTCAACGAGGTTAGATTTGCTTAAGTGCAACTACTCAATCGATGATGCGCACGATTATCATGGATGATGGCGATTTTCTTGGCCTCCTTTTTTCAACACAAGGGAATATCATATTTTATCGGCGTCGGAGGCTACGTCTTGACAGGAATTAGACGGCTCGAGGGGAAGCAGAGCGATGCTTGCATGTCACGGGCTTACGATGCGCATAATAGTTTGAGAAGAGAAGAAGCATAGGTTTCGTTACATGACCTTGTTGAGCAGTCTTCGTTACTTCTACGCTAGATACCATTTATTCTATCCACCTCTCTCGTTTGAGAAAGGAAACGCGCTATACCAACATTAGGGAAACGCAATGATGTTGTTACGCTGTTGCATATAGATGATTTGGAATTGTATCCGTATTCGTACGGTTGGTATTATCACTTGAAAATACAAGGTGCTAACAATCGAAATTATAGAATTAAAGCATATTTGAACAAAGCCCGCGATTGTGATAGGTTATGAAGAATCTGTTACAGATTCAACCCTCTCCCCGTATCATCTAATCAACTAAATACCTATCTACAGAAGGTGACCGCTGGTATGTCTACCTACCTCATACCTCCTTAGCCTAAATTTACAACCTTTATATCTGGGTACCTACCACCTATCAACATTTACTTCGGTCTTGGCACATTCGTACGACTAGTAGAATAATATGTTAGTCGAAATCTTCAAGGTTCACTTTAAATCAAAGACTTGTTCTTAAACTGATTATATTGTACACTTTCTATATAAACGGCAATGTAACCACTCCAGACAAAGAAATCTAATGTGTATGGCTTAGTTCATAAATATTTTTCTTTTCAGCACTTCGTAGAAATCAGTCGAGAACCCTTTATTGTCTAGACAATCTAGGTGGAAAGTGGGTGTAGAATAATACCCCTTAATTCGTCTCTTCGTTTTGGTTCGCGTTATCGTCTTCTCCCTCGATCTGTTTCAACAATGCCACCCAGTCGGAGTAATATTCCTCTACGCTGATCTTATCGAACCACCCTACCCAGCTCTCGTATCTGTCTTTGTTGATACACTGCATGAATATTCTCGGGTCCGGTCGGGCTTTGGGGGCAGTTCTCTCCCATATTTCTTGGGCAATATCATGATAGTCTGAATGTATTGCAATCTCAAAAGCCGAGGCCCCCCATATATGCGATTGGAAATCGACATAATCCTCACGGCAAATCGGGTGATTTTTTAGTAGAAACGGATCAGCACCGTATTCTAAAAACAAAATAGCACGTTCGCGTAATCCCAGAGTATGTCCTGTACGTATGAGAGTTGCCAGTGGTGTCTTTCCATCTTTAGTTATATGATTTAAGTCTATCCTCGGAATGCTCTCTAGGAGTCTTCTGAGGATATCTATATTGCCCCATCTTGCAGCTTCATATATCCATTCAGGTTCAGGATTTATATCTAGAGGGTCGAAGTCATGTTCCATGCGACCGACCAGATGTTTAACCCAATAAGAAGACCTATACATCAGAGCATCTGTCAATAGCTTAGGTAGCTTCTTGGCTGGTATGCCCGAGTCTAACATTGAAATATATGATTTGGGAAGAGTATGACCTTGAAATCGGCGCATCGATGCTTTTGCAGCCGAATATATATTATCAGGGTCCTCAATTATGGCATTAAAGGAGATGAGGACACTTATGATACGTTCTGAATTACGTATCCAATCATATTTTCTGGCTGTAGCATATTCCGTGAGAAAGTCGTTAAGATGTTTCCGGTTACACGCTGCCGCATCCAAGAGATCATATAAACTGCATCCATTCGACTCGGCGCGCTGATCAGTAGCTACCCACTGAACTAATGTCTTACCATTATATACAGGGACGTCCATTCTAGCGCCGTATTTCAACAGCTCAACGAGCTTGTCATTGAAAGATTTTACATGGTCCAAGTTTCGCATCATTAATCCCAATAGACGCGTTGCATCTATAGTTTTTTCATACTTCTTGCCAAGTATAGCTAAGAGATACGACGTTATCTCGTAGCTTCCGTTTACGATTGCTTCTTGTATTGGTGAATACCCTTGATAATATTTTTCCGTTAGGCTTGCACCAGCCGCATACAACCTCATTAGCATAGCCTCTTGTACTAAGCGATCTAATGGCGATGTCATTGATTTCGTACTATAAATGAGGGCGTGGATAGGGTACTGTACTTTGCGTACTGGCCTATTTGGCTTGATTTTCGAGCCAGCATCGAGTAGTATATCTGCATACATGTACTTTCCTCTCATCAGCGCCGATGTAAGCGGAAAATCGCCGCCGCTCTCGAAATTAACATTTGCCCCAAGCTCTATTAACTTTTCAATCATTGCAGTATCGGTATCTAACGTCTCCGGATGTCGTATCATATAATGAAGGGGAGTGAGCCACTCAAAATCTGGTATGTCAATAAAGAATCCTTTATCTCTCACGAGATATTCCCCTTTATCTTTCACGAGATAATCCACTACCCGACCCATGTTAAAGCGTGCTGCATAGTGTAGTGCCGACCTGATAGTATCCCGTTCTGTCTTGTAAAAAGGATGGGCCCCACGAGATAGCATCAACAAAGTAGTCTCTTCCTTGGATTTTCGCATTGCCATCCATAATGCTGGACATCCCCATAGATAATCGTCTTCATATTCTTCACATGGCCATACTTCCAGGTACGGCGCACCGTGATCCAACAACCACTCAGCAATATCTGAGTAGCCGTTCTCGCAGGCCAAGTTTAGTAGCGGACGGATAGAAGGAGGTCCTATACGAGGCGGTATTATTTGAAATGATTCGGCAACTTTAAAAGTGTCAAGGTTCCCACTATGTACGGCTATGCTGAAGAGCTTGTATTCATGGTACTTCATGTTTTTCTGGTAAAGGATTTGGTTGAAGACTGCGTGAAGTCGTCGACTAGTAAGTGCTAAGCTGGCTATATCGGGTTCATTTAGTATAGTAAATCCGTAAGACTCATCTGAAGTCGAATCTCCAGAGTCAGCTATCATATGTAACAGCTCGACGGGAAGGTCTGTAAGCTTTGCCATGGCGAAGTATGGAAATAACTGTCGATTTTAATAATTCTGTTGAGGAGAATATTCGATTGCTACGATGGCGCGAACCGTCGATGAATAGGTAAATTGGAATGTCAGAATTAGCTGGCTGGGAGAAGAGTCAATACTTATACCTTTTATGGGTGTGTTAAGGAAAGGAAGTGTTTGATTCTGTTTGGGATCAAATACTCTATGAAGTACCTAACTAAGAAATTGAGCGTGTTTATATATTCCTATAGCATGATTCTTCTATTACTCTATTTACTTGAAATCTATGATGATTCATGTTATGAAAGCATTGTATCCCGAGTGATTGTATGAGTCACGCAGTATAATCTGATTGTATTTGGACCACTATGAACCTGTAATTTCCTTGTAACGCTGGGTTTGACCTCTGGATTGGGCTACTTATGGGAGGGGGGACGTGAAAGACATCCCTAGGGGCGTTTAGGATATTAGTGCCAGGGATACCTACGTATTTAATCCGTCGGAGACATTTTTTACGCTTAAACTTTTAGAAATTATTATGGGAAACTGATAAGGAAATGATAAGTAATTGATAAGTAATTTTTTAATAAATGATAAGAAATTGATAAGCTAATAAAGAAAATAATTGGCTAAGATTTATTAAGATATTTAGATATTTCCGACGGATTCTACCGTGCAAGCCTGCAAGCACGTGAAAACGCTTGCGCAAGCTTGCAAGTGCATGCGTTTTCCTAAATTTTAACTTTATTTGTCTAGATGTCTACCGCAGCAATCATGAAGTATTTTGAAAATCCATTGATATAAAGGGGAGATAAGTTAGTTTTCTATAGAATTGTTGTTACGGAACTAGCCTCAGTAACATAGCTCATTGTATTACAAAGTCAGCTAATGTCAGAGATACCCCTTGATGGTTGTCATACGTAGAGTAAATGGTAGAAGCAGCAGCGAAGCTGCTGTATAATAGCCGTGTAATAGTATGAATCTATTAACGCTTAGCCTTTCTACTCTCTTTCGAGGGGCGCTGCGCGCCCCTTATATATCTATTCTATGTAGATATATGCCTGATTCATACTAGTGTCACTTATGCCCTGACAGCTAAGCTATTTATACTAAGTAATATCTAAACTTTAGGTAACGAAAATCGATTGTAATTCCTGAATTAATATTGTTGTACACTCAGATCTCTTGCACCTTAAAATTACTAATCGTATCTTTACGTGAGTGTTGAGATATTCAAAGATACTATTGTCTGCTTTGTGTTGATAGCTATAATGCCTATTTTTTTTTAATGTGGACTAAGCTAAATCTTCTGGACTCGAATCACTTCAAATCTTAGATATGGTTTTGGTATGCTTTGTACTTTAGAAAAATATATATTTCCCAATCTTTTGTATTCTATAAGTGTTTTAGTAATAACGTAATAATTCCAAACAAAGGAGTACAGCATGCACGTCTCTTTTTAGAAGCCCGGAGAATGCGTTTGCCAATCTTTTACTTCTATGTAAATCGGTATGGTAACTTCGCGCCTCTGGTACCGGCCTAATTCCTTTCTGCACTATACATATAGCCACCGGGTGCTCTACGATACATCTTTCATGCTTATCAAACCTCTTGGACCACCCCTTCATCTTGAGTCGCCTTGTCATCCTTCACAGTTAACTTTTCCAACCACGCTACTACTTCAGAGTGATAGCCTTCCTTGTGTTCTTCATTGCAGACACATCGGATAAATGCCTTCGGGTCAGGTCGGGCCTCGGGATCAATCTTTTGCCACATCTTCTGGATGACTTCGAACGGGATACCTTGATGTAATCCTATCTCGAAAGCTGATGCTCTTGGGGTTATTCTGTACCAGTATCGAAATTTCCTACCATCACAGACTGGATGGTTGGTAGGCAAGATTGGATTAGCACCGTGTTCCATTACCTCAAGAGCACATTCGTAATCGCGGGTGTTGTATACTAACATTGCCAACACTGTAGTTGACTCTTGCACAACATTCAAATCGGAACTCTTAGCGTACTTTAAGAGCCTAGTGATAATGTTGAAGAGACCAAGTCTAGCAGCTTCATATAACCACCTAGGGTCCAGCTCTGAAATATTAGGCTCAATAAGGTCTAATAAATTGTAGGCAAGTTTTTCAAAATTCCGTTCCATAGCACCTATAAATAGGAGACCCATTTTCTCGGTCGGCAACATATCGAACCCTTCAATCAGCCAGTCCTGCACCGTCCGATGAGCGCTTATGGTGTATAAGGAGACATTATATCGATGATCGAGGCTTTTAATTCTGGCGCCATGCTCATACAGAATCTCTGAAAAGTCATATGAGTCTCTCACTCCATTAGCGGAGCTGGTGAGTTCTACCAGAAGATCGTCGAGATAACCGCGGTCAAGCATAGCATCGGTCGCTTTGGTTAAGAGCTTGTCCAAGAAGTCGGTTTTGATAGTGCTGTTCCTGATCACCCAGAAGAGGAATGTTTGGCCATTGCTTAAAACGGTGTCCATTCTAGCACCCCATTTCAATACCACTTCCACTTTCCTGGGAAAATGGTGCACGTCCTTATAAGCCCATACCAATACATCTAGAAGATCATCCGGATGTGGTTGCTCCTCGCCGAGTATCCGTAGGAGGTGTGATAATAGACTCTCGCTTCCGTGCAACAATGCCTCCCTCAATGGTGTATGGCCCCGTGTGTATTTCTTTTGTAGGTCAGCACCAGCGTCGACAATCCTGTGGAGTAGAGCAATCTGCCTCGGACACTTGTATGGGACTCCTTTGGAGCCGTATATCAGGGCGTGGATAGGGAGCCTGACTCTTGGGAGTGGCTTGTCTGGTACAATTTTCGACCCAGCATCAAGCAACATAGAGGCATGCTTATACTTTGCTCTTGACAGTGCCGACGTAAGTGGGAGCTCACCACGAACTTCACTGTTGACATTTGCTCCAAGCTCTATTAGTTTCTCCAGCATCTCAGTGTCTCGGTCCCGATTATATGAGTATTTTACTGCGTAACGTAGGGGAGTAAGCCCGCGATAATCAGGTAGATCAACAGATAGCCCTGTTTTCTGTATAAGATACTCCACAACTTTGACCATATTGGCACGCGCAGCCTGGTGCAAGGCTGATATTGATTTGCCTTCCTTTGTGACGAAGAAGGGATTGGCGCCATGTGATAATAAGAATAAAACTATATCCTGGTTTAATTCGTCGATTGCAACCTTCAACGCGACGCATCCTTCCTGAAGAACGGGGAGCTCATAAAACCGTCCACGATCCATCTGCCAATCCGAAGAGGATATCAGCCAGTTATGGCGCCGGTAGTCTGAATCGCCAATTAGTGGCATTCCGTGGTCTTCTAGTTTGATACCGCGGTCTAGTATCCAGGTGACAATATTGAGGTGACCGTTTACACATGCTTCCAGTAATACGTAATGCCAATATGTGGGCTCTAGACGGAATGCGACCATGGCCTTCAAAATATGAACATTTCCGTGCCGTGCCGCATAAGAGGGGGGGTTGCTTCCCTTGTGAATACCATAGGAGAAGAAGATGCGATTTGTTGCGTTATGTAGCTGTCGATTGACTACGGATAGTCTAGCCAGGTCCCTCTCTTTCAGTATTTCATCGAAGTATCCTTCTGCAGTTGCAATCATTTGTAGTAACTCTGTAGGGAGATCTGTGAGCTTCGCCATGTTGGTAAATGGATTTAGTTGTTGAAGGCAACTGAACTGGTGGAGAAGTGCAGAAATTCGTGGGTCCTTTTTGAGTAAACAGGGGTTTGGAATTGGTTGAAGTTGAAACGAACTGATATAAAGCGAATAAGTAACAGAAGTTGTGCGATTTTGTTGTGTGAAATCCGTGGTAAGTGACCAGAGAATGGGCGAGTTTATATATTGTCAGGGCGTGATAATTTTACTATTATCCACAAACAACAAGAAACATAGGTATTGACGTTGGATCAATACCTTAGTCAGTGGTGTTTGGAATCGTACAAGATGTGGATGGTTACAAACACGTGTGAACATAATTTACTAGAAATACATGATGATTCAGATTGTAGAAACACTGTATTTCGAGTGATTGTATGAATCACGGACAATGATCTTGTTACCTATTACGTGGGGCCGTCTAGACTATTACAATGAGTCCGTGACTATTTAGTGACGCTGATTTTAAGGTCTAGACGAGAAAGACGGGAACGACACTCTGAGAGGCATTACGTATATCTAAGGAAGGGAGACCTACCCGAGAGCCTTTATATCGCAAAAACGACGGCGTAACTGCTAGGTACCTAATTAACAATTACGCCGTATATGTGATAATTTACTAATACGGTACCTTTGAGTCTAGGAAGTGATTTTGAATTCATTTTCTCGGACGTCAAGCACAGTAAGGATAAAATACCTAAGTACTCACTCAATACACGCAAACATATCAAAGACGGTCAATATAAAGAGGAGATAGCTTAAATTTCTATGAAATTGTAGTAATGAATGTTATAGAAATGAATACTGCAGATAGGTACCCAGGTAGGTACAGAATCGACAGCCCTTAGAACCAACTTGTTAACACCAAACCGACTCATCCTTACTCATCATTTACTCTCAATTGTACCCAGTTCACTGAGTTGCTTCAACGCATCACGAGCCTCGTCCCAAGAGTTATCCCCGTGGAGTGCACTTCTGAGATATGCCAATGTCATTCGCTGAACTGCCCCTAGTCGTTGGGGACTCTCGTCCTGCGTCTCCGCCGCATCCCAACCACTCACACCCCCAAGTCCGTGCTTTCCCCCCTTGATCCACACCAAGTCTTTGGAGCCCGGAGAAAGGTAATAACTATCCGCATGCCAGTCGGCACCACGGATTGTTAGGTGCGGGCTCACGTCTTGGTCTCCACATACAACAAGAGTTGGCGTCTTCATTCCGCTGAAGTCAGGTCCATAAAAGGGAACCATGAGGCGTCCCGTATCAGAAAGGTCCGCGCCTGCATTTCCCGTGCCGGCAAGTAATACCCCGGCCTTGATGCGTTTATCAAACTTCTCAAAGGAGGTCCCGTTGCGTGGATCGACGTTCTTAGCACCTAAAAGAAGACTTGCTGTCCATGACCCAAGGGAGTGTCCCGCGACGGCGACCTTAGTCTTGTCCAACCGCCCCATTAGTCCAGGGACAGATGCCTCGATGGTGTCAATCTCGTCGAGAATTCTAACTAGATCCTGGGCACGGTCTTGCCAGTAATATTCGCTGCCTTCAGGGGGTGAATCGACAGTGATTGATAGAGAGGATAAGTGCGTAGGCTGAATCACTACAAACTCGTGCGCAGCCCAGAATTCAGCAATAGGAGTGTAACCCTCTTGGGAGTTAAGGTTGTTGCTTTGGCCTTGGCCGTGAGAGAGCAGGATTATAGGAAGAGCATCTCCAGTTGCAGGGACTGTGACTTTCAAGTCCAAGTCAACGGGTCGGTCTGAGAAGGGTAGAACGATAGGGCTGAACGAAAAGACAGGAGTTTGAGGGCTGACGGGGATGTTTATGGCTGAGCCAATGAGACGGTGTTCGTAAGATCGCATTTTGAATGGATAATTTGTTCAATGAACTTCTAGTAACTAAATGTCCTTGATTTTGTGTTTCTGTATCTTGTTTGATGCTGTTCAACTCGATTTCTAGTCGCCATTTAGGCTTGTTATATACACAACTCAGATAGTACATAGCCGGTTTTAACAATGGACTTAATATTCTATACCCGTTTCCTAAGCTATTATTGCAACATGATGGATTTGCCAACTCTTGGACAAGAGTAAAATGATGAATGATACTAAAGCTATGTTGTTTCGGACAGCGGATATTATTAGCTCGGTGTTCTTTGAATACCGGAAAAGTCCGGTATACCGAGCTTGGCATATGTAAAGCCCGGCTATAGGATCACATAATTCCACCAGCAATAGCTCGATATCATGACTAATTTACTGTTTCTATACGATGCAGCATTAGTATAGTGATTAGTTTGTTATGCGGCTGAGTTATTATCACCTCAAATAATTGAACAAGAAGTGTTTGTATGGAAAAGGGGCTTGTAAAAGGGGTTTGTTTGTATCCGGACCCATAATACTAAAATCCAACCAATAATGTTGCTCACATTGATTGAGATACTAAATACTACAGCTTATCAAACAGATATTACTACAGGTTGATGACTTTATTTTCTCTATACCTTTGAAGAGTGTTGAACTTTTACGAACTCTTTATCTTTGGTTTCCATTTTTACATACCAGTGATGCCAAAGCACATCCAACTAGTGCCATAATCTTCAGTAGTTTATATGACTTAAGTCAGTACCTATCTAAAGACTTTAGAGTTTAGAGTTACACAGACCTTCAATAGTAACGTAACCTCGATACTCGAAATTACGTACAAAGAAGTCGGAATTTATATGACGGCCAAGAGAATTATTCAGCTGCGTAAAAAAACTATATTCTCGTAAGATTATCCAATTGTATCATGGCATCGTAGTGAGATGTTGATGTCGATGTATATGTATATCCGATCTTTGTTATTTAACCGGCATAAGTCATAGCTAACACGAGTTCTATATAAAGCAATTATCTTTTATTTTAGACGGACAAGAAGTCTCGAACATACTGCTACTACGTTATACTTTAACGTTACCTACACATATTACTGATATAATTCATCATCACAAATTAGAAGCGAATATATATTTACGAGCTCTTTGATATAACTTTGTTCAATTCCTAGATAAGCTACTCCCCTAGAGAATTGCTTAACACCTGGTACAACCCTCAAAAGAAGATCTCTAGGCATCGCAACTAGCAAGCGACACGAAAAATGAAACTCTTCAACCCGATATCCATCATCCTTTCTGGCCTTCTATGTCAGTCCCATCTTGTTCTTTCGGAAGATCCTCCTTTACCTCCGTGGTACCCTCTAAAGCCTTGGGAAATATCTTCATTCCATTACCGCAGCCCCCGCGTCGGCCCATACGGCACCAACGCCACGAGTCTCAATATCACCATCTCAAATCCCAGCAGGATACCGGCAGGACCTGCACCACACGCCTCGGGAGGTGGTTATATTGTTTTCAGCAATAGCACGGCACAGTGCTCGGTGCACTGGAAATTCGACGATAGGACGCCGTACGGACATACTAAAGACACCTGCTCCGCTCCAACGTCCGGTGCGACAACGCCTAACTGGAATATAACGATCAATGAAATTCAGCCTGGCTATTACATGGATTATTCATTTTCGTTGGCGTATCATCTGTACGCGTATGGGAGCGATTTCTACAAGTTGTTATCTGGACATATCCGCCTCCAACCCGAAGAAGACTTGGAGGGGGGATGCGATGAGAATGATATCTGCTCGTACACATTGAAGAATGGAAGCGCCCCGCTTTTGATACAACCGGTATTGGCGGAATGCAGATACGCTTGTGGATAGTTCTGTTTTATAGACTTGTCGGGGTTAAGATGATTGACGAGGAAACATCAAGCTTTAGGAGTAAATTTCAAAATGTTTTGATAAGGAATTATCTGCAGTACCCCTTTTTTCAAGGGACCCTGTGATATAGTCTTACATCTCGGTAAAAAAATAACTCTTCTTGATTTAGGGCGCACCGTATGTTAAGTTAGATATCAGATAAGATGTAGTTAGATCATGAACCAACCCCCGGTCATAACAATCATGAGCGGGGTTAGCCGAAGATAAGACACAGCTTATATCAGTGAGGAGATCCCCAAGTCGAACAAGGTGATTCGATGTTTTTTTTTTCTTTGTCTTTTATAAATCATGTCTAAGTTTAAGGGTTGTACAATATGAATGTTAATCGATTAGCATTTGCGCAGCGCCATGAGCGGACGCCGGAGGAGCGCGATCTCGTTCGAAGATTGGACATATTCCTTATGACTTTCGGATGCGTGTCCCAAGGTTCGTAATTAGATTCTCTATAAGAAGCATAGATTGGCTAATATATAATTCTGCTCTAGTTATCAAATGTAAGCATCGAACTAGTAATTCGTAATAGAGTGGCAAGATGTCTGATGTTTCAAAGATCTCGACCAACAAAACATTAGCAACGCTTATGTTTCGGGAATGAAAGAAGACCTTGATCTAAACGGCAATGAGCTTAACTAGTAAGTCTATAGTATTCTACGTAAAGCTGATCAAGCCAGCTAACTTGGCGCAGCTTCACTACATACTTCAGTGTCGCATATTGTATAATGTTGATCCCATCTCAAATTATTCTGACATACGTACGACCAAGTTACTGGTTGTCAGGATTAGAGATATGTTGGGGTGTTATAACAGGCCTCATTGCTCTAGTTCATAATGCGAACCAAGTTTACATCCTTCGTGTCTTCCTTGGACTTTGCGAGAGTTCAGCTTGGCCTGGAATGATGACATTATTTAGTGAGACTTTTTCTTTTCTTTTTCCCTCGTCGTTACTGTACCCCCTAGAGATACTTACCTTGCCACACATATAGTGCATTGGTATACGCCTTCGGAGCTCGCTAAGAGGATGGGATTCTACCATTCTTGCCAAGCAATAGGCTCTATGATGTCTGGGGCATTGCAAGTCGCCATCATCGATACTCTTCACGATGCGAACGGCCTAGCCGGATGGCGTTGGCTGTTTATCATAAATGGAATAATGACGGTGATTGTGGGCGTCCTAGGTTTCTTTTTATTACCGGATCTGCCAAATCGCGTCAATCCCAGGGCATTTTGGTTCAAAAAGGAGCACGCCAAACTTGCGATGGAACGCTTGGAACGTCACGGACGAGCCGAACCAAAGAAAATGACTTGGGCGGGTGCAAAGTACGTAACCCTTTTTAATACCCCTACAATACCCTAAGCAGCTCTAATTCAATGTAGGCGCACTTTATTTAACTGGGTGACGTATTTTATCCCAGTTTTATATATAGCGACGGTACTGGCCCCGTGGGGATACGCCTACTTTAATCTATTCCTGAAAAGTTTGAAAAATCCAGATGGTACACCTGTCTGGTCTACATCTCAAGTCAATGCCATTCCGATCGGTGGTGGTGCTATAAACGTCGTCTTTGGTATATGCACATCCCTTACCCCTTTTTAGCCAAGCTAATTCTACATCCAGTATGGATCTGGGCTATTTTATCTGATCTCTTGAGAACACGATGGACTTTGATTGTAGCACAAGGTGAGTGAGTTTCATATAATCGAATGGGTGATTCCACGAAACTGATATATATCTACCTCCTAATGCAGCCATTATCGGCCTTGTCCCATGTATTGCTATGAGCATATGGACTTCCCATCCGGACACAACACCATTAGCTACCGCATACGCAAGCTACTTTATCTCGTATTTAACTCTAGGGACTGCACCTCTAATCATGGCTTGGCTATCTGATCTGTGAGTTCACCTCTTAGACTGCTGATTGGGATGCCAACTAAAGCCTCATAGATTACCACAAGATCCGGAGGCTAGGACGCTGGTTGTCGGGATTGCTATCGCAACGTATTATGCAGTCTCGGCATGGAGTCAAGTTCTAGTTTGGCCCGCTGTCCAGGCCCCTTATTGTAAGTCCCCGAAGGTTGATCCTATTAAACTAGAGATAATACTAACGTTGGCAAGACAAATACGGTTGGCAATCATCTATTGCCCTATGGATTTTAGTCATCATAATGACTTGCGTTCTGCGATATGTCGATTTTAAATATCTGATGTACGATATCTTTCATATACCTTAAATAAGGGAGTTTTTGCTAACTCTTGAATTAGGCCACAGCGAGAAGAGTTTCACGCAACTCTGATTGTGGGCTCAAAACCACAAAGCCCTGAACCTGTGGACCCTGAGCTGGACATTGAGGATAGACCAAAAACACCAAAGACCCTTCCAACAGTCGCTTAAGAGAAAGTGCAAGTGGCAAGCAATGATATGCTATGATTAGGACCTAAGTGACTAGTACTTTTATACATTAGAAAATCTCCGGTTGGTTACCTAATCTATGATTTCGGGCTGTTCCTATCTATAGCGTCGAGTGTAACTTTCCTACCTCCTAACAATATATGTTTTTGATAAAGAAATATTAATTAACATGTACTCAATCACCACGAATGTGGCCGCCATTGCTAAGTATACCATATCTTTGCAATTAATATTTGAAAATCCTTAGATAGTTTCCCGTCGACAATATTAATTCTACCTACAAGATCTATTTCAGTGTTTTCGTTCGCGTTAAGGTTTAACAACATCATATTCATACGTACGCCTTACTTTATATTTCTCTATCGCTTTTGCCGTGGATACCTAGGTTCTGATTTAATTATACTCATCATTATCATCGTCGTTGTCGCTATATATTTCTAATGCTTCAAGTTTCTCACCCGTCGCTGTTCACTCACGATGTAGTCTTAAAACCTCGACGGCAGCCCAATGGCGATTTTCTTTTGCAATTGCAATGGCCTTGATGTGGTCCTGACGCCATTGCCCTGTGGTAAGTGCTCCAGAAGATAAGAGAAGCTGTATCATATCTATTCTCCCGTTTTCAGCTGCGTGTTCCAGCGCAGATGAAACATTCCATTCGGGCCAATATGTGTCGATATTCGCTCCGAGGTCAATCAATCGCTTTGCAAGGCCTAGATATCCTTTTTTGCACGCTATTTGAAGCGCGGTGCCTTGGTAAACTGGTCCCGGAGCGATATTGACATCTGGGTTTTTACTCAAGAGTAAGTTCCAGATACTTGAATTACCTCCCCCAATAGCTGTTTGGAGGGGGTTGTCATGCTCTTCGACAGCTTCATGGAAGGCGTTCTCATAGTTGTCACCAAAACAACATTCTGCATTGATATCCTCGCCTGATTCTAGGAGAGTCTCTACCATCTCCATATTCCCCACCCCAATTGCTTTGGAGAGAATACCACCGCCAAGTGGCTGCCGATTTCCTGATAAAAGCTCTTTCATAAGTGCTAAATCCCCCGTTTCTATTGCTAAACGTAGAACCTTTACATCTGCTTTACATCCGCGGCTTAATAGCAAAGCTCTGGCCTGAGGGGACTCCAGAGTAAATATTAACGGTGATATTTCGATATAACTACTTGCCTCTTTAATGCCGATAGGCTCAAGTGAGCACCAAATAGTAGGGTCGAATACAATAGAATCATTCCTGGCCTGGCTGATTTTTATGGTTTGTGACGGCGTGATTTTTCCTAGAAACAACTCTAAAAGCTGCATGTTTTCATACCAGGATGCAATTCCCAATGCCAACGTTTCTTCTTCCGTCGACATACTCTCCTGTGGGAGACGCTTCAATAGTTGATCAATGATATCCATCGCTTTATCATCCCCACTTTCACATACTAAAAGAGTGGCAAGACAGAGTGCACTCCCGTCGTATACATTTGGGTCTAGGTCCAGGATTTTCTGAATTATAGCTGTGTTGCGACTCAGACATGCCGCGCGAATCATAGAACATTTATTGGGAAAGGATTGTTTCCGGAACATCGCCTTTTGATAATATATATCGTTCACATATGGATAACCATCTTGGCAAAGAATTCGTTCTGCAAGCTCCCAGTTACCTAGCATGACGGCCAGGACAGCCTCGCTTTTGGTTGGTTTATAACCTCGATCCAGTAAGACTGCAGCCATTTTTCCACATGAGAACTTCACTATCTCGTTAGTTACATCGTCTTGGAAAAGGACACATTCAAGCAGTGTTACATTATCTGGCCCTTGTTCATTAGGATCCTGGCCATTATCTAGCAGGAATAACAAAAGCTTGAAGTCTTTGCGATATCTGGCTGCGTGATGTGCCATCCAAAGTGGGATCCTGGCACCGTTCGAAACTAAGTATCGATATGTAGATCCTGTTTTGGTATTGTACATTGCTGCACCAACAGGAGTGGCACAAAGTCGTGACATTAAGGTGTTCATATTCATTGACGTACCCATGAAGTTGCTGGATGATGCGGCATAGAATTTGTTGTAGATCCAAAAGGGTTCATTGTCCCAACGACGATAACTGTTGACTTCACGGCGAATGTTGGCACCTGATTTATGCAAGAGCTCAACTACATCCAAGTGATCGCCATATACTGCAAGGTGTAGAGGAGAGAGTGTCGTAGGATTCCACTGGGAGAAAGGTTCAATGGATGCGCCCCGTTCGAGAAGCAAACGACAGCTGCTTAAGTGGCCCCAGAATGCTGCAAGACTCAAAGCGGTGTAGCCACGAGAGTTGGTAGCATTAACATCGATTCCTTGATCCAGAAGTAGAATCAGGACTGAGTCGTAACCCCTTCCAGCGGCTATAAGCAGAGTTTCAACTAGGATGCTCCAAGTCGTGTCAATGCTCTGACCTTGCTTTTGTAATTGGCCCAATAGATAGTGAACCATCAAGTAAGCGTCCGGTTCAGGTGATATACCAGCTGCACATCCTAAAATAGTATGTATATCTGTGAAAGCTTCGGCGGATGCTTCGGGTTTAATCCAATTTAACGGTTCATGTTTAAAGGGAAAATAGTACTTCCACTCATGATCAACTTTCGCACCGTATCTAGTTAGTAGTTCAACCACCAAGAAGTCCTTGCGATAGACTGCAGCGCCGAGAGGATATAACTCTGTCCTAGCACTTAATATGTTCGGATTGGCGTTGTTCCTGAGTAATGCCTCGATCATGTTAAGTCTTTCCGCATAGTCATCAGAGTCGACAGCTACTAATAAAGGCATTCTCTGTTTAAAAAAATACCTTCCATACATGAAGTTAGGATCGGCTCCTTTACTCAGTAGTATCATAGCAAGATCCAGTTCTTGATACAAAATTGCTGCATGTAAACTTGTATCTGAAGTATCGCTGCCTATGGAAACAATTTCGTTTGGATCTTGCCCAGAAGATAGCAACCACTTGATTAGCGTTCGCGTTCTTTCTCGCACATCTCTTGGTTGCCGTAAATTCGGATGAAACCCAGCCTGAAAAGCTATCCGATAGAGCTTTTCGGCAACGGCCATGGCTGTAATATCGGTAGTTTCCTTTGATTTTAGAGGCTTACTCATGATGCCTGATATCTGAAATAGGTTGAGGACTGTAGGCCATATTTTTATAAGGTCATTCATATGAAGATTATTTGATAGCCGAAAAATGATAATCATGATAAGCTGTTCTAATCGTTGATTATCTAACCCTTGCATGATACTTTGAGCTCGAGTTAGAAATTCGTCTGGATATGCTTCAGGCATGAAATGTCGTAACCCCGATACCAGGTGCGACATCGCTGGAAGCGAATGATGATCATTACGGTGGGTAATATCTTGCATATCCCTGGTAATTAAATGCCGAGTTAATAAATGAAGAAGATCATTGGTAGATTGTGTTAAAATCATTGATTTTGGTGAAATAGCTGGGAGGTTACATCGTCAGTATTAACTATCATCATATAATCAAAGTATTCAAGATGCTTACATATTGGAAGCTCAAGTTGGAATTTGAACCACGGAAGATTAGAAGGCCAAGACGATTCGGACTCAAGTGGATCGGGAGAGCAGACCGATATTATCATCCCTTCAGGGGATCTGGGACTAGCAGGACCTATCGTGTCATATTCATTAGCATTCAGTTACTTTGATAAACTAGAACAATTGCCTACTGACCTTGCCGAATCCTCTCGAGAGTACTTTGTTGGTTTCGGCTGACTTCTTTGGCCACCTCTAATGCATCATAGACTTTCCCCTCAATTACTACTCTACTATCCTTACCCTGGTTCCTTCGTTTCGAAATACGGTGGCCGACATATCGCCAAATAGCCTCGCTCTGCCCTTTTCGAAGCTTTCTTCTTATGTTCCAATTCTTTAGCTGATATTCGAGCTGGCTCTTGCTGATGTCTGTCAGACGATTTATTTAGTTAATTTAGTGGAAACATACCTACCTTGCTTTGAAGTCATGATCCCATAGCCACTTCAGTATATCGGAGTTGCTACATTTTTGTGAATGTATCATAGAGGTAATATGATGTTTGTGAGGTAGCCAATCGGCTTCAGTAAGTTTCTCACGTATTGAGGCCATCGTGTTGGGCATTAAAGGGATAGGATATGAAGACTTGATAGAGAACTGAAAATATGTCAGTACCTGAAGCGGGGGAGACAGCTCTATATATGCTCATTTTAATAGAAGCTTGTATTAAGTATTAAGTACCTCAGGGTTGGTAACGTCTTACGCCCGGATTTGCACTATGTAATGCCGTCGATGATGGGATTGGTCCATACCAATATCTGAAGTGACAGGATTGGTCGACACCAATACCTGAAAATGGTTTTATTGGCTTCGTGTCCTCATGGTATAAGCCACAATTAACATGCATAATACTTGCAAATCCCATTGGGTGTTTCCAATATCGCAACGAAGTACCTGCGTAAGTGAGAATAAGCTACTGCGGAGAAATTGCTGGTTTAAGGGGCGTCTTTAATATAGAATGTTACTTAAGTCATGAATTTGTTCTATCATCGGAGAAGCAAAATATGTAAGCTCACCATGTACCGATCTTAGCATATGTAGGTTAATGTAGTATCAACACATACATCTTACATGTACCTAGTACTTTCCTCCTGGTCCGATATTTTCATTCGATGCCTAATGACCAGTTATCCAAACTGAGTAGCTGAAGAGAAGCATATTGCCGTTCGAGGACACTGATTCTGCCTCGCTTTGGAACTCGCATGATATGAGTGTTGTACACTTAGAGATTAGGTTGTGGAGATCTTGTTGTAGTTATTAAACTCTGGATTATAAATAGGAGCAAAGAAGACAACCTATATCAAGAAAGGCTTCTTTTTCAAACACTACCTTAAGTATAGGAATACTAAATTTTAATTCATTATAAACTCCAACTCCATATTGACTTTCCCCCTTATTTCTATTGCTCTAAGATGGCGGTACACTTAACGCCCGAAGCTATAATTGCCCTTGTAACTATTGTCGTCGGCCTTCCCGCAGTTCTCCTAGCTTTGCTTAAATGGAGGCAAAGGTTACAACGCCATCATAAAAACCGTACGTTAGTATATCTATTTACGTGAAGAAGTTTGGCAATACAATTTACCAAGAATTATTGTTTTATTTAGGTCGCACCCGAAATTTGCCTCAGTCGTCGAATTCACCAACGAGTGAATTTCAGCTCGCGGAGTTGGCCGAGTCGGGTGCATCAGTGACCATAGGCATGGTTACACTAGTTAATATCAATGGAAAATACGATCGAGGAGTATGGATTAGACAAGGCTCACTTCGAGAGATTAGTCCTTGACCTTAGTTAGGGATTATCATGATCAGAGTACCTATTTTATATCTAATAAGAGTAGGCTATCGATTTTCATCAATCACTCCTTGAAAATGTTTCCTACCTACGCTACCTCCGCGGCTTCTTCTTACCATTATTAGCCTTGTTGAAGTCGGTGGTGGTACTTTGTTTTTACTCCGAATAACTTCTCCAGGAGTTTAAGTTTCCGGCCAATCAAAAATATAGATTCAAAGTGTCTTTTGCGGTATCTGAGAAGATATTGAATAACCGGAACATAACTTAACGGGATATGATGAATGGTATTGATTCTAGTTATACAGGTACTTACTACGGTTATACAAAGTGCAATCCTTATTACCCCATAACGGATGCGCTATGCCCCTCCTTGCTCAACGCCGCGGACATTTCGACGAAAAATCCTAGTTTACAAGCCGGCAATTACGACTAGGGGGTCTCTTCTCTGGTCAGACAATATGAGATAAGGCTTTATTATAGTCAGCGCTAGAGGAAGGAACAACAAGATGGCACCAGATCTAGCTCATGGCCAAGTGATCACGTAGTGAGTTTTGAAGCGCGACGAGGCTAAGTCGTCCCCCAAGTCTTATCTGAGGTTGTTGTCATGATCCACTTCGGAGAAAGCTCAAAGGATAGTCATAATAAACCACTAAGGGAAATTTTGGATTCATCGATGCCCCGGGCCGCTTGCAAGACTCTTATATGAGTGTTCTGGGTGAATTGTCTTACCACTGGGCCTTCGGTGATAATACGGGCGTGGGCAATCGCGTGGGGCAATGATCGATATGTCTAGGAAGGCAGGGAAGGAAAGGCTGGTGTCCGGAGATCCTTCACTCTAGACCTCCAGTAGTCTTCCCCAAGGGGAATAGGCTACAGAGAGCGGATAAAGGGACTGACGGGATGTTGAGTGAGGGAACTTCCATTATATACTGCCTCAACCTCTGGAAAGATGAACGGTAGGGTCCATCCATCGTAGATAGAGTGGTGGATAATGAGAGAAAGCTGAAATATCTCTTGGTTTTCATTCTGAGGGTAACGAATGGCTAATTGCACTAGGGGCTTGCCAGCGCTGACTATAAAATTGGAATCTTCGTCCCTGTCTAATAGCATATATCGTATATCTTCCCAGACTACGACCTGCAATACACCATATGAATTTGACAAGATCATTCTTGTACGCAGAATAGGGTGTGCTTTCCCCATAGCGCCCTAGGCCTCATGTAATTGCTTGTAACCGATATTCTCAGGCAGGGAAAGGGGATATCGGCCATGAATGATCTAGGATTTCTCATCGTCTCAGCTAGTAGCCCTTGTTGAAGCTGGGTAGAAGGGTTAGACATCTTCGATCGACCTGACCGGCAGATGGCATTGCTGGGCCGCAGCTCTTATTATATCTCACTGCTTGTTAGCTGGCGAGAAAGTTTGCGGTATTGTTTCCTCATCATTCTCGCTATTGTCGTATTAAGCTATAGACGCTATAGCAGACAGTTGAGGTTAAGCGAACACATTCTAGACAGTAAGTTTATACATGTCTTTCCGCGCCATTGTAACTAGCTTCATAGCCGCAAGTGAATCACCTCCTAGGTTAAAGAAGTGACCATCTGCGCCCACCTGCTCCGCTTCAAGATATAACACATAGGCAAAATATTGCTGCATATGTTTCTTCACCTTTGTATCTGGTGTGCGCTTCATACTCGTCCGTAGTCGATAACTCGCTAATTGTTCTCTTGAAAGTTTTGTTACGAGCTGTCAGGGTATAAGTGGGTAAGGAGGCCTACAGGGGTCTATCAACTATATGAGGGCGCTACGCGCCCTCGAAAGAGAGTAGAAGCCAGGCGTTACTAGTTCAATATATCATCCTTTTGGTCTACCTTTCTAGATATTCACTCTGTGTATGACATCAATCACCTGGGTATAAACCCCCTGACACGAGCTCTCGTAGAAGCTCTGGGTTCACTTTGTCTAAGTTCGTCAGCAGCAAGAGATTCAAGGGAAAGAACACTTCCGGGACCATGTGAGAAGGTAACAATTGCTGAAGTCTCGATTTCACGACGGGAATTTGAGAGAGAAACCAATCGGATGGCTCAGCTAATATCTGGAGGATGTCCGTAGTGTGGTTCCCTGTTGCTTGTCTTGACTATATCTTCAGTGCGGACAAAGGTAATAAGCGACAGGGTCCTTGAAGGATTAGATGTGGTGACCATCTCTGCTACAGCATTTCGTGTGTGGATAAATATCTATAGAATATGATGCTCTACCTCTCCAAGCTCGACGCGCTGCCCACGAAGCTTGGCCTAGCTATTGTGATATCCAACAAACTGAACGGCCCCCGTTGCAGTATATCTGGCGAGGTTACCACTCCTATACACCTTATGGTGGGAGGCATAATCTCTGAACTTGTAACATTGCTCTAGCGATCGTCATCTGACGGCACGCACAAGCAACCGCCACTGATTAATGTTATGAGTGTATTGAAGATAGTCACATCGAATGTATACGATGAAAACTGAAACACTCGTGATCTTTGATCGAGTCCGACTAGCAGTGAAGATGTGTCAGATATAAATATCTGTCCGACATATATAAAATGTAATAGAATAAAATCTGTTGGCAAATAACTTTTTAGTGGTGTAGCGGTATGTTGACAAGACAGCATAGAGGGTATTTTATGGAGTTGTCACCGAGTGCACTCTTTTACTGAAAGCACTGAAGATGTCCGTCTTGGCGTCTTCAATCTTAATGACAGTTGCCGCCAGCTCCGCAGCCGATTGTATACATTGCACGGAAGAGAGAATGACTACTGCCGATAAGCTCTTGCATACCTAATACTCTGTAGTAGTTCAACTGGATGAGAGCGGTCGGGGAGGACAAACGCTCCGCCAGCTTTCACCAAGCATGGCGGTAGTGGTTTATTGAGACTTCTTGGAAAAAGGGGTACGGACGTATCCGACTCAACGTCAAGCGCTACTGTGGATCCCAGGCAACACAATTGCTGCCTATATTCTATGCATATATAAACATAGCTAGATCCTAATCCCATAGTCCAAAATAGTCAACTTAACAACGATGTCACCACTATTCTAGGAATCACACTACCAGGTGTCCAGAAATAGCTTTTAAAATCTCGTATAATTGTTTATAGCTCAGCAATTATTAGCTTTGTGTACCGCATAATCTATATTCGTGGCTGCAATAGCCCCTTAATCATTGTCTCAGTTGATCACCTTAGCTCAACTCAGGTAGCTAGAGTACGCTGTGGCTTTACGATCTTTCTAAGCCGACACTACAGTGTAGTGTAAATACGGCTATATAATCTGCCTGATGCTTTTTCGAACCGATTGATAAAGAAAAGAAGTTTCTTCCATGTACTCGCATCACAATTCATTATATTTTATCGACAAAGTAGAAAACCATTCTTGCTATCATTATTGTATTTTGCTGAAATGGACCCTTCTTCAAACCTCCTCAAGCCTTTACAAGTCGGACGCTGTCGACTGCGACATAAAATGGTTCTTTCTCCCATGACTCGCTTTCGTGCTGATAACGACGCTGTGACATTACCTTTCGTCAAGGAGTACTATGCACAGCGCGCAGCTGTGCCTGGGACATTATTGATCGCCGAGGCAACTGCAATTTCAAACCAAGCAAAAGGGATTGCAAATGTCCCTGGAATCTGGGCATCGGAACAGATCAAGGCCTGGAGAGAAGTTGTGGACGCGGTTCATTCGAAAGGATCATATATATGGCTTCAACTCTGGGCCACAGGGCGCAGCGCTGAGGTCGAGATACTAACCGCAGACGGATTCGACCTCATATCCAGCAGCGCAATTCCTGCCGGACCAGACGATCCTACTCCGCGTGCTCTGACGGAGTCTGAGATACAAGTCTACATTGATGAGCACGTACAAGCTGCCAAGAACGCCATGCTCGCGGGCTTTGATGGCGTCGAGATTCATGGCGCTAGTGGTTTCTTAATTGATCAGTTCACCCAGGCGTCGTGTAATCAGCGGGTCGATGGCTGGGGTGGAACAATTGAGAAACGAGCCCGATTCGCACTTCAGATTACCAGTAGAATTGTCGAAGCGATCGGTGCCGATCGTGTCGGCGTAAAACTATCACCGTGGAGCACGTTCCAGGGCATGGGAACTATGAATGACTTGGTCCCTCAGTTTGAGTACATCATTACCCGCCTCCGCGAGATGAACATCGCCTATCTCCATCTAGCCAACTCCCGATGGGTGGAAGATGTTACGCATCCTGACACCGATAACAGGACTTTTGTTCATATGTGGGGAAAGTTGAAGCCGGTTCTGCTGGCAGGGGGCTACGATCCAGCTTCAGCGAAGGTGATGGCTGACGAGACGTATGCCGGGTATGACAACGTGGCTGTCGCATTTGGCCGATTATATACCTCTAACCCTGACCTGCCGTTCCGTGTGCAACACCAACTTCCACTTCAACCCTACGATCGTGACACGTTTTACGTTCCGCTCTCAAAACAAGGTTACCTGGACTATCCGTTTAGCAACGAGTTCTTGGCATCAGGGTATATCGGGGATGTACAGGGGTAAATCGTTCACTACCTCCTAGGTATACACCACTCATAGTTACTCAAATTAATCAATATTGTATTTGGTGTACCTATTATTGTCGTTAGGTAGATAGATCGTGGAAAAAAAAAGCACTGATTCTTTCTGATCGAGACCCTGGCCTGTTTCTTTTTCTTTTTTTCAGTCTCCATTTCTCACCCCTATTGCAATCTTTCTTTTCCAGGTCCCTCTTCATCGTCCCCGTTTGGATGCATAATATAGGAAAAGCAAGTCTACTGTTCACTAATGATGTAGATTCTTATATGTCCGTGACCGCCCTAGCTATATCTTCTATATGATTAGATGACACTAGTCAAATTTCGATCACTTTGGTACATATCGGAGTTGCGAATGTGCTTTGACCCATTAAGATTCTTACCACCACTAAATAATGGCTACCGTCACAGGGGGGATTTTCGCCGTCACGGGTGGAATTTCCGGCATTGGAGCTGCGACCAGTCGTCTTTTGGCGGATCGTGGAGCTGCGTTTATCTGTATCAGCGATATTTCGTCCAAGAATCTCGATCAGCTGAAAACCGAGATCAAAGAGCTCAACCCGGCGACTGTTGTTGATTTTACTGCTCTGGATGTGACGTCTTCTGAACAGGTAGAGCAGTGGATACAAAGCATTGTTACGAAGTATGGCGACCTAACCGGTGCAGCCAACGTTGCTGGCATAGCCCAAGGAGTGGGTTCACGAACGACGCCTACCATCCTTGGGGAAACTGATGCTGAATGGAATCAAGTCATGAAAGTCAACCTCGACGGAGTTTTTTTCTGTACTCGTGCTGAAGTACGAGCAATGAAGGACTTGCCTCCTCGAGATCGCAGCATCGTGAATGTTTCCAGTATAGCGGCTTTCTCGCACTTACCCGATGTATATGCTTATGGTACATCTAAAGGGGCTGCTGCCTATCTCACCGACTGTGTCGCGGCAGACGCTATTTCGCTGGGAATTAGAGTCAATTGTGTTTCTCCAGGTAAGTTGTATATTCGGTCTGGTTTTGAAAGCTTCGTGTTCAGCTCGTTTCGTGGGACTCACCGCTTACATTGTCTTAATAGGCGTTACGAATACCCCCATGCTCCCAAAGTTTATGCCAAATGCCAATTCATTCAAGGATGTGGAAGACTCATACAAGCGTGAGGGGTTTTCCTTAATTCAACCTGAAGATGTTGCCAGAACGATAGTTTGGCTACTCAGCACGGATTCGCGGCCGGTCTACGGAGCGGATGTGAACGTAGGTGCTGCAAAACCTTGATGGTGGCTACCACGATGAAAATATGGGATTATTAGAAGGATTTGTGTTGTGGTATTAGGAGTCATATCTATGAATTAGTGGCCATGAGCAGGTGTTGGGTTCATATAGGAAACTGCCCTTTGTTCGGCACATGGTTCTACCACTACAAAACGCCTATTTTGACGGAGTAACTGGCCAATTGACACAGTTTCATATCTTAAGTACTAGACCTAAATAGTTTAACAATGTAGATATCTCAAACTCAATACAAGCTACTTCAAAATAAGAGTTTCGCTAGACTACCTAGGTACTGACATTAGGAGGATTGATTTAGTTTACCTACAGCTCATTAAGTCGTCATTCTCTCTTCAAATATGGGAGTATTTGTAAATCACTATGGTGCGAATTAGAATAAGACAAGTGTACTCAAAAGCTACTGTTAATCAAGTGGAAGAAACTGCATCACATCAAAGATGGTCTATGATGCATGGTATTTTGGTCTGGCTTGATCATTGAGCTATTTCTCCGTTGTTGGCTTTGAACCGGCAATATGAAATGGGGAATGACACTTTGATGGGCCGTCAGAGAGCTCTATTTACGACAATGAAATTGTTGTCATCCCATCAAGAAACTAATTTGCAGATACTAAAGACTCAGTGGCATCCCGTACTCGCTCCATCAGGTCCTCTGCAATCAATTGCAACGTCTTGTACACCTTTTCTCGGAGATCCCGGTCAACGTCAACCAATGATTTGGACATGTTCACAACAATAGTGTTTTGAAACTCGGGAGAACGCAGGGTAGGGAGAACTTTCCAAAACTCCCTTGGCCACTTATAATCATTTTCGCCCACGTCCAACCAAGCCTGAGAATTAACCTTCGCAAGCCACTGATCCAACTCTGTATCACCATTGACTGGCTTACCGTAGTTCATGGGGCGAGAGGCCGACACGAATCCAGGGACCTTGCCGTAGTTATCCCCATGCACGCCACTGCCGTCACGGAGCTGAGGATTATAAGCATTCTTAGGTCTGTTTGCTGGGATAGACTGGTTATTGACACCTAGGCGATAACGCTGTGCATCTGGATAAGCGAACATGCGAGCTTGGAGGAGAGGGTCTTCCGAAGGCGCAACACCGGGAACGAGGTGGGATGGTGAAAAGGCCAACTGTTCTACCTCGGCGAAGAAATTTTGAGGGTTGCGATTTAAAGTGAGCTTTCCAAATGGTCTACCCGGAATTACGTCGATATCTGGCGGGTAATTGCCCAAGTTCCAATGCTTGGTCACATCAAATATATCGAATCCAAGCTTGTCGACGTCTTTAGGATCAACTACTTGTACGTTGGCGGTCCATGTCGGATATTCCCCTCGCTCTATAGCTTCGTAGAGGTCGCGCGTGGCCGAGTCAGGATCATCGGGCTGGGCGTTCTTTTCAGTCTCTCCTTTTTCGAAATTCGGTCCCTTGTCCGAAGATAGGAAGAAGTGCACGTATTTCCACGATCCGTCGGGCATGGTCCATTTGAAGGCATGGCCAACATAGCCACTCATGCTACGGTAGTTGAACATAGACCCGAACTCACTGTATAGCCACAGGACCATATGTAGAGATTCATGGTTGTTGCAAATCCAGTCCCACCACATATTGGGGTTTGCCAAATTCGATTGAGGGTCCCGTCTCTGAGCGTGCACCAAGCCTGGAAACTTGATAGGATCGCGAATGAAGAACATAGGAATGTTTAAGCAGACCCAGTCCCAGTTACCTTCCTCGGTGAAGAATTTGACAGCCATGCCCTTAGGGTCTTGCATGGATTCGGCTGATCCGCGTTCAAAAGTTGTTGTTGAGAAACGTGTGACGCATGGTGTCTTCTTTCCCACACCAAGCAGCATGTCAATGTTGCAAATATCCGAAATATCATGTGTGACCTGATACAGGTGAAAATATTTAGTTAGCTTTCCATTACCATAGTATAACAATGCTGCCTGCTTCAAGGAATCTCCAGGGGGGGCTCACTTCGAATTCGCCGTATGCTCCAGCACCCCGGGCATGGACGGTGCGTTCCGGAATCTTTTCTCGATTGAAATGACTCAAAGTCTCAATTAGGTTGAAATCTTGTAATAAAAGATGCTTCCCATCCCTCAGCGAGCCTTCCGGCTTCGCGATAGGGCACCCACTTCCGGTCGTGAGAGTGGGCGTTGGGGTGTCATTGCGAGTTGCAGTGCCGGCAAGGGAACCCATTGCTTCTGTGGTGTATGGTTCCTAGCGTAAATGTTTGTTGTTTGAGTTAAGATGGTTAAGAAAAGTCTTCGACCCGGGAATAGTTCGTATCACACCTAGCATGGTCGACATATGCTTTCACGTCGCAAAAGATAGGACTTCCCACAGTCAAGACGCATTTTACACTGGCCGTGGATTATTGACCGCCTCGCTTGGTAACTAATTTTTAGTGCGATTTACAATCTGAGTCTGCATGGCGGTGAAAAGGCAATATTTTCGCAATATTACCAAACATACGGTAGGGTATATTCATCAGACTGCAGCCACAGCGAAGCCGATGATCAGCTTGACATGGGCCATCTGAGACACGACAACTTGCATTCAGATCGAGGTATACTAGTGCATGTTTTCGCACAGTAAATGTGAAAAGCAAATCATGTAAATCAAGTTTTCCAGGGAGAATTCATTCGGCATTTCTGTGCCGCAACTCCTTTTTTTAATAGTCTAGGTACCTATGCATTTGGTTTTTTTTTTGGACATGACATGCTCTATGAGACTACCTTTGAAATAATGTAGCTAGGTACCTATCTTAGAACGATGATGTGCCCCTCCACGATGTTGTCATTTTGTTTCCATTGACGAAACTCATTTTGTGTCTGGTTGAAGCTGAAAGAATGCAACGTCACAATTGTCTCTCGACCAAGTTGCAACGCAACCAAGGCCTGCAGCTTCGAAGAGTGCTTTCACTTCTTCCTCAGCATACTTATAGCTACATCCAAAACGAACTTTCTCATGCTTGTTAACAATTATGTCACGTAGAGATCCTCCAAGTCTGATGTCTTGACCCTTTGGTATCAAAGATGCCTCATGTCTGCCGAGGATAAAATTCCATTCACTGAGGTAGTTCCATTCATCTGGGGAAAATGATGGCCCACTCTCATTCTCCTGGCCTATTAGATGATTCGCGTATCCTAGAGCTGTCAATGCGAAAGGGACAACACCATCAGAAGTGTAAGCTCGTAAGATCTTAGTGGGTATCTTGCAGCTGTCTATGGTGATGAGGATGCTGCTATTTTTAGGATTGTTTGAGAGTGCTTTAGTTGATATTTGATTGAGAAAGGCAGCTGCATTCTCGCGTGAGAAATTCCCAATCGTCAGGCCAAGTAATAGTATGTAGTGAGGCAGGTCACGGACTTCTGGGGCGTCCCTGAGCCAGTGGATTCCATCTTCGAAAGTGCCATAGAGGGCACCAAACCGAACGTATTTGAACATCTGCATTGGGATCTCCTCCATACTGTGGCGCAGTTGTTCTTCACTAAGATCTAATGCATAGTATGTGACCTCCTTTTCTTGTGCTTCTAAAGCTTGGAGGAGAAATATCACTTTGTCGAGACTCCTTCAAATATTTATTCCGTTAGTTTCCAATATGAAAATATGAATCACACAGGCAGAATAAAGGTAGCGTGGCGCAATTAGAAGGCGTCCCAGGGTTTGACTTACGCACTACCCAAATCGACAATGACACTATGTTTAACAATCCCGGATGCCATATTATGAGCCTCATTTCTCAATATTTGCATCTCTTCAAGCCTCGGATAGAAGTCTGGTCCGCGCGAGTGCCGATTCCAGTGTACCAAGCCATCAGAACTGTAAAAGAGGAGAGCAGGTAGGGTCTTTGGTTGTTTCGACAGGCCGTCGAGAACCAGCTTGGGAATATCCGTCTCAAATTTTGAACGACGAATATCGGTGACGGGTAGAGAAGTCATTAGGTGCATGTTCGGTGAGCTTTTAGTTCGTGTAGAGGGTAGACCGACAATGTCAAAAGTATTCAAGAGGTAAACATCGACTTCTATTCTAAAGATTAGAAGATAGTTCCTACGCTATATATGGCCGAAGCGAAAAGAAAAGACAAAACATAAGAATCGGAAAAGGGGGAATAATGAACCGGAGCTAGAAGTATCTAAGGTCAAGGTTGGATCAGCCAACATGCCCCGTGTAACACTTGGAAGATCTAGTACGAGATCAATATGCAGACTTCAAATATAATCTAAAATTCAAAGTAACTAAAAAAACCACAGAGCTTCCAGAGCTCTCTTCAAATAGCTCGGATGTATTCTACACAACCCCTCTTCGTCCCAATATTCACTCCCAACTCCCAATTTTGTGGTGAACAAACCATCTTTATCCCACCGTCGTTTAAGTTTAAGCAATTGCTGGTAATTGCTACCCCAATAAAGATTCTGGAAGTTATTTTCACTCGGAAGCCCTAAGTTACGATAAGACACTCGGGATTCTTCGTCCATCGAGTATAGAATGGGCATCTGAACGTTCGATAATTCGTCCATTACACTTGTTTTGCCTGCAAAGGATGCCGTGACAGAACGCACGAAAGTTATTAGTTGAGCAGAGGAACGCCACGCCGGATGTAAAGAAGTTTTCCCCGCCTCAGGCTCATTTACTTGACCTCCCAAATTGCTTGTGAACAAAATGTCTCCTGGAGACATTTGGATTTTCACCAATCTCTCCGCCAATTTTGCAGGCCATTCAGGAGCTTCAAAAACTTGTTTTGAAACCAGAAGGGATCCTGAAAGTATTCCATAGTTCTCGGGATATATATCAGCAGCCTTCCGAAGACTAAAGCTACCTTGAGCCAGCCACTCTGAAGATATCGAACACACGAGTCCCTCACTGCTATGCGGACATATGAAGCTTGCTCGTATCTGCTCTTTTGTCATCGAAGTATCAGTTGTGTTCGGGAAGTGGACCGTTAGACTCGCCACCCCTGAGTTATTAGACGGGCGCTGTATAAGGAATTGTCCAGGATAATGATTCTTGTTCATTGTCTGCAGAGTCGCCAACAAGCGATTAATCGCTTCCGTCCATTCGATGTTACTTGCTTTCTCTGATGAGATAGATATCGTAGTTGATGTTAGTGGATCATCTGGAAAGAGGCGTACGGTCGCCTGTGCGACGATGCCGAATGTGCCACCGCCACCACCTCGTAGTGCCCAAAAGAGATCTTGATTTTGATGCGCATTCGCAACAACAACTTTGGCCTAGGGCAAGATTAGCTTCATAAACTGGAAGGAGGGGCATCGCTATTGGTTCTTCGTACTTCTGCGGTAACTACCTGGTATTCCAATACATTGTCTATTGCCAATCCTCTAGCATAGCTGAAAAAGCTTGACACTCCACCCCCTTGCAAGAAACCTCCCACGGCACCCACAGTTGGACACTCCCCACCAACCAGGGATAATCGCTTTGCAGCCGCTTTCTCATATACTTCCCATTGCATTACGCCAGCGCCTATAGTTACGGCGGGACCACCCGAGCTCTCGGTAGCTCCTTGAACTAGGAAGTCTTCGTGAAACTCCAGATTTTTCAGTTTATTCGTATGTATTTGAAATGATGATGGCCCACTTGATCGTCCGACTCCATCGTGCCCTGTATTCTTTATCACCAGCCGGAGATTATGTTTCTTGGCAAATAGTACAGCTTTCTGAATGTGAGAAGCGGATTGTACTGAAACAGAATATAGAGGTACTCGGCCTTGATGGCAATTGGATTCCGGGCCTGAAAAAATATGGCATGATTCGTTCTGGAGCTTGCCACCCTCCCAAATCCAGTCTTGGAGAGAGGCTGTCGCATTAGGGATAAGCTTCACCTTCGTGAATGAATTACTAATTATCGTAACTTACCTGGTTGTGCTGCTCTCCACCCACTATCCAGAGACAAACGTTTGAGATCTTCGCAGGCATGGTTATCAAGAGTTGGGTGGTGACACACGTGTCCGATAGGCTTCAAAGGGAGGAGATTGCCGTCGACGGAATCATCCAAGGTTGCCCACTCGGCTTCATTTGGCCAGCATGGTTCAAATGGCCTGCATCTACAAGACTCCTGGGTAGGAATCAAGAATGATATAATAGTCAGGCTAATCCCAGCAACCACAGTAAATGTACGCAACATTTTAAAGAGTTGACAACTACTAGGATTCGGCTATTCAGACTAGATATTGCAAGCTATGTAAGGCATTTACGTCTTAATTAAAAGGGGAATAAGTAAACAATGCGAAAGTTAGACGTCCAGGTGAAAATCAAATGAGCGTCCAGATTCAAAGAATTCGGTCTTAATTTGCCTCACGTCACGAAACATACCGTATTGAAGAATGAATACGAGGGAAAAAAAAAGAAACGCGACTCCCCTTGATATGCAGGAGACAAGGCTAGGGGGTGCTACGCATTTAATTCTACTTGAATGACATATTCAAATAACTCAAAACCTGACATAGATACACTAGCATACGGACATTTTTCATAAAAAAAGAAAAATAGATGATGCAGGAAAGAAACTCATGTTCACTAGCTTATGTCCACTTATTGTCTGCCACGTAATCAGGACTTCCATCTCCTATTTCCCTTCAGCTGTACACGGCAAGGGAATCATACGCCAAAAATGCTGTTTTGAGTATGGTCACATTCGGACTATGGTATTATACAGGCAAAACAGTCTCGGGATACAGCAGCTCCATAGTTGGAATGCACTGTTGACGATCTGTTGATTGTCCGTAAAACAAGTTTGTCTCTGGTAGATTCCGGGTGGTGGATTGGTAGTGAAGAATTTCAAATTGTGATTTAGTGAAGACTCAGCACGGAAAATATCTTAACAGGCGGCGCCATTGGAGAAAATCTCTGCTTGTAACTCGTCACTTGTCCTTGGAAATCTTACTGCAGTTTCCAGCACCGGCAAGATCTATCATAGTCTCAGTTAAGAACATTCTCCATCGATGTCTGCAACCCACCACAGAGTGCTTCATCCAAAGCAGCCCAAGATGCCCTCACTCGTCTCGAGTATGAAGCTGGAGAACGATCCCTATAATGTCTTGAGCGATATATTTGACTTTCCGAATGATGAGCAAAGACTTTGGTGGCATTCCACGGCCCCGATGTTTTCCAATATGCTCCAAACAGCCGGCTACGATACGCATCTGCAATACAGACACCTTGGACACTTCAAGAAGCATATCATCCCATACTTAGGAGTTTACCCTGATAATGAGAATGACCGGTGGCTTAGCATTCTCACACGATATGGAACACCTCTAGAGCTGAGCCTGAACTGTTCCGATTCACTTGTCCGATACACATATGAGCCTATAGATGAAAAAACGGGTACACCTGAAGACCCTTTCAATACTCATGCTATCTGGAACGCTCTACTGAGTTTGAAGAAGGTTCAGCCGGATCTAGACACTGAGTGGTTCACTTACTTCAAAAAAGAGTTGACACTGAGTTCCGAAGAATCGGCATACTTGATGAACCAAGGTCTTGTGCAGGGTCAGATCAGAACTCAGAACAAACTAGCATTAGACCTGAAAGGAAGCAAGTCCACAGTAAAAACCTATATATACCCCGCTCTAAAAGCCTTAGCGACTGGAAAGTCGATACAGACACTCATATTTGATTCTGTGAGGAAAATGACGGAGAAATTCCCAACCATTCAACCGGCGTTGGAGACGCTGGAAAGCTACGTCAACTCAAGGACTGGACCATCAAGCACCGTTACTCCACGTCTTTTCTCTTGTGATCTCGTGGAACCGAGTGCTTCTCGAATCAAAATTTACCTTTTGGAAATGATGGTGTCCTTGGAATCAATGAGAGACCTTTGGACCCTGGGGGGACTTCGTAACGATAAGTCTACCCAGGAAGGCTGGGAGATGATCGAAGAACTTTGGGATCTCCTACAGATTCCTCCAGGGCTTCAAAATTATCCCGAACCATATTTACCTCTACACAGCATACCCTGCGAGCAGCTCCCTACAATGGCCAACTACACACTCCACCACGGGGAATCGATGCCTGAGCCTCAAGTCTACTTTACCGTCTTTGGTATGAACGATATGGCAATCTCCCAAGCCCTAACGACGTTTTTCGAGCGAAGAGGATGGTCAGACATGGCTGAAAAATATACGAACAGCCTCAGGTCATACTAGTAAGTTTGAACTGCGAACTGCGAGATAACGGAAGAACATCAGAACGCTAATGCTATACTATCATAGTCCCTACAATGATCTCAAGGAAATGAATTGGTTGCACGCGTACATCTCCTTTTCCTATCGGAAAGGCAAACCGTACCTCAGTGTCTACCTACAAACCCTCGAGACCGGAAACTGGCCACTTCGTAAGTTTCTAAGATCCCGCGTGTAAAGACTCTTAGAAGCCTAACTTATCGTAGTCCATCTGAAACCGGCAGGGGCTTCCTCAGCGCCAGTAAACGTGATCGATACTTATTAGAAGCCCCTGATACCTATTCTACTTGGGGGATATGGCCTATTAGAGTACCTATTCATTTGGTAACGATGGAGATATATCACTAGGGACTCTCCTTTTAAACTGCGTCAATACAGAAAGATAATTTCTCATAATTTACCTAATTTAGAAAAACGTGATACAGTGTGATCCGAGTGAAACTTGATCTTGTTTTTGAGAGATGTTACTTTCAAAAATCTTTCTTCCTTAGAAAATTCGTCTGCACCCTACTATGACAGACGATACTCTAGCTCTGTTCCCCTCAGGGAGTACTCTAGACGTCTAAGAGCGCCACAGATGCGCGTTGTATCTACCTAGGTAACATATAGCAGATAATAGACGTAAACGTTATCATCATCATCATCATCATCGTCTGCACCCTACTGGGGATTGTCTAGTACATGCAGCTAGCAAGATTAATTTAAGGTTCTTATTGACATACATATAATATGCATTCAGCTGTAGCCGCACTGTTGATCACTTCCAAGATGATCATTGAAACGGGCTTATCCGTTAGGGCGGTGAAAATACGTGCATAGAAATCCCAGCCGTGTGGATTATAGCAATTTCCAACTATCAACTATTGACACTAGTTGCATGATGGCTGTGTTTCGTTACAGCGGTGTACAATACTTGCGTGGAATCTATATTATACATAGTCGTAATGTCATCACCTGTGCAGCTATTGGCCACTAATCATTACCGGGCCGCTCCCGATCGTGAATCGTGCATTGCAGCGGGCATATTCTCGATGAAGTGCACGGCCCAATCACGAGCTTCTCGATCTCACTGATCTCACCGAGGGCGGAGGAAGTGGCGTACACTGAAAATAGGTTGAAACATCTTTCCTTGGCCATAATCATGAGCCTAGATCATTCTAGGTTACTAGCTGCGTGCCATTTTGTGGCACTATTCTTCCCCGGTCCGGACATGCCATGTGGCTTGCATGAGCCCGAAAGTTACCACCGCCAACCGGTGAGCGGAGTATCATTGCGGAATCAACCGGAATAGCCCTCACTTGGCTAAAGACATTGAAAATCATGCAGGTCGATCAAATAAGTAAATTCGGAAACTGTGTTTGTTATTACAGACCTACTACCTAGTATACTTGTTTTTCCAGCCACATATTTGCGAAGAGGTGAAGTCTACTGAATTCAGTCATCGAACAGGCGTATTTCGAAACCAGATGAGATGTTTTCTTTAAACCCTTGCTATAATCGATGTGTAGGTTGATGTGTAGGCCGTGTGATCAAACCGTAGCTCTCCATGTAATTTTTCTCGTCATTGCAAACACTAGCCATCATACACGATCTAATCTAATTATCTACTACCAACATGGCCATTCTATTACTCGGCTCAGGAGGCAAGACTGCCAGTCGTATTGCACCGCTCCTCCACGCTGCCAACCTCCCATTTCTCCTAGCCTCACGCCATAACTCACAAGCAAACCCCTACCCACACGCATACTTCGACTGGATGAAAGATGATAGCTACGCGAGTCCCTTTGAAAAGGCGCTCAGTACGGGCATTGGCCCCATCTCGACTGCTTATCTTGTTCCTCCGCCCATGTTCGACTTGGCCCCTCCCATGATTAAGTTTGTGGACTTTGCACTCCAGAGAGGTGTCAAGAGATTCGTCCTCCTTAGTGCAAGTACTATTGAAAAAGGGGGGCCAGCAATGGGTCAGGTCCATGCGTATCTCGAGTTCCTTGGGAATGTCGAGTATGCAGTCTTGAGACCGACATGGTTTATGGGTACGCTTTCTCATTCTCTACGTAAAAATAGCAATATCTGATAATAACGGGACTATAGAAAACTTCTCTGCCTCAAATGAGCTTCAACGAACTGCCATAGAGCAGGAGAGTCTGGTGTATTCAGCAACTGGTGATGAGAAGATTCCGTTCGTCTCCGCGAATGACATCGCCCGAGTCGGTTTCCGTGCCTTAACTGACAAAAAGTCACATAACACCGACTACGTCATTCTTGGCCCCGATCTACTATCATACAACCAGGTGGGTTACTTGCCATATCCTTCAGCAACTTTTGAAGCTAACCAAGCTCTAGGTCGCAAAAATTCTTACTTCTGTTCTGCACAGGAAGATAACGCATCTAGAGCTGACCGAGGTAGAGCTAGGAAAGAGGTTGGAGTCCGCAGGCATTCCTACAAACGATGCAAAAATGCTGGCTGGGATGGACACCATCGTCAAGAATGGCGCTGAGAACAGGCTGAACGACGTGGTCGAGGCAGTGACAGGGAGACCACCGCAAAGTTTTAATGATTTTGTTCGAGAAAAGGATAATTGGGCTTAGTAAAGTCAGATATTTGGATGTTTTCGACGTAAATTATGCTTTATAATCTAAATTCACACATCCTCCAAGTGTAGACTGGAATAGATTCTTACTTGGTTTAGATAATACTGACACGGTCCTCAGCTAAACGCCACATTCCATTTCTCATTGGTCTTACCCCTATTCACTCAACCACCTCTCATGTATGAACCTTAGGACTCAGGGAACAATTCCTCATTCTGCTTAATTGCTAGTAAACTAGTAGATATTGCAGCCTATTGCATCAGGTTAGTGATATTAACTGAGAAGTTATCTTGGGCCGCATCATAGAGCTCGGCTTGGAGCTTAGCAAGAGTATCGGGCGAACCGAGCAGGTAATAAACAGCGCAAACCGTCGAGTATGCCGTCGTATCGCTCCCACCAGCAATGAAATTGAAGAGCGGTAAAGAGCACTGATTGGGCCCATGATACCGAATTCGTGTTTGCAATCCACTGCTTGAGTGCACCAGTTGCTCCCAGCTATTTCTTCCTATGACATATCCCGTGAAATTTCGCTATGCATGACTTCAAGATAATAAATACACACCTACTCCGTGGTGACTTGTATTTCATCCCCTAGTCTAGTCTAGAAGACATCACCAAGGAAGTGTTGAAGATCATCTTCACAAGTGCTGTGTTCGGTCAGGGACCGGCGGATGAGCTATTCTCGATGTTTCTAGATGTAGTCTTTCAGCTTAACAACTATCTGAGGACTGCGGTGAGGGAATTGATTAAGCCACAGGGAACAGTAATGTAAGTATATCTTACTCATGATTTTGTATTTGAAGTACATTGTGAAACTTATCCATGGATGGTAGCAGGGAGGGTGGAAGTTGATGGTGGTCGAAGCCTCTGGAGCTTTAGGGGGGAAACATCAGCATCAAAATTGCGGCGATTCATTTGAAGAGAACAGAAGCATATAACAATTGACGTGCTAGCGTCATTTCTGACATCTAATAATCCAAAATGCGAGAGATTGATGTGCATCTCGTCGCAATCTTCAAACCAAGACCCAGCCTCGTTACAACATTCACCAATTTTATGTTGTCCTCCTTGTCTGCAGGTCCTTCTTGATCGCAATGAACTTAACATTTGAGGTAATAATTGGGTTTATGACTCTTGTTACTGGCCTGACCACGATTCTCCTAGCACTATTTGAGTAGAAGCGTAAACTACATCACCGAGATACAAGAGATGTGTGAAACGGGTAACAAACCAATATATGTGAGCCCCTGAATCTTGGAAACACGTCTGAAGCCGAGCACTCGTAAGACTACGTGTAGCCAATACACACTGAACTGTGTCGTCTTGGGCCTTGTTCATCTCATAATCAATTTGTTTGTCATGCCTGAACAATTGCGTGACAACAATACACATCCTTTACTATTGCACAAAGCCCATTTTATCATTACTTGAACTCGATCGTGACGTGTTGGAACATGTTCATCTAAGAACTACGAATATATAAACACGCCTGAATTCCAGCAATATCTCACTTCTCTTAACGAATATTTCCCATATATCAATCTGCCTACCACAGTCACCAAGAATATCTGATACCTACCTGATCTATCTCAAACTACCGTTCTTCCTATCTATCATGGAGACGCAACTCATCCCTAAACTCTCTGATATGAGAAACTATGTCGAGTCAAACATCGCTACTGATGGCATTTTGAGCGATAAGGAACAAGACTTGTTGGACGGGTACCTCAGGGATGCCGACGAGTACTATTGTACCCTCCGTCTCCTCAAATTGTCACTGCCATCCGATTCGGAACGCTATGAGACCTGCGCTAAAGGGATGGATGAGGCTGATGATCTCCAGTACTTCATTCAAGCAATCATAGATAGAAGCAACCAGCTGAAAGAGGAAAAGAAAAACGAGGAAGAATAAGCCTGTGGGAGACATGCACCCATCAGTATTACGGCCCCTTAATTAGAAAATATCTAAGGGGGCCGAAGTGGTTGGTGCCCCTCTAGGGAAGATTATCTCCCCTTCTAGTCATGAGATGCCATGTTAAGGACTTATACTTAGCAGGGCTAATCAACTAGATCTAGAATAGCGATAAAATAGGGCATTGAATGTCACATTCTTTTACGTAGCTACCAGTTAGGACTTGCTTTCTTATTGACAATCAATCATTGATATCTTAACCACTTCTAGTAATACTTAATCCAATGAAACTTATCGTGTTCAGTACGCCAACAGCTTATAGCTATTATTGCACTTATTGCTAATGAGGCCAGCGATACGTATGGGCATGAAAATTTCTAATATATACCATAGCAGACCTATTAAAGCAGCTCGTATACTCAAATATGCACGCATAGATAGCTTAATATTTTCTCTTTATACTAGTAAGTTTGGAAATCAATTATAGGATAAAATATATAATCAATTGTCATAAAGCGCTTTACATCTATCCCTTTATTGAAATTGGTCCTGTTCAAAAATAGGGGTAACTAAATGATATAAAAGTATGCCTGTGAGAATACGTGCAAATAAAGACTTGCCCATGCTGAAGCATGAGTCTAGGTACTTAGGTATCTACTATGAAACTAACTAATATTAAACCACCGGTTTAAACAAAAATCTTTTATTATATCTCAGATCCAGCATCTGCTCTATTCAGCCCTTTCCAATCTAGTTCCATATTTCGAGTTGCTCTGGTTCAAACACCGACTATGCACTGACCATGCCGCCACTGTGTCTTGAGCATCTTTTGATCTACTAGCACTGTATTAGCCATATGCTAAGTTAAGGGTCGGATAGTGACCTGTCCACTAAACTTAGGTGGCTTACCACTATATCTATAGCGATACTAACCACTAAAGCTTGGAGAATACCGTGCAACTCTTGTTTACTCGCACATGGCATTGTTAAGATCAGATGTGCAAGACTTTTTGCCTGGGTCTTACTGATTGCTGAGCCGCTTACCTACATCGAAGGTATATCAAAGTTGGGAAATCTATAATTCTAGCCAGTTGATCGTCCTGGTTCATAATATCCCCCGCTTTCCTCTAGAAAAAAAAACCCGTCCAATTCGTAAAACACTACCCAGCTCCCAGATATACGAGTAGATACCCAACGAGATTGTAGGTATATAGAACGTCTAAACCTCCATAACGTTGAGGATTTCTCTCAATCTAGGATTGGTGTGGTTATCCTTATTATATATTTTTATGTTAGTAGTTAATAAATAGCCCGCCCACTCAACCACCATATACCCCTTTAAATCACTCAGAGTTGAAGTTACTAAACTTCATACGACTCGTAATGTCTCAACAAGGGGACATTTCCCATAGGCTCGTTCTTTATAAATACTGGTCAGTATTTAACTCCCTTATTTTTATCATTACCTCTCAATCCGACGAGCTGCTCCATGATGTCCAAGTGTAATTCGAAATTTACGATCTTGCTTATATTCAACAATCAGCGCATGTGGCAATTCTAGATACTGACTTTCATATATTTGAGAAGCCCTCTTTCTTCGAACGCTCATACTCGAGTTCTTAAATTACATCCTTCCCTGGACCCATTGGCGCCTATCCGAGGCTCACTATTCGAAATCAATCTGGACCATGAGAAGTCCGAATATGATGCCCTGTCGTACACATGGGGGATCCCAAGCTTCACGGAGGAACTTATTGTTGATCAGTGTTACTTAATGATCACACTAAATCTCTTATATGCTTTGCAGCGGTTCCGAATGCCGACCGAGGCTCGTATGATTTGGGTTGATGCAATCTGTATCAACCAAGAAGATGATGACGAAAAGTCAAGACAGATCCCTTTCATGAGGCAGATCTATCGTAGCGCATCATCGGTACTTGTTTGGTTGGGCATTGATGAAAGTGGTTCCAGCTCCCTGCGCCGACTTCATCATTATACGAAGCAACCTGGGTCAAGCGTCTCTACGGCAGAGATTTCCCGAGAACTAGGTAACCTCACCAAGCTACCGTGGTTCCATCGACGTTGGATAATCCAAGAGGTTGTTTTAAACCCCAATGTCCTTCTCAATTGTGCTGGGGTGAGTATGCCATGGGTGCGGCTTGTCCAAGCCCTAAGCGCGGGAATAGCCACGGAAGTCATCAGTTCACTAGTGACGATGGCGGACCTTTGGAAGGCCTGGATACTCCGAAAAGATGATACACAACCCCACATATTCAATCTTCTTGCTTCATTTCATGACTCTAAATGCCAAGATGCTAGAGACATGGTATACGCCTTGGCCGGACTGGCAAGTGATGTGCAATTGAAAGACAGCAGCGATAGAAAGGGGCAGGATAAAGGGTTAGAAGAAATGAGTGCGGAGAGTGATACCGGAGATCATGGGAATACTGTGATACCAGTTCCAGTTGACTATACTCTCTCGGCCGAATGGCTTTACTATGAAGTCGTGGTCAGATTGTTTGACTCTGGGAACTTAGGGACTGTTGATCTCTTAGCTCAATGCGCCATCAGGCAGACAGCTGACGAGTCAGACCAGATGCCTTCGTGGGTTCCTGATTGGAGGAAACCCAAGGTTAGAGAACCACTTTGGTTTTCCCCTGCTGATATTCAAGGCCATTTAGAGCCTCATAACCGATCAATACTGACAATCAAGTCATCGAGTATTCATCTACTGGGTAAAGTGACTAATAAAAGTGTTAGCACTATTTTCCCTAACATATATGTCGAATCCGAGATTCATAAATGGTTCTTAGATACATGGGCAAGCTTATCTGAGCTACAAGCATCCCAAGATACCTGTGCCCACCAACATCAACCTAGCGAACATATCCTAGCCCGTTTAGTCAATACCGTTTTAAACGAAAAGACACCATATGAATATAACGGGCTGACAAGTTTCAACATGGAAGGCTTCCATAAATCATGGGTCGAGTATCGAGAGTATCTGCAAAGAGTCTGCGAGGACATACAACGAGGGATAATAAACCCAGAGTTCTACAAGTATACTTGGAACTATATGAAAGGCCGCATTATCTTCGTTTGGCAGGATGCCGCTAAGTCTCAGCCACAATACGGGTTTGGACCCTCCCATGTCCAACCGGGAGACGCGATACTTGCTCCGGGGTCATCCACTTTCCAGGCATACTTCAACACTGGCATGCGGCTATTGAATGCCAATAGGTCGTCTTTCCTACTTAGGCAGTCTTCCGATGAAATCGATTCGGCATTTGAACGGAAAGACCGTGTGCTGCCGGGGAACTTTCGATTAGTTGGGGACTGTCAGGTTATGCTATATTCCGCGCGTACTATTCACGACTTGACTAAGGAATCTGATGATTATGCGCCTTCAGGTTTTTCTTGGTTTCGACAGCTCTCTATATCGTAGTATATGTATACTTTTTTTTAACTGGGCTGTAAGGTAGGTATATCATTTGTTCCATTCCTTAATGAATTAAACTTGATAGTTAAATAAGTTAACCACCTGGAGAAGTAAAAATTGTTATATACATCTTAATCTTTCTATCTAATGTAGCACCAACATCCCCGAGTAGCGGTAGGGCTGGTAGGGTTAAGGGTTATATTCTCAATCTTGGTTAGCTTGGGAAACTTCCGAAGTCCTACCCCAGTTTTATAGGGGTTTGTTCGCTGATTTATCCCCGCTGCTTCGATCAACATCGCCAAGAATGTTGCCTTATCGTAGCCTACCTACGGCACAGACAAAACTAGCTCAGAATACTCCGCCATACTGTCGGCTGCCTCATGCTTATATGCAGGACTAGTTTTCGTTCTAACAGATGCCTTTTCTTGCTTTCGACGGATCCTAATGGGGTTTCTTGATTGGATCAAAACTCGCATTGATCGTATCCGCCAGGTTGTTCTCCGACGTGACTCAGCCCTCCGGCGGCTGAGCCAGGGATCCATTAGGCTACCTCTGCCTTAATGTCCACTATTTATCGTCTATCTGAAGGGATTGGATAGTTGGTGCATATGCATCATCCAATGGTGATGAGATGCAAGAAGGATGAGCTACTGTTGGCGAAAACTGGCCTAGAATGAGGAAACGATACACAAGATATGCAGCTGCTCAAGCTTAATCGACCAGGCAGCTACTGCTCCTACGAGTGTATCCCGGTTCCCCTTTTCTATCTACCTACTTAGGAGGTAGGTATATATATATATATAGTCATATACCTTTGTCTGCTCAATCTTGTTTCCTACAGCTATACCTCCTCTTCAAACGATTACAGGACTATTTCCATATAATCACTTAGATATTACCGTCAAAACTTAACTAGAGACGCTCACTCGCAATGGCTCCTAGAGAGACTCTCGATTCCAAGTCTAAGCGCTCTACGCAGCGTTCGCGGCGCTACCGTGAGAATGATCCAGAATTTCTAGCTGCACAAAGGGAGGCAGAGCGGCGTGAACAGATTCTGGCCGATCGTCGCCGCGTTGAAGCCAAATGGCGACCTAAGATTCCCGAAGTACGCAGGCTCAACTTCGAAAATTTCAAAAATCGATTCCACGACGTTGAGGAGCCCGACTATGCCATCGAAGTCCTTATGGCTGGGTCCTATTTGCAGGCCCAGGTCCGCCGTGAGCAGGCTCTCCGGCGAAAGGAGGATCATGTTCGTACTCGTCAGCATGTGTTACTTGCCCACGGTCTTCCCCGTGAGCAAGTGTATGCCTCACGACCGAAGAATAGCCTTTCAGAAAAGGTCAAGAGGGACAAAAAAGCAGAGAATGCTCAGATGAACGAGGGCGAGATGCAACGCATTCGCATTCAATCACAGCCTGTCCTAGGACATCTTACATCTCTTCTGAAGGATACTGAACTGAGATCTACACCCCGCACTTTCGTGAGGCCTTTCAAGGCTTTAGTGTATTTCCAGCCCAAAATGAAAGAGATCCTCGCTACTCTAGAAGAGAAGTGGGCCGATTATGAGGAGATTGACGAAGTCGAATCCGTAGAACTCCCGGAGATTCCTGACATGGAGAGCATTGAGTTCAAGACAAAGGACTCAGGCTCCGAGGCTGGCGATGATGATGACGACAACGAGTCTCTCCTGTCGGTTGACTCGAACGCTGAGGATTTAGACACCATTATGGACAGCCCTGAGGCTCTTCGGGATATGCGATGCTACGTCAACTTTATCGACAAGGAGGTAATGCCTCAACACAACCGCTTTTCCGAAAATGAAACCGACAAGGTCAAATTCGAGGATCTATGGTCTCTCTTCCGTCCCGGAGACCTTATTTACATGCCAGCAGCTGGAGAGACAGCGGGCCGCTATCATGAAGTCTGGCGCATCTACCGGACAGAGATGCCTGAAGTAGAAACGTCCTACCCCTTAAAACTAGAATGGGAATTCTTCCCGGACGAGTCGCAGGACAAAAAGGATGATAAGTTCAACATCTATGCCTACTACATCGACCACGACGGTGACTCCTTCGGCGCTGTGCGTCACACATTCGAAATCGAGTCTTTCGTTGGCGAGAGGCTTGTAGAGTCTCTCGAGGTCTTTCCCATTCGCTACCGTCAGGATCACCGACAACTCCTAGATTCTCTCAAGAAGCAGGGGAAGGATTTCCAGAGATACCTTGGTGACAGGCATCAATCATACCATGCTTGGACTTTAACAAGGAATCCGCCCTTCGACACTACTGAGGCCAACGAAGAGATCTTGGACAACGAAAGCTACGAGAAGATGCGTCATCCTGAATTTGTCGAGAGCGACGTTATTGTTGATCTCCAAGAGGCCTATCAGAAGCATAGTGGATGGCGACCTTCCTTCCATAGATTGACCGTAAACAAGTCTATCGCATGTGAAGTTGAGGACGACGGAATGGGCATTCAACAGTGGTTTGACGCCTCGCGAACGAACCTTGCATATTCACAGACCGAAATTGTCCAGAAGCGAGAGGGTGTTGAACTATGGCAGCGTCGTGAGAATCTCAATATCGATACATTCTTACGCCAACGGACGAAGGGTAGCCGCACGCACGAGATGAACCCAGAGGCTCTAGAGCTGCGCGAGGAAGACCTTGTCCTCCTCCCCAAGCGTATGTTCGCATACGCCTTACGCGAGCGTAGATTCGTACCTGTCAACATTCAGTTCTTGAAGCCTATCCGTAGGGAGCAGGGCGTATTCGAGAACCTTAAGATCTTAAAGGATTACAAGGATATTGTGCGAGGTCTTGTCGCTTCCCACTTCCAGAAAAAGAGCCTCGAGCGACGATACGTCGATATGTCCACCGAAGGACCGGGCCAGGATCTGATCCAGAATAAGGGTCGTGGTCTGGTTGTTTTACTTCACGGTGTTCCCGGTGTAGGTAAAACCGCGACGGCTGAAGCAGTGGCTATGGAGTACCGCAAGCCTCTGTTCGTCATTACTTGCGGTGATCTTGGTCTTACTCCATCCGAAGTCGAGTACTCGCTGAATAATGTCTTCCGTCTGGCGAACCTATGGGATTGCGTCCTCTTGCTTGACGAAGCCGACGTGTTCCTCTCGCAGCGTTCAAAAGTTGATATGAAGCGTAACGCATTAGTTTCAGTCTTCCTACGTGTCCTTGAGTACTACAATGGATTACTCTTCCTCACGACAAACCGAGTGAACACCATTGACGAAGCGTTCAAGTCACGTATCCACATGTCGCTGTACTACCCACCACTCGACAAGACCCAGACTCAGGACATCTTCCGACTTAACCTCGCCAAGCTACGCGAGATCGAATCCCAGCGCCACACCATGACAGGCGAGCCCGCACTCGTCATCCGGGACCGCGAGATTATCGACTTTGCCGGAAAGCACTACGAAGAAAACGCCCGGTCTACCGGCTGCTGGAACGGTCGCCAGATCCGCAATGCTTTCCAGATTGCGTCGAGTCTGGCGCATCACAACTATACTATCGCGACCGATGCGGCACGAGCAAATGGCCAGCAGCCCCCCATGGCGCCCGTGTTAGACCGTAGCTTGTTCGATAAGGTGCAAATGTCAACCCTAAGCTTCGACCACCACATGAAAGAGTCCAAGGGATTCGATTCTGAGCTACCCTTGAGGAATACCTTTTACGAGGAGGGGCGATTCGAGTAATGTTAAATGTTATTGTTGTGGGTTACGGCCGGAATCGTTAGGGGAGAGTACAGATTAGACCAAGTTCATGCATAGCCAATAAACCACTTTTATACAAGTTATTTTATTCAATCCCACGTCTCTATTATAGGAGGAGAGATGGAACTCGTCTAGCTTGTCATTGTAGCTAAAATAATCGAAGTAGTATATCGTAAATCATCATACTCCTAGTACAAGGGTAGCGAGTTATAAGTGCCTTGGCACATAACCCTGTCGCCTACATCCAATTGCGATATCAATATTGACCTTACTCTAAACAATCAATCTACGGCTCGTGCAGAAATTGGTTAAACCAGTTAACAGCGTCATTCTTCGCCCTGACCATAGCCAATAGCTCTCCAGGTTCCTTCTCGCTACCGCGAACAAGAGCGCCATGCACCACGCCCGGATAATGGCGATAATCGAACTCGATTCCCAACTTAGGGACCTTTTCGAATGTGAAATTCTTCAACTCCTCGGAGTACATGATGTCGTGCTCGGGGGCTAGAAGCTGCACGGGGACCGCAACCTCCTCGATGTCCTTCTTAGTTAACAGGGACGGATGTCCCGTTGAGATGCAATCGACCAGGGGGGGACTGTGCTCCTTGGCTCCTAGTCGGAATACACCCCACCCTCCGAAGCAATAGCCGATGGCGCCAATTTTCTTGTGCTTTTGGCGCAGGGCCTTCGCCACAGCGAATATCTCGGGCTCTCGGGCCTCGCGGGAGTTTCGCACCATAAAACCTCCGAAGTCGAAACCACTGAAGTCTCCGGATAGGACAGCTGGAGTCGGCTCGACGACCTCGCCGCCGAAGAAGTCGGGGAGGTAGACTGTCGCGTTGATCTCGCGAGCGAAGTGATCCGCTAGAAGGCGTAAGTTGGGAAAGGTCCAACCAAAGACATCGTGGATGAGCAGTACGGCGGCGTCGGCGTTGTCGCCTGCAATGTAGGTGTTGAAATCAGCGATCTTCCCAGTCTTTCCGCTTGGAGTTCCGCTCCATTCGAAGCCTTTAAGACAACACTTGGAGTACGACATTGTGATAATATTTTATATCGAAGTAGCTATATGATAATATAAAAAGTAGTGGCAGTATGAAACAACGACTTAGATACGAAGCTATTCGACTGAATTATATAACTATTTCTCTATATACTTCACTCGGACGTAACGGGCTTAAGACCCGGGAAGTCTTATAGTTTGAGTTATATGTAGTTAGACATTACCATCAATTGTGATGGCCGCCTGGCGCTGCATCATAGCTGCTGCATCAGTACCTTCAATCGGGCTCTCGCTTATATGCGAATGATCGCGATGTCCCGTATAGTACGTGTGTTTGCCTAAGATACTGTGTAGAAGCTCTAGTCTTAAGCCTCGATGGCACAATTGTTAGACACTAAAGGGATCTATAAATCCGGTTAGACTGTGGATATTTACCTTCGGCAAAGCGACTAAACGCGAAAATGTTATAAGGGATATCTGCCTCCCTCTCTAACAAGGTATAGATGCAAGGCATGATGACAAATTTTTGAATATATCCCAACTAAATCGGGCGAACAGTCCATCCGTGCGGAGTCACGTCTTTACGGGATTTATATGCGGCGAACTTCGATAATGATGGAATACCCCCTACGGTTGACCAGACAGGGTGCTGTGCCAAAATGAAAAAAATTATGAAATTTAAGCCTAAACGGGTAGTTAAACACGGATTTATCCAATTAGCTCGGTACTTTTCACCTTTAAGTGGGAAAAAGGCTTATTCTACTTAAGTACATATCTTATAACCTTATACGTAATATGTATAATTGTATGTAAAAATCTCATACCTATACCTATACCTATATTTATTCAAGAATAGCTTCACGAATACTGGTCTTAAAGTAACATAATATATATAATTTAATAGCTTAGATCAATGCGAAAATAATGATACCAATTATAGTATTATATGATACGAAATAGGTATTATATGACTTACCCAATAAATTGTATTAAAAATTGTCTTGTCAAGGGGTATCACGTGACAACCTTAGGAATGCAGCGCTAGATGGGGTTGTTTAGCCAGGTATGGCTAGTAAGTATTTCTACATATAAATGTATATACAAAGTACAAAACATTAATGGAAAAATCAACTTTTTACATCACACGTAATTTTTCCAACTTGATTAAAAAACCTTAAGTAGGCATATACAACTTCAAATAACTTCACCATTACTCAATTCCAAATAATATAATTACTATTAATAGATAGCCTTAATTAATGCGAAAATAATAACCTAAGGTGCATGTTGTTAAGTAACTTAAGTTGCATGCTATTTAGGCTTTTATAAAGGTAAGATATAATTGAATTGTGTTGTTTCTTCGCAAGCAAGCACGTGATACCCTTTGACAAGACAATTTTTTACAAAATTTATTAGGTAAGTCATATAATACCTGATTCGTATTATACAATACTGCAATTGATATCATCGTTTTCGCATCAATTTGGGCTATCAAACGATATATATATCATGTCATTTCAAAACCAGTATTCATGAAGCTATCCCTAAATCTATATGTGTATATACCTACCTAAGTATGGGTATATGGGTCTGTTTTTGATTAAATGAATATTTATATTATAAAAATAACCGTATGAGGCTTAAAAGTATATATTAAATTGTGGTCCGTGACCTTTTACCAACTTTAGTCTAGTGCATGATCTTTTTTTTTCATTTTGGCACAGTACCCTGTCTGGTCAACCGTACCCCCACTCAGTTTTTTTCAAAGGACTTGCTTGACCCCAGGGCCGTAATAAGACTCAATTTCTTGCTCTTTATGTTTTCCTTTAATTATGAACGAACTTCATGTATATGTCCCACTTATATCAACAAATCAAGGCTTTGAAAAGACTCAAAATATACCATCTTAGGAAAAGTGCGAGAAGCTTGGCCAATCAGATTTAGAATCAGCAATGTACTTCCCTATGTCTGAGTAACTTGCCATTAAAGACTCACTATACCAGAGATTTTATTATATAGCTGTTTATAGGCTTCATATAACTCCGGAATCAGTGTTAAGATTTTATATTCACAGCCACTTAATAAACCATACACTAGATTGCATTGAAGCTTCCTATAGATACCTATCTAACATTCCCCCGAAACCTCTAGATATCTCTATAACAGGTACGTATAGTTGAGCTTTATGCAAGATATTATTTCGAATAACATAGTTGCTTAAAAATGTCTTGCAACGAGTTTCAAAGATCAGAGTAACTACTAGAACAATCAAACCTACCTGTTACCTCTTTTCAACACCAGCCATGAAACTTAGAACCTTTATTAGATATAGCGGTTACGTGCCCTCCTCCCGAGAGAAGCATTGGCACCTATGTATGTACTAGCATTAGCTTTCGCATCTCTGTGCCAAGGGATATCAGGCAAGTTCAAACAACAGTTGCTCGCATCTAGTTAGATCATAACGACCTATGAATAATAAAAATTACTTATGCATGCCATAATACATGCATAAATCGCAATGCAGCTAATTATTTCAATCCATTAATATTCGTTATTATTCATTAACTTTACTACATTATTCGTAATGTCCCTCCCACATCTTTTTTTCATGAATTCCCAAGCAATGCCTGAAGAATGGCGTTGACGAAATCTGATAACGTCGCTACGATCTATATTGAAGAAGCAGAATGTCAGAAGAAGCTCTCTTTGAAAATGCGACGATAGTAAGTGTAAACAGGAATGAAATAAAGAAAAACTTACGGGTGTAGCATCGCCTATCAACTCGGTCGTTTGTGAGACAAATGCAGCGGACAATAAACTCTCCGCATTCCCGAGTAGAGTTATTATTCCCTTCACAGAGGCTGGCGTAATTAACGGCGTGACTTGCTCGACAATCCCTTGGATATCGATCTGGCTCAGAGTTCCGAGGAGAGGCTTGACAGCCTTAATGAGACCAGCCAGGTCGATTTGACCTAATGAGCTAAGAAGTGGCTTGACTTGGTCTAAGAGACCTCCGATATCAATTTTTCCTAGAGCCCCAACCAACGGCGCTGCACCGTCAATGATGGTATGAGTTTCGTTAACGAATTCCTTCGTTAGGAGTGACTCGGCATTATCGACAAGACCTACAAGACCGTCGACAGAGGACGGTGTAAGTAGAGGGGAGACAGCGTCGAAGATGCCCTTTATATCAATGTCGCCTAATGCGGTTATAATAGGGGCTACTTGTTTGATTAACCCTGCGAAATCAATTTGACCTAAAGAATCCAAGATGGGTTGTATCTTTTCGATAAGACCAGCTAGATCAATCTGGCCTAAGGAATTCAGGATCGGGGTGATCTGTTTAATCAGACCTGCGAAGTCGATTTGACCCACAGCATCAAGTATCGGCTGTATCTTGTCTATGAGGCCGGATAGGTCAATCTGCCCAAGGGAATTCAGAATTGGTGTGATTTGTTTGACTAATCCCGCGATATCAATCTGGCCTACAGCGTCAAGAATAGGTTGAATCTTTTCGACCAAGCTACCCAAGTCAATCTTACTTAGAGAGTCTAGTAGTGGTTTCACTTGCTCAATAAGATCCTCTAAGTCGAGTTTGCCGACGGCGGATATTAATGGCACGGCACCAGATATCAACGTCTTCGTCTGATCAACGAATTGTGTCGTCAACAGGTCCTCGGCATTGCCTAATAACCCAACGATACCCTTCACCGAGTCAGGCGTCAATAAGGGCTCTACGGCCGAAAGTAGACTTTGGAGATCAATCTTGCTCAGGCTATCGAGTAAGGGCGAAATTTGACTGAGCAGACCTTTCAGGTCGATATCGCCCAGGCTCGAAAGTAAAGGCCCTGCTCCTGCGATCAGAGATTTGGTCTGGTCGACGAATTCGCCAGTCAGCAGATTCTCGGCATTTCCAAGCAACCCTATGATACCCTTGATGGAGTCTGATGTCAACAGCGGGCTGATAGCTTCGAACAAGCCCTTCAAGTCAAGCTGACCAAGTTCGTTAAGGATTGGAGAGATTTGATCTATCAAGCTTTGGAGATCGATTTGCTTCAGGCTGTCAAGGAGCGGTCCGGCCCCAGAAATCAGAGACTTGGTCTGGTCAACAAAATCTTTGGTAAGGAGAGATTCTGCATTGCCAAGTAGACCGACGATACCCTTGACTGAGTCTGCTGTTAGAAGTGGGGCTATCGCATCGAGTAATCCTTGAAGATCAATATTCTTGAGGCTATCAAGAAGTGGTTGAGCACTGGAAAGTAGCGACTTGAGCGCATCAACAGTATCTGACGTTAAAAGATCTCCAGCATTGTGTAACAAGCTCACTATACCCTTAACCGAATCTGACGTGAGAAGGGGCGATAAGGCATCGAGTATACCCTCGAGGTCAATCTTCGAGAGATGGTCAATCAGTGGCTGCACGCTTGATAGTATTGACTTTAGAGCCTCGACGGTCTCCGATGTCAAAAGTTTTTCTGTATTACTCAACAGACCAACGAGGCCCTTGATCGATTCAGGGGCTAGAAGAGGTTGTAGCGCACTAAGTATACCCTTCAAGTCGATGCCCTTAATCTCGTCTATGATACCCTCTAAATCCAGGGAACCGAGCAGGTCGATTAGCGGTTCAGTCTTGGTGAGGATACTCCTAGCGATATTTGGAATGGGCGGACGGAGTGTTTGTGCAAGGTACACCATAGCATCGTGTAAAGCTTGCAAGAACTCATCGCTTAATAGTTGCTGGATAGCCGAAAGATAACCTCCGAGATCACCCAACTGTGTAATGAGCTTCGTCAGACTTTCAAGAATCTGGCCCAAATCTCCGAGTCCTCCAAGGTCTCCAAGATCAAGACCGCCGCTTGACCCGGAACCAGACCCAGAGTTCGAACCAGAGCCGGAACCGGTACTGTTGCTCTTCTGTCGCGGATATAGTGCAACTTTCTGTTGTTGAACCTGGTTTCTTCTAAGCAAACCATTAAGTTCTGTCAGGGCGTCTGTCAGATCCGACCGAGGTACTAAAGCTAGGTTGTGCTTTGCAAGAAGTGCATCAAGGTCCAAGTCTGCTGTTGATGCTGCTTGCGGTGCGCTTTCAGCGACGAGGCTGATAGGCGCCAGAGCCGCTAGGAAGAGCTTAAAGAACAACATAGTAATAATTGGCTAGTTGTTGGGAGGCTTCCAAGGTGTCGTTCTCTTCTCTTTGACTCGAAGCTGAGGCTTCGATTCAGCTCAACCACGAAATAGGAAACATGACAGACGAGATGGGAAGTTCGAGAATATGAACAATATTACATGCTACTCCCGTTGCTCGTCTACTTCATATCACATGGAATTATGTCTCAGTGAGCGATAGAAACTACCCTTCGGACTTTATGCCGTCTTGGGATATTTACCAAGCTGCTCACATGGGTAATCAGCTCTCTAGCTCTAGTCGTCGCCAGCTTACCCCAGCTACCCCAACTTCTCCACGATCCTAATCCCTACCCGGCGTGGGTTGCATAGGACTAGGGACCCCTTGATTTGTGGACCCAAGTCGTCAAGCTTTTCTAGATCCCTATTCGACAACTTGGCATTAAGGTAGGGTTATGGTTACAACTTTACGCAATTATGTATGTTCACAGTAACCTCACTTACATGGAAGACACCATAAATCTAACAGTTGCCTAGGCACTTGTTAGATCGCATGTGTAAACACGTCGTCTTCACCGTTACTTCTTGGTCTTCCACATCTTGTCTTCAAAACCATTTCGGCCTAAATCAAGGTTTATACATTCAATATATTGAAGAAGGAAGCATAAAGAAATTACCGCCCGTATTTTTTCCCCGCGCACGGACATTTAAGAGCCTATCTGTTTAGAATTCTTTGGTTGAAAAGACAATAGATAATGCAAGCTTTTGAGATCGAATATAATGATGCCAAATCTATTCACGATTTGGATGCCCAACTAGCAACACAGCAAGACCACATATTATTGGATACACTCGGACAGCACGCTCAAAGTGGGAATAGTAGCCATCAACTCTATTTCCTTATTAGGCAGGCGGAATATAAGATGACATCATTTTAGTGCGGCGGTTTGTGCTGCTTGCGGAGCAAATGAAGATCTACTTAACAGTAATTAATTGCTGGGACGATGGGATAGACTAAGCCGAATACCCCGCTGGTCTATCATGTTATAGTCTTCAATTATATGTGCGTGACCCGCGCAAAACCAGTAATCATCCTGGGAATAGACGAAAGCTGACCATCCCCCTGTAATATTGGACTACAAAAACCGGGGTATGAGCACAAACGGTAGAAATCGTATGCAGAGAGATCAACAAGTCGCGAGGGGTAACAGGGCTGCAAGGCGGTATTCGATGGGTCTAGCTTTGGCCCGATAGGCATGGTAGGACGGAACGGGAGCTCATCTGTTTGTAATGCCGCAATGTAACCCGGGGCGGGCTGGGCGTACATGTGATAGCTGAATCGTCCTCAAGTTCAGTACGTCGCCCTCATTTCCGCCCGGAAGTTGTTGGGCGCCCGTCTTCTCTCCGCTTGCCATCCATCCAGCATCCTCTGCTGCCAAAGACAAGAAGATCATGGCTTCGGCGTTTCGAGAAGACACATCACACTATGAGCCCAGCAGCCCTACCACCTCTATACATGGCGGTAGGGGTGAGGGTGGTGAAGGGACTACGAATGCTGCGGGAAGGCAGAGCGACGAGACTTCTTCGGCTGATCATGTTACGGAAAAGACACCAGTTGCCGCGCCTCTTACGAAGAAACAGAAGTTCAAGCGCCATTGTGGACGATTCTGGTGGTGGTATCTTATAGGACTCATCATTTTCCTCGCTATATTCTTACCAATCCTGTACGTATTCTAGCATATGAATGAATATGTCTACGTGCTAACAGTGACCTCAGGTTTTTGGTGATCATTCCAGCTATAGTACAGCGCATATTAGACAACCAGACCATGCCTGTAACTGGCGGTGCATTCGTGGCTTTGACACCGCAAAAACTCAATGTATCTATCACAACGTTGCTCGACACGCCTCTGCCAGCAGATATAGACCCGGTAACTTTGCTCATATATAATCATGGGACACCCACGTTTTCACCATTCGTCAACATCACTCTACCGCCACTTCACATAGATGGGGAAACAGAAATAGTTCTTACCGATCAGACAGTCACAATAACTAACGAAACTGAACTTATTTCGTGGTTCGGTAATGTCTTTGACCAGCCGAAGGTCACTTTATCCACTCGTGGTGATGCCAAAATCCATTTGGGGGCGCTTCATTCAAATGGGCATATAGATAAGACCGTTGAAGTAGACTCCTTGAACAAACTTAGTGGATTCGCGATCGAGCATATGCAGCTTCTCTACCCAGCTCTAGATAACGGGACCAACATCCAGGGTACTCTTAACCTACCAAACTGGGGCGCGCTCACTCTTGGCATTGGTAACTTGTCACTTAATTTGATGGTTGACGACCTCCGAATTGGTCTAATTACCATTTACGAAGTACTTCTCCCTCCAGGGAATAACTCGAGATACTTCAACGGCGAACTATACCTAGACGTGCTCATGCAGAACATCGGGACGATACTTTCCGCCCAGTCGGACGCGCTGAACGATGGGAACATCCAGATTGACGCGGTAGGGAACGCGACCGTTGTCAATGGTCAGCACATCAGGTTCATCGAGGCAGTCCTCAACCATAGACGCGTGACGTCTACAATCCCGGTTACGAAGTTAATGGGCGACCTCGTCAGCAGCTTCACCAACGGTAGTCAAGTCAACATACCTGACCTACTGGATGATGTATTCGGTAACTCAACACTTATTCAAGAAGCCCTGAGCCACTGGAACACGACGGATAACGATAAAGGGGCGAAGCTGAAGAGATCTTTACCTTCTGTTCAACGAGGGGTATTTGGGTCAAGCGCATTAACGTTACTCAGGCTGGGTATGAAGATGAGGATGGGCAAGTATTGAAAGGAAATTTCAATGGCTCTTATGAAGTCCTCAATGGTTACCAATAACTTGGTATGATAATTAGTTAATGTCTCATGAATATAATATTCTTTCAAGCATCAACTGAAATTACATCGTCTGAAGTTGCCAGGTACATATTTATCTCACCGCGATACATGATCTTGGGGATAATAATAAGGAAGGAAACAACTTCGTTGTTCAGTAAGGGGCCCTGAGCTAGCTATGGGAGCCTATGGCTACACGTACTGACAGTGTCCTTATCATATATGTCTCATCCAGAATCCCAACATTAACGTCAAATATATTGCGCGGCGATATCTACCCACTCGTCGTAGTGTGAAAAAACTCAACACCTATGTCTTACTCGGTGTTTTAACCTGTAAATACGTTTCCATGACAATAGCTCAGCCCGTAAAGTTAATAATCGGTACATTGCTGTAACCGTCAACATTAAAATGGAAGTGCCAAAAGCAATAAGAGCAAATATAACCATCAAAAAGGTAGCGCCCCGACCAATCTGCTCAGCGAAGATCTCGCCTACCGCTATAGAAATATAAATGCAGAGCGAAAAGTACAACGCAACATAAACCCAGGAAAGGCACTTCACTAAACGGCGATGTGATTTAGATATCGTGAGAAATTCAATGTCTTCTTTATTTTCCTAATCGGACTTTGTCAGTTGCCACATTAATATATTAAATTCAGGGTGCGTCACCAACCTTCTCTAGTTCCTCGGTCCTAGAGAGTCCATTAACTGTAGCATCTTCGTTTTCACGAGTTATATTTAAACCTGCGGTACCCCTTAAATCTTTAAGCGAATTAGCCTTTATATCCCGACGCAAACACAACTAAAATCCGACCTGGCTTCTTACCAGAGTACCCTTCCCCCATCGCCAAGAATGGAAGAGCCATGAGGATAAGGGGCAGGAGCTGACCAAATCTTGGCTCAAAGCTAATAATGGTATCGTCTGTATCCCTATCAAGTAGAAATAGGAAGGATGCTACCTGTGATATGCCAAACGTAAAGTAAAAGAGTAACCAAACGACCTCGAACATAAAGGATCGATGAAAACTTGAAGGTATGACTAGAAAGAATATCTGACCCAGCTGGCTGATACCTAGGGTTCGATTGGAGAGTCTTAACGCCAACCGTCTTCGGGCCTTAAATATTCTAACCTTAGACGATGTCGGCCAGCCAATTGTTTTCGCCAGGAGGAATACCTGCCAGTATCCCGGGAAAACTCGAGAGTCGTGAAAATACAAGTCTCGGATTCTACGGATGTAACCGTTCAAGAGAATACCAAGTAGGACAGTAAACCCCGAAACCGCGGCCGGATTTCCAAGTCTCTCCAGCGGCCCATATGTATCTGAATAATCTTGTAAGAAACTGTAGTCGGCGATGGCGCATCTTAATGTCTCGTATTTAGATAAGGACCAGGTCTCGGCAAGTCCTTGCAGGAGAAGTGCTATAACGCAAATCATAATGGCGACCCTCACGTGTTTCAAGTAGCTGCGGTCTCGAAGGTACTCGCGGAGGACGGCGAGGGTTGCTAGATGAATAATGCAAGAAAGGAAAGCCAATATGACAGCGTTGCCATACGCATACGCAGATATCTTCGTGTCGAGATCCTGGACCCCGTTACGGATAATGTTGATGGAGACAGCCAGGGCCAGCCCGGAAACAAGCTGCTGGTCGCTGAGCGCCAGTATGAACTTTTGCAATGCACGAACTCCTTGGCCGTCTTCGTGGCGGGGTTTACGGTTCAGCATGACGTTGTCGAATCCGTTGTAGCATTTTCTTGGAAGTGTGTCCTTAATGTAAGCCCAGATGATCGCGACGATGACGAGCACGATAGAGAACAAGAATGATATCAGTACCTGCGAGATATAAATATTACTCTTCCGTCGGCAAGAAAATGGGGTTTATCCACGTACTCCAAATCCTGTGACGTCCGGGTCTCCTAAATCTACTGGCTTGCAAGGATCCGTCTGAGACGACAGCTCACGCAATACGTCCATTTTTCCGGTGCTTGATGACATGGCATTGGCTTATGTCAAGTGAGAAACATGTTTATCCGATATATCTTAGAGCTGAGTGGTATGAATAGTCATTGTTTGCGAAAGAATTTGTGGTTAAGCTGCTTCAGGTTGATCAAGAAATATCAGACTGGAATGCCTCCCCGCCTGAGTTACGGCTACATTCTTTGTTCTTCCATGGACAAGCGCCACAAACCTTCATTGGGCAAGCTTGATAGAAATTTAGTTCTCTTTATAATGTAAAACATAGCATTGTTTACCCAAGGTAATTTATCAATAGTCTAGGCCACAAATACATGTCTAAAAAAGACTTGATACATTCCACAATCTCGAAAGACTCACCACAACGATTATGAACTCATGAAATATAATAATAAATAGTAAAGGTTTCGTATTTTCAAAAAGTCTTAATATCCGGGCTACACTTGGTAAGATTTCTTCGAGGTAATCTTGAAGGGTATCACGTGCTTGCCTCTCTGGACAATTAAATTCTTATATAGGAGGTAGCTTACCTGGGTAACATAGTAGCTAGGTAAACAGTTTATTCGATGCAGCGTAAACTATTATTTTCGTGTCAATTATGGCTCTTGAATAATAGCAGCTATGATATTTCAAGTGCCGATATTTGGGTGTGTACTTTATTTCGTAGAATAAATTGAAGGCAATACAAGGCAATTGTAGATTGAGTTGACAATCGAGTCCTTGCTATACTTGTAGAGATTAGTGGGGAGAGTAACCCAGATATCAAGAAAACCTCCTATTCGTAGCCAACGCAAGCTCCAAGCGTAGCGTCGTGAGATCTTACCTGTCTTTTTTTCCACCACACAATTTCAGGTTTTCCATGTGGTTAAGTGTCCACGAGTGACTTCAAGACAGGCAGCTTGCATTTATATACCACGTTACCTTTAATCTTCGAGTTTCGCTCTTGTCAGGCGAGAATCGCTTTAGGAGGTGGCTGCTTGCCAGTCCGATGGTCCTTGCGCGCAGCCACTCAGTGATTCTTAACTCTTTTCTAGCAACTAAATTCAATCAATCTACCTGGGAGTTATTGATACCATTATTAAAAGAAATTGCATGATGGTGTTATCGAATTTCATTTAAATATGTCTTCAAGAAAGTTATAGAATTGAAATGCGAGTTTCGGTGTGAAATCTCGAAACACTACGTCGATAATTTCTGTTAACTACCTTAGGTACCTATTATGATAACAAGCTAAAAAGCAACATCGCAATCTTACAGAAGCAAGTAGTGACATCCTTAATGTTTTTTTCGGCGTCCTTGACTCCAACGAGTTGACAGGATGACAAGATCAGGAGGGATAGAAGTATTACAAGATGGAGTTGCGATGCGGGGATACTCGCCCGGATGGGGAAGGTTGATAATAATAGATCTAAGTGGTAACAATACGTGTGACCAAGCATTTGTCTTAGACCTGCATTTGGTCAGTTTCTTGCTTTCAAACCACTTGTGAATTTATAGTACGGGCTTGTGATACTCTTGAGAAAAGTAGATAAGGCGGTGTTCTTGGCGTTTAGATGTTACCTGTCTAACTTGGAATAATTTCACTGTTTTTATTTTTGAACATAATTCCTTTCGTATACTGGTTCCAGTCGGTTTATTCATCATGCGCGGCACGGTTACCTTTTGACCGAGCTTGGCAGTTTGACCTAAATCCCATTACAATGCTGCATCTTCTTGATAGTAGTTGGCAGGGGTAGTTGGTTGAATCAGTCATGTCGTGGGATTTTCTAGAGTCCTTGACACGTCCCGTGAAGTCTTGAATGACAATGAGGTGTAACTCTATAAATATAAGGATGGCGTCTTCCTCGATTTATATGGGATGATTAAATCATCAAGCTTCTCCTACATCGACATAACTGAACTCTCTCTGCAACAATGGTATTTCGTTCTTCCATACCCTTGGCTACGGCCCTTCTACTTCTGTCCCATGGGACTGCTGCAACACCTGTTCCAGGGCCCAAGACGAAAGCATTTACCCAACCTATCGGTATTCCAGAATTCCAGGCTACGAGCGTCTTTGATGGTCCGATCCCAGAAATCATCACCCTTACACCAGCCGATCTTCACAACGTTACTGAGGTACCGGCACACGTGCCCGATAATGTACAAGTGGTAGACGATTCTGAGATTGATAAGCGCTTCGTCTTTGGGCCCGACAACCGTGTTCTATGGACAGATAAGTCTTACCCGTTTTCGGCTATGGGAAAAATCCAATGGTCGAGCGGTGTTTACTGCTCGGGCGCCCTGATCGGACCGCGTCACGTAGCTACTGCCAAGCACTGCGCTCCTCTCAACAACCCAGGTGTCAGCGTACGCTTCATGCCGGCATATTATGACGGCGAGTCATTCCCCGGCGCGTATGTAACGACGATCATCCACCTCCCTGGATACTCGGTGAACGACCCAGACGCGAATGCTTGCGACATCAAGGAGGACTGGGCTATCTTCATTCTAGATGCTCGTCTCGGAGATCAGCGCGGAGGCCTTGGAGCCAAGGTCATCGAGCCATCGCTCATTAACAACCCCCAACTCCTTCACCTCGGGTATCCGGGTGATTTGGCAAATGGCGAGAGACCGTATCGACAGGAGAAGATTACTGTTCGAAACAGATTCGACTGTGATGCGACTGGTGGCCTCTCTACTGATGCTGATGTCGCTGGCGGTATGAGCGGCGGTCCTATCGTAAGTAACCCCAAAGTCCTCATTAGCCCCTATTTTACCCCTTAACCACCAAGAGTATCACCACAGAGGATGTAATAAATGCTAAATCGAAGCTATATAGTGGCAAAACGACAACGGGTCTCGCTACCAACTCGGTGTTCTAAGCGCAACCAGTTCCACAGAGACAGTCTTCGCCGGCGGCAGCAATTGGATCGGCGCCGTTGCTCGTGCCCGCCAAGATTTCCCTTGATTTATTCGAGTTACATTGAAACTATTGTATTGTATCGCGTAGTTTTATGTGGGTGACGATTTTAAAGGGGTTCTTGTATATATTCCAAGCCTGTCCATAAGTTAGTTCAGTATATATAACAGGTCACTCGGTTACCTAAAATACCTAAACTTACCATTTATACTTGAGCACCCAAAAAGGGGTAAAACTGTGATGCTATTATCTATTCCTAATTGTTCGATGAGATACGATCCTTGCTAATTTTACTTAACCTAGACGTTACTTTATCTTAAGATGGGAAGCAGTGTTACGTCTTAATATGTGGGTTGACAATGTGATCCAGCAGTCATTATTGTGAAATATATTATTAAGGCAGATTACCCGGCTTCTGCCCATATATATACGTCCTAAAACCAGTAAGCAATCGCACTCAGACCACTCTTCACATGAGAACAGTAGACTTACACAGTTACATACGCATGAACACTAGTGCCCATAAGATCCTTCTTAACGTCCTCGACGAATTCCCGAACTTGTTCAGCTGACAAGCCCAACACTCCTAGCACCTTGAAGCTTATACCTTCGAGACCCGTGAGTAAGTCCTCCTGAAAGTACGTAGCGATGGTCTTATAGTGCTGTCCCTTCGCCCAGGGACTAGTAGGCCAGTAGAAGCGCTTCTCGACGATGTTCTCGAAGCCGGCTTCCTCGAAATAACGACGATAATTCCGAGCATTAGACCAGGAGCGGCCGAGACGTGATACACCCTCGAGCATCATCTGGTTCCACCGGTACAGTGCTGACTCCGTTGGCAAGTCACCAACATAGTTCATCGGGAATAACGCATCCTGGAATTCCATAATGCCTCCAGGTGCTAGGTGCTCGAACCCCTGTTTCACTACAGCCGCCGGGTCATTGAAGCAACTCATTAGCGCCCGTCCATGGATATAGTTAAACGGTTCGCTAAACGTCCATTCGTCCTCTGCGTCATCAATCTCGAATTTGCAGTTCTCTGGTAGGCTAAATAAAGGATGCGATCAGTCAACCTCCTGGATCGTTGACTTAATACTTGATAGCAAGGCGCTAGGTGCACGTACAATTGAGGTTGGATCGGACTTAGATCTGTCCCGATAACACAGGATCCGGGATGCTGGAAGGCTGTTCGGCAAGTTAATATCTTAAAGCCACAGCAATACCTAGCGGTGAATCAAACCAAATTCTATCGCCCATATGCCCGTCCCTAATATCACATTAGAAAATGAATAAAAGGGGTAGGGGGTAGCGGGAGCGAACGAACCCGTCGCAATATCCAAGACCCGCGGGGGGTTATCCGGTATTGGGGCTAGATTAAGCTTATTTTCAATAGTTATTATAAATAATTGATGCTGAAGGTCTATATCAATTGTAAGTCGTTGAACATGAAAAGGATATACTTATCCAGTAAGTGACTATAATATTTACCTAGTCGCTCTTGTTCTGCCTATGAAAATCATTAATCAACCATAGCGTTGAATCCTTGAATGCGACATAAGACATACGGCGTCATTTGGTAAGAAATATCCTATATGATGGTGTCAACAGGTAATTCAAAGTCCAGAGATTCTGAATAATCCATACTGCCTTCTTTATATCTATGGTAAGTCCGGCCATTTTCTTGGACGTAATGATAAAGACTTGAATCCAGCGACATGGTTGAAGACCTTTAAAATAGTTAGTCATTCTTTAGTCTATATCAATTATGAGTCCTCTACTATGTTATATACCGTTCACTTTCTGTTGAAATTGACATGGTTTCCTATCCATATGCTGTTAATGATTTAGACTCTGAGCCTATTGTCTTAATGGATACTAACTGTCTGGGTATCATCAACGGATGGTAAAGACGGTCCGCTACCGCTGCCCCACGATAGTACCGATACATCTTGATCAACAGCAACGGTCCGACTAGATTCCCATGAGAACGATGCCGCGGAGCCATCATCGTAGTCTACATCCGATAAGGGGTCTGCCATCACGTATTCTTTGAGCTGTGAGGCTGTTGATGTCGCGTTAGAGCCGCACGAACGAACGTACTTCTAGGAAAGTGCCCTAAGGATAAAAATGTAGCACGAGATTGGTTGGCCATTGAATACCGAGAGCGATCTGGAGACATAATCGCCACGAGGCAAGTTAGCCATAGGATTTGAGATAGGCGCTAGGAGGTATGGTCAGCAATGGCTTATGACGGAAATTTTCCGTTGACCACTCATCTTGTTAGGGCACACTTTTTGCGGCGGCATATCTTACTACGAATCCTTCTAGAAGAAACGCTAGGGGAGTTCTAGGTGCGGCTGGGCTTGTACTTCGTATATACGTACCATCATATATTCGTCCCGCAGCACAAGGTAGCATTACACTATCTGTTTACAACTATAAGGTCACAATAAGTTACTCCTACGGTTAAAAGTAAACCTATATACTGACGATCGATCCTACAACAGGTTCTTCGGAGATGATTCTCTCTGAATGGATAATGTACCACGTGTGATAGCTTATGAGTTTAATATTTTATTTCAAGTTGGATTATTCATGTTTGATCTGGACCATGATCAGTACATGTATACTTCCGAAGCAAAAGTTCCGAGACAAGAAGTTAAATACATATTAGCTCTTACCTACCTAGTCCAAGGATGCTTTTTCTATTCCTATATAGGCAGGTCGAGATCTTGTTGTGAGGGGAAACAAGGTTGTTTTTAGCTCGATCTATGGAATATAGTAATATGAGATCTATCTTACCAGGATATCTTAGCTATCTCCAGTTTAAGGTTGGTATGAATATATCTTAAGATAGTTATAAATGCATAATGGAGATCCAAATCGAATACCTAGTGCCACAGTCGGGCACTACAATGGAGCCTGCCTCGGTTGTCGTCATGGAACTGTCATATACTAAGCAATATCAATAAGTACAACATTCAATCATGGAAAATTTGGGTATCACCGCATCGAAGATTTTCTAGAAACGATATTGAATCACAAAAATCAATATTCCTATTGGCTCTGTCAAGAGGTCTCAAATTAAAGTATATTGGTCGCGGTAGGGCGATGCAAACCGCCGGATCGACTACTTTTTCCAGAACTCGTGTGGGACGGAAGAGTGCGTCGGGGAATACCTACACCTATGAGCGTAATGATGCAAAATACGATAGTAACCCAAGGACGCAAGGGACGCAGTTGTACGGGGCACGAGACTCACGGTTGAACTACCGGAATAGGCAGCGCCGGTTACATCTCATCTACTTCATAAGTGAGGATCCTTTCTACACCTACCTAAAGTAGGTAGGTATGCATCCCATCCGGCCGTATTGCCGTATCCGAAAATGCCATGGCAAAAAAGCCCTTCGTGTCCTTATGATATCGTAATTTTATGGGCTCCTATTACCGTCTAGGTATACTCTTAACTGAATGTGGGCTAACTATGGGTTGGCTTCATCCCAGTCCGACCAGCGCTTGATAACCTCATCCACCATTGAGATCGCGTTTTTGTTGGCATCGACCTCGAACCACTCCTTGTGGGCTTTCCCGCAAGCGTCACAGTTCGCCTTGTCGCTTACCCGAAGACCGGCACCTGCGAGTTCGAGATGGACTAATCGCTCGACTTTGTGACTATGAGGCATCTTCCGAGGCTCTGCTGTCTCAGAAGAAGAGACGTAAGGATAGTAACGGATGAGCGATATGTTATAACCGCACTGGCGTGTCCATTCGTTGAGACGTCGTTGAACATTAGACGCCCGACCGATTTTCAGAAGAATTTTCTTGGACGATCCAGTAGTCTTGCTCTCCTTAACAGCAAAAGACTCCATCACGTCGCTTGTTCGTCGTTGACGACCACCGTCTGGGCGGGGCGGAGATAAGAGGGATTTGGCTGCTTCTGCCGGAGGAGTCGACGGTTGAGATTCCGGTGTTAGCCAGAAAATGTAGATATAACCGGCTTCATCTTGTTGCGAGATAGGTTTGGCTAATTCTGCCATGAGCTGCGAGGCCGTCTGAGGTGATGCCGTCGCTGGGATTAAGGATAAGTATTGTGCCGTTTGCGATGTATCGGACTGGTTCGAGTGCGGTCTTAAAGACTCGCCACTTGGTCGTGACTGCGCAGGAGGAGGTACGAGATGCTGGTTGGGTGGTGGCCTAGAATACATGGGTTTCGCAGGTGCACTTTGTAGCGGCCTGGGTTGCGGTCGTGCTGGAAGCTCTTCTTCTACTTCTTCGGTGATTGTGAAACAGCAGCAGAAGCTCGACTGCTTCGTCTTCGGTCGCCTTGGTGGATGTGAACCTATCTTCTCGCCGTAGGGGTTATGTGTTGGTCTTTTCCCTTGCTTCTGTGCCTCGACTATTCCAAGACGATCAATAAGACTCTCCAAGCTTTGACGAGATTCGAGGATAGGTGTAATATTCGACCTCGGTCCCGGACTGGATTTTGAAGATGAGATTGCTTGATCTTTATGTTGCCAGCAGTAAAGGTCGGCATTTCGAGGGTCGTCGACACGCAATCCATCGATTTTAGGCGGAGGAGGTAGTGGCGACGAACCCGGAGAAGAGTTCAATGGTCGTCGACAAGGACGACCACCTGAAGTGATGCCTCGACATGTCGTGGCTGGATTCTTTGAATCGGAGCGGCCCAACCGGGACTCGGGAGTATTTGGAATGAATGGCATTGTTCTTAAACTACTAAACTAGCGCAACTAGTATGAATTGTATCTCGTATTTAAGTTAAAGGAGGGTATGGTCTGCTAAGATAAAGAACGTAGAGTTGGAAAATAAAACAAGAGAATTAGACAAACATGTTCTTAGCAGACTGAATCAATGCTTTATGAACCAGTTCTTCAACATAACCAAGCCCCCATATTCATAGACAACGAGTGAGTTTGGGCCAAAAATGGGTCATGAATTCAGTGACTCGACATTAGACCTTAGTCCATGAGACACGTCAAAATAATTGGATGAGGCTGGGGATGATTGGTTAACAGTTGTTTAGGGCTCAAACACTTGTCAAGGTCAAGACCCAACGAGACAGCGGGAGGACTCAATAACGTGGCTGAATTATGGCTGAGTCGTGGCTAAAGTCAGGGGGGGCAGAAGAGGGAACAGGGGGGGTTCCAAGTGCCTGAGTGCCTGAGAGGTGCTCAGACATCCACGACTTACAAACTGTACCGTGCAACATTATTATTCACTATCCAAGTTCTTACATGCGAGAACTAATCCACAGATTCCATGACTAACATATTGCTATTATGATTCTTTAATAATATTATTGTATACACATAACTTAGGTTAGGTAGCTAAGGTATCAATACTAGATAGGACGAAACCGGGATGTACTAAAGTAGAAGGCCATATACCGAGGCATGCGAGAGCCGAGGTTTCTATTGATATTAGAGCTACGAACTTATACATATTTAGAATCAAAGCTCACCTGTACCAGATCAATTACAAGTGCATATATATCTGTGTCAATTACTGAGAAGTAGAAAATATGCTGTTTAACTCTTTATACCTCCTCGACTACCCGGTTCATCCGATCTACGAGTAACTATCAGCCCCTCGGATACAACGGAGTCCGCTAACTATTTTGTTGCTTGGGCTGTACTTTACGGGGATTGATCTACTTTCACATTCAACTCTTCTTCTGTCGCATATGCACCTCGTACTTATATGTCTAATGTCCCGACAAATCGTTATTCTCTTTGAAACTTTTCCCAGCTAATAAAGAGCAATATGTAAATCGGGAAGTTTTAACAGCTATTATTATATCTACAATTTTACCATGCCCGAGTTGAAAAGGGCTTTCCTTCTATTCCATCCCCACATTAATCCCTTATATCTATCTAAATGCTTCAACGAATGTTATAAACCGAATTTAATGCCTATAAATAAATTAATAAGATATTAATACCACTAATCCACCAGTCCAGGGCATCTCTTACGCCTCTCCTTTCTCGGGTTGCTTCTTCTTCCTCACATCAACCCAGCCCATACCCCACGATGCCACGAAGCTCAAAGATGCACTAGCAATTAGCAAGTAAGCAGTCGTATCGAAGGCCTTAGAAAAGGCCAATAGCACTCCACGGAGCTCCGGACTGTCCGGCGGGGCTAAGGCTCGTACCGCTTCCGCACTACCACCCGCAGCCAAGGCCATGGCCGGGTCTATGGAGGGCGCAAGTATTTTGATCTGCGTCTGCAACGTCTGCTGGAAGATAGTGTTGGCAACCACAGAAAAGACAGCCGCAGAGAAGTTTTGGCAGAATATAAGGAATGCGACCCCCAATGCACTTTGCGCGGGTGGAAGGTTGTTCTGAAGGGCTACCAACCCGATCTGTATGCCACAGCCACGAGCTCCGTACAAGATTTGAGTGCCAATCCAGAACGCCGTCGTAGTGTCAGGGCCCCACATTGATATCATGCCGGCAGCAACCGCGGTAGCTCCTCCGGCAAATGCTCCCCATGGGAGGTAGTATCCAAATCTCCCCACTGTCGGGTGTTAGCAATAATTTCAAAAGGGGTTTCTGGTTTATCCTCAAACGGGTAGGAAGAGAAAAGAAGGAAGAACATACACAATGCCCCAGAAACAAGGATGAATACCACACTCGACAAGATACTCGGCAGCATATCGACACCGCTCATCGTCGGCCCTACGCCCTTAACGGACTGGAAATAGATGGGGAAGAACTGGGCCCCGACGAAGATACTTGTCATCAAAGCAGCACCATATAAGGCGCTAACCCAAACAATTCGCCTGCCTATCATTGAAAAAGGAAGCATAGCCTTGTCGCCCTGGCGGCGCTCCCACCATAGGAAAATAGGGAAAGTTACGCCCGCACCAACAAAGAGGCCGATCACAGTCGACGAGTTCCAGGGGTACTGGGATGAGCCGAATTGCAAAGCCAGTAAGAGCATGACGGCGGACGGAGCAAATATGGCAAAGCCGATAAGGTCGAGCTGCGGGATGACTTCGCGGAGCAGCTTGAATGAGACTCGCGGTTTAACTGTTTGGTCGGGTACATGCATGAGAGCCAGGAAGAGCCCAGCAAGGCCACCGAGCGGCAAGTTGATGTAGAAGCACCATCGCCAGGTCACATACTGCGTAAAGACACCTCCGATTAACGGACCAGCAATAAGGCCGATCTGACCAACTACAGAGACGTTAGTTGGTTAACAATTTCAACACGCGAAGTGACACTTACAAGCCATCATAAAAGCCACGTACATCGGCTGCTTATCCAACGGCGCGGCACCAGCAATAACAGTCAATGAGCCGTTCTGGAGCCCCGAACTACCTACACCAGCAACAGCTCGGCCAATGATGAACGTGACCGAAGATTGGGAAACGGCGCATATTAGGGAGCCAACTTCGAAGATGAAAAAGAAGAATAGGAACACCCATTTTGCGCTGACACGGGTATACAGCTTTCCCGTCAGGGGTTGGAGCGTAGCACTATATGAACAGGTGAGTTGCTACACTTATATTACGAGTTTTAACTTCTGCATGAACAGAAAGTCGCCATACCAAGACTGGAAAAGGGGTGGGGGGACAACATACCCAGCTAACTGGTAAGCACCGCTATACCATCCAATGTCCGGTAAACTATGGAAATCCGACGTGATCTGCGGTACAGCCTATCATCGAACGAAATATCAGTTTCGAAGTCGCAACAACACCCACCTCGTACCAGAATCAACCACAACTTACCGTACTAATAATCGACATGTCCAACATGAGCAAGAAGAAAAACGTCGTAACGCTGAACAGCAGGAGCGCGAGCTTATACCCCGTGACGTATTCCTTGTTCTCAGCTCCGTCCATCAACGTGTGCTCCGACGTCAGGGAGTCTGTCGTTATCGCCGCGTCTGGGTTCTTCGCATCTGGCGCTGCTAGTACTGACGTATCGGCATTCGGTGCGTTGGCCTTTTCTCTCTCCTGGAACGACAGCGAGGAAGATGTCATGTATCCTTCCTCGCCAGGTGCCGGCGCTTTAGGCGCTTGCCAGTTATTGGTGTCCCCCATGATCCTTCTCTGGGCGTTCTTTTATCTAGACGACTCGAGGGTTGCCAATAGTTAGGTTTATCGTCGATTCGTCCGGTGTTCCTTGTCTATCCCACTTCTCAGATGGCCTTCCTAGCAAACCGTCTATACGAAAGTAAGTATACGTCGTGACTGGATTCAAGTGCCAAGAGGAAGCTGTCTCGCCACAACAGCCGCATTCGCTTGCGCTTCGCTCTATAGATCGTAAAAGCTTAACCCTAAACCCAGTCGAAGGCCAAGATACACGCAACAGGAAGCCGATAGCAAAAGAGAAGGTCAGCCCAAGAGCTAGATAGAAGTAGGATTAACTAGGTCCAACTACTCTATATATAAATAGAAGTCCTAGCCTATACTATACATGTGTGTGTGTGTGTGTGTGCATGCGCTATCCCCCCCTTGGTGCAATTGCTTGAATTCCCACCCCTACCCCATCCAATCCCAAGGCCTACGGGCCCTAACGAACCTACGAATACCGGCGCAATTAATCGACCCGGAAAGCCAACCGAAGGAAGCGTATAAGCGTGCTGGACTTTTGCCGTCGCTTACGGGCTCAGCTCATCTCATCTAACCCGGGGTGGAAAAGCGGGTTTCGAACTCGCGCCGAATCCCGTTCCTTTTTCTAACTTGTCACCAGGGTTGCAAAATTAGTTAGTTTAGTAACTAAAACCCACTTTTTAACTAAACTAAAAAACTAAAAACTAAAAACTAACTAATTAAAAATAATTGGAGCAAAAAACTAATTAACTAAACTAATTTTGGCATTAACTAAACTAACTAAAAACTAACTAAAAAAAATAAAAATAAAAATAAAAAAATTAAAAAATTTTTATATATAAATAAATAAATATTAAATAATATTAAATAATATAATAAAAATAATAAAAATATATAATTAAATATGAAAAAATTTAAATAATATAAAAAAATTAACCCGAGATTTTTCCGGATTTTATTTAAATTAATATATTTTATTTAAATATTTATATAAAACAGCGTGCATCGGGACGAATATTAATCCGAGACATTACTAAAATATATCAAAATTATTAGTAAATTATATTGATAATTTTGGTATATTTTATTAATGTTTCGGATTAATATTTGTCCCGATGCACGCTGTTTTATATAAATATTTAAATAAAATATATTAATTTAAATAAAATCCGGAAAAATCTCGGGTTAATTTTTTTATATTATTTAAATTTTTTTATATTTTTTTATATTTTTTTATATTATTTTATTATTTTTATTATATTATATTATTTTATTTATTTATTTATATTTAAAAAAAATAAAATAAAAAAAAACTAATTTAGTTACTAAAAAACTAAAAACTAAAACTAAACTAACTAAAAACTTTTTTAGTTTTTAGTTTTTTAGTTTTTAGTATTTTAGTTTTTAGTATTTTAGTTTTTAGTTTTAGTAACTAAAAAAAACTAAAAACTAACTAACTAATCTTGCAACCCTGCTTGTCACCAACACGCAGGAAATGGGATGGGATGGGATTGGCCTGAACTACGGACGGTGACAGGATTTCGTTTCACGCACTCCTGCGTAAGTCGTCTGTATATACTAATATATACAAAAACACAGCATATCGCCTGCGTAGATCTCAGTTCAAGAGTTAGTTAAGTTTACATGGGCGGGATTCGAGAAGTCTTGAAGAACGGTTGCCAAGAACTGAAATTATTATCCCGGTTGGTTGTTATATATATGGGTATAAGTTAGGTAGGACAAATCTAGATAGGCTTTAGATCCTCATACGGCAATGCAAGCTAACCCGCAGGCTTGGCTTACTACTATATAAATATGGCACCTAAGATCTCTATATGGGAATGGTATACATACATTATACGATATCACATAGCAAGAATAAGTATATACGATTATTTCTTTTTCTTTCTTTATGCCTCTTTCGTTATTCAATATTCCTCGTTATATATTCTATAATTACGATGTCCACAGAGGTATAGTTGGTATGTAGTGTTCTTTTCAAGCATGATATATCCCTTAACCTCCCTAAAACCTATGAATATTCCGTGAGTAAGGAGGATTAACCTCGCCATTTCAAATCTCTCTAGTGAAGTAGTAAATTCTATGTTCCTCGCCTTTCCAAAAATCCAACCCTGGCGCCGAACTTGGGTATTTTATGCTATGCCAATGACATGACGGCTATGCGGTAGCAGTGCAGACTAATCCAGATATGAACGCAGCAGATGCGACATGGTTAACTCCCTTCCCAAGACCGCAACATATCCGATAACCACGGATCATCTAACCATTCTAACGACGTCAACTCCGGGAGGACTTGCGCCTGGACTTGATACGGCGTTGCAGAACCAGCTCCCGTCCCTGTACCTTCTGAAACCGCCGTACCAACGCTCACCCCGAGGCTGATCTGTTCAAGCGTGGAACTCCAAGCTGGGATAGTACTTCGGAGCGCAATGCCGGCCCGACAATAGTAATCCATGTTATCTGGGTCATCGCTATTCTCCAGACCACATACGCTAGATACCTGCGTAAAGTTATTTGCAGCCTGTTCCAGGGCTGCCATCATGTCGATAGTATTCTTGACAATACTGCGGTCCCACTCTGGGTCGTCTACTACCATAAGCCGGTAGAGGGTTTGCGCTGCCCTACCGAAATGGAGCGTGACTGAGAAAGATATCGCAGGGTATTCGACCAATTCAAACTCTAGGAAGTTTTCGAGGGAAGCCTTGCTCGCTTGGAGACTAGCATAGTATGCGTCCATCTTGCCTAGATCAATACCTCCGCTCCCGCTTGTACTCACATTCGTTGGCCTATGCGGGTGCGTTGAAAGCCATGCGTTCACGTTCCAAAGAGACATATCCGCTATAGATAGCTCTGCCGCATATAAATGTGAATTGACCACTTCTATTGCGCTGTCAGTCCAGGTAATATTCAAGGTGATAATATAGTCGGGGTTGAAAGCTTATTTGAAAGAGTACAAGCGCATGAAATAGCAAATGCGGGAGAGGGTATTGTTGTAGGAGGTATCTAAGGAATGGCTTACTATTGTCTAAGAGCGTAGGCGGAAGATCCTTCTTAATCGCATCTAGATTTGCACGCAAGGCTTTGACGTAAATAGCAGGAGGAGCCCTCATTGCCGTCGAATTTCCAGCGGGCTCCGCAGTACGCCAGGTTATTTGCGCAACGTCCTCTTGTATCTTATACGTTCTTACCATCGCTACAAGAGCTTCGTCGTTTACACATTCCGGATTTGCAGAGAGCTTTTGAAGAGAATCCTCCATGTGAGCGGTCCATCGCATTGTTTGGGTTCTTAAAAAGTTTGAAATACTAAATTAGGTACGTTAATGATTTGGTCCACACTATGACTTACACCACGACCGTTACGTATTAGTTACACATGGTGTCAAGTGGGTGAACATACCTAGAGCAAAGGGTAAAGCATGCTAGGGTAGCCCTTCTCTCCTCATTTGTGCGGGTAGACGAGATAGGTATTTTTGGATAAGGATAAGAAGGCTTGAAGCAATGGAGATCTTTATAAAAATTATCTTGGGCTGGTTTATCAAGACGAAGATCTGTAACAATAGTGACAGCAAGGTTGGTATATGCAACAATATATGGCTTCCCATTAAAATGATGCATACCCCTAGAAGAGACGTTAGACAAGCACTGATAGCTAGAAACATGGTGGCAAGGGATGTAGAAGGATACCCTTATGTTCAAAGTGGTGTAGAGGAAGAGAAGCTGGATTACATACCAACCTATATAAGCAAGAAGCCCGAGTAACAAATCCATATTTCGATCTAGATCTATCAACATCTTCTGTGCTAGATATTCTCTAATCTTTTGGCCGAGCGCTGACTTTCTTGGCCGTGATTTACAGCAAATAGTCATTATATTTAACCATAGGAAGGGTTTCTCCTGCTGCAATTGCCCAGCCCTAAAACGTTGGAATTAGTTGTATTCAATGGGTACTGTGAATAAATAACCATAGATATATACTGGTCTATGATTAAGTATTTAGACAATCACAAGGTCGGAAAATGGGGATGGCGATAGGTACTAACGTCGTGTCTGGTGGTATATACACAAACGGGAAGAAAGGAAGAAACAAGTCTTTAAACATCCGTAGGGTGTCTTCAGCTTCAGCAGGTGAAAGGTTTCCATCATGAGAAGAGGTGACAGAAGGCGGAGTGGGATATGCGGTCGCAGAGGGATATCTGTCGCAATACGAAGAAGCATCAACGGGTGAAGGTAGTGGTAGCGCATGGCTAGTAGCAGCCAAATCGTTACCACCCTGCACAACTCCTATAGACGAGTCCAAGTCCATGGGACCGGCATTGGCATTGGTATTGGCATCGACGCTAGGGCTTGCGCTAGGCAGTTCACCGTTGGTAACATGCCTATAAGTACCCACCGCTGGGGGGTTGACAGCGGCTTGGGCCCGAAGTATCGAAACTAAATCGTCGAGCTTTTCTTCAAGATGAGCAGCCCTTTCGGAGGCGGGACGTCTTGCCGCACGTTTCCGAACGCTGACAGACGGAACACATTCTTTACCTAGACGCTGGCACCGTTCGCAAGTTGAACTAGAGCTGCCGCGACTGATACATTTGCACTTGGCCTTAGAACAATTGGTACATGCCTGACCATAGGGAACCGATTTGCGAGGGCTGGATAATAAAGCCACAGCTTCTCTCGAGCCAGTTGAGGCGAGATCCATCTGGGCATGTATGCCAAGTGTAACGTCGGCGGTTATCGAGTGTTCCGTATACAAGAAGCCGATCGGAAGCGGTGGAGATGCAGGCGTTCCGGAATAGACCAAAAACGATTTCCGTCGACGGGTTTCAGGAATAGCGTATTAAAAGTAGTTTATCTGGGCATTACACGGAGTATAAAGCAAAAGGTCGCAACAACCGCGATGTTCAAAATGAAATGGGGGAGAAAGAAGAACGGCGTTAGGATTTCAAAAATCCCTAATTCCGTTTAATGATGAGGCTTAGCTAAGTGTAATTTCAGCTTATTGGATGCCACATATTAGATAATCCATGAATATACCTACCGTTAACATGACTTAATCCCGTCCGTACTTAGGTACCTTACCCCTTTTCTTTCCATTTTCAACAAAATCCTTTATTCCTTCGAGGTAGCTAAAATATCCCCCCAAATCATAGGTAGGTAAGATAAAAACATTACGATGTTAAGTCCAATTATCAAAGTCAAGATAGCTAAGCAAATTAGAGTAGAACTCTCAAATTATTTGCGCTTTATATACGCTTGTAAAATGCCAATAAGACTCCTTACCTTAGGTATACATTATAAAGCAGATATCATAGATCAAATAGTCACGTCACATAGGTAGCCAAATATGCAGTCCAAAATAATATGCAAAGTGAAAGAAAAACGCCTATCATTGCCTAATCCAATCTACTCGGCCTGTGTGGATGCAGTAGAAAACCCATCGCTGCATGATCTCGAAGACATCGCTGGATTGCAGTGGGAGCTGGACTAAAGCACTCATTATACCGTCAAGGCCCAGGGCTCATCGGATCCCCGACACTACCAGTTCCGATACTACCGCTGCTGGGGCTATCCGTACCATCGCTCATTGCTTCGCCATTAACATTGCTTCGAGGTCCAGTGGGCGTAGGGTATTCAAGGCCCGGAGACGCACCAGGATTTCCGATACTTCCTCGTACTGTGCTTTGTCCTTCGTTCTCGGCTGTACTGCTTTGTGTGAAACCAGATACATCGCTGAGCATTGACGAGGAACGACCTCGCGCCTTGGCCGTGGGCAGTTGGAGATTCAGCGCAGCAGTTCCCTGCGGCATGAAGCCCGACGCAAGGGGCGATGGACCCCAAAGGGATGAATTATACAGGCTGTTGTTCCAGGCAGCTGTAGCATCGTACGGAGCCGTGCTGGTCACATTTCCTTGGACTTGAGATGCTGAACCCGGAGACGAAAACGGGGCAGAAGTATCGGGGAAATCATAGGCGTTCGCATAAGCATAAGCTGCCTGCTGCGTATGAAACGAATCCAACTGCGTTTTCAGCGCCTCGTTGTCTCGTTCCTTATTATAGATAGCAGCTTCAATTTCGTTAATCTTAGCATTGAGATCCTGTTCTACTTTAGCGATGTCGTTTTCGTACGTTTCCCGAGCCTGCCGCCGCCGCTCTGCTTCATCAAGGCCACGAGCATTAGCATCGGTGATACGTGCATGCTCGCCATCAACCTTGGCAATGCGGTTGCTAATCTTGTTGCGCTTGGCTTGTAGACCCGTCTTCTCCTCTTGAAGGGCCTTAATCCCACGGTCGACGGACGCTTTGAAACCCTTAAATTTTGCTACCGCGCCATCGTATTTGGCCTTCTCATTAGTCCACGCGGACTGCTTGGCCTTCCAAGCTGATTTCAAAGATTCGGGAATGGACGCAAGCTCTTTTAACTCCGCCTCGAGGCTAATGACTGCCTGTTCGGCCTGCTTGTGCTGGGTAGTATTCTGCTGGATCTTTTGGCGCAGCTTGTCGTCACCCGTGCCGGCTGACTGGACTGCTGCAGAGAGTTTTTCATTATCTTTCTTCATACCATTCGCTTTCCGGTGGAACTCCTTTCGCAGAGCCTTTTGTCGGGCCTTTTCCTCCGCTAGCTTGCTTTCAGCTGCAGCGATTGAGGTCTTGAGGGTTGTAATGGGTGAGTCGGGCCGAAGAGACCGCTGGCCGGCAGGCTTCGAAGCGCTAGAGTCCACGTCCGCCGATTGAGCTTGAGTAGTTCTAACACTCGTCGAGAATAAAATCTCGTGCGTCGTTGTACTGACGAATTCGCATTCATAATTCGACATAGGAGTGAGCCCGTAGATATCCCCGCTCCAATGAGTTCCCTGGCTAGCATCCGCCTCAGAATCGTGCACTGGTACCATCCGGGTGGGCTGCCAAACAGCATTATTAACTCTCACATAGAAAGGCTTAGATATATCCATCCTTGCCCCATCTTGCGTAACCTCAGGCACGGGTGCGCTGAAAAAGTGACTGGTGCTAAAACACACTTCATCGCAACCAACATATGTAATCCAGATCTGCTCAGGCTCTGTGTTGAACGGGGCGTTCCCCAAGTTATGGATGTCGGTGGCATTAGAACCTGCGGACTCTGCTGCAGCATGAGTAAGTTCGTATTCTTTCACAACGACTATCTTAGTGCTCGCTAGAGCTGCCCAGAGCGGTTGTCGATTCCGGATCTGAGCACTTTGTTTTCTTTTCTTTTTTGTAGTTAACGCTGTTGCATTTTGTAGGGAAGCCGTATCGCTATCCGGGGTTGAAAATCCGCCGTCGTTTTCCGCGGTGTAGGATTTCCCAGCCTCGGGATCGGCGGCATTCTGAGCCAGGATATCGCGCCTCTCTCGCCTCAAATACCAATCGCGTATGTACTTAACTAAGCCCTGCGTCAAAATATGAATTGCCAATATGCTCTTAACCCAACCGAACCATCCTGTCTGGACCTTATCATAACCGCGTATAGAATCTAGAGATTCGAGCGGATCATCTAGATCAGGTGTCATGAATCGGCTCGAACCCAAGAGATACCCCACAGGAGAGTATTTCATCTTGGTATGGCGTAGCACGTGAGACAGCAGTATCATACTTAGGCAGATGAGAGTATTCTTCATTGAGCCGCCGTCTCTTGAACTGGAACCGCCGCCTAACCCTAGAGCAATAACCATCTGCGCCAAGTCGAGGATGACGTGCTGAATCGGACCCCATAGAAATAGCCAAATCAAGAGCACAATGCCGTCAACGCATATAACAGTTGCCAGGGAAGGAGCGCCCAAGTTCCATTCGAACACATCGCTAAATGTCAGGCCGTTACTCGTGACGAAAGTAAGCAAGGTGAAAAGCACGTAAATGCAAGATAAAGCCAGTGGAGGAATCTGCATCAAGATGATGAGAATAGCGATAGTGTCTTGTAAGGGACATGATCGAAGAACGGTTAAAGCAAAGTCGACACCAAATGGACCGGGATCACGGTGAACGTTCGAATTCTTAGTGGCGTTAACATCGATTCGGCGATGGTTCTCCTCGATATGGGTATTTCCAACATGAGAATTATACGACTCAGAAGACGAGGACTCGGAATAGCCGCCGAGCGAGCCCCTTCTAAGAGACTCGGCAGCCCTATTTTCTACGGGCATTTCGAGTGGTTGCTTGGAGTAGCCGTTCGCACAGGGGGGTGGTGTTGGCGGAACAGGGGGTATAGCCGCATCGTCGTCAGGCTGCTTCGCGATCCCATCCAAATGACCCAGGCTCTTTTGCTTGGAAACGCGCTTCCCCGGGCCTACCAGTCCATTCTCGTGCTGTCTAGTATCGCGATGGATCGAAGCACCGTGCTGTCGCTTTGCCGATGCTGAAGCGCGAGGCATACGCTCGCGTAATGCTGACCCGACCCAGAAGCTTGTTCCGAGCCAGCCAGTCAACCGAAGGCGACGACGACAATACCCGTTTCTCTTTCCTCTGCGGTTTGAAGCGAACGAACTCGACCGGGGGATAGGAAGGAGGTGAGGTTAAACGTTAAAGATCTTTCCGGTGTAGTAGTCATAGGAAGTTATTCCGGGGGCGAAAAAAAGGGAAAGAAAAAAAAAAGAGATGTTAAAAGGCTAGCGCTGTCATGCGCTACTATTATTTCAAGAGCCAAAGCTAAAATAATTCTAAGTAGGTTGAATTCAAGCTGAAATCTTAAAATATATCGATTTACAGCTTGACACGGGAAGACTACCGAAAATGTAGACTTGGGTGTGAGATGTGGGAGATCGTGGGATTGGATTTAGTCAAGACAGGAAATGCTTGGTGGGAGAAAAGGAACAAAAACGCAATACGACGGTGCAGTGTGAACGAAAGCATCTATGGATCTAATGTACCTATTGTATTGCGAGAACCTACGATCGACTAAGTGGGTTCCTTGTAAAGTACCCTAAGTATAAGAACAGGGGTTCTATACACTCTGCCTGCGAATAGAAATTACACTATAATCCAAGTACAGTACATACAATAGCCGGAAAGGCGCAGTACAGTATAAATTAAAAGGTACCTACAGTACCAATTATGACTGGTACTTAGTACATTAATACTTACCTAAGGTAATTGTACCTGCCTTGCCCGCTAAGGTTGCTTGCCCAGGTGCCTGGTCTGCTGAAGAGCAGGTGGATAGGGCAGGCCGGGTAGGTACAGTACGCTAAATGTTGGAACATTCTCTGCCTTTAGGTCTCCTGTGCCATATGGCAAATGGGAAGGTACAGGTACAGCACAATTGTAACCCCAATATTCTATTTCGGGCCATCCGGCGCTTCAGGGTCACCTCCTTTACCAACTTATAAGATCCATAAAATCTTCTTTCCAATGGCTAGAAGCCTATTCGAATTGCTAATTGCTAACAAAACATCAAATTATCTAAGTTAACTCAGGATAGATTAGGAATATACCGAACGCTTTGACGAATTTTATATACCATACTGCCCGGCATATACCTAATCAGTGCCAGCTAACTATATACCTAACCTCTTATACCTTACACAGCAGTCTAAAGCTACGCCGATGGAATTTTACTAATTCGGTTCATGTCACCCTCCGGGTTTCCCTCGTCAATTCTCAAACGAACTTATGTATAGTTAACCAGTTATTAGCTACAACTAGTTTCTAGTGTAACTAAGTGTCGTGCATACACCTACATAATACGCTATAGATCAATCAGTTCCTACAATGCTGACATCCACTACTAACCCTCCTCCCTCCTCCCTCCTGATGCAGGCGGCTTTACACGTTAATGTTGCTTACTTTACATAGTTGCTTAGGGTTGTCGATAAAGATAGTATCATAGGACTTAACTCAACCACTAATCCTTAGAAATTGGGAATCCCTCAGTTTGAAGATCTCTTAAAGGCTTGGCAAACTGCCCCCAAGTTGCTTGGCAAAGACATCAGGCGCGCGGCCTGACAACGAAAGAGACATACCTCATCACATCTCATAAACGATATGCTTCGCGTTATTTCCAGGCATCAATTTGGTCTTTGACTTTCAAGAGCCGTGGGGGAGGGGGCGTAGAGACGCGTCATTATCATTGTATAATACCTCACAACAACCAGTCTGCCGTTAGGAATTTTTAACAGTTTGGTTATCAATCATAACCAATACAAAAACCCGGTACGGCCAGCTATCCGTCATCAATAAGGATGGGGGGCTGTAAGAATCGGCATTAAAAACTACCTAGTCTTTGCTGACTCGATATTCGATCCCGGGAAGAATATTTGATGTGCTTGGCCACTCTAGACACTGACAAGTCCAATCAACCGGTCGATATGTCAGTATGTAGATTCACGTTTTTTTTTCTTCATTTGCCCCTCTCTCACGAGATCCCAAAATCTTGAATCAACCCCACAATATGGAGACATTTGCGCGAAAATATTTACGGGTGCCGCCATTATCGACGTCTAGAACTCCAACGGCTCCAACAACCTACCTAGTAGACAAACCCATCCGTACAGTATAGCACACTTTTAATGCGATCCACCAACACATAGAAGTGTGACCCGTACGGCACGCTTCATCGCATGCATGTTTGATGAGCAGGGTTCCATCGTTGCAACGCTCATGACCGCACACTATGAAGTTTTCAGCGATTTTAAAGACTAGATATAAGCTTGTCCGGACATACAATTTGCCTTTCAAACTACACGTCCCATTGGCGTGTCTACGGTTACTACAAGATTGGGCAGGCCACGTTATTCACAGTTACTACGGCATATAATCTTCATCGTTAAGAGAGCTATCCGCTGTTGCTCGTTCTAGCAGGACATGACATTCGATATGTACGATACTTGCTATGATAGCATCGCAACAAGACTTCAACGCGGGGCTGTTCCTTAATGCCTTGACGATCATCGATGCGACTTGACAAGGTTGATATTAACTAGGCTGCTAGGTACAGTACACTCATCCTTTCTACTCCAGGTAACTGCAGGTAACATGAAATACCGACCTGTTACTGGCTAAGGCTAGAATCTAGGATCCAATTCCAGGGCGAGCAACGGCACTGTGTGTGGAGTAGGGCGGAGTCAGCAAAAAAGTCATGCAGCGTTTCTACAGCCAGTGAGTGGGTAGCAAATTCGAGCTTGCGCCGTCGATCATTCCCCATGAAGCTACTTTTGTTCTCACTTAAGCCGTAATATTCATTTTATATTCCACTAGTATGAAAACTGTGGTGCATCGGCTCATTCACATAAACGCCGAAATATAAAGTATATAGCACTAACTTGAACGAATTTTCTTCTAACTAGGTTTTCAAATTCTTGCTTAGGAGGCGAACTTTCATACCAATCTTACACCAATAACAGACCCTAACTTACTCCGCGTTGCTTCTGTCAGTTATCGTCGCTGTGTTATTACAAAAAGCACGCGATTTCTTACCTGAAAAGCTTCGTGACTAGTCGATCAAATACGGAAAGGTGATAACGGGAATACAGTCAACCAATCTAGTCACAGCTTCTCTACCAAATGTTTCACCAGCAAACAGTCGATCAGTAAAACATGGCGCCCCCACACCACCAATTCATAAGAAGCTAGCCGGGAGATGCCAATATTGCCCTGTCGGCATTTGAGCGGTGCGCTGCCGAGAATGATGTCTTCCCGCTTCTCCTACATAGTCACCCAAGAACAAGGTACCGTAGTTATTTTCCCGGGAGTTAAACTGAACTAAGGCATACCCTCCTGAGTTTATCATGCTAGCCTACCTACTTACCGATTCAGGGTATTTAAACAGGTATACGGTAAAGAAGCTATCACGAAGATTTGTTGCACATCTTGGCCAGTCACCCCTGCCAAAGCCCATTTTCCCGGTCATCGCATTGCCCATGCTAGTGTTGTATGTAGATGTGCTCCTCACCGCCTATCTAACAAACCCCTCTTTCGTCCAAGTATATTGAGTCACGGAAGACAAGACACCAACTATCGATGCTTGCAAGCCAAGAACTCAGTCTCTTCTTACATATAACATGGTATGATCTGAGGTTCCATGACACATAATTTGATGGAATTAATATATATCGCCAGACGATTCATTACCATCACGTAGCAGCGAGCAGCGTTTCCAACCCACGTGGATGTAAATGTCGTCTCATCACATATGTAGAGTTTCTGAGAACTGACGGTTTTTTAAGAGACAAACGATACCTAGTTCCTTCAAGTTTTCACATGCCTCTTCAAGACATGGTTACTATACATCCGCAATATAGATGCTCTTCTTAGAATCGTGAGAGCCTCAAACGAGCAGCCCAGCAACCACATCTTTACTCGGATAGGCAGGTGGTTCTCCATAGCGTTCCTATAGATCCATCCAGTAAATAGCCTAGGTACGACGGGCACGGAGTTGCGAGCGGGTGGCTTGCATCTGAATACTCCCCAACTCCGCGATTTTGCTCCGCTCAAGTAGGCAGGTAACGCAAAGCCGGTGCAGCGAGCTTCATTCAACGTCCTTGTCGATGCGGGGATTAAGCCGCAACTTAAGATGACGTATATATGTCTACTATTGGACCGACTTGTCATAGCGCGAAAAAATCTAAGTCTATAGAGTTGACTCTTAAGATAGCCGGCGTATAATGCTTCTTTATTAAAATACCTTGATACAGTCTCAATGTGACTCCCCAAACAATGATGCTGCAAACAGCCGTGTAGCATACTATGTACTAGATGAAAGGAGTCTACCATTGATGCCACGCTGAATGGATGTAGAGTTCTCACCTTGCACGCTGTAAGAGATCGTATCATACAGATAAAACAATCAACCATACAACTCAAGATGTTCAAATCCACATTGCGCTTATACCCTCTATCATATGTTTTTCCGCTAGTAAGGAGCTAGTAAATTTCGAACTTGACCTCGGTATCCAACTATATCAAGGCGAACCAAAAAAAGAATGGGTCTTTAAATACCTCCAAATGTTTACCCTTTTGCCCCTTAACAGGCCGACAGGTAGGGTAGGTAGGTATCCACAGCATTCTTCAAATCATAACTAAAAGAAACAATAATAAACAAGAAGGACTATTTAAGAAGGCATGTCGATGACTCGAACAACTCTATAACCTTACCTTTAAGTGTGAGGATGCGATAGCCAGCACTAGTAAGGGGGTTGAGTTACTGACTCTAAGTAAGGATGAGTAGTATCATGAGACACTATACTAACTATCAACTTAAATGATTATCGTCTAAGCCAACGTGTGTGTCTGCTACAGTGAGACAATAAGTATAATTTTAACTTCCACGTCTCTAGATAACTTACAAAAGCCTAGGTAAAGCATGAAGAATTAATGGCAATTTATCCTCAAATTTATCAGGCCTTTTCATAACTTTTAAATTTCCGGTGCTTTCTCTTTCTCTCTTTCGTATTGCTTTTGAATTACCATAATTATTCTGCATTTACAATCGTATACTTAGAATAAAGCCAAGTATCGATCAAGAGATCGTCAAGTGCCCAAAGCTATAGATAAGCTGGTTATCAGCGTATTAACTATGGTAAACGTACGAGTTTGTGTAAAAGGTCTTACGCAACAGCATTATTCGAGATCCTTTTCGCAACCATAACCAGGCCACCGAGCAGTGTTTTAAAGTTCACTATAATAACAACCTTAAACCATGCTCGAAGGCTTAACTTACACTACCTCTTAGGTAGTAAGGTTTTTATGAGATACAAAATTTAAACTACGCTCTGACTTGGGAGGCCTCTGAACTCAAAGAAAGATGACAAGACTTGACTGCTTGGCTTTACCTCTGCTCTACTTTTAGAACTGGATTTGATAGCAACTCGATACTTGACATAGTCTACTTGAATCTTTACGTATAGCAGAAGTCCATATTAAAATAATCGAAATAGATTGCAAATGCTCGTTATATGGCACATAACCCGCAACTATAAAAAACAGACTAAAGATATTAGGATAGGTAGCTTCTATACGTCGAGCTTAATTACCCAGACATATCCGCATATCCAAACCTCCAACGCCAGACCAGACAATGCCATGCACTTATTCAAACAATTGATGATGCAATATGATTTACACTTTATCCTTTACTTGTGGCGCTTGGGTAGATACCTCACTTGGGATGCACAGTTGCTCTCGCCGCCCTTGAAGCTGTCCTGCGCCGGCACGAAGTCACCGCTCTGTAAGCTGCCCTTCACAAAGTACACGTACCACGCCTCGTGAAGGACATTGTGGTGTCTACCCGTGCATTTGAGGATGACTCGACCGCCACTGAAGGCCTCGAGCGTAGACTGTATCTTGGCGAGGGAGAAGGTCTTCTTGTAATTGGGCTCTATGCCAATATCCGCCAAGGCTCGGTAAGTGTCCAGCATCTTGAATAAACTGAAGGCGCGTACGAAGTAATCGACAACCTCGAGGCCCGGTGTGTAGTCTTCGCCGTAACAGTTCGGAGCGAGGGTATTGATACATGTAGCGTGCTTGTTGTATTCGTGAGCCCATAAGTGGTCATTCGTGCCGCTACATCCTCTGGTTAGTACATTAAGCCATGCTATGGGGATCCTTAATTTTCTCCTCAATACAACTCTGTAAGACATACTAGTTTGCAATCCAGTAGCGATTCATATCTGCAAGCAAGTCTGCTTGGTCGTAGTGTTTTAGCACCGTGCTGATATTGTTGAACTGGGGTGCCATTCCACAGAACTGGTCGTATGATCCGTCGCAGAGATCTGGCCTGGGACAAGACAACAGGTATTAGCTACCTACTACAAAAGCTGATTATTTAAAAGGGGAATGTATATCAACCAACCATAATCCATGTAAGGTCCAGTCTTCCTCGCTTCCACCAACGTGGGCCTTCTCGTCCCAGAACTGCGTGAGTAGCAGACGCCCACCAGGATGGATGAAGCAGCAAGAATCGGTGGTAGATGTGTTATGGCAGCTTACGGGTCCATTGATAGGACAAGATGGCGTGCCGGTAAGAGGATCATAAGGTGTGACGGAGTTGTCGATATTGATAGGAGCTGCTTGCGGGCCAAGGATCGCGAACGGATTTGAAAGGTTGGGGAGGTTAAGCGGAAATTGGGAGACGAAGTTATTTGCGTGAGCGAGTATAGAGCGCAGAGATGTAGCATGTGGCGCCATGATTACGAAAGCTCCTGATAGAGCTTTTGATGATAGGAATGTAGGTGTAGGGTGAGAGAATAAAGAGATATTATTGGGTTTATGTATTGATAAGATTGAAGCTTAAGGAAGCTTGAAGGGGGTTACGTAGGTACTTATCATCCTTATCACGATTAAGAGGGAGTGGAACTGTCTGACGTTAGTGGAGGGACGAGACCGCTTTTAAAGCAAGCCAAGGAATTTTATTGGTCTATCTAAGCATGTAAGCCACAGCCCTACAAGAAGACCCCTGATGCTAAGCGTCGTACCCTTGGATTTAATTCGAAGCTTCATGTCACGTTCTAAATGCTAAGTTCCTTATTCGACAAGGCGAAACACTATTGGAACTTGTCATCATCACGAGGGATAAGCAAGATATTAGGAGAGTTTAACCAACTCTTACATTTATAAGTAAAGATAATGATGAATTGCTAGGTTCAAGAATTAGTGTTCAAATAACAGTTGAACTTGAGTCAATGCAAACCAGATGCTATGTCCATAGTGTACAAGTGAATTCTGCTGAGCCAAAAGGATACCATATCCTATAGGTCCGGGTATCATGCCGTAATCATATCGTCAACCTAATCGTCAACCTAATCGTCAACCTAAACGCCAATGACCGTCTGCTGAAAACTGACGTAGTCAAACTACCTGAGACTATACCTATTAAAAGAAACAAGAGAATACAATAATGGATTGCAATGCCAATGCATCAATATGTCTAGAAGTAAGGTTAATCAAACGGCTTCCCAATCCATTGCATCCACCATAAACTCCCAGTCTTTCTCCCCGATGGTACCGTTAGGAGTGTTCATGGGTTTGCCTTCACGCTCAACAACATATTCGACAGTGAAAGTGTGCGCGCGGTCGATTGCCGAAAGAATAGTCTGCACAATAAGCTCGAGATTATAGGCTGAGAGCGGCGCGGGTGGGAGGGATGTTGAGTCTGCTTCGTCAATATTCTTCCAGCGGTTGCGGAGATCTTTAGCTTGCGAGAGCTGCTTCCGGACTTCAGCAGCCCCAAATATGACGCTGAGGGGGTTTTTCGAGTCTTGAAGCGCCCTAAGAACGTTTGCATGATATTGATGCTGACCGCCGCCTGAGCTGCCATATAGCGTGAAAACGCCGTTGATTGTGGCGCCTTGATTCTGCACGACAATTCCAAATATGCCCATCAGGCGGACTAGAGCTCGCTCGATGAGCATGTAGAATTCATGGAAGTCTAACTTAAATTGAATCTCGTAACCTTGGATTTCAGATGGCGATTTGTCGGTATGATCTATAGCTATGCGATATCCCTGCTTAAGGAACGGCATTTTCCAATTGAGACGAGCGACAATCTTGAGGAATCGAGATAACTCGTATTCAGACGAGGATAGGCCGTCGGGTAGGTCGTCTTGGGTAAGGAAGTTATCGGATCGGGAGGCCGATTTTGTCGAGGGGGTTGATAGTGATAGACTTGACGAAGTTTGCGCGGAGCGACGGCGGTTACCGCGTGGTTTGTTGATGCGATAATTGCTGGGGGTCGGCGCCCAACGTGATGATTCTAGTCCGCCAGGCATCGTGGGTATCGTTTCGTTCGGTCGGCGATGAAGATACGGCTACAGAATGGAAATGTTGAACTATCGAAACGGTGCATATTAAAAAAAAACGTTGCTTGGACTGGAAAAAAAGGAATGTTGGATAAGGAGATCTGTTTCCTCCACTAAGAGGTAGACGAGGCTTTAGAATCAACGTTCTATAAATGTTGGTGATTTAGAGGTTTGCGAAAAGGAACTGAGGTTAAATTCTGTTGATCAATCCGACAATTGGCCAGTTAACTTTCTTCGTGACGCGCCAGGGGATGAATTGGTGGGATGAAAGCGCTAAGGTCGGGAAATTACTGTCGGTAGCACGCTGACATCATTTAGGTAGTACCTGTATTAGGTTACACCACCAGGTCTGCATGTGAATACACTTAACCTTATATAATTTATATCGATTGTTGCTATCCCTTTTAATCAATGCGGCACTGTCAAAAAGCTTAAAGGTACCTTTTAATCGGTATATATTGACGAAGTAGAACAAAGTAAGAGATATATAGGTATCCATCCGTATGTTAGTTTTTCAACTTACCGAGCTTTCGGAAAAGATACTCTTTGCAAGACTCCTTGCTTGCATTTACTTATCCAAATCCACCCACATCTACCCACACATCCACAAGTCTGCTAGGTCCGACTTACTATTGACTATCTCTAGATCTTGTATCCGTCAAATTTTATATAGCACTCCAGTATCTATCTTAGTCGGTTTAAACATTTGCTATGGATTATCTCCAAGAAAACTGACTCAAGCTCTGATTGATATTCTGGGGAGGTCCAATCTTTCTCACGTCACATTGTACCCGCAAGTAGTCTCTATTCAAATCTTAGTCTCCGCTGAATTGGTAGAACGAACCTTCTTAATAGAATGGGAACTTCAATGTTGCTATGTTTAAATTATGGGGGTTTCACTCCCGGGTATCGGCAACCCTCATGGGATATTCTCAACCAAGTATCCAGCACTCCAGCACTCCAGCACTCCAAGTAGTAAACACGGTTGGCCTAACGAACTTATCAAAAGATAAATATTTATGCTTTATAATACAGGAACAATACTAGGAAACTTTATCGAATAGTAGTTACCTGCTTACATTATGTGCGTTCTACTAGGTTCATGTGCTCATGATATATTCCCTGATAGCTACTCATGTATGACGGAATTGTGAGTCTTAAACTAGAGTAAGGTTAATATTATATTATCGTGTCTAGGTTAGCCTGTTTTATGGTCCGTATATTTACAAGCCATCCTATTTCCAACTCTTCTCGATGATTTAACTTTGAGCCATTGGCGGGGATTAAAGCACTCGACCATTCTAGAGGACTTAATGATATAGGAGATTATTTATTCTATAAAAACACAAATTCCCACGTGTTCAGTTTTCGATTGTCTCCTGTGATAAGCAGTAAATTAGGGATATCTACCTAACCTTCGGTACGATTAAACATTTCTTACAATGTACTTCACTTCTGTCCTCACTGGCCTTAGCGCCCTCGTTGCTACCACTATTGGAGGGCCCCTTCCACGTTCTGATCCTTACGTTGGTGATCTCAGGACATTTACCCAGACAGGTTGCTCGAAAGACAACCAAGGGGTAGGTACAGTGACTCAGTCGATGACTGGTACCTGCAATCGTTATGGCGACTCTTTTAGTTCTATGTACCTTCACATGGCTGCTGGATGGGTTTGTAAGTTTATCAGTTGATCAGTTGACCAGTTGATCCTTCCTTTACTTAATATGTATATCGCTGTTACTAATAGATGTTGCCTTATGTAGTTCGCGCACACAGCGATCCACACTGCAAAGATGAAGGAACTATCATTTCAACAAGTCTTACCGGAAGTCCTTTCGTTTGCAATAACCATACCAACGCATGGGTCTCTTACCAAGTCGATCGTCTTAACCCTGCACCACCTGCCTAACAATTATACCTACTCAAAAGCCGAGGAACTTACCTCCAAACAACTTATGAGACTTACCTAGGTACCTAGATACCTAATCTACCTAGCTATGAGAAATACAGTTTCACATGGAATATAATTTGAGGAATATAATTGATTTTGTGGATTGAATGCAGGACATTCTTTATAAGATTATTAAGAGATTGGATACCTTAGGTATATTTCGCACTTGTATTTATCATACAGGCCGTACAAGCCTATCTCTACCTTTAGGTCACTTTGCTAGGTACTGGAATTTCTTCGAAGCATGATGTAGCTTTATTAGCTCCGCTTCGTCATCAATGCGTTTAATCAAAACGCTCTATCCATTTCCAGATTTGTTCCTTATGGGAATTTCCTTAAAGTGTTTAAGTGACCCTGCTGATCAAGTGCAAACGGAAGGTTAGACTTAGATAACCTTTAGTCCTGACCAATACTCGAATGATACTAAAGCCTTTCTAGGAAAGCATAACACATAACATGGTTAACGAAGGAAGTGACTACACTATGGGAAAGCAAGAGAGGCAGGCCAAGTTTAGGAATTGACAGGTGCGCCGAGAGAAGACCTAACATATAAATTCAAACGCTTTCTACACACTTCATCATCATGTTGGATGTAGAACAACAATCCACATACTAAACTACCTACCTACTTTTTACCCTAGTCTCTTGCATCTATTCATAACAAACTTAACACATCCTCACAACTACGGATCATCTTGTACGTATCATCCTAATGCACATCAAGAACCTATCTATCTTAGGTACTTGTCCTTTAATCTCTTCATCCACCACCGCAAACATCCAACACGACAATTGCACGAATGCCTAGGTAAACATTTACACTATCGGCACCAAATACCAATTTCACCCTATGCGAATATAGCCTCGCAAAGCAGTAAGTACCTGCTAGGTATCCTAGGTAACTGTACGCAACCTTGCTTCCACCACACTGAGCTAATGAAGATTCTCTTGACAGCCAACCAACCAACCATAGCCACACGATCGAGGGGCTTAGACAAGCGCAGGGTGGCCATGTCCGGGTAGATAGACCCAGGTCTATTCTACGATGCGGTGCCTGTGGTCGCCATACTTTATGTGGTTTTGGTCCTGGCGGTTGCTGCCGCCTTGACCTTGCGTGCGTGGTCAATCTGCCGTCACCACTGCAACACTACTAGCCCTAGACAAAATTCCGGAAAGGCCATCAGTAGTCTTTTTTGGGAAGATGTTTCTTAGGCTAGTCGTTGTTATTGTGGTTGTTCTAGCCGTTTTGATGCCGACGTGAGATATATAAAATGGCGAACACGGTATATACTGCTACGTACACCCAAAGCCTTACAACCAACGCTGTTACTATCATTACTACTACTATCGTCACTAACAACTACTATCATCACCACCGCTGCTATAACCACTACTATTTCTATTGCAGTTACTACCGCTACCACGGCCCCTACCACCCTCGAAACCAATTTTGGACGGCTTACATCAGCATTATCATCTATCCCTAGTATTCCTTGGTGGATTACTCTAATTATCATTATCACCTCGACAATATTGCTATCAACGGGAGAAATCCCAGCAAAATTGCCGGTGTTATTCTTAGGGAAGGCGTTTTTTGGGTTGGCTATCGCTTTTGGAACTATAATTACTGGGGTGTTGGTATTTTTATTCGCAGGAATAGTTCTTTTGATGGCCTGTTGTGGTTTGGTAGTAATTCTTTCGGGCCAGTATCCCTATATTGGTCTTAACTTTGGTTTTTGTTGGATTTATTTATATTGTTATATCATTTTTATGTTGGAAGTGGGCCTTGTGGCCCTATGTGCAATTGGCACAGGCCATGGACTGGGGATGGAATACTATTAAGGAGGGAATAGTTAAAATTATGAGGCGATGAAATACATAGTCTACTGTCAGGGTATAAGTGGGTAGTGTCACGAGGTGGAACCAAACAGCATGGAAACAACTTCTCTACGTCTATATACTAAACATGTTCTTTGTTCTAGATGTTTCATCCAGAATCCTGACAGGTAGGGGGTATCTACAGAGGTCGATCTACTATATAAGAGCGCACAGCGCCCTCGTAAGAGAGTAGAAGCCAGGCATTACTAGATCAATACACTTACTACTTGGCTTACGCATCCTAGACACTCACTCTGTGTATGACATTAATCTCCCCGGGTATCAATATCTCCTGACACTTAGCTCGGACTATCAACTACCCCTTACGAACTGTAAAAAGCTGCCTGCGAGTTATTTGCAGGGCTTAATACAAGCATCTCTTTTGCCTCTCGCCTCTTTCCTTTCTTCACTCCGTTTCCTTTCTCCTGGTAGATACCCTAGTCGAACTAAACCGTCCAATCACCTTATTATACAATGAGCGTCTTTATAACTCTAATTGTTCTAGCAAGGTTAACATACCTTAGAGTGTACTCCCTTTAGGAGGATTTGGAGACATCAAGAGGTTCTTGCAGTAGGGAACTCATCGTCCGGTAGAGTTTCGTATATAGGAGTGTTGTACGTGGGAACATCTCCGTATACGGGAACATAATAGTATATGGGAACGTAATAGTATATAGGGCAACTATAGTTTGCAGGGCTACGGTTTGTAGGAAGACCACCGTCCGCAGGAGTACCGTTATACATAGGAGGATCGTCGTTCATGGGAAGGTCGTCATTGATGGGAGGGCCACCTTCTATAGAAGCATCGTCATACGCGGGAGGATCAATGGATACAAGAGAGTAACCGTCCTCCATAGTACGGTTAGCGCGCTCAGCTCTGGCGCGCTCACTATAACGTAGGCATAGTATATCCCGTCCGTCCTTAGTAAAAATCATGGAGATAAGGCCGCAGAATGCCAAAACAGGTATGGATATAAGGTAAATATATCCTATGGTTTCCCAAGAGAGAAATGATGGTGCTTTTTCACTCATGATGCTGTTGGTGTCTAGGTTCCTATCGATGGTGATGCTGGCAATGTGGAAACCTTGGTTAAGTTTTTAATGAGAAAGATGGAGGTATTTCATACTGTAGTAATAGGTAGGGAAGAAGGCTTTATATACCTAGGTATTTACACGTATGTTAGGTGCGCTGAGACGAGAGATTCAACTTTATTCATTAGACTGCGCCCAAAGAGCCACCGAACATAGCGGTCCTAATAAGTTGGTAACTTTACTCATCTGGCTTTGACTCGCATTGGCCTGGCTTGGACATATGTAAACGTTAATTTTTAGAGGAACTGAGTAAGTGCTTCTCCTTTTTTATTCTTCATTTGTTGAAACGTTAGTCATTTGGAAGGTATTTTTGCTTGTTTCTATAACGTATTCTTGCGATATGATTGGTGGTTGGGGAACTTTCATTTATATTCCAACAATACAGTGAAATACATAACAGCATACCCCTTGGTGCGTGCTAAAGCAATATGTATTGGATTTGTTGGAAACAGTGGTTGGGCGCAACGCTATGGCAAGTCAGCAGACACGCTCGCTCCGCATCCCCGATGTTGCATGTAAACAGTGGTGATAGATCGTGGCTATGCATCATGGAAGCCTACAAAGTCTCCAAACGATTTTCAGGAATGAATGCCAAGGCTCAAAAGTACTTTAAGATATCTATTAACTGATCTAAACCACGATACTTCAACTTATACTCCCGATTTATCAGGGACAAAATGCCCGTCTTAAATAAATACCACTATGAGCCCCTATGTGCGGAAAATGCAATACGACTCATCACGCTAGACCCAGCTTCATACGAAGAAGCTCCTCTGAGCTGCTCAATCACCCAGCGTCGACGTTTGGCGCAGAAAGACGATTACTTCGCTGTTTCGTACACCTGGGGAAAGCCTGACTTTTCGCGGATCTTAGAGATAAAATGCAATAATGGCGTCTCATATTTGAAGATCACACCTAATGTTGACATTTTACTACGACGTCTAAGAGCCCTCAAGGTGCTGCGTTGTTTGTGGATCGACGCCATATGTCTTAACCAGGCCGACGATATCGAAAAGGCCCAACAGATCCCCGAGATGGGTCATATATTCGAAGAGGCGAAGGTAGTGCATATTTGGCTGGGTCCTGGGGACGACACCACCGTAAAGTTGTTTACCTTTTTCAAATGCGCCAGCCTGCTACCCGAAATGGAGAAGGCAAAGATGGCACAGCGCATGGCGACTCTCATGCAAGATATCTTCGGCGGTGGTGACGGTCTACGTGCACTCAGATGCTTTTTGGAATTTTCTGACCGACCTTGGTTTTCACGTCGTTGGATAATTCAGGAAGCTTGTCTCGCCCGGCAGGCTATTGTACATTGCGGGTCTCATTCTATTCCTTTACCATCTCTTGTCTTGGCGGCAATTCGGTTTCAAACTCTAGACTTGTCATCCTACCCGGTCAAGGTGATGGCGAGTTTGCGTAGGCCAGTAGCCAAGCTCACAATACTAGAGCTCTTATGGGGTTTCCATGAAGCTCTTTGCCTCGAGCCCAAGGACCATATTGCTGCTTTGCTCGGCCTCGTACAGGATGATCGGCGTTTCCATCTAGATTACACCGTTCATTGGACTGAACTATATAAACAAGTTGCTTCGAGCTTTCTTAGCCATGGTGACAACGACACTAAACTCCAAGTAATGCTTCACTTATTTGAATTTGGATCCATCCCTCAACAAGAGGACACCACTTACCCATCTTGGGTTCCTGACTGGTCGAAATCCAGAGCACGGTGTCTTCCTTATCATTCTCACATAAAGACCCTTGATACGTACGAGCCATATCCTATCTCCCCTGGGTATTCTGGAAAAGCCGCTTTAACTTTCCACAACGATATCCTTCAAGTCCACTGGCATTCAATATTTGGCGGCCCACGGGGCGGACAAGTCATTTATACAGTAATGCCCAACAGGCCTCAATTAAGTAAGACCCAAAAGACGGAACGTGTCAGGAGAGCTTTGCACAAGCTTTTCCCAGCCTCTTCTGATCTACTTCTGCGCGTCCTAGCAGTATCTTCGTTGCTTCATATGGTCATAACATTCCGCCATATACCTCCAGATGGGAGGAAAAAGAGCTCCCCCTACGACAAATTCATCAAGAAGAGTATCAAAAAATTACCCGAGTCACTGCACGCAGAAATACTCGACTCATTCCGGCAAATGGACTTTCTCCTGCAAGACTACTGTTTATTCGAATTTGAGTCAACTGCAAAAGGCGATAAAGCTGGTGCGGGTTACGGCATTTGCTCGCAAGCGATAAAAGTTGGCGATGCGATGATACCTCTCTGGAATGTAGAATGGGAGAGCGATACACGGAATGATCTTCTGAGCCAAAAGGGAATGGCTATACAGATGAAGACTATGCTTGCAGTGAGGCAGACCCAAGAGAAACCCTCACAATATGCTACCGGTGTTCCAGCCGGGGAAATGCCGATTGATACGGGTAGAGTTGTCGGGTGGGCGGTGTGTGTCCATTTACAAGATAAATCGAGCTATGAGCATAGCCTGTCCGTGGATGCAAAATGGGATGCAGGGTTAAATAGAGAAGAGCTGTGCACAATGCGACTAGTCTAAGGTTATTGGGTGCTTTCTACTCTGAGCTGTGACGTTGTTAGAAGGTACCTAATGAAACGAGAAGATCTTCCGCCGTCCCGGACGGCTCCGTTTATGGAAATTACGGATATCCGATCCGATCCCGACCGAAAAGCGGAGCCTCGGGACTTGAGCGCAAAGACTTCCGGGCCAGTGGGACTCCGGAAACTACCATATATAAAAGATGAGTTTGCATTGTACATAATATAAAAAATCGTTAATATAGAGGTAGTAAATTTAACATGTCTGGCACGTTATTCATTGTACATCTGACAGATATATTCGACAAAGAAGCACATATCTTTCATCTCGTCCAACTCGACCTCGTCTTTGTACAAACAGTGCAAATTGTTCCGCAAGGGGTATTTACTAAACCTCACAGTCCACAATCCCAATAAAATAACATCCTGATCTCCGCTATTTAATCTATAATGAGACGAAATCGTTGACGAACTCCACGATATGTGCCGCCACAGCTTTAGGTTGACTACGGAACGGATAATGGCCAGTCTCGTAGTCCACAACCTTCCATTCCACGTTCGTCTTCTTAAGCCACTGGTTCTGATCCGAGAGGTGCTTGCATCGGTCGTTTATCGTTCGTATGTACACTCTTCTTCCGTCGAAGCCACTGTCTGCCCACGCCGGTGCTGTAGGCTTGGTAGCAAGGGCTGGTGCTGCGTGGCCGGCTAGGTACTTGTCTAGCTCGAATGCCGTGGCGGGGTCGCAGTCGTGGTACAGGTAGTGCATTGCTTCTTTTACAAACGCTGTATCCTAGATTCAAGAGTTAGTACGGACCTTTATATCAAGTAGTTACTAGGATCGATCTTACCCCGTCCATTCGTACGTATGGCGGCAACCCACCCATCGCTTCAACCGCAGTTTCGCCATCCAGAGTGATTATACCCGCTATCAATATTAGTCCAACCACGCTGCCCTTTTTGCCTTGCGCTTCTCGGGTCTGCTTGTCGAGGTCCTTAGCTGCAGCGCTAGCAGGGACACAGCCATATGAGTGGGCAACGATGACGACGTCCTTTTGCTGTTCTTCTACCAGAGGTAAGATGACATTGTTGCGGAGGGAGGTAATATCATCTACGCAAGTCGCTTCAACTGGGTTGGCATGGTTATAGCTGGGGTATGGCCCCGGATGGGTTGAGAATCCGGCTTCTTTAAGGAGCGGCAGTAGCTTGTCGTAGCAGGCGACTGTTCCAAATGCCCCCGGGACGAGGATTATCTCTGGCAGACTCTTAGCAGACATCTTTGTACCTGTTGTATAAATTATAACTAACAAAGTAATACGACTATGAGTTAGAAGCTACGGAGACTCGACGGTATTTATTCTTCTAACAGTGGCCCCTAATCTCCTGAGAGGCACAGTAGTGTTTCGATTACACGCGGTTAGAAGCACACGTGCGTAAAACGAGGCCAAAGAAACCAACAATGTTTAAAGAAAGCTTTGTGCGTACAAGTAGTCACCGGGTTCCCGTGATAGGCTATAGATCAGCGATAAAGCTGTCCGGATGACACCCGCTCCTTTGTCTGCCATCGAGGGACGGGATCGGGTTCGATATTAGGGAGGTATCGGCATTGAATAAGCGAGGTCTTTATGGGTAACATAGCTGCTGTATCTCGCGTATCACACTCGCCATGCACAACACCATAATCATAAGCTGTGTAGCTTGACCGCTCAACGTGTTGACCGCTTTGCAGTAGCTTTTACTAACTATTATCACTTACTGAATCTGACAATACGTATAATAGATATCCCAAGGCTTAGATATCTTAGGTACACACATTTGCCTAGATAGCTAATTTCTTAATGTCCACGTCGAATTGCAGTTTGCTTACCTACCTCCTGAACGTAGCTCCTTATAAATATAGAATGTTAATCTAAAAAATCCTTGAGCTGACTTAGACGCAGTATTACAGGAGACTAAGCTATCAGAGGTGCCAAAAGCAGTAGTAGCAGTCATACGTAAATCCAAACACTTTTAACATATACCTTTATCCTATGTGAACTCACTATCTTCCCATGCGTGGTAAACACTTTATTTTGTATAACTAATACAAAACCGGTTTCCTGTAATGGTTACGGGTTAAGTACAAATTCACCATGGAAGACTCATGCAATCGTCAAATGAACAGCGAATAAGAGTCAATATGATATATCACATTATAGAATCCTTCAGATGCACGATACAGCTTCGATTCAGAGATGACTAGAGACAAGCCGACGAGATACTAAATTATGAGATTTTATCCCGCTTATGCTAGACTTCAGTCGTATTTTCATGTTGTACGACCATAATCTAAACATCCCTAACCAATGGAATTAAACGATGCCGCGTTGTTTTTTGCTCTTGCAATCTAGTCAGATCAGACCTAATTCATGTTCGGTAGCCCTCCTATACAACTTCGTAGATTTTTGGTTTAATTAACTATTTCCGGGATTGGCCCAGGGGGCATCTAGATAAGACACCCTACATTGATGTATACCCCGTAGTCCCGGTATTTAGGTTCATGGGCCCGAGTGTAACAGCATGGTGTTTTCTCGCTACCAGTTCGCATCATGATAACTATAATGACACATCCCACATCCCACATCCCACAGGTTGGTGTTAGTTGTGTAGCCAAGCCTTGTTAATTCCTACTGAGGAACCCGTTACACCGCTCGGAGGGACACGGGAGTCGGACTCATTGGAATGTCCATGCTCGGCAACACCTAACACTGACCTGAGATGACATCAAATTATGAGAAGAGGAATGCTGAAACCGCATGCTTGCAGATGTCTATCTGCAGCTACATCACACGGAGCGTTCATCCCGAAACACCAATAAGCGCCCACGGCGCCGGTGATATGTTAGGTAGTTAAACAAATTAGGTGCGGCGGTGGCTTTTGACCGGGCCATATCCCGTGCCTTGTCCTTATCAAATCCCGCGTGGACGTTAGTCACCTTCCATTACTAAAAGAGGTAATTACTTGAGAAATTAGGTAGTTTCTATAACAAGGTTGAACTGTTGGCCATGTCGCTCAAGCATCTCAACATTAGGTTTGGAGGAGAGAGATAGTTCTGATCGACGGCAAGATCCGAAAAAACAGGATTCTGATGTAATACCCGGTGGCGTCAACAACGCAACGGCTGTTTTTTGGAGGGGGACAGGGGGGGGTACGGCATTTATTCATCTATCGCGACGGAGCCCCTATTGGGTCTCGAAAATTATGCCGAAATAGGGAATTTTCTAGAGATGCTCGTCGACGTTGGAGAGCTCAGTTCTACATAATGTACCTACCTATCTATAGGTATTACATATCAAAGTCCCAAGGACTTTTTAACAGAGTATAAGCGCTAGTAATGATGACGACATGCCCGCGAAGTCGTACATCTAACTCTATCCTCCCCCGCCTCTAATACACTATGTACCTAGTAGCATGTGGGATTCTGCGGCTTTCAAGAAGCTTTTACTACTTCTCTACGGCGTTAGCCAGACTCGGCAAAAATGATGACAACGCAGTGTGTCGACTAATACCTAGTAAGAGAGCGTTTCGTTTAGGTCAGATATAATCCTAATCCGGCCAAGCTGAGGACCCAACCAGGATTCGCCAGACTTGGCTTATACGTTCGATGCCAATCATCGAAGGGAGAATGAAGATAAGAAGTGTTGGTTGCACCCGAGCTGCCGTGAATGACTCCGCGACTCCATCTGCCGAGCCCGGAGCGACTCCTAGATATTATCACGGACTAACGTGTCAGACTACATACGCTGGGCTCGTGTATTTGTATAAGCGCGTACGAAAGCTGAGGCCTACCCGAGGGTTACGCCCGACGATGACGAGATCAAAATGTGCTTGGAAGCTTAGACCATAGAGATACGTAGGACAAGATTTCTCGATATATCAATGGTCCTACCTTGGCTCTGGGCAAGCTCATAGTCCTTCTTATTTTAATAGAAGCTGTACTCTATCATTTATTACTTGCATCCTTGCAGATTACTCTCATGTAATGTTATAGGAATAAGATTAACTTTAGTAGCATATAAAAACCAGTAGAAATATTTGCAAAAGCAGAATCGATACTGACTGATACTTACCTACCTAAGTACCTTATATTTGACATGATAATAAATACATCATACTCGTATATTCTTAAAAAGGCTTTGCACCAAAATTCAGAATTTACATCCTATGGTGTCAGGATCATGTTTAGCCCCTTTACCAAAACCAGTAACCCCCCTATTCGACTAAACCGACCATTCAGATCGAGCCCTCCACTACACCTTCAAAGCCCCAATACTACCAAATCCAAGGGCTTTAGCCTACGTTGATCTACCTCTTAACTAGTTAGTACAAGTAATTATTATTCACACGTTCCCGATTTCGAATCCTGCCATGAAATTGGAATTGCTATAGCTAGGAGGTAATTTTGCAATACGTTGCAAAGTTCTATTATATGCCAACTACACGCGTAATCTGTCTTTTTTCCTTGTTTATCAGTGGTCTATACGCATCAATCGTTATCGTGACGTAGGTAGGCAAAGGAAAAATACAAGAAAAACCCGCGTAAACCAAATCGCGACGGTATCATCTTGGGGACTGGTTAGTAGACCTGAACTCGATGGGCCTGTGATCCAATAGCCACGCGGGACTACATCACTTGATCTCTTATCATAAAAGACTCATGAACACAGTACGCAACGAGTTAAGAGGAACAGAGACTGCAAACGACGCAGCTCGTATCTTCATTTGTAAAGGTAACGTGTTGGACCGCCAAAATAATAAAACTGGGAACATAAAAGGCAGAGATCAAATCGCGAAAAAACAACCATCCTCACTCCACGTTGCAAACCGCACTCCGAGATTTCCAACCTAACTCTACCTTGCCAAAACCCGTCCTCAATGTATGAGAAAAGATTTCGCTGCATCACACCTCATCCCTTCATATACACGCAGCTAGCGCATTCCGTCTCCTTTAGGTTTTTTTTTTGAGCCGAAATCATCATAAGGCATTTTCCATCGTTACAGGTGCGTATTTGTGGAATTTAGCATGCAACGATGCCCCCGGACAAAGGTTCCAGAGACGTGCGCTCTCTTATATTCGTTTACCCGCTGCCGCAATGTACCTAGGCCCGGACTCAATTCCTAGACGGACCGCCGGACCTATCTTGGTCAGCAATCACCTTCTTGTCTTTCCTCGACTTAAAGACGAAATCCGCCATGATTTGTATGTGGTCAGCCGGGAAATGGTAGTTCGGGAATCCGGGAACGCGTTTGAGATACTCATAATCCGGAGGCCCAAGTAACTCGACGACGTCTAGCGTATTGGTAGTATACCATATATAATCGATCACGCCTGAGAACGTCGGTGTGTAGTTCGTGAAACTTAGCTCCGCTGGAGTTCCGAACAGGTGGGCGTACGCATTACGCAGGCTAAAAGGATGCTCAATGCCGTCACGCGTAAAATTCCCGTACGAGTGGCCAATTAAGTCAGGATGATCAGGAGGTATCCGTCCCTTCTCTAGGAGTTCGTATACGGAGCTATCCGCCATCGAGTTGTAATCGCCACAAAGAAATAGGGGAATGTCTGTATTATTGCGATACTCCTGACTAGGCGCGGGCTCGGGATATTCTTCAGCAGCGTCCACGTCTTCTTCCACGATCACAGGCTTGCCTAACTTCTTCTCCTCGATCGATAGGGCCGGCCGACGCGTGTACCTCTCCGATTGCTTCGTAACAAGCTCCATCAATATTCCTGTTTGTACGGCTTTGACGTCGGCTAAGAATGATTCCCAGCATAGATGTGCGTTGACGACGATGAATCGATTACCAGTAAACCTTGACTCGAAGAAACAGTAGACGGCAATAGTATCTTTCGGCATGACTCGATTGAAGACGTCGTCAGCTGATTTCATATCAGGTCTATTGATGGCCGTCTGCCTAAAGTCTACTAGCTGCTTATCCAACAGGATATACTTGTCGCTTTTATAAAAGATAGAACAGCCGTCGACTGACTGTTGATCCTTGCCTGTTAAGTGCTTGACACGAGTCTTCGGGTAGAATACGCCCTTGTAGCCAAGTTTACCAAGCTCCGGGGTAAAAAACGTTTCGAACGCATCCATAGCGGTCTCTTGTAGGCAGAGAATATCGGCGCTCCGTTCACGAAATTCCCGCATGATACTGTCCTTCCGATACTCCCACGATAGGGCACTAGCCGGGGTGTAACCATATTGCGTACTGGTTGCATACTTGTCGCAGAGGGTATTCCATGACATGACGCGAATGTGCTCCTTATCCGAACCTACATCTTCCTGAATAGTGATGGGTAAACGCGGGTTCGGTGGTATAGGTACTAAGAACAAAGTCAGTCGGTAGTGTTTACTTAGATAATATATTTTGTAACCCAATTATATGCAAGGAATTTGAGAAAGTTGAGAAATTTCCTCATACCTGGTGCTTGCTCCTTGAGATGGGCAATCAAGGCCTTGGTACCTTCCTCGACGAGCTTCTGCTTTTGGTCTTGTTCTAGTGGATTGCCATGAACACCGAGTAATTCCAGAAAATGCAGCGCGCCAAGTTCCGGGGGGATAGTTTGAATGTTATTGTTGTAGAGGAGCAGCTGGCGGAGAGGAGTACACATGCCTAACTCGGGGGGTAACATGCTGAGTTGGTTATGAGACACATCAAGGTACCGCAGTGATCTGAGTTGCCCTATCTCCCGCGGTAAACGGGTTAGATTATTGGAGGCAAGATAAAGTTCAGTGAGGAAGGAGTAGTGATTAAAGAGCATAGTGGATAGATTCTTTAACCCTTGCCCACTGAAGTCGAGGTTCAGCCAATCCTGCCGATCGAGGGCCTTATCGACGTTAACGGGACGGCCTCTATCCTCCAACTCTCCATCAACTGTTGATTCAGGTTGGTTGGAACTCGGGAGAGCTGGGCCGATACCTTTGTTCTCGTTCGCCCGTAGCCTAGCAAAGTAGTGGGGTTGGTGCTGCTCCGTCATGGTCTGGTGGGCACGTTCAGACTCCTTGTAAGATTTTAATTGCTCGTTCCAGTGCTCGCTGTACTGCTGGGTTTGGCCACCCCGAGAACCTGGAGTATTTCCGTTCTGGTGACTGCTTGGCGTGAATGGAGTTACATTGGACATAAGACCGGAAGAAAATGTAGAGTGGGTGAGGGTACTCGAGGTACCTGCGTGGCCTGCATGATCCTGAGGGAGGCTTTGGTGGTGTTGCTGAGGATGAGTATGATGTGAATGCGAACCCTGCTGCTGAACGAAATTGTACATCATCTGTGGCGCGATGCCACGACCTCCAGGGACACCATTGAGGCGCGAATTGTGTCCCTGCTGATGGTTTGGCCCATACATGCCGCGCGAGAGATCAATGGGCATATCAGGGGAGCAGGGATATTAGAGAGATACCGTAGCAGCAGTAGATACGCCAGCTACCGGAGGTGAATACTATAGTATGCGATTCAGATCTTTTTTCTTTCTTTTTTTTTAGTTGTACTCTTAGAAGATTTTGGAGAGGAAGGACTGTTGGTCGGTGGACGAAGAGTGATAATGGCTCGGTACGGAAGTTAGGTGTAAAAGATGTCGAGGGTGCGCTGTATGTATCGAATACTATCTGCCATGGAGATACTGAGGAACAGATCGATCGCGCCAAGTGAGGGAGAGCACGTCGAGCTGTCTGTGACTGTTTTTAACAGCTTGTGTTGAGAGATGAACGAGGGGACAATGGTTCAGCGAATATCCATGCATAGAGACCGAGAATTTCGTCTTGAGGCATGGAACTTGCAAGGACCAGTGTCCAGCCCTATGTATTAAGATATGGAGGGCGTGATTCACAGAAACTTGAATCTACACGGTCTAAATCGAAGCAGTAGTCGCAAACGAGAAAATAAGTTCATCAAGGGATGTCGGATCCTGGCTGTTGCCTCTCAAGTGGCGCTGCTATGGGTGGCAACAGTAGAAAAGGCTCCCAGTTGCAAATGGATACGAAAGTCTAAGTAAGATAGAAGTAACTATACAGAAGAATCGTTTCTTATATCTCTTAGTAGCTCGAGAAGGCGGCGGCGGTAGGGTTCTTGCTCTAATATTGCGCGTATCTATAAAATACGTAGGCAAAGTTAGCCGGCCAGTCACAACTTAGTCGGGTGGGTAAAGTTGGGTTAGGTAGCTTCGATAATGATAGTATGCCATGGAAAGATTAGTAGGATGTAGGACAGTTGGGTTGACTGTCCAATATCCAATATCCAATAAACGCAATACAAATAAATATGACTAGGTGAATAACAATAAGATGCGTAGTTGTCGCAAAGAATATTGTGATAGCTAATGGAAATGGAAAATAAGTATTCGCACCTAGAATGGTCCGAGATATTTGTATGACACAGAGCTAAACGGAAGACGATGTCGAGGTAGCAAAGCTGTGCTGTTGGCAATTGAGTTTTTAGAGTCAATACCTATGGGGGAGAGTGATGTGGCTTGTATGAGGAAGCCGGGGTATTGGCGTAGTTAAGGCGGTTAGTAGGTATTGCATGTGCGTTGACGAAGATGCAACCGGGTTTAGGTGGTGCTTGGTGGTGCTTGGTGGAATTATGGTGGTGGTCTGGTCGAATGTCGAATGTAGCTCCAAAGGTTACTTCAAAAAAGAAGTCCAAGCTTTTTTTTGATCCGCCTCAATGGGCTTGGATGGCATGTGGAGGAGTAAGCAAAAGTTTAAAAAAGACTTAGCCTTATCACGTGATTTACCAACTGTACATAGTAAAACTCAATTCTTACCAATAAGATAATCCTCTTTGATTTTATTAGTCAGCTACAACAAATGGTACATGTAAGACTCTTGTTCAGCCTTGCAATCACATCAGTGTATCATGACGTGGCTATGTACCTCAATAGTATCTCATAAAAACCTTACCCAACTGACGCAATTTCTAAGAGTTGTTTGCTGTTTGAACATTTCCAAGTACCTACATAAGTATTCAAACAGCAAATGACTCTTCTTATCTACATGTAACACAGTATTAAAATGATACATCCTAGCAGCCTAAGAGGTACTCAACACATAGGTTAATAGTAACATAGTCTAGTTTAGACCAACCAACAAAGCATCTTTATATGTGTTTCTTATAAGGTTATCTTTAGGTATCCTCTTCTTATACGAACTATTGAATACTTATTAATCTTCACAAGATTTTCAAGTTTTAACTATTATTAAATACCAAGTATAAAGCGCATTTATATCAACCTTAATTCCTATTATCAAAATGATCTAGTTCTTACGTTCTCTTCCGAATTAATATCAATTTCCCCGGAACACGAACTAACTGGTTTTCTTATACATGGAAGAACTACATATGAATATCACCGAAGCAATGTTGTCTTGATGTATAACGTGGTTATGCCCTTCTACCCAACATCGGACCGTCGTGCCGATGGACTATTAAGGTCAATAGTATGAGGAAATATAGCAACAGTCCATAAGATGCTGACTAACAGAAAGACTTGTCTACCACCACTATATAATGTCTGGGTATTGATGCACCTATTAAACCAACTGTTATTCTTGGCATTTTGCATCCTTACCAAACTTATCGTCTATAGCAGTTCAACGCTATAACTTCAAAAACGTCACAAATCAAAAATAGGTATATAGCATATGTTTTTTATATGAACGCGTTGTCACTTACTAGCGGATAAAGCCTAACCCATGAGTGTACACGTACTCATTGAAAAAGCTTGATGTTCGGCCACTTCAGCCTCAATACTCGTCCTATGCCAAGAGTCTGGAAGCTGGGGAAGCCAGGGAATCACCTTACTGGCCTCCCGCACTTCAGCCTGATCGATATAGGCCTACACGGCAATAAGCGAGACAGAATTACAAAGCCTCCTATTGGTATAAAGAAACGTTCCGTAAAACCCTAGATTGTGTAAGTCATTCCACATTACGGAAATGTATCTATCTGGCTTAAACGGATTGACATCTTAGAATTACATAGAAGCAGAAGTGAGGCTTAACCCTTGCTTAATTGTTTCTCACTATTGAAGCACGTTGGTCTCCTAATAACTTTTTTACCTTCCTTTGATAGCTCAGTGCATCCCCCAGTGGGGATTAGACAGACCGCCGGATTCAATTCGCGTCTGAACGCAGGGTATGTTTGTAGGATGCCAACGCCTATCTCACCGCGTGTAGGGCCGCATCTTCGGAGCTAGAGTCTAGGTCTTTTCCACCGGACCAATTACCTGGAACTCGCTCTCCGACCCTCGAGCATTCCCTTCCCTTGCCCCGACCTGCTTATGTCCCGCAAGTAGTAACCGAACCCCCCTACTAGTATTCCAGAATTAGCTGGTATAGACCTAGTATACCGTGTAGACCAAGCATAGACATGACTAGCGAGTTGAAGGTTCGGGACTCTACGAGTTTAGATCGCTCACAAGCTGCAGCATAGTACGTTGCGCCGCTCTGGTTGCTATATCGGCCAACCTCGCCTAGGGTCGCCTAGAGAGTGACAAGGACTAGCTGGGCGCCGTCATGCAGGTGTAAATGCGGGGAAGCCATACACAAACCGTACCCGCAGGGATCGACGGTCCACCTGTTAGGTTTCAGTTGACAGATAGAAATAAGTATTCGCCTTAAAACAGCCATAAAAGGATGATTTAAAGCATCGTGATCACAATGCAGAAAGAACGCTAGACAGAAAAGAGTCAGGCTGTTCTTAAAGGGCCTATAAGGTACATAACGGGAACAGGCCACATCCCAAGCTGTAAGTCGCTTGATGGGGTTATACACATCTCGTTTGACATAAATCGTAGTCTTGTCCTGCAACGATCCAAACCAACGGCTCTTTACATGTCAACCGATTCTACTAACCAAACAGACGATTGCATTGAGAGTGCCGTGTGTTACCTGCTCCATCACCCTCAATGGGCAGATTGGTCGAGGTCTACTAGACAACATACCTAAGCAAAGGGGGCAGCTTCTTTACAACGGAGGCCCTGGCGTCATTTCATCCCAGTATTTTCCAAGGAGCACCATTAACACAAACACATTCCTGATAAGAAAATGAGGAAATGATTTATGCAACCACAAGTAGGAAATCACTTGAGAGGGTATCCTATGACCGAGGATAGGACTGAAGGGGGGTCACGTGCGAAAACATATTACGCATGTGAAATCATAGAAGAAATAAGTCGACCTTAAATCTCGAAAGAAAAAAAGAAAATCCATCGGAGTGTGGTTTAAGTGATCCGTCGAAGTGTCGAAGTGGCCGACAGTTGGATCAAATAGGGACAAGTTGAGCAACTCCCGATACTCCGAGGTCATTCATGCCAAGAGATTCCTTTTGGTTGACACACACACACACACACATACGCACACATACATACATACACACCATCCTACTTCCTTACAAACTCACCGAGAAAGGGACCGGCCCGGAAATTTAAAATTGCCAATTGGATGTCTCCCAAAACCGCGGGATACAGAGTGTTACGAATATTCCCAGTGTTTCGGGACTAACTGAAAATTCCCCACGAGGCCACGAGGAACTGATTTGAGCTCGGCCCGCTCGTCGTATCCAGCTATATCGCCCGCTCATTATTATAATAAGTGAAGGCGGGGGAGGGGGTCCTTAGGCCAAAATTTAACCAGGGACAACTTAAAGGAACTGGGTCAACTTTGTTGTTTACGGTCTTCTGCAACCGCGGGCCATTCCGCTGCAGCAGTAGTAAAAAGCTGTCATATGTTTGTCAATTTGTTATTGTTACAACAGATTGGGCACCGTTTATTGCAGATCCCGCACAGGCTGCACATCTTCGGATCGGGAAGCAACACCGATTCATGAAACGAGAAAAGCATTCCTTCGGGTTAAAGTACTCAAACGGAGACGAGACGAAACCCATTCCACCGGAAAGCCTGCCGGAAGTCAAATACGTCCAATCATCATCCAATCGTTGATCGTTGAATGGTTACTGCAGTCCAAGACCATGGCTTAGAAGAGAGCAGGGGTTGTAAAAGGGCCAGCAAAAGACGTAAGACCCAGCTCGCATCGCATTTCATTCCAATGGTGCTCGTCTAAGATCGAACCGAAAAAAATACGAATGTGGTAGAAGGCGTCCTAGGAAGCATTCTATCGTAGGGATTTACTGGTTATCAAAGGTTGAACGAGCCACGATAGTCCACGGTGATCCACGGGTTTGATTTTTTGGAGAATCAACCAATTCTTACAAAGTCTCTAGAAAGGGGCAGATGAGAAAAGAAAGGAATAGTGAAGAAGAAAAAAAACACCCCCCTAGAGTTGAGGAACGCATAAGCACATGTCGCTGATCCCCTGGAGGGGAAAAGTTGAAGTCATTGAAGAATTTTGATTGATTAAAAAAGTATAACCCAAGTACCCAAAACTGGGTCTAAGTGGAGATCCGACTGAGCGGCCGGCCCCGGGAAGTACCTTCCAGCTACAATTATCCAGTTACAGGACAGGCTGGACAGGCTAGACAGGCTAGACAAGCTAGGTCGGATTTTACGTGGGCCACAGGGCAGCGACAACTAAACACGCATTCCCCTAAAACGGACTGCAAAAATGGAATTCGCTTACAGCTTGTCTATGTACTCGGCCCCTGTCAGGGTCAGACCGGCAAACGGAAGAAAATCATCTTCTAGTACCAACACTAACACTAACATTAACACTAACGCTAACGCTAATACCAACACTTACACTTTTGTGCATGGGGCCAATAAACATAATACTAATAACTCTGACAATCACCCAAGTCATATTCACGACGAAGGAGACTACGAGAATTATCACAACCAAGACCAAGACCAAGACCAAACCCAAAATCAAGACCATGAGCATAATTCCGATCAGAACCATAAAGAATTAGAAATCGGTACTGGAGATCAAACTAACAATAGTAACGGGGAAGAAGATCAACATCAGCAAGACCACAAAAAGACAAAGAAACGGAAGGGCAGTTCGCTTAGGTCAAGGATACCTGGTAGGCGTCGGCCACCACCTGCCGGAACTCTCCCGCAAGCTCTGGCACATAGGCCGGCGTCGCATTACTCTCATTCTAGGACCTCCTCTTCATTTAGTGCCAGCTCCCGTACGTCGCACGAAACACAAACACATTCACAGCAAACAACACGAACTCAACCATTACCACCTTTACCACCTTTACCAACATTACCAAGTCCATTACCATTGGCACAACAATATATTCATATACAGACACAAGCACATTATTCTAACTTAACAGGCTTGGCCCTTACCCATGCCATATCCGGTGACAGCTCGACTAATGACACCATCTCCTCGTCACCGCCTGCTGATTCAAGCCTAGATACAGGGGCGAGTACAGGCATACGAATAGGCTCAAAGCCGAATAATGGAAAAGGGGCAAGCGCCGTAACAACCAATACTACCACTACTACAGCCACCCACCATATTTCTTCTTCTTCTTCATCGCCTACAGTACCTATAATCAACAACACCAGTAACACCAAGAATTCGACTGTTGCATCCACATCCGCACCCGCGCCGCCGTTAACCGCCGCTTCAGCCTCAACCTTAACTTCGATCGCATCCGTCTCCCATCCGTCTGGCTCTGCAATTTTACCGTCCGCCTCCGATTCCGAGCGACCGTCTACTTCTCCAAAATCTTCTAGATTCATTAAATCTATACACATACCTATCTTTAGCTCCGACAGTGGTTATCAATTAGCTTACTCTGCCGGTTTCCCTCCGACAACTAACAGGTTGCAAAAGCGCGATTCTATCCATTACCAGGCATCAACAGCTCATAGTTCGCGACGTCCGTCGACACCGGCTCCGCCTACCCAAACTGCTTTAGGCCTATTATCGCCTGCTCGTCGAAGATCGTCCAAAAGTAAACATCATGACTCAATGACCATGGAGCCTGGTTACGTCCCTGCTCAAAAGTACTCCTCGGTGTCGTCCCGTGGTGGCGGAGTTTACGCTGGATCCGGCTCTTCTCACCCTGACCACCCTTCTATTATGACGTCGAACGAGAACTTATCCTCGAAGGAGGGGAGCATAGCTCCGTCTACTGCCTCAACTTCTACTAAGCATTCGCTCACCGCGGCAAAGGCATTCATCATGCGAAATAACCGGCTTTATATCAACCAACCTTCGCTATTGTATCCTTTACCAATCGACTTAACAGAACTTCATCGTCAATCTTTGCGCACACTGATGCTATTACAGCTTTTCGGCGGTCCGACCACAGCACCCGAGTTTTCCAATAAGCCCCCACAGCGTGTTCTCGAAGTAGGGTGTGGCTCTGCATTCTGGAGTATGATGTGCCATCGATACTTTGCACAGCATGGCCACTCATCCATATCCTTTACCGGTCTCGATATTGCGCCCCTAGTGGGGATGGGCCTCGACGCAGGTTGGAGACCAGACAAGGACATGCGCTGGCGGTTCGTCCAACACGATGTACGACGGCGACCATGGCCGTTTATCGACGGTGAATTCGACTTGATTATGGTCAAAGATATGTCGCTCTCGCTTTCGACTTCCATGCGCGACTCGCAACAGCTTTTCGAGGAGTACTTACGCGTACTAAAGCCAGGTGGCGTGATTGAATTTTGGGAAAGTGATCACGCCGTACGTATGCTAAGACCACATGTTCTTAGGGCTCCGGTTACGTCGAAGGCCGCCGACTCTGATTCAGATTCGGACGATAGTAGCGAGGAAGAAGATGACGTAGAGAAATTAGGAGCCTACATTATGACGAACAACACTCCGCTTAGCGCGCCGCTAAACCCATTCCTCGTCGAGTATAACGGCTGGGCAATCAAAGGCTTAGATGCCTTGGGCTTGTCAGCTGTTCCTTGTGCGCTGATCGGCGCGTATCTCTTACAAGAAGTGGATACCCTTATGGAATTGCGATCAAAGAGGATAGCGGTACCACTAAGCGAGATCAGATGGGAGCGCGAAGGTGTCGGCGGTGTAGTGACAAAGGACGGCAAGAGCTATATCGACTCGATGAAAAGAAAGGGCAGGTTAATCGATTCTCGAGTTGATAAGCGGAAGGGGCTGACAACTAGCCAAGCTGCTCTCAGACGAACCGCGCTAGAGACGATGGTAGGGTTGATACTCTGCCTCGAGCCGATCATCCGAGAAGTTAGCGGGAAGAGCCAAGACGAATGGGACGGATGGTGCGGAAAGATGATGAACGATCTACTACGCGAAGGCGGCACGAGTTGGGGAGAATGTCTGGAAGTCGGAGCGTGGTGCGCCAGAAAGAAGCTAACTCCGACATCATAATTCGAATGTATAGTCTACCTATTTGGCTGTTTGCCCATGCTATATTTGGTCGACATCCTTAGCATCGATTCACCTTGATCCACCGATCTAAATCTTCACGATGTCGACACCCGGAGGGCGATCTACTAACGGATCCAGCTCAATCCGGAAATATAGCTCTCTAACACACTTCCTTGCAGTCAATTATTGTCCATCATACCTCTTCCTAAGAGTACGATACCGTTTCAAGAAATACCTGTAACGCCATATGTCAATACCACGGTCAGCGCTTCAACGCCACATTACGTTAAACCAGATGGTAAACCCACGACGTTTACTCATGAGGAAAATCGAAGGGGAAACTGGGGATAGGGGTTGGTGATGCATATTCGGGACTGGGATCCTGGCTATATTCTTGTCTTATCTCTTTTATCTTTACATATATGTCGGGTGCATTGAACAGGAGACATGGTTGGAAAGATACAACGAGTATATATGTGTGGTGGAGCTAACTAGGCGCAGAACAATGTTCGTCCTAGGAAGTTATATAAAGGAATTGGCCACTAAGCCCGAGAGAGCTTGATGTTTATAGACGATACGAATGGAATAACTTTGGACGAAATTGTTGCGAATCGTATACGTGAAAATAACTTGCTAGGTATTGATTGACTGGCGACGAATAGATTCGATAATTGGACTTACAGTGCCTCGAGTTCTTAAAAGTGAATGCCAGGTTAGCCCTAAACTCTTCATAGCAGATGGTCAGATATTCAATCTACCTTTCTTTACATAGTGCGCCCTTTTTAAAGCTCCCTTGATTTCCCCTTCGTCGCGCAGTGACGCATTCTCCCGGAAAGCCTTACGGAGCCGCTGTCGGAAATAGTCGTAGCCCCTGGGATAGTCGCGGCCGCAGTGTAGGAGCTCCTTGTACATGGCTATGACCTGCTGCCGCAGCTGGCGATTGGGCGGGGGTAGCATGGGGGCGGTTACGGCATGTTTAGTGCGGAGAGGTTTTAATTTGATGGGTTTTTGGAGGTGTTGCGAGACGGAGGAGAAGAATCGGATTGGGCGAGCGAAGGTGAACATAGGGTATGTCGATTATTAGGAGGTGGGCAGGTAGTTACATGTAGGTAGGTAAATTAATATGTATGAGGAAAAGAAAGACGGTTAGACATGACGCAACGTTTGTAGCTCTAACACCGGTTTATCTTATCATCACGGCTAGCTGAAGCTAAGGCTGTAAAGTACGGTACATAGGTACCTTGTAGCAGTACATAGCACTTCCCCTACCGAGGTTGCCCCTCTAATGTGCCCCTCCGAGCTACGGCTTAAGCTTAACTTTTACCTTGCATGTACCCTTTATATGTACCTCACAACCTAGCTTCTCTTACTTCCTACTTGCGACAGCTACTTGTATTATACCAAATTAATTTCCTCTCTGTACATACCTACGTCTATATCTCGGTATATAATCCAATTGGTCGCTTGTAAATACCTTAAAGGTTACGTACTTCCATATACAATGCCTCCTAGACCACGCTTAAAACCAACACATACCCTCCGCTTCCTATCTCCAGTCGTCTGTCGACAACCCGCGCCTCGAGTAGAACCCTTTGCCTCTTTCAATAGCAAATACTCGAGTCGCAATTCCTCTACCGCGGCTCAGTCAGTTCTACCGCCGCTCCCGCCTAGTAAATGGTACTCGGACCTCAAAGCGCGAATTGGAAAATGTATCATGTTCGGCTGCACCAGCGACCAGGCACTCCACGCCGCCGCCATCCTGCGCGTCCTCGGCACGGAGTGGCGCGAGCTAACCGCCGGTGCCGAAGGGTTTCTGACGGGTGGACATAGGGGACTTGAGAACCAGCAGGTTGTGTGGGGGGAGATGGACAGTTTTGTAGGTAGTCCGTCCGCAGTACAAGAGTTTAGGTACCTGTATAGTAGTGGTAGGAGAAGATGCGCTGACGGATAAGTAACGATGGACAGGGCCATGTGAATAATACCAATTACATCCGGTACGCCGAGTCTGCGCGCGTCAACTGGATCATACACTTCGCAAGCGTAGACCCTGCGAACGGGACGCTGTGGAGGGAGCTTATGACGCCGAAGGGGACGGGGCTGATTATGAAGTCGATTAAGGCCGAGTATAAATTCGTACGTCCAGTACCCCCTTCTCTCATCTGTCTGCAATGAACAAGACGATCGATACTAACGACCCGCAGCCCATGACCTACCCAGACACCATCTCCGCGTACCACAAGCTGCGCTCGCAGCCCTCAGCCACCGACACCTCGCTCGTGCTCGACTGCGTCATCCTATCGCACCGGCACCAACGCATCGCCGCGCGCACGGAGGAAGACATCGTCGTATACGACTACGGGGCCGCGCAGAAAACTTCGGTCCCGGGCTTCGCGCTCGGCGCGTTCCAGGACGTATGGCGTCGGCAGGAAGAGGAGACGCGGGCGGCTAGGCGGCGCATATGGGAGCTTGTGAAAAAGGTCGAGGGGCTCGAGAAGGGGACTTGGGATAGCCCGGGTGCGGTGGAAGATGTTGGAGGGAAGGAGGGTGTTAAGGAAGATGAGTCTGGGATAGAGGGGGTTGTGGAAGATGTTGTTGGAAAGGGGGAGGTTGAAAAGGAGGTCGGAAAGGAGGTCAAGAAGGACAGCGTACCTGCTAGCACAATTGTTAATAAGGTACGCTCGTTGTTTTAAATTTTTCCCCGGGGGAAGCGTTCAAGATGAGAGGGGTTGGGTATTAGAGGGAACACATGTGTTCCCTTGAGCTTGAGGTGTTACGAAATTAATGAGGCTGATGGCGTGTGGTGGCGTCGCTGGAATGTTACGCAACGCCTATGACTCAGAACTGCGGTGACTTCGTGGAGAGCCTCTTTTCTTTGCGCTTACAGCAGATTCCTATTTAGATGAGAGATAGACTTATGAGTCTTAGATTCGGCAACCTAGCTCGATTGCTCTAGGACATGTATTCCCTCTATATACTTCTATCCTCAAACCATGTCGAGCCCACCCTGTCAACAGTTTCTGTTACACCAACATCCAATATTACAAATGAAAGCAGAGGTAGGGAACACATGTATCCTCGAAAGCTTTGAGGCCTTGAGATCATAAAATAATTGTCAAAATAGGGCGATGGAGCAGAAACACCACATTACTCTTACGTACTATACGAAGAAGGAGACGAGGTCCTACCTAGCATCGGTAGCGTTTTGAAACACGACGTCGCAAATGGCAAAGCGAACAAGCCTCTACATATATTACTTATCCACTCACTTTATCGTATTGACTGCTTGAAACTTCCTTCTGTGGGAGATGGTTACTTAAAAATTAGTCACACATTGCCTGTCCAGCCTAAGCCAAATTATCATCGCAGGATACTATCCACAGGAATCGACTTCACTGAGGTTAAGCAATGGCTAACTGATTGTGACAGCGAACACAAATGTTGTAGTCACTCCAGCGATTTGGAACCTTTTCTGCATGGTCTTAAGTTCATCGACTGCAAAACAGAACGCGTTGTTGATGCTCGGAGCGATTGGGAGTATGTAGCATTGAGCTACGTCTGGGGACAGAAATGTCAGAGCGAGGCATCGGAGCATAAGGCATTCCCACCAACTGTCAAGGATAGTATACAGGTTGTTCGTAATCTGGGATTGCGATATTTATGGGTTGATAAGTACTGCATTAACCAAGCAGACGTCAAGGAGATGCAACATATGTTCAACAATATGGGCAGTATTTATCAAAATGCACTCTTCACAATCGTCGCCGCTGTAGACACCAGCGATGACGGCCTGCCTGGTGTTCGGGAGGGCTATCGAGATTGGGGAGTTGAAAACTCGAGCGATAGCACCTGGGACGTGGGGTTTGAATCCCCTATAGATGAGTTGAAACATTCCCGTTGGTATACAAGGGGTTGGACATACCAGGAAGGAATACTATCCCGACGCTGTCTTATTTTCTCAAATACCCATGTCACTCTCCGATGTTTGGTGGAAGGATATTATAGGGAAGGCTGTGAACGTTCTATGACGGGTATGCCGGACTATTATGAAGGCTTTTAGTGGAAGCCTCTTGAACACCTGTGGTCTGCTCACCTGAAATACATAAAGGCAGGTATTTTTCTTGAAAGGCCAGAAGTTTCTATCGTCAAACACATTGACAGCTACATCAATCGCCGCCTTACTAACGAAGAGGATATGCTTTGGGCATTTCTCGGAATCTTTAGTATTTATAAGGAACCGCTATCCAGTATGGGCATCTCTCATCTATTCGGGCTGCCTATTATGTACCGACCAGCCGACACAGCTGGACAACACTGTACGGTTTTCCTTAAGCACTTTGTCCATAACATGCTCTGGACAACTCGACGGAGCCGCCTTCGGCGCGTGCCTAAAGTTCCATCGTGGACTTGGGCTGGATGGAGTGGTTTTGACGGAACAATCTATCCATCAGGAATTGGTCCTAATGAAAAGGGGTTACTGTGCGGTCACGCTCTAGAGCTATGCGGACGACAAGCACTCGATTGTGAAGTGCATTTCCACAGAGAAGCGTTGGGAAATCGATTGGTAGATCTTGAAGAGCTTATGAACTACATTGTACAAGACCTCCCAAAGTACGCTATTGATGAATCACATAAAACTGTGGTTCTGGGCGATTTGGATCCCGCGATCTACTGGACGGGATGGACGACTAAAGTAAGATTCTCCGTTAAAGGGGATGGAACTTGTATCCTCAAGGACGAATAATCTCTCGACGAGGAAATATATGTAGAATATAGGAAGCATCCCTTCTTCATGCCCCACGGAAAAACTAACACTGAACTAGGGACTGGTATGTGGATGGTTGTTGTGATGCGTTGGGATGGACCTGCTCAGTATTGCGGACCGACCGACTGTCTTGTCCTCACAAACGAAAGCCAAGATTGCTTCTCACGCATTGGGATGATCGAAACGCGATGGGATAGAATCAACTCAGACGAAATTAGTCCCGATACGACACAAGTTGTCAAAAACGGTAGGACGTTCACTCGAAAACAGGTAAAAATAATCTAATATCAACATACTAATTCATGACACGTGATGGAAGAGCCTACAATGATACGATGAAGGAACTAGTTGGTTATAAATCCAAGGAGTCTCCTATATATCTACTTAGTAGTCATTCCTTTAACTGCCAATATAAATCTATATTCACACAATATGCGCCTAGTTTAATTTCGTAACTGGACCTTATTAAGGTAAATATTTACACTATGACTATATTCTCTTGTAATATGAACATGAAATTACAAACTAGAGTTATATACGACAAGTCTTATAGACCATATAAACTGATAGAGCTGGCGTTATAGTTTTCGTAGTGTCTACAATAAGACATTGATGTTTAACATAGGTTTACTATATAAGAAAAATAAATAAAATAAAAAGATTCATAATGAGTTAAGGAGTTATGGTATTAATACAATAGCTTAATTTACTGAGTTAGAATTTTTAAATCAAGTTCTAGCACAGCTAGTTACAATGATTGTATAGGAGTATTCTTCAATGATAAGACCGTATTTGCTTGATGAATAAAGTACAAACGCTGTAGACTAAATTTGGTATAGACAGAGTTCTAATTATGATGCTTCTACCAGATTGAAGCGAGATAAAACAAACATTTTTCGAAATATAAACCCACCATGGCAATAGTCTATACACGCTCTAGACGGTTTCCCACGGGATGCTGAAACCTGATCCAGCTATTAGATCAGCGTAGCCCACCGTCTAGCTCCACCTGATAATCTCCAAAGGCGCGGCTTGTCATTATTTTGATCTTGGGCGATCTGGCGGTGGCGTTGCCCCTTGACCATGTCTTGGACTTAAGCTCAATTCGATCGTCCCTTAATTCCCCACGGGGTACTGCCTCTTGTCATCTGCGTCCGGACACATCGACCTATCCAGTAGCGCCTCCGACGGCCTCACCTCGGCCAGCAACTCCGACTATTTCTCGGCCCTCTTCATCGCGATCAAGAAGTAGGCAGAGTCGAGGATTTGCCTCGCAAGGCGGTCAAGTGATGTTTTTGGGGGGGGTTAGCCGAAGTTATGATAGACTTGAGTGAAATTTCATGAAGGCGGCGAAGCTAGTAAGAGTCATGCACCCTCGCCAATATTTAGCAGATCTCATGCGCTTTCCTGGCCCGTCTCCTGCGTCTATCACAAAACGACTCCAAATTTTCATACTTGACTTCTGGGAATCTTGCTCAAGTCTAAGCCAGACTGGGCACACAATGCGTAAGGTTGAAGTCCAGACTTGCATTCTTATGCCTCCGTGGCTACTGCACACCCCTTCCCGGGCCGAAAGGAGCCCCCGTAGCCTCACGCAGACCAAGGAGGTAGAATCACTTCCTAGATAGTAAAGAGGTATCCTATGAGGGTTGAATTGCTAGCAAGGACAGCCGAAGCGAGCTTTGGTGGCTACCAATCGGCCGAGGCACCCGAGTCCAAGGTGCAGAAGACTGCACTACGATGTTGAAATAGTCACATGTTAGCGCGGATCATATCTATAATAGCCAGCGCTATAGATGGGCCCAGCTAGCAGGATGCTATAGGGGTTGACGGGATATTCCTTCTAATCTAGTTTGCCATGGTGAAGATAGAGTTTTCAACAATATACCCATCGAGATCCTGGTCCGAACTGAATATGTCACCCCCAGGGCTAGCCAACTAGCTTTCTATCAGCCGGTATCAGAGGTTTCTAGTATATCTTAGTCTAATTAGACCCAGCGAGGACGCACGGAATATCCCGTTTGAGGATATTTGGAGGCTAGATGTTTATGGGAAGTTGCTGAGGGAGTTATATGGTTACAGCACCGCAAGCACAACCGTTGTCATAGGCATTGATCGATGTCTCAAGCATGTTTAAGATCTACGAGTTGTTGCTGTTCACTATAACGGTTTAGTCAGGGACTATGCAGCTACGTCAAATCAACCATGCATTAACGCACATAGTATGTATTGTTATCTCAGTAAGGGGGTTGGGGTTGGAGTTGGTAAGGCCTTTGATTTTAGAATCGTCGTGTGATTGGTGTGTTTTCATGTATGTTTGTTTCTCTTCAATTTACTCATAACAATACATACTTTAATAATTTAGACATACATACATGCATTTACCTATCCTAACGTGAATGAATGAGCTTATCTGATGAGTTTACGCCTGTATGGTTCGATGCTGGGCCGTGAGACTGAGTGAGCCTGGTATGCGTATTTCGATCAGGAGATTCACATGGCGTCAGATCGTTATAAACTGTTAGAGGCGTCGTAAATGCTTCGATGCGGCGCAGTCGGTCATTAGAACCAGAATGGATTAGTAGCGTTTTCCCAACTGCCGCCGCAATGGAATCATATGTATATGTAGGATATAATCATGTGTAATTTGCGTGTATCTAGATTAGGTATGTACCTTATGTTATGCCTCGGTCTTTTAGTCTGTCGATTTGGGCGCCCCTTATTTCAAATACATGCATTAGATGGTTAAACGAAGAAGCAGAAGCGAACCCCAGATTTCCAGCCATCGCAAGTCCCGGCATGGGGAACTGATCACGGTTATATGATAAGATTGGTGGATAAACCCCATGCCTAATCGAACGAATCCTAGGATGACGGGCCCCGTTTCGAGATACGCAAACCCGGGGAAAAGGCACCGAAAAGGCATCGCATCCCATCTTCATTCGGGCCGACGCGTTCATGGGCTTATTGTTCATGGCGCGAAATGCTAGGACTACCATGGAGTTTAAATATGCTTACTATACAAGCGCCTCTGGCAGTTGGGTCTTTATTTTGCGGGGGAGTAGGGACGGGTTAGCATGAGGGAGGAAATCGGGGGAGAAAAGCTGGGGTTCGCTTGAGGTCTTCTCCGCATGGGCCAGGGTTAGAAGATGGTAGAGTTGGTGGATTACTTTTACATAGATAGTGTAATTAGTGAGTGTATCTCACTATAGTGCCTATATGCTTTGATACGAGATGAAGTTTCTCCTGAGGTGTGATACGAGTGAGCTGAAAATAATAATAATATTAGAAAATAAATAACAGCTTAGCAGATGGCAGCTATGAAGATATCGGGCAAGTCAAGCCACATTTCGGAGTTAAGGTCACATATAGAAACAAAAGTGCTTTATGCTTTATTACGTATCTTTACCGACGACTGAAAATGGGTGCCTCGGCCGAGAAACTTTCCTCTTTTCGCTTGTGATTTGCGAGCTGGCAACGGCATTGGAAATTGGGGCAACACAAGGCATAGGCTGTGTGGTCTAAGCGGTACTGTATTTCTTCGCACTATGTATGAACGTACCTGTTAATGCTGCTGGCAGGATCGTCATCCATGTTTTCCATGTCACGTATCATGCATATTACATTCATAGCAAGACTTTCTTTAACTACTCGCTCTGTGGTTCTAGTAAGCTGCTGTTGTGCGACCTCCTTTCAGCGCAATCAAGTCACGATGACGACTCTTCGTCAAACAAGACGACTGAATGCGAATGAGATGCGGCGCGCAATCAGCTGAAATACTGCTATTAAATGGTAGTGGCGGTATCAGCCCACGGTAAAGAGAGGGGTGGTCCCGAAGGTCTGGTAACGCATCTCGCGAGATATCACGACATACAACCTATTACGACCAAGCAAACCATTCCCGGGGACTGTCGACGGCATGTTATCGTGTTAGACGAGCACTCCAAGATGCCAAAAAAATAAAAAATCCAACCTCCGCCCCTTTTCTTTTTTCGCAGATTTGGAGATGTAGATCCCATTGACTAGGCGCGGAGAAGACTTGCTAGAAACAGCTGTTCTTTGTTTCGTGATAGTTAGTAGTTATCTTTGGTGATCATTCACCGAGGGTAAGGCTTAAAATATCAATGCTGGTCAGACGGGTAAAGCCGAATACTGAAGGTTACGAGCCCATGTCGCGCATTAGGGCTCTTTGTCATTCAGCTGTCATCCTTCGAAGCACAATCCTCCCCATTTTGGGGTTTGAGTCTTGATATAGTTTCTTATTATGGGATTGTCCGTCCCTTTTTCGTCTTTCAACGTTTGACCTATCCCGTTTCAAAGCCAACCCTGGCTGCGGATGTCACGATCCTCGATGGATGGATAATCTTAAGGTGAACCTCGATAATGTTAACGGGGAGAAGCGGCTTACATTACATAGGTAGGGTAGGGGATGGTGGGGGAGGACATGGATGACAAGTCCACTAACAGATCTATGCGAGCTCCAGCCCTACGCGAGAAGCTACACAGTAATCGAGATTGTTTAATTCATCAAGACTTCATATAGATATCATGATAGTTGTGAAGGTAGTATTTAACTACTATGTTTACTATGTAATCTTTGACTAATTTAGTCGCTATGTATCTCTTTCTAAATAATATTCGGATAAACGGGAAGACATCCAAAGAATATTCCATCTTGTTTTCCTTTAACATTTAGATATTGAGTAATGATGGGCGATCACTTGGCCACCCACCCAATGACAGCGAGGCAACCAACTGCCTACAATACAACGTAGCATCTGGACACCTGCAGCACTCAAAGCCTGTTCTAAGGCTATTTTTGGTACGTTTGGCTCGTTAGGAATCGCGGGAGATCACCACCATCAACGCCCGCAAAGAAATATGGCGACATCTATTCGCTAACAACTCTCTCGCTTCGACTGCCTATCGGTATGTCCAAGAAGCGATATTAATCTAAACTGCTTGATATGCCTCATTGTTTTTTTTTCTCTTATTCGAAAGAATGTTTAGCGATTTGTTCCATGCAGACGGACATTCCAACAACTCGGCCGATGGGTTGCGTTGCGTTGATTGCGGAGTGGCACAAAAGTTCGCGTTTTGCGACGCTGGCACTTGGACAATCCTCCCGTAAATTTGTAAATTTGCGGACATTTCTCAATTGATCGATTTGATCGATGATGGTTCCTCACCCCCATTTTTCCTCTGCCTCCCCATCTGCCGTCTGTGGGTTCTTAAGCAGTGTGTATGCAGTCAGCCTCATATCTCTACCTCGAGGTAAATATCTATGTATGAGGTACAGATGCACGATTAATAAGAAACAAATCGGTTGTTTTATCTAGGTAGTTGACTATTGGCATAGCCCTGCAGACGAATATGGCAGCGGAGTAGGCGAGGTTTGTTCAACATCAATAGGAAGGAGAATGGTTACAGGAACAATATCGAATCCTCTTTAGAAGCCTTCGAATGTCAAGTAACCTGCCCGCTTTTTTTTCCCCTTCATTTTCGTCCTGGCAACCAGACAGCCTCAATTTTCTTGTTAGTGCCTATTCACGTTTAATAATATGGTAGGCTAATGTTATGCCATTGGGGGTCATTCTTTACAGCGCTCGGTATAGATTGTATGCAAGCCATCATTCAGCTCGATTCTTTAATTCTAAGAGTAGACATAATATTCTCATATATCGTATTACAGATTACAGATTACAGATTACAGTATTATGTAAAAGTAGAACACGAGCCTTTTGCTGAGGTTATCGCTGATGACCCGGATTCGTCGTCAGCATCCTGGACATTCCCCAGGTCTCACCTCTAGCAAAGTTCGAGCTTCTTACTGCTACCGTGCGTGCCCTTTGTTTTTTTCTTTCTCGTCTATCCGCTACGATACGCTGTTGACATGCCTATGATGAATACTCCTGAGGCATTTGGCGAAAAGTCAACGAGTGGCCAATTAGATGATGCATACTACATATGGCCACTGTTAAATTATATTTTTTATATATTTCAATGCTAAGGTTCACATGCATATTGCCATAAACTGAATGCATGTTTCGTCACTATTCGGACAGGTTTCCTCTCTGAGGTTAGGTACAGTTTTACTACTGCGTACTTACGGTACTGGTCAAACTGGGGGAGGCTTGGGGGTGGATTATGGGTGGATGGTGGATATGTGGATGGAAGCGGATAGGAGGATATCGGTGGCTGCGAGACAAGATTTAATAAGTCGACACAAGTCATTGTCTCTCATACATCCATATATACATCCATACGGAATACACAATACATATACACATAAAGTAACATTCATAGTACAGCCACACAGTGCCGTCCTTGTTATTTCGCCAAGGCTCGCCAGGAACAAAACGGTGTTAGCGTCACTCTTCGTTTGGAGTTCGGTATTCTACTTAATATTACTATTACTCATTTCTTATACCAGAGCACAACGCCATTCGCCGGAGACGTTTACCTCTTTCGGTGCTGCTAGCCCGAGTCAGGATAGTAACATCGGCCACTCACAGTGTCTTTTTTTTCCTTTCCTAGTCCTTGCCAGGTTCCTGTCTCGTCTCTTTGCCTCTGTGCCCTGCCAACCCTTGCCTTTAGGCCTTCTTAGCCTTCTTAGGGCCCTTAAGCCGCTCTCATTTCCCTTTTCCCCTTCCTACTCTATTCCTACTAGCCGGGGAACCCTCCTCTATTATTCTCTGTCCTCCTCTGTCTTTTAGTCTTAGCTTGACCCGTTCGCTAAAAAAAAATCCACCATCCCATCCGCCCGTCCTAATCCCCATCTTTTTTCTTCTTACCTGGCTATTTGCTTCCCTCTTCTTCCCGTTTTTTCTTTTATCGTTCTAGTGTCGTGATCTATTTTGACGACCATCTCTTTCTGTTTTCCAAACTCTCTCATTCTAAACTATTATCGTGACAAGAGTCATCTGTTGCATTCTTTTAGTATATATCCGTGTTAGTGACCAACAAGTCGGCCTACCCACTTGGACGAACCCCGGACGCTCGAATCCCCGCGTTTTCCCAATGAACGTGATCCCTCCCGCCTTTCTTTGAGCGACGGGCCGATTAAGCACGCTTGTGCAGTTGCTTCACTCCAGATTCTCTCCGCAAATACTGCCGTGTCCAGCATTCGCTCTCCACACGAGGCCTTGGTAAACATTGGATAGGCTAGATTTGGAAGTAGTTGAAGAAGACGGCGTGTAACATATCAATTATCAGAGTGGCGCATTCGACAGTATCGACTTTATCGAAATTCGAATTAATTAGTCTCGGTAAACTACTACTAAGAGATAGGAACGACAAGATGTCGCAGGCAGTAAAACGGGCTTGCGATGCTTGCCATCGACGAAAAGTAAAGTGCGACGGCATCAACCCGTGCCGCAACTGTGCTTCGGCGCAGTTAACCTGCACATACAATGCGATACCCCAGAAGAAAGGACCTAAGGGTTCGAGAGCAAAAGTTATTAGCGAACTCCGCGAGACGCAACGACAAACTAGTCTATCAGCAAAAGTTCAGAGCCGACTAAATGGAATCAACAGCCCACCATGCAGCCCTACGTTATCCCCGACTCCTGGTCTCTTGGCTAGCGAGATGGCGAAAGAATGTATCGAGTTTTTCTTCGCCAATATGTACCCGATTATGCCGATTCTCCACCGACAGCGACTCGAGCAACAATCTATGTATCTCGATTCAGGCCTTGACACATATTGTCTTGTTACGTCTTTGTGCGCTTGGATGATGTTTCAACCTGGAATGAATGTGCCCGGCGCCGACCCTCTTCTAGAGCATTTACCTGGGGCTAACATTGCATCTGGAATGGTTTTGATCGAAGAGACGATTCGAGTACGAAAAGGATACGAATACCAAGAATCGCCAACTTTAAACAGCCTTTGCACCAGCTATTTTCTCTTCTGCTCTCACTACGCCCTCGACATGCACGACAAGGCCTGGTATTATCTTCGAGAGGCTACGACTTTAGCTCATATCATCGGAATGAACAAGGAGGAGACGTATTTGCAATATGACAATATCGAGGCTTCACGACGACGACGTCTCTACTGGCTTCTGTTTGTAACAGAAAGGTAATTCCCCAAATCATAACAAAATTGCGTTTAGTATTGTTAAAACTAACATTTTAAAAGGGCATATGCTCTACAACGTGGTCGACCCCTGACGCTCCAGGCTTCTATTAATCTTCCTACCATGACTGATGACCCAACGGATCCCCTTGCACCTCAGTTGAATGGATATATACTGTTGGTAAATCTTTTCAGGCCGTTCGACGATATGTTTATTGCCTTCTGGAATAAGACTCGTAGCGAGTCCTCACCATCATACCTCAGTGCTTTACAGAAGCAATTCTCGGATATGATTCCGCCGTACATGAACGTTCAGGATTCCGACTTGCGAGCGAACCAGCAATGGCTTAAAACGGTTACGTGGCATTTGAGCATGCAGAATGGCTGCTCTCCTCAGGGTAGCCAAGATCAGATGCAATTGCAATACCCTATCGACATGACACGAGATTTAATGTCGATGACATCTCAGTTCCAAACTCAGAGCACCGAATTACTCGGAATGCCCCTTGTCGCAAAGTTGTTAGAGATCTCATCCGCATTGATCGACGTCCTATCAATTTTACCCTCATCTGGCGATCCTTTCAGTATGGGTCCTCGAGAGCAACTTAACTCGCTACTGCAGCTCCTATCAGTCCTTCGTAATGGAGATCATCATTTCCTCCCGCTTTTGTTGAACAAGGTCCACGATGTCTTACCTCGCTTGGCCAATCCCATTCTTCAGCGCGCTCCGGAAAATGCTTGCATGCAAAACATCGATATTTTCGATGGATTCGGCAACGCTGGTATGGCTCAACCTCCGATGATGGATTTCAAGACAGAGCCGTATACTCCGGGTAGCATGCAGCATATCCAGGATATCGGGACGGACTCGGCTCACTCTAACAATGGCGACGATATGAAATCGCCTTTCCCCATAGTTAGTTCGCCGCCAGTCATGTCCCCAGGCGTAGACTACCACAACGAGTTCAACTCAATCCCTGATATAATGAGTCCGATGGGACAACCATCACAGCAACACTCATTTAACCAGCAAGCGCCTCTGAATCCGCAGCAACCACACCTCCAACATCAACACCAACATCACGGCTTATCACATGGAATGAGCCAGAACCATACCACGGGCAACACAATGCAAACAGACATGCATACAAACCTAAGCCACGGCTTAAGTCAGCCAACTAGCATGGCGGGAATGAGCCAACAACAGACATTACCACAAAATCCACAGTTCAGTATGATAAATAACATGCTACATCGTCAACCTCAGCAAAGAACGAATAGCTTCATCATACATCCGCAACACCAACACCAACCGTCGCAAATACCGAGAACAGTCGGCGACTTCCACGCACTACAGCGAGCGAATTCAGAAAGTGTCTCGATGAATACCTTAGGCCTCGGCCATATAAATCCTGAGGTAGACTTTAGTGGATTAAGGTAGTAACATCGGAACACTACTTCCACATGAATGTCTACCCCCCTCAGACCTATCTTGAGTCATAACATTATATCTTATATTATCATCACCTACTTTTGTCCACACGCGGACCTGGGTTTCTTCTGTATATTGTTGGAGGGATACCCAACACATTAGCCCGCGAGTTGCGAGCCATACCGTTACTTATATACGAGCGACGAAACATCGCGCTTAGCCCACTTGAGATTTCAAATCGGGAGCATAAAAGCCATCTACGTTAGTAACTTGGGATATCAACCGGGCTATTCGAGTTTTTTTGTTTTGGTGTTTTTTTTTTTTTGAAAAATCTTTTTTTGAATTTTCATATTTTTTATGTTTCAGGGGAGTTTAACGAGGTGTACGGAACCAGCCGGTGTGTGCAAAGAAAGAAACACCGCGCGTGTAATATCTACATGCCAAGAACACCCGCCGACCTGTCTACGAATAGGGGAGGCGGGGCGCTACGAGAGGAGGACGAACGCAAGTGATAACGACTAGAAAGGGGAGGCGGTGGCTATTATGCCATATGATGGGGGGCTGTGTCCCGATTACAACAGTATTAGCTGGAAAAGCTCCGAGAGCGAACGATGGGGTTGAAGGATATGAAATGAATGGTGTACAGGTATCACCGTGTTAGGTTAGGAAGACTTATAGTCAAAATACAGTAAAATAATTAATATGGGAGTGTTTTTTTTTTATTGTGACTTTCTATGATGTGATAAGACATTGGGGTTGTAGAGTTACATCTCTTGACATAACTGTATGATAAACTATATGATAGTAGACTTTGGAGATTTAAAGCTAGGTTAAAAATATGACAGGTAAACTATCTAAGGTACTTATATAACTTAAGTGTTTTAGTCGAAACCTATAGCTTTAGGGGAAACTCGTAATTTAGTCTTAAGGGGCTTTCTGATAATTGATTATTACTTGATAAATCCTCGCCCTTTTCTTTGCTATGTCTTGATCGTTTGGAGCTAATGTAGGGAGCCGAGGACAATTAAGGATTGCAATTAGTCAAGTGAATCTTTTTACCATGTAAACCTCTAAGTCTTCTACTACTTAACTTTGTCTTAACCTATTTAAACTTAGATATAAGGAGATAGTGCACCTTTATTAATAGAAATAGTTTCATGATACCCTGTTAACCTTAAAGCTTATATTTTAGAAGTTGTATTGAAACATGATACTTAAAAGCCATAGTTACCTGTTAATAAAAGTGGAAGTAACGCATATGAAACAAGATTAAGCAATCGCGGGTAGAACCACACTGTCTCCTTTAACGGTCTATCCTCAAGGTTGGGTACCACAGACCCCCACATTATTTAATTCGCGACGCGCTGCAGGGAGGCGCGTCAAGATTCAATTAGCTGATAATTTACCTATCAGGGCAATTACCCCAGATGTGTTCTGGCACTTGACCTACTTTATTCGATCCATCGTCTGCAGGTAAGGAAAGAAGCCGTCGCGTACATGCATTGCAACCTTCCCGCCAATCCGACAAACAGAAAATCTACCTTAGGTACCTCTTCTACCTAACTTAAGGTAAAACATGTCTAACAACTTGGGTAAGACTACCTCCTAATCTACTTAATCTAGTACCTAAACGTGTAACATTAATGCTAATCATTGGTATTTCTATCATTCAGACTCGAATCCAAGCTCTGCAGCGGCCCAACCCAATGCTGACCAACTACCTCAATTATTAACACCCCTATCAGAACCTCAATCGTGGTCCCACCTTGAGCTACCACCTATAGCACAACCAGAGACATGTTCTAGTAATCAAACCCCATTATCGCAGCCTCAATTATGGCCCAATCCTCCGTTGCCCCTATCGCAACCTCAGTCGTTGTCTTCAGCCCTACCGAATCCTCATGGAGAAGCATATGTAGATAACCAAATTCCCCAGTCGATCTGTTCAATACCTCCACAATATCCCTATCCTTACCAGGCCTGTCTGCAAGCAGCCGTGCTCCCGTCTCAGCAATATACTTCGGTTTATCCAACGTCACAACCGAGTTCAAGTCTTGTAGAATCTCAAGGCGAAGAAGTCGCTCAACCTGCCCCAAAGCGACGTAAAGTACGAACTCGTCATACAGATGTGATCAGTTTACTTAGTGATGACGACGAAACACCTACCTTGACAGCTGAAACTCCGCAGAAGACTGCTACATCTCCAATCTTCTTTTCGTCACCATCATTAAGCCTGAAACCTAGTTATCATATGTCTACAGTCGATGATTCGAGCATGTCGAGTCAGACACTAACATCTCTTTCTCCGGTGCCACCGAGTCAGCAGAAGGCAGTAAATCCCGACCGTGTCGAGGAACCTACGCTATGTCCAGAACAGGCTCGCCTAGTTGAGCTGATAGCAAGCGGGCGGAATGTATTCTATACCGGCTCGGCTGGCTGCGGTAAATCAACAGTACTAAAAGCCTTCACGAGACGTCTCCGAGAGATGGGTAAGAATGTTCGCATTGTTGCACCAACCGGCCGAGCAGCATTGCAAGTGGGTGGATCCACGACTTGGACCTTTGCAGGCTGGACCCCAGATCATCACAAGCGCACACTAGAGGAGTTGAAAGCAGCCGCACATGGGAAATTTGTGTCGAAACGGTTCAGGGAAACGGACGTCCTTGTAATTGACGAGATTAGCATGGTGGAAAACCTACATTTTGAGAGGCTAAACGAGGTTATGAAAATAGCACGACCTAAAGTGTACCCACCCGCTCGACCTGCATTCGGAGGTGTCCAGATGGTTGTGACAGGGGACTTTTGCCAACTACCTCCTGTGAGACCTTTTCAACACTGCATCGAATGTGGATTTGAGCTAGTCGAGAAAATGACTGTTAATGGCAAGGTCCACATTTGCAAGCGACGCCATGAATATCGCGACGAAGATAAGTGGGCCTTCCGGAGCAAGGCTTGGGCGGAGTGCAATTTTGTTCATGTCCACCTTAACACCATTCACCGGCAGAGTGATGAGACCTTTATCCGAATATTACAAAAGTGTAGGATTGGACGACAACTCAGCCCAGCCGATACGAATCTCTTAATGGACCATAAGTGTATGGTGCACCATGCTACTAGACTATTCGCTACTAGGGAGGAGGTTTCTAATGTCAACAAGCGGGAATTCGAAAGGTTGAAAACCGTAAACCACATTTTCTGGTGCTATGATAACTTCATATGGCGGCAAACTACCCATCCGCATCTAGGTTGGAAAGGCATGAGGAAGCCTAACGGAGTTCAGCCAGAAGGCCCCTTACGCGCTCTTGATGACCACCGTTTCGACGAATGCGTGCAGCTCAAGAAGGGTATGCTTGTAGTTTTGCTCGTTAACTTGGACCTAGAGTTGGGCTTGTGCAACGGTAGCCAGGGTATCATCTGTGGTTTTGAGAAGTATGATCCCAATAAACTACCAAAAGCCAAGGATGGAAATAAGGATCCGGAGAACAAGATATACGGCGATCACGCGGCGATGAAGGAAGCACAAATTAAAAATTTCATAGATAGCCCTGGTGCTAAGTTCAAGACATGGCCGATAGTTCGGTTTCACAATGGTCAGGTTCGCACCATCTATGCGAATTGCTCTATTACAGAGCTCGGGGACGAGAGGCCGTACAGTTTGCTTATCCGGACGCAGATTCCTCTGGCACCCGCCTGGGCGATGACGATCCACAAGAGCCAGTCATTAACGCTTGATCGAGTTATTGTCAATTTGTCAAAGGCGTTTGAAGAGGGCCAAGTGTACGTGGCTCTATCGCGTGCTACCGGACTTCATGGTCTTAAGATCGAGGGTAGTTCGAAGGGGCTGTCAACCGGGCTAGGCGGGAATCAGGAAGTGCAGGAATTTCTCCGCGAGAAATTCGGTGATTTAGAAGGCGTGTTGAGTTCTTGAATTGTAGAAGAAGGCTACATATTACCTAGGATAGGACTGGAACCCGGCTGGAATAGGGGATAAAGGATTGCCTCACGGGCCATGTTGGAATCGATGTAGATAATAGGTTAGGTACCTAGGTATATTCAAGAGGCGTTTGTGTTTATTAGTGTTGTAATATAAGACTGGTGCGATGTCTTGTGGCTTGTTTTACTTATTTAGGCTTGTTGTTGAGCTTCTAGGGGCGTTCAGGGGTAGAAGTATATTTACTATGGGGCCTTTTGCTGGTGTATTTACGGATTATATTTTAACTTCTTCGCGGCGACTAGCACTCTATACATCCACTAAGGCTACTTTTGAATGTTATATTTATAAGAGGTAGAGTGCATTTGATGAGTTACATCCTCTCGCTGTATATATTTATTATATAAATCTTAGTTACGGTAGAAGCAGTTACTCCATATGTAACAACGGTAATCTGTTGATACTTTTTAGTTCCTTTATAACCACGAAGACTCGTCCAAGCTAATGTCTACCACAATTGTGATACATGCCATATTTGGAACAGCCTTGTTTACTGGTTGGTCCGCTAGACGGTGGCTAAGAGACAGCACCCCCACTTCCTTGAGAGCATATGTATCAACGGGTCTAGGGTATCAGACAAGCAGGTTCTGGGAAGCTTTTATATTTATAAACGTATAGAGGTAAGATGAAGATTAATAGGAGGACAGGATATATTCTGCAATCTGCCCATCCGTCCGGCCTTAAGCAACTTCCAAAATCAAACGATGTGGCTTTAACGTAGGTAGGTATCGTATACATAGTTCCCGCCCGCCCCGCATTTTGTCTGTTTTACCGTTAGTCGATAGTGCTATGGATACCTTCTAAGGGATGTAAGAAGAGGTAGATTTGTGACAGGCTAACCGGTGGTGCACTGAGACTAGACCAGCGCCACTGAACCGGACTTGGGCCCATCCGGGGAACTGGACAAGTGCTATATGAGGGGGTACATAACGTTACACATATGCGTATGCTACGCGCATGTCAAAGTAGTATTTAGTTTAAGATATTATAACTATGGTTGCTTATATCTAGGTACTTATAGAGCGTTATCAACTCCTGAGCCCTTGGTAGGGTTAGATGTTTTCGTATTCTTTCAGTTCAGGTACTCTACGAAATATCTGTTAAAGAGGGTATCAGAATGCGTGTTAGTCTACTCTAGGGGTTAACGGCATTGGGCCGGCAGACTTTGGAAGATTTTAAAGGACCATACACACACACGGTGATGTCAGAGCGCATTGCTATTGAATTCAAACAGCAAAGTTGAGGCCGCAAGCAAGATTTCGTAAATTATTCATATCGAATTGTCCAAGCTGATAGGCTTACTCGAATTAAAACGCGGGAGGGGGAGTAAGCAGTATCAAGTTATATAGATATTACATACCTGAGATCTGCACGCTTCCTCACGATCACGAGACTTGTTGATATTAAGAATATGCGCAGGAGAAGGGTTATTATCACATGTCTGAGGTTTTTTGCTGATGTTGGAGGATATCTATATATATATCAACACCAGAATCTACAATCTTTAATATCCGATGCGGCCCACCCGAAGATAAGTGTATGTATGGTTACTCCCGGGACTGCCGAGGGACTACCGGAGCGTGGATGTAACTGTTTTAAAAACGCAGAAAGCATGCGTGGCAGAAATATGATGTTGGCTTGGGTCGACCCGATTGCGGCCAAAGGGATCCGTGTTAAGCTTGCGGGCGGCGAACTTCCGAGCCTTAATCTATCTTGAATATCAGGAACCCAGATGCACCATGACGATCATTCATCCTGGCTCTTGCGCCATCACCTATAATGATAATAATAATAATAATTATTATTATTATTATCACGCCTTAGCTGCGAAGTTAAGCTTTGCTAATCGCCCTTAAGCCGCTGGCGATCCCTTTGGACCCTTTCTTGGATCCCTGGGCAAATCATCCGGGAGGGTCCCGTCCCCCTTCCCCTTCCCCCCTTAGTCATTTTCCACCCTGGGAACTACCTACCTATGTACCTACCTACGAGCGAGACATGTCTCGGACTGCTTGTCGCATATTATCCGATCCACGTCCCGTCCTATATTCATAACTTCCACCCGTGGGTCGCAGACGACAAATACCGATAAAAACCACCTTGTCGGAATGTCTAGATCGATATCTGTCTGATCTTTGCTGAAACCCCGACGTGGCCAAGTCTGCCCAGAGACAGGACAAGATCTTTGTAGCTAGATTGTGACCGGGGATATACCAGAGTGGCCATTGACAGCACTGCGCCCCTCGTTGGCGCATCCGAGTATCGAGGATGATAACGTCAATCTTGCTGTTGATCCTATCCATAGGCATCGCAGCAGTATCAGCGCTGCCGGCATCATCGTCTCTGCAGCCTCGCCAATCGTGGACTTTGGGCTACTGGGCGCACGACTTGACAGAGTTCGGATGTAAGCCCATCATATTCATCTGGGCGAAAGCTACCATAGAGCCTGGGAATATGGTATGTTACCTCAAGCGCAGTAATGCGTAGGCGCGATGACATGCCGAGTACACACTACTAACAGACTTCAAGGGTAACACGGTTGGCCCGCGGCTGTCCGATGGACTGAAGGCGCTGTTTGGACCCGCCAATGTGGCCACTCAGGGGGTGGATTATTGGGGGTTTATAGAAACGAACTTCTATCCTGGCGGGGCGCCGCCTTGGGGGATCTTCGATATGCAACTGCTCGTGAACGCTGCGGCGACTTGTCCCGACTCTAAGATTGTAGCAGCAGGTTATAGGTAGGCAGTTATCTCTTTCCCCCCCCATTTCACCTTTTGTGATAGTAGCTTCTTTTTAGATGCCCGCCTACCCCCTTTCCTGTCCGACGTCAAGTAAACAAGACTAACAAAATCCCACAGCCAAGGAGCAGCCCTCACGCACCGGGCCATCGAAGGATTAACCCAGGAGGTGAAGGACAAGATCGTAGGTGTGGTAACTTTCGGGGACACGCAGACGTGGCAGGACGGGGGCCGAATCAAGGACTTCGACACGAATCGGACACTCATCATCTGCAACTCTGGCGATCTCGTGTGCACCGGCACGCTATACGTCTTCCCAGTACATTTCGACTACGTCAAGTGGGTGCCTACCGCAACATACTATCTCGCCGGAAAACTGCTCGAGGACGCCGCTGTAAGGCCCTGGCCAAACGGGAGCTTTGTATTCCCTAACGTGACGGTCCCGGCTTCGCTTCCGCCCATTCCGCCGCCGCCTCAGCCGTCTACCGCGGTTCCGCAGTCGCTGCCCCCGCTACCGGTTCCCGAGGGCGTTGGCAGTGTGAATACAGACGGCTGATTTATCTAGTATGACGACGATGGATTATAAAGACCGCGTGGTAGTTAATAGAGGATGTTGTGTATAGCTTGGAGATGTCCCGGGAACTCTACTCGACGCATAGATTACTAGAGGTGCATAGTTACGGGTAGAGTCTAGAAACGGCGGCGACCAATTCGTCGTACTTGGCCCCTACGACTTTTGGGTAGTCGTTACATAGCATGAAGACTAGAATCAAGCCATAATCAAGAGCATATTTCCTAGTATCTAGTATTTGTGTCTCTTCCTATGAAACATTGTCAACCAAGCCGCGCAAAGGTAGTTCCGTAGAGAAGCAAGAAAACCTATCCCTTCAGCCCACCGTACTATTAGAACAAAACTATCCCGTGATAAAAGACTAAACAGTTGCTCCCATCTAATTAGGTACCTCTCCTATCACCACTTACCCCATCGACCCCTTCACTCAAGTCCTAAGCACCTCCCAACAGCCGTAACAAGAGTCCCCTCCCCAAAGTCGAGTCCACATCACCCAACATTCCTCTCTGTCAGAATCCAGCCACTGACAGCGCACTCGATATAGCACGACTCCCTCTTAATAACAAGCCACCGACGATCAATGGAGCAAAGGAAACAAATACGCACAAGAATAGCCTGTTTTTTTTTTCTTTTTCCTTTCCCCTCGGCACTTGTCGAGCTCTTTATAGCGCCAGAGACGAGTCGCCACATACCTACTTTAGGTATCTATGTATGTAAGTAACGGGGGTCGGTTGCTGAAAACGTTGCAACTTGGCGTTGATGCCATATCTGCGCGCGGTGAGGTGATTCCCCTATCATATCCCTTGTTAACCCGAATTGGGTACCTAACCTAACCCAACGCATAAGCAGATTCGCCGTTAGGAGCTCAAAATGCGTTTATGGAATTACTGGGGATACTGGAAATATCGATATCGAAGAACTTGAACTGGTTGATGCTGGTGGGTTGGCTGGTTGGTGATATAATACTATGAGGCGAAAGCGCTGCGTCGAGTCATGGTATAGTTCTCTTGATAACGACATTGTGTGTCAACTAATGCGTATTTTTCCAAGTGCTACAAAGTTTCGAATAGCGCATCGTATATTGAAGTTTCCATGGATATGATATACCAAAATCATATTGAGACTGAACATTTCCCATCATGGAATCGCAAAGGAACTTCACTTTGTTAGATTTAGGAGTAGCCTTAGAGCGTCTTGCGCTATTTCGACGGCTAGCGAGCAATAACAACTATAGGGTATCGCGGACAACATTATTGCTACTTACTATCCACTATCAAACCCCTGAGCTCGTCAGATACACATATGCTCCAACAGTTCCGAATCGCCTCGGGAGTTATACACAATACTTTGCCATCACCCAGTATCAAACAGTCACAACCCCTATCGTCAAAAACACGTTACTAATTACAGCCATAATATTTAATATACTACTAATCGAACTCAGCCTATCCATATCAACAGCGCGCCTTCAAACACGCATCGATCCTTTCTACGGAACAACTCAAGTTAGGTACTTAAAAACCGCAACATCATTCATCATTGAATATACCTTGCCCCTATAACGCCCCGATTGACTAAACGCCGCATCGCTCTCCTCCTTCCTTCGCCTTGGAAAAAAACGAAACCACCAACAACAGGTATGTGTGTATGCAAGTTCTTCACATGGCCCCTGCCCGAATCGCCTTTATAATTCGAGAGGAGAGAAAAGGTATGCTACAAGAAACAGACGTTTTATATCCTAGATTGTAAACCCTATTTCTTGCTCTTAGCGGCTCCTCCGTTGCCACCCATCTTGACTTTTTGAGCCTATTCAAACCGTTAACCAAGCTCTTCTTAAACTTTATGTATTTCTGCAGGGTATCACTTACGTCTTTGGCAAACTCTAGACTCCTTATAGTCTCATTCTCATTCTCCTTAAGCGGGCTCACCATGACGAACATCAGTGTCCGGCAACCCTTTCCTAGCGACGGCCGTAGTAGTTGGGTTAGAGTGTAAGACCGGAAGTCTACACCTTCCGTCTTGCCCTGACCTAGGCGTGATAGTACTGTTCGTAGGTAGCTTAGCGAGGAGTTGATCTCGACACCTTCCCGGTAGATCTGTTCACCACGCGCCTTGTCAGGGGACTCGGAGCCCGCCAAGTCGATGAGGTTTAGGGTACCCTTTCGAGTCCTGATGATTTCGCCATCTTCGTTCTTCTTGACCCCACGGATCTTCAAGACTAGGATGGAATGCGAACGCGACGACCGATCATTCATCGCGGTTGCGGCAGTATGGCGGTTGTTGTCTGCCGTCCTAATCATTTCATCAAGGTCCCTTTCTTCCTTCAGGAGCGTGAACGAGTGGCCCTTGATATTTAACTCTTCACTGATTGGATCTACTGTGAGTGGCTCGGGCTTCGCGCTGCGAGACGCGAGCAGGTCATACAACTTGTCTTGATAGACCTCCAAATAGCTGCCCTCGACCGTGTATTCCCAGCCTAGTACCTTCAGTCTATCGACCTCGCTGAAGATCATATCTTGTGTTCTGGGGATGATACCGTCCTCCTTTCGACTCATCGTGTACGTCTTGCCTGACCCAGTTTGGCCGTAACAGAAGATGCAGACCTTCTTGCCATCCATGACGGATTGAACGAGTTGACTAATCTCGTCAAACACGTCTTTATTGGTGCAGTTGTCGTCGAAGACTCGTTCGAAGTTGAAGTCTTTTGGCTCACCAGCAATCATCTTGCCTGGCATTCTGAAGTCTTCTCGTTCCGTCGGTATGGTTAAACCGTCGATCTTGTCCTCGTCGAGTTCGCTCATTCGTGGATTGAATTTGATGAGAGTATCGCTCGATTTGTCTGCTGGGGGCTTGATTCGGCACATGACACGAATATTTCCCTTGAGTTCTTGTACTTGTTCGAAGAGTTTGTGCCGCCTTTCTTCTTCCTTGATGAGCCTATTTCGCAATGCGTTGGTCTCCTCGTCGATCTTCTTTTGTGCTGCTTGCTCGATTTCTTGAAGTCTTCGTTCGCATTCTAGCTGGATGACTTTGTTCTGTTCTTCTAGGCTCTGGATACGCTCCGAGCTGATGTCTAGTTTCTGACTTAGAAGACTGATCTGTCCACCTAGATGGCCCTTATCTTTGGAAAGACTTTCCTCAGCATCCTCGGCTCTTTTTCTGAGCCGATCAATCGTCTTGAGGTTTTCGTCGATATGAGCCTGGAGTAATCGCTGCTCCTCTTCTGATTTTCTCAATGTGTCTTCGAAATCTCGCATCCGGACAGACTGCCTGTCCAGATCTACGTTGAGCAAGCGAATTTCGTGTTCGTGATCCCGCTTCTGTCTCTCGAGGACACTCCGTAACTCCTTATTCTCATGGGATAGGTTGTCCAATCTGGCTTCTGCCTCAACGCCGCATTTTTCTTCGAATTCTTGTTGAAGCTTAGCGACCTTGTCCATTTCCCGCTCATAGTCGTCAACCTTGGTCCTCAACTTTCTTTCATGATCTGCGATTATTTCTTCGCAGTACTTGTCATGGCGTCTCTGCTGATCCTGGATATCAATGTTGAGGTTGCGGACTTGGCGCTCTGCATCTGATAGCTTGTCCATAAGCCTTGCCCTCTCTATTTGCAACTCGTTTCGTTGGTCCTCTAAATTTGCCACTGTTACGTCTTAGCGGATAATAGAACCGTGGCATATTGCAACACGATGACTTACCTCTCTTCTTCGCGATTTCGAGCTCTTCCTTGACACCAAAACTGCTCTTCTCGGTAGCACTCATGAACTCTTTCAATTGCTGAAATTCGCTGTCCATCTTGCCAAGCTTCTCTTCGATCTCGGATACTACATACCCGGTGGTGTTAGAATATTTAGACAAATACGGTCCTTTTCTAGGTGATGGTGACATGGTAGTGATTGGGGTCTTTTTGATATTATTCCAGTGTATTTCAAGTTGATCCAAAATTTTTCTAGCTGGGGTTGTAGGGACCACTTGGTCCGTCTGGGCTTCTTCACCTTGTGCTTGATACAGGTCCACGGTACTTAGCCTTTTACGTCTGGGGGTTGTCTGAGGGATGGCGGTCGTAAGCGGAGGGGGCATGGCTGGGTTAGAATTCGCTTGATTCCCTTGTATTTGGGTCTTCTGTTTGTTGAGTGATAGTGATTGGAATCTGTTAGATAGAGAGACTTCTCTATCTTGAGAGAGTGGCTCTTCATAGGAGATATCTGCAATATCTGCAATACCCTGAATAGAATGGGGCTTCCGAATCTTCTTGCCAGGTAATTTGTTGTAGCTAGGCTTTGCGCGGATGTGCGCTACGGGGGGCACTGTACCATTGTTGGTTTTGGTTTGTCCTTCCTCACGTGTACCCATCGAAGTTGCAGGCCGTCCAGGTTTCACAGCCGATCGTGTTCGCGAATGCGAGTACTGTGAGCGGGAAGAGGGGCGATAGCCGGAGTTTATACTTGCAGCGTAACTGCTTGTACTAGAGGAATAGCTGCTGGTCGAATTGTGGCGGGATAATGAGGAACCGTTGAAGCTCGCGTGGTTAGCTCTAGGCTGTTCACCGGGCAGATTAGCATACGAGTCAATATATGTGATACTACGGAGTGTTGACTCTAGTTAAAGTTTGGAGTGGTATCAAGTTCTCGAAATTCGTAGTCGAAAGGGTATATTACTCACCGCGTCTTTCAGGGCCATGCCTCTCAAGCTCTGGGAAGGCTGGTATGTGGTGCTAGAGACGCCAGTATGCTCTCCCGCTCTTTTGGACAGAGGCACTCGCTTGGCATCGGACTGTACGGCTGTATTTTATCATTGTAAGTATATGCGATCAGGATATTAGACAAAAGGGTCGCTCAAACCTGGCGCCGGCACGCTACGCTTTAGCCCATGTGCCGCTGGAATCGACGATGACGGTTGCGACCGAACATTACTCTGAGAACTAGTCATCTCGTGCAGGCCGTTGATGTTGGAAATGGACCCAGGTCTAGGTATTCCCGTGGTTACTTTCGATGGCTTTTGAATACCGCTGGCCCTAAGTTGCTGCGACGACAGTTAACTCCTATTTCGAATCTTGTACGCGAGTAATACTGGAACTGATCGACTTCTAAGACTAGGGTTAAAATGACTTACCACACTTTCTGTCTCCATGTTGGCGTCCCGCGGAAGACTTAAAGCAAAAATCAAAACGCAAGGCAAATTAAATAACAAAGCAATTAAGCTCCAGATGAGAGCGCGCCAATTCGAGGTCAAGGAAAAGGAGTCGACGTTAAGATAGTATTGGAGTTAATGTGAATTAAGTTTGAAATGGTAGACTGTTTTTCCATTGAGCGAAGTGGGTAGCGTTTGATGGCGTGTAGATTGTAGATTGTAGGCGGATAAAGCTTTGAGTTGTGCAAATGTTGGTTATGCAGACTCGGTCTTGTTGATTACATTACGTAGTTGTCCAGGCAACAGAAATATTAAAAACTTGTACTTTTGTAGAAAGGGCTTTTAGTTTTATGGGGCTGAAACGGGTGAAGCGGGCAGGCGGGCTGAACGGGAATCAGCTTACATAGGTGGTACCTATAGAACTTGGTCTAAGCTTTCCGTCGTTGGCATTGGCATTAGCATATGAGATAAGCTGATAAAGGTGGAATAGCGCATGTGGGAAAGTTTATTAGGTTAGGTTAAGCATTAAAGCATTTAGGTCTCTTCACATGCCAAACACCAAAAATACGAACCCTTGACGCCATCGTACCGTCTTAATTCCATACCCTCTTTTCATTTGACAGGTCCAAATTCCCGTTGCACTATTTCCTTACCTCTACTGTACATACCTTTTTGTGTTGGCGCCCCGTTACCGTTTTATACCCAACGTTCGGCACACATTATTCCTTGATGTCTCGGTAGCCTCGAAAAAGAAAGAAGAAAAAAAAACCCCCCCAAGGCCGGGCAGATTTATCTACTGTAGCTAGCTTCTTAGTTATTCATCATCACCACGCGACATCTCCATAGTTCTAGCTTTAGAAGACATAATGGAGAAATACAGCCAGTTCCGCGATCGCGGTAAGCTCTAACTTATTATATTATCTCTAAAGTGATCACTCATGTATGTACCTGACTAATATCATTCATTAAGGATCTGGCATCTCGCCCTTTATTCCCTCTTCGACGCCGAGTTCGACTCTCTCTTCGCTCTTACATACAGCTCTCTTCCTCTTCCGACTACCGCTTTTCCTGTCGTACAGCGCCTTATTCTTCATCTTCCTCGACAACCTACCTTCTTTCCTCGTTCCGCAGGTCATTCGTAAACTGCTGTTATGGACGTTCCTTGGTATACCGGGTATTTGGTGGGTGGATCTGCAGCTCGACGGTGTCAAGCGTGGCTCTCTTTCGCAGCAGCCGAGCTCTCGCTTTCCGGGAAATTCTAGCCGTTCTGTCATTGCAGCACAGTTTACGAGCCCTATCGACGCTCTCTACCTCGCCGCCATCTTCGACCCTATATTTACCATCTCGTTCCCGGGTACACGTAAGGTCCAGCGTGTTTCCCTCTTGCGCGGTATCCTGCTTGCCCTCTTGCCACCAGCACTATCTCCGCCGTCTCCTAAAAACTTAACCACCTTGCGTGCACTCGTAGAGCAAAACCCGCACCGTGTTATCGCCGTCTTCCCCGAGATGAGCACTACAAACGGCAAGGGAATCCTTCCGTTTTCCCCGTCTTTGCTATCCGCGCCTGCCGATGCACAGATCTTCCCCGTCAGCATACGGTACACACCGCCCGATATTACAACCCCTGTCCCGGGTGCTTATATTTCCTTCCTATGGAAACTCCTCAGCCGTCCTACGCATCTTATTCGGGTGCGCATCGCTGAAGGTGTGACTAACAACTCTGCCGCGGCGACGAACGGGGATGGACCAGCGAACGGAATCCCGGATAAAACCGGCGATGAGGTGGACGGCGAATATCTCACGTCTGAAGAACGGGCGTTGCTCGATAAGGTCGCCGATGATCTAGCGCGGCTCGCGCGCAACAAGAGAGTCGGCTTGACGCTACGGGATAAAGCAGCATTTGTCTCGGCCTGGAATAAAGGCAAAAAATGAAGTTATGCATACTTGGTTGCCTTCTTATGTATTCTCAGACTGGACAAGCTGTTTGCTTGCTGGTAATCATCTAACGTCATCGTTACGTATTTTGGGTGGAGCATGCATTGATTGATTAATATTATTATCTTCCCCCCACGCGGTTCCATTGGAGCGGGAGAATAGGGGTAAAACGAATCGGATTGCTTGGGAGAGGCTATGGTCAACGACAAGAGAAGAGATGGATGTAGGTATGATATACGACATCTGTAAACTTATAGTCAGATTATGAGGAATGAAACTGATTAAGGAGATATATCTACCACTCATCTCCGACCTTGTCGGCTTTAACCTTAACTTTATGATGGGGACCTCATGAGCATTTTAGCTGTAGTTTAGATTTACGCCTCTGGATGCTTAAACAAGCTTCCGCAAGTTTGAACTTTGTTCGATTTTTTCTTCTTCTTAATTACCGCTCATAAGACAATGGCCGGAGTCCGATGCGCCCATTTTCCGGACCAGAAACCAGATCACCGTATAACATAGCCCAAGACCAATAGATACAAGACACCCATCCTACTTGCTTTTTAACACTCAACCCTGAATATCATTTTATATACGCCTAACAGGACCTTAGTGTCCCGTAGTGACACATCCGTGGCTAGCATCGCTGACAAGTGCAGCATACTTGGTTAGTGTACCCTGGGAGTATCGCGGCGGCGGCGGGCTCCATGACTTCTTCCTCTCTGCCATCTCCGCGTCGCTGACGTCGGTATCGATGACGCGCTTCTCCGCATCTATCGTAATGGTATCACCGTCCTTTACCAGTCCAATCGGCCCACCTTCACGCGCCTCGGGTGTAATGTGACCAATCAAGAAACCGTGGCTGCCGCCTGAAAATCGTCCGTCCGTCAATAGCGCGACGTCGTTGCCCAGGCCATAGCCCATGATAGCGGACGATGGCTTCAACATCTCAGGCATACCGGGTCCACCCTTGGGTCCCTCGTATCGGATGATGACTACCGTCTTCTCGCCCTTCTTCAGCTCTCCGCGCTCAAGAGCCTGAATGAAGTCATCCTCTTGATCGTAGCACTTTGCTTTGCCGGTGAAAACAAGACCCTCCTTGCCCGTGATCTTGCCGACAGAGCCGTCGGGTGCGAGTTGGCCGCGCAGGATTTGGATGTGGCCTGTAGGTTTAATAGGGTTGGAGAATGGTCGAATGACCTGCTGGTCCTTGGGAAATGATGGCCATGACTCGACGTTCTGCTTCAGCGTCTTGCCCGTGACAGTGACATTGCTACCCTTAAGGACGCCCTCGCCGATGAGGAATTTGAGTAGGGCAGGGGTACCGCCGATCTTGTGCAAGTCTTCCATTACGAATTTGCCGGACGGTTTTAGGTCGGCAAGGAAGGGTGTCCTGTCTGAGACAGCTTGGAAGTCGTCCACTGTGAGCTTTATTCCCACGGAGTCCGCAATAGCGATTAGATGCATGACGGCGTTTGTGCTACCTCCGAGGATGTTTACTACGATCATAGCCTCCTCGAACGCTTCTCTTGTCATGACATCCCGCGGGCGTATATCCTCCTTCATGGCGTGCTTGATTGCTTCTCCAACCCGCTCACATTCATTGACTTTGCTAGGGTCATCAGCAGGACTGCTACTGCTACCTGTTAAAGTCATTCCTAATGTCTCAATAGCGGTAGCCATTGTATTTGCCGTGTACATTCCACCACATGCACCTTTTCCGGGGCATGCATGTCGGATAATATCGAATCGTTGTTCCTCTGTAATGTCACCCGAAATGTATTGTCCGTACGCCTGGAAAGCGCTGACAATGTCAATTGGTGCACCAGTCTTACTGCAACCAGGCTTGATAGTACCACCGTAAACCATGATACTGGGACGGTTCACTCGGCCCATAGCTATCAAGACACCAGGCATATTCTTGTCGCATCCGGGTAACGAAATGTTTGCATCGTACCATTGACCTTGCATAACGGTCTCGATACTATCTGCAATGATTTCTCTACTTTGAAGAGAGTAGCGCATGCCAGTTGTACCCATAGATATACCATCAGAGACACCGATCGTGTTAAACCGGTAAGGAATAAGCCCAGCGCGTGCAACGGACTTTTTAACCACAGCCGACAGATCCATCAAGTGCATATTACACGGGTTACCCTCGTACCATACCGACGATATACCGACCTGAGGTTTTGATAGGTCTTCTTCGGTAAGACCAGTCGCATAAAGCATAGCTTGCGACGCACCTTGCGCCTTGGGTTGTGTGATGAAGCGGGAGATTTTGTTGAGATCGGAATCATTGGAACGGCGACAAGACGTCGTACTTAAAAGGCGACTAATGATAGAAAAATCAGTTACATATATTAGAGATGCATTGTATTAGTTTCACATACGCATATTGTCTTGATGATGCGAGTGCACCCCGAGTCAGAGCTCCGGGAGCTCTGGCTCGAAGGAGAGCATGTAAAGCCATGGTGAGCTTGGATGAGGGGCCGGAGCCGTTGATGGATCAGTAGACGCTCTCCCACAATTGAAATAATGTCAATTGATAAGGAGGGTCTTCCAACAATTAAGTCCAATGCCAAAAGAATTCTAAGTAAATACTTAAGGAAACTTTCGATTGGCCTTTTAAAAAATATGTAAATTTTTGGTGAGTCGAGATCAAAAAATTCTTGGGCGACATCGGCCGGTGACAAAAATCCATAAATTGATTGGCGAAGCAGTGGAAGCAAGAGACGATGCGGGTATGCCAAGTCCCACTAAACCCCGCACTAATTAAGGATTACCTATGACCATCTATAGAACTGCTATTGGCTCGCTGTTTGGATACTTGATGCCCGTGGGGCCGACATGTCCGGGCTTACCGGATCGGACCCGGACCGTAATAACTGATTGCTTAAGTAGAGTAGGTGCTAACTTATACTACGGATTAGAAGGAGAAGAGCAACTTATTCTATGATTTCTATATTTATGAATTTAACGAGGGAAACGGTGTATCCTAGTGAGTGTTTATAGACTTATGAGTTAAAGATGTTTACTAGGACAAGGTTAAGCGGTGTTGTTTGTTAGTATAATATTATAAATTCACGCGTATATTGACAGTTTGAAATAATGCCTGTGAAGTCTCGATCTTATAGATTGATCTGTTTGACCTGTTTGTTTCTCAGTGGATAGTTAATACCACGTAAAGCAATCGAAATACTATTGCCTAACATCGGTTAGTTAATGTTTAATTACCAACTCTATCATATAGTAAAGGTTAAATTATTCAAGAAGTCTATTTTAATATGCGGGAAAGCAGTAAGTTAGCTAATTATAATAGACTTAGAATAGATATGTTTCCACCTTCGTCGTGTTATCCATCAATATGCCCGTAAGCACGTAAAGTTTGTAACCTTAACCACTCTAAGTCGTCCCTTCGTAACAATCGAAGGATAACTTCCATAGACTAAGAGCTAGAGTTACTAGCGTTCGTTACTCAAAAATATACAGCTATAGACATAGTCCAATCCAGAGCTCGGATTAGATGTATTACCTTCCGAAAAGGGATATCCGTCACGGCTCCGCTTTAGAGTCTAGAGCGTACTCCATCTCTTATCGTAGACTCGTGCAATGTCGGTACAGGGGCCGAGATCTGCCCCACTGCTCCGAGCTCTTGGGAGGCCAAAGTGATAGAAGCTTATCTATTATATGCCGTGTGATATAAGTCGCATGCATTACTAATAACGTCATATTGTCCCAAGAGGCGATGCGGAGTCGCACATGTAAGCCAGAGAATAATTGGAGATTAGGACTTCTGGTATAACACTGTGCTATTGACAAAGGCGTAACATAGGTGGCTTGAGTTGGTTCACAATAATTATGGCCGTGACTGGCAATACCCTCTCGCAGAAGAAAGTCGACGGTGTCGAGCACGATGATCCAGTTCGTGTAGACACTGAGGTGGGATTTACTAGTCCCGGACTTCCCAACGATGTTTTCGGACAAGAAGATAACCATGATATCAAATACAAGACGTTGAGTTGGCCGCTCACTGCCGTTCTAATGATCACTGAAATCATCTCGAACGGCATGTTGAGCTTGCCCAGCTCATTAGATGCTGTTGGTATCGTCCCTGGCGTTATCGTCATTGCATTTTTAGGCGTCTTCGCTACGTTCACGGCCTGGTTGCTCATAGAATTCAAGTTGCGACATCCTGAAGGTACGTAAATCTAGCAGCTCACCGGCGTCTGAGATTAACTAACAAGACATGCATAGTTCATAACATGGGCGATGCCGGGAACATCTTATTCGGGCCTGTTGGTAGGGAGATATTAAGTGCGGGGACCGTCATCTTCGCCGTCTGTTCCGCGGGATCTCAAATCCTCGCCGGTCAGCTCGCCCTGACCGTTCTATCTAACTCGAGGTTATGCGCAACGGCATTCTCTGGTATATTCACCATCGCGGTAGCTATTTGCAGCTTCCCCCGGACTCTTCATAATCTAAGCTTGGTCTGGATAGTCGGTGGGATATCCATAATATCTGCAGGAATTGTAGCGATGGTAGGTGCTGGCGCTGTTCCTGTTGATAGAGGGAATATAGTGATCACAAGATCCAGCGACTTTACGTCGACTTTTATTAGTCTGACGAATCCTGTCTTCGCCTATGCCGGTCATTTTGTGTTCTTCATTTTCATCTCAGAAATGAAACATCCACAAGATGCAATGAAGGCAGCATGGACACTGCAGATTGTAGCGACTTCATTTTACATCGCGTTCGCTGTTGTTACTTATTGGTATATAGGTCAAGGAGTCTCCAGTCCGAGCCTCCTTAGTTTAAGCCCGCTGTGGTCTAAGATCTCCTTCGGGCTTGCAATTCCCAACTTCTTCATCGCAGGTAGTCTAAATCTTCATACAGCTGCCAAATTGGTATTCGTTCGTCTCTTCAGAAGGAGTCGCCATATACATTCACATACTTTTACTGGCTGGAGTGTTTGGACGTTACTCATACTTCTGGTCAATACTGCTGCATTCCTCTTTGCAGTTGGAATCCCTATATTCAACTACTTGGTTGGTATTGCGGCATCTATGTTTGCTGCTTGGTGTACGTACTAAATTTAATAGTCTCCTCTCGTCTTTAATGATTTACTTTTTTATATTAACTGAGACTTGTTTCTTTTAACTTGTACCTGACCCCCTGAGTTTCGTCCCTTACCTTTTAAAGTACTTCCTAATCTTCGCTGCTGCAGACACTTACGGGCTCGCTGGAGCGTTCTGGTTACACGACACATACCACTATCGGGGAGGATATAATGGATGGTTCAAGAGACCTATGATGTTTACTCTCAATGTACTTACCGTCCTTGCGGGTGGGTTCATTTGCGTCGGTGGACTGTACGGAACCATTTACTCACTGCGGGTGGTTGCAGAAGCCGGCGAGTTGCCACCACCGTTCCAGTGTTGATATTGATTTTCATTCGCTTTTAATATATCATATGTATGTGCGTAGAAGTATTAGAATGTGCTATGATATAATAGTTCGGACTAAAAGCTCCGGCTTATACCATTCATCAACAAATACTTATGCACCATTGTTACATGATTTGCGTTGTTAACAACAAACCAAAGACTACTCGAAGTGAGGCTCTCCACATAATTATATCATTATTAGCTGTGTCTGCATTTTTATCAATTCGATCTCAGGTATCAGGTATGTAGCGATAAGTGAGGTCATGATCCTAGAGCTGTGACGTTTTGCCAACCTATGACGTCAACATTAGAAGCTTCTCCTAATAGCACAAACTTTCGAAATCTTTTGAAGAATACTTATTAAAGAAGCACATAATTCATAATCTTAAGCTTAATCTTTCACTACCATTAAATAATACCATTTTAACCTAAACCAACTCATATACCATATTCTGCAAAGTGAAACGCAAAACCACCCATCATTTTCCATCAACTCCTTTCAGACAAAACACACAAAGATACCAAACCAACCATGTCATCAAAAGCACCCAGCGAGGGAACTAAGGTCACAGCTGGCCGAAACGCCCCCGTCTCTAATGAGGCACCCGGAGTTGTAAGCGAGGGTTCGCTCGCCGCAGAGTCACAAGCATTCCGCCAAGCCAACCAGGCAGCGCCCCAGCAAGTTGGCCGCGAGGACCTAACATCCGCTTCAAGGCCTCATGAGGGCGGCATTCACCAAGACTCCAGTACCAACACATCAGGCCCTGGTCGCAGCAGCAATGTAGACACCGCGCCTTCATACGTGCAGAGCCAGTTCCTGAAGGGCAAGGGAGGTCCGCACGGCAAGAATTTGACGGAGGACGACAGCATCGGCACAGAGGACAAGAACAAGAACGCGAGCTTCTCCGAGTTCGGCACCAAGAACGACCCCGGACTGGCTGCTGAGAAGAAATTCATCTCTGGGTCCGCAAATACCGGCTCTAATGCTGGACGTGAGAAGCGTGTGGACGACCAGCAGCCGTATGCCGCATTAGGCGGGGATACGCAGGCATGAGGGAGTTGAAGTGATATATAGGTATTTCAGGAATTAATGATATTAGTATAAAGGTAGAGGCTATCTGATGAATGGGATACAGGTTATAGGAATCTGTTAATGAAATAAACTCTTTGACAAGTATTGGATTTAAGGTCTTCATCGTTTATTCCCTCATGTGAAATCTCACTTATGCCCTATTGAATCTCACTAAATACATTGAAACATATTGTACTTGTCGATGGTCAATATATGAACAGTGTACCTAAAGCATCTTGATTAACTAACTGGACTTCTCTGTGAATGAAAGGAGAAGTTTGAATTGTACACACTCTCACTGAAACACCTCGACTAGTCCCCTTAGCTACTGACTTCAGAAGTCCTCAAGTTGAATTGAAAACATCGAGTTTGATAGGGTTTTTGATGTAAGATACGACTATTTCCCCTTTTTCATTAAACTCATAATCATGCTCCTCGTTGATGATCTTACATACATACAGTCCTAAGTAAGACCCATCGTTATTGATAATAGAAAATCTAGATATCTAGTAACTCTAGGTGCTTTGTTATAGATAAACCTATAAGTGCATATACATCTCTACAACTACGATGCATGATTCCAAGTTTGTATAAGAGCTTTCTATTTCGCAATAAAAGTTTCAAGTTTCAACCGTATAATCGTTAGATTGAATATCATATATTGTGCTTATACTTTTAATACTATAAACACGACTATACTATAGCTGTGGTGTATTTTGGGTATTTATTTGAATGAACCCCTAATCCTTAACCTCGAAGACCTCGCCTTATTACTCTTGGCTTCAACGTATACCTCTAATAGTTGAAGTCGGATGAGACGTCATCCTAATATACGCTGTTGAGTGTTCGTCCGTTGTTTACGCGGCTAAGCTACGCCTCCACCGGATGCAACTGAGTGGCTTGGTCTTGTAATCCGGTAGGATACACTCCTTGCTTAGAATGTTTCCACTTTGATCTAGCATATCCCTATGCGAGTTACGATTTAGACTCGTATACACCGCCATACATCCATACTGTTACCCCTGGCTCCGCATCGAGTTACGTTGGTGAATCGTATACGTGACGCGGCTTCGATTGTAGAGTGGTAACTAAAGGCGGGACGTAAATTTGAAGCGGTGATCAGGTATCGACTTTGTTCCGTGAACCATCATTAAAAAAGCACATGCTTTTTTAATTCGATACTGTGCCAAGGTTCTATCTACATCCCTTAACCTTGGCAATTTCCAGACAAGTATCTCTACCAACTTGATACGTGGAACCAGAGCGGCGGAAGTAACGTACCAAAAGCCATTTGAGTATGGTACCTTAAACACCATGATATTCCGTCATCTTGGGAATGGCCAGGATAAGACCTTAAGCGCCCGCCGGACGTAGGAATCGTAGCAGAGATATCCTGGGCTAGATAGGAATAATGGGGTTACGACGAGGTGGATTGAATCGACGACGATAGGCCCTGGGATAAGAGACTTAAGAACCACTTTATACCATATAGGGAATGTGCTACTTTTATTTCAGAGTTGGTATCTGTAATGAGACCTTTTAGGAATTGCGGAAATAGCGAGTATTGGTAGTTGGTGACGCGTCACCGCAAAGCCCTGACGCGTTTCTTTAGATACTGCATTCCAACACCGCAAAACTACTGCTCCTTTACTCTAAAACAATCATTGGATACGAGTCGACTGGCGTCTAGATCTTAATAGAATACTATTCGAGGACTTTCTCGGCACTATGTAACATATTGATAGAGCTGTATACCACATCGTGGTCTGAGGCTGAAACCCTGGGTTCCATAATGCAAGCGTATCATAAGAACTATACAGCTAACTTGATATCACTTCACATTGCCACCTGCCATAACTTCAACTAGAAGCTCTACAGCTCTGCTTACCACATTCCCTTCTTAGCAGTGATTCGCACGTCGTGCAGATTTCCAGTAGTTTAATGTTATGAGCATATCCGCCAACCAGTTTTACGTACCGATCTGCCCACCCCACCCCCCACGCATGCATGCAGTGTATCGTATCAATATGCCAAGAATTGTGTTTCCATTCTCATCATGAGCTTTTCCTTGTTAAATCGAAATAAATTCCTTGATTATGTAAAGGAAAAATTAGTTATAGCCTTGCATTCTGCACTTAATTCCCTTCCGGGTGGATATTTATTGGTCTATGCTTTGATGATCTCTGGGGAAGCACTACATACCTTACGTAGCAAAAAAAAAAGAAAAAAAAAAAAAAAAAGGGCTGCAGCAGACCTGCAAAGCTCTGAGTAATCGTGTAATAACACCGGATTAAGCCGCGGCGCTCTCGAACCCTCCTTTCTGGTAATCTAGCGGCATGGCGACAAATGCAGTAGTAGCACGCCACGCACGATAGCAAGGTTGTGACGAACCCACCTACCGGTGCCAATACTATCTAAAGGTGAAGAGGCAATTAGTCCATATCTAGGATAAGGTATACCTTAGGTATGTATGCAGGTATCAACCCTTACCCATCGTCGGTGCGAGGGGTGTGAGTGTAACGACGAATAGAGTTGACGGCCGTGTTAAACCAAACGGTTATAGGTCAAATAGGTTGAGAAGGTAGGTTTACTGTTGTGAAACTTGAAGGATCCGTAAATGTCATGACGGTTCCACGCCGGTCCCGAATATTTTCAAGATTACGCAAGCTGATGATGATAACACGGTCCTGTGTAGGTACCTACTTTATGTGATTCGATGTTGGTATCCGCATATACTAAATATGTTAGGTGATACATTCGGTTGTGTCGCGGGCCTTTGCATATCAGCCCGTCCAACCCATATGTGAGGATATGTGAGGAATATGTGAGAGCACCCACACCCGGTAGCCCCCGGAGTACCCTAAGATACTAAGATACTGGTGTAGATATCATGGTACCTAACACCCGTGGACCTACGGAGCAGCGGAAGATAAGACTGCGTTATCAACTACGAACTACATAACGACCGGGAAGGATCAGGAACGGAAGAAGTTCCCTGCACATGCAGTATTTATGCTAATTCAGGGGGGTGAATGCAACGGACCCTGTAAATCAATGGGTAAATAAGGATTCGAGATGCCCAACTAGCCTTAGAGTGCCGAGCACGCATGCCGATCTTGGTTGATATATTGCAACGCTGCATGGCACCCCGGCATCGTCCCCTGTGCCGTTGCATCGTAAGGTTCAATCTGTTCAATCTGTGCTGACTACGATATGATGCATTCTTCTCAGATGGGAATACAATATTATGACATGTAAATATGTATTTCACCTTCTATAATTTGCAAGCTTTAATATTATGTGCATCTGCCTCGTCTCCGCATCGCCAGACATTGTATTGCCAATATTATGTGTTTATTACGTAGTCTATTATAACCATCCCTCTAAGCTTAATACATAGTAGATAACATGAAAGGGACCTTATCTATCTACCTATCCAAAGCTTGTGCTTGACACTATCATATTTAATTAGCTTCTCATATCGGGGGTAATTCTAGAAAGGTCTGGGCAGACGTACCATGCTGAAGTACACACCTCGCTTCTGGAGGAGGGCAATATGGGTACCGGATTCTAGAACTTGGCCATCGCCAAGCACGAAGATAACGTCGGCGTTTTGAATCGTAGCGAGCCGGTGGGCAACTACTATCATAGTCCGACTCTTCTTCGTTCGCTCGAAGACGCCTTGTACGAGTTTCTCCGTCTCCGAGTCGAGGTTAGAGGTGGCTTCATCTAGAAGCAAGAGCCGCGGATCCCTGATAAGTGCTCGAGCAATTGATAGGCGTTGCTTTTGCCCGCCAGATAGCAAGATTCCTTTGATACCTACCTTTGTGTTATACCCTTCCGGGAGAGAACTGACAAAGTCGTGGATCTCGGCATCGCGACATACTTGCTCCAAATCTTCGTCGGTGACCTTATCAGGGTCAACACCGAGGAGTATGTTCTCCTTGATACTGCCGTTGAATAGTGATGGCTCTTGTGCCACTAGCGAGATTGTTCTGCGGTAGTCTCTTAGGTCGATACTATCAATGTCGATATCATTGTATGTTATGCTTCCAGATTTGATACTGTAGAACCTGCAATGAATTATGAGTTTCAGATGTCCCATAAAGAAACGTCGAATAAACTAACCTCTCTAACAAGGAGACAATACTTGTTTTTCCACAGCCTAAACAGTATTAGAGTTTTGGAATCATGAGCTGACGTTGACAAGACTTACCGGATGGCCCAACGATGGCCGCGAATTGACCTTTCTCAATCTAGTTAAATTAGCATAAGGCACGGTAACCCGGTGGGCGGCGCGCTTACAGTCATGTTTAATCCATTCAACACGGGAACATCCCTTGTCGGATACTTGAACCATACATCTCGCAGCTCGATCTTGACTCCTCGAGTATCCGCGTCAACTGCCTCGTCACTTATGGTAACACCCCGACCATCGCCGTTATTATTATGCCTCATGGCCTGGATTCTATTTGCCGCTGCGGTAGCTTGCGCAATATCTAATAGAGTTTTAGCATTTTCGTGGCGTGATTTCTCCTCGATCTAGACTTACTGGGTACGAAGCTGAGCCATTGTCCTGCTCCTGTGGCACCCTAGATTGGTTCGGTTAGATAATTAATTTATACCTATCTATACTTATGCTTAGAGATTTCTTACTTGTACCACAGCAATGTAAACAACCACTTAATATACATATTAGCTTGTGTGTTGTGGAAATGGTGATTCATAACTTACGATATTGGAATGTCCAGTACTCTCCTGATACCAACAGCGTACCTCCATACCTAAATAGTTGTCAGTTGGCTATGAAAATGTGTGTAAAATGAAATGGAAAAACATACCATAGTACAAAGGCCATACATAAGAATGGTAAACTATCACTTGCCGAAAATACTATAGTTGCGAAGCGAGATCTTTTGAAAGCCTTTTGTACATGCGCCTGTAGTAGCTCTTCGTATCTGCGACAGATGCTATCCTCTAACGTAAGTGCCGTTACTGTACGGATAGCGCCAATAGATTCAGTAGCGAATTTGGCGCTCTCTCCAAAGACCTTTAGGTTCATAGTCTCGAACCCCTTTTCGACACGGATGCGGAAGAACCCAGCAGCCAGAGCCAAAGGCATAGCAGACGATAGAGCAACAATGGTGAGTTTCCATCCGAAGTAGAAGGATATGATTAAGCATCCAAGGACACTAAGAATCGATATGGCCGCAAAAGCCATATTCGTTCCTAGTAGTTGCTGAAGCTGTGTAGGATCGCTGGCCACGATTCCGGTGAGAGCACCGATTGATCGACCATCACCATCAAACCAGGACACGGTCTTAGAAATGATGTTTTGGAAATACTCCCGCCGATAGGTTGAAGTTATATACTGTACTTGTTAGCTAGAAAATCTTATAAAATGAGTACCCTGGACTTACGAAAGAGACAACTGTTGAAGAATATCCCAAAGCAAAGTAGCCCACTCCCGCTGCAGACGCAAGCGCAACGAACATGAGACACCAAAAGTTAGTGACAGCGATTAATGTTTCGCCCCAGTATGCAAAAGACGAGATAAGGGCTGCGAAAATGAAGGCTTGAACAGGTGGACTCCCACCAGCGACCACAGCACCAAAAGCCATCACCGCATACCATGGCCAGAACGGTTTCTGCTCTACGAGCATAGCGCCAAAACTTCCCATTACGCCCTTCGGCTTGAATGCTGCTTTTTCGACCACAGTGCTTTCGCTATCCCGAACTTCGGCTTTGGTCTCGTCAAGAGTCATGAGATCCATAGTCCGCTTTTCTACTTCTGTAACCTCGGATGATGCATCAGGAATGTCGGCCTCGTCGCCCATCGAGAGTCTTTGCGAGTTGGTAAGAAGCCAGTAAGGTCCGCCGATCTGAGCCATGAGGCTCTCGTGATTTCCCCATTGGACGACTTTGCCTTTGGCGAGCACCACAATGTTGTCTGCCTTTTTCACTGTCGACAACCGGTGGGCTATCATGATCGTAGTGCGATTTTGAGACACTTTATCTAATGCAGCTTGGACAACCTTCTCGCCACGAACATCAATAGAACTTGTCGCCTCATCTAGGATGAGGATCTTCGGCTGCTTGACTATAGCTCGAGCGATCGCCAGTCTTTGACGCTGACCGCCGCTCAGTTTTATACCAGCATCGCCCACCTGCGTATCATATCCCTCGGGAAGTCGAGCTATGAATTCGTCGGCAAAAGCCTCCTTGCAGGCGTATTCTACTAATTCCTTCTTTTTGGTATGGTCGCAATCCTCCCATTCTGTTCCGATTAGACCATTTGCAACGTTTTGGAAGATAGTTGCGTTGAAGAGAAAAGGCTCCTGCTGTACGAGTCCGATTTGAGACCTCCACCATTTTAAATCGATGTCTGTTAGTTTTGTACCGCCAATTGTTACTGAACCATTACGGAAGTATTGAATCTGTAGTATGGCCAAGTTAGTAACTGAGACTTGCCCAATAGTATTAGAGTCCTTACCAATTTTTTCTGTTCCGAGTCTCCATCCAAATCGTACCATCTCTCAATAAGAGCCACAATTGTACTCTTTCCAGAACCGGAAGGTCCAACAATAGCTGTCGTTTTCCCTGCTGGCAAAATCAAGTTTAGACCGTCGAGAACCTTGAGCTTGGGCCTCGTGGGATACGTGAAGTTGACCCCCCACAATACAATATCACCTGTTGCTGAGACTTCGGGATACTTTAGCCCGGCAACAGCTTGTTTCGGTGCATCAATGCCGTTGAATAGGATACTAGCTGCACCGGCTGCTCGAGCAGCAGCAGAAATGGGTGCTGCAATACCACCGATCCCCATAACTATCATCATTATACACATTAAGACACTGTGAACCCGTAAGCGGCAGGTAATAAAAGTCTTGATGGTAAACTAACGTGATTAATGTTCCTACATCAGGAATTTCAAAATTTATCAACATCTTGACAGCGTACCAAAAGGTCAAAGCGAAGGTCCTATCAATTATTAGCGTCCGAGTTGATTTACCTTAGACGCGAGATACTAACGCATATACACTGAAATAGACTGGTTAAAATGAATTAGTATAGTATAGTATATATCATAAAAATTGATGTATTACTCACTTGTGCCCTGCTGAAAAGCAACTATCTTTGATAGTCGAAGGCCCCTACGTTGCGCCTCATCAACCCACTCTTGATACTTTTTCACCATCTTTACTTCAGCGCCGTATGCAGCAATCATTCTGATGGAGCCGAAGCTTTCACTTGCGACTGCGGAGCCCTTAATGTTTGCTTCTTCGACTTGTTTCATGTTCTTCACGACGAAGGGGATGGTAACGCAGTAACATATTGTGATCAGAAACATGCCGCTGCTGGTAACCAAACTCAATTTCCAACTGCGGGTAAAGGCAATGACAATCGAGGAAATAAACATGGACAGGTTTTGAATAATTGCTGCTAGTCTCTCGGAAATTCCATTTTGAAGTGTGTTTGCCGTAGTTGTTATGATAGCAGCCACTTGCCCAGGGGGCTGAGTGTCTAACAGCGATACTGGCAGGCTTAGTAGAGCTCTGAAATAAGCTAATCGCATCGCTGAAGAGATACGGAAACCCATCATGCGGAATCCTAGCTTGGGGTCTATTAACATATGACATAGCGTATTTAAAGGAGAGTCTACTTACAGTACCAATATACCCTAATACAAACCTCCCGATGAAGAGGTATACCATGAAAAGACTAAATGAGTCCAAGTTTAGCTACGCTTCAACAGAAGCTATTATAACACTTACACGTATTCGTTTATGAGCTGAGAATAGTGATCCTTGGAACCCTCGGCACTTAGATCAGCTCTGGTACTTGCGATGCTTCCAACGAGTTGACCTAAGTAATAAGTAAGTCTTAACTCAGTGTTATTAGGGTTCTAAGTTATCGCACCAAACACGAGGGTCATCAGGGGGAAAGCAACACCAGCCCCCATTGAGGCCACCACCGAAGCTGATAGCATCACCCTGTCGTGCCATGTCGTATAGCCAAAGATCCTCTATTTCCTTGTTAGTATGTATATGAACTAACTACCGTTGAGGAAACTTACGAAGAAAGTTGAACTTGTTTTCTTAAGTTTTTCCGTTTCGGACGGTATGTTAGCCTTGGGATTAGGGGGTACTGCTGGAGCGGCCACGGGCTTAGGCGCGTTGACTGGTGAACCTGGCGGAACGCTGTTTCCAGGGGACGCCGATGGGATTGGTGAGAGAGCTGTTCCCCCGGCTTGTGACTCTGGGGGTTTAGCAAGTGATGATAGTGACGGCTTCAAGTTTATTGTAGGGCGTGGGTTAGTAGACAGTGCGGGACTCCCATGTTCCGATAGCGAGGCTGCTGAAGACACTGATGTTATCGAGGCCGTCCTGCCAGGTGGAGCAGATGCTGATAGAAGGTCCATAGTTGAGGCCTCTCCTATAACAGAAGGTGAAGGGGGGTTTGCTTCTATCGGGATTGACACTGAAGTATCTCCCCTGGGGAATTCCGGTGTGGTGTTACTTCCCTGTACCACATTCAGTATCGGGATTTCTTGATTAACCGGGCTTGGTCCATTGGCAGAAGCATCATCGTGTGGCTTCTTAGACGCTTCTTCCAGGTCGGTATTTCTTTTCTCCATATTACGTGTGCGCAAGGCGCAATTCGGAATCCTATGCAGCAACTATCCAACAGGGGCTCTAGCAAGAAAAAAAAGACAAAGCTGGTGATTGGGGGCCAGGGTAAATCGGAGAGTTCAAGAAATCCAAACTGTCAGAGAAAAAGATATTGGAGTCGCTAGGAACAAGAACCACACTACTACTAGTATTACCATGTGAAAGGGACCCTTACCATATGGCCAACCATCAAGGGCCGTGGGTAAACGCGTTCTGTGGCGGAGGGATGCTCCGCTAAGTAGAATCTGAGAAAATTAAGCATCAATTAAAATAAATGAGTCGATATACCCCATTGGCAGGGCCCCCTTGTCATGCCTTATCCGTCTGCATGTCTCGGGAGTATTGGACGGTCTCCCTTGTCGCTGTGTCCCTAGCTGCCGATCATCTTCAATATAAGCAACCATTTTCCAATAGCTACATACGGGATATTACCTTAAAAGCTTGGGTGGCAGAAGCAACTCCCTCGTATGGTAGGTGGCTAATTAGCTGCGTTTTCTCTTGTCACAGGCAATGCTGCCGCCAAATCGAGCGAGGTTACATTATGCATGGAAAAATTCCAATTCTAAATGAACCCTATCACGGAGTTTCTGTACACAGAAATCGAGTGCGGTATGGGTAATTATATTGCTTCTACAATAATAACTGCATGGAAAATCTCTATACCTACATCGGGAAATAAACTAAACAGCTATGGTAATCTAAAATGTGTTTCTATCATGTAATTCTATTCTGACGCATCTGCGATCATGTTACGGATGACGTCTCCAAGCTCCTTAATGACACCTTTTTCTCTTGGAAGTGTGTGACCCTTGCCATGGTCAAAGATGTAAGCTGTATCGGGTTCGCACGTGTTATACAGAGCCATTGAGCCCGCAACGTAAGGATCGAGGGAGCCGACTCGAATAATAGTTAGCATCGTCATGTTAATAACGCCGTATGTTTTAAGACTTACTGATGTGACAGGTGTGGATGTTAATCATGAGATCAGACTCATCCGCGAGCACCATGGCGAATGTAGCAGGGTCTAAAGGTGGCCAGCCGGCGAAGAACACGCCGCATTTGATCTGAGGTTTCCTTCCGGTTTCTTCGAATCGTCTCTGTTCAGCGAGGCAAAAGGTTGAAGCGACAGTAGCTCCCTCAGAATATCCAATAATCCCTTCAAAGGGACCTTCCTTCTCCATGATTTCAAATAGGTACTCAATGGCCCTATTCGTACTCCGAACACTGCTGGCAACACCCTCTTTCATGAGTTCTCGCATTGTGTCTTCGGCCGTATCGCATTCAGGGAAATCTCGAATTCGAGATAAGACATCAGTATCATCTGTCCCTTTCTCATCTGGCTCGATGAAGCGGTAGTAGGGAGGTTTTCCGAAGAAATCTTCGAACCCCTCCGGAGGCACTGCCTCACATGGCGCATCAACAAAACGAAACTGGGCAGTATCGTCAGACAACAGTTCGTTGACGAGAGGTGCTAAATTTCGTCAGCAAGTGCGTAAGTGTATAGGATACACAGCGGATGCAGTACCTAGTTGGACTTGGAATTTCTAAACTGTATGTTAGTGGAGTATCTTATCTCCCAAGAATACCAAGACTTACATCAGCGCTTCCATATGCGCCGGGAAGACACAAGAACTTCATGTTGAAAGATTGAGGTAGTCTCTAAGAAACTGTGCAACTAGTTACACCGAATTGGATAAGAGAAAAGGAGATTCGCAGCCATAAGAAAACAAGCATGAGAGACAGGGAATGCAGTAAAATGAATGATTGCGCGTATTGAAGAGTAAAAAAAAAACACGGGAGAAGGCTTACGTGTTAGTTTACGTATAAGATACTTGATATCTCTGTTTGGAACTGAGACTCTACCGTCCCGGTTCCCCTCCGGGGGTGTCCGTAGGAAGAGTCCGGAGACTAATGAGCTCGTTTGAGATACATTGATCCCCAGCGAGGTAGATCTTGGCAAAAGCTGCTGCAGGACCTCATGCAGTGGCAACATCCGCCAACTCCTACAAGACGGAGTTACATAGCATGGGTAACAGCCACCCCTGTCATCAGGTAGTCTTGTAACATGTGAGCTGAGGCTCTATACCTCGAGACATGCCGGGATATTTTCACGGGATTATAGAGGTCTATAAACTCCATTTGGGTCCGTAGGGCTTTTTTAGTCTAAGGTCTATGTTATAAGATCTTTGTTGTTTTGGGTATGGCTTCGGCGCCACCCGGATAAAAACGCCAATAGCGTGTATAACTGTAGGAAATAGTATAAGTTAGCCTGGGCCGCCGTCATTGGACATGATAACAGCCTACTACGTAGTAGACTGCTGTGCTCTCGTTGTCGGTAAGTGCCCCCACTCACGCCACGACCTCGAATGGAGCCATAGGAGCTCAAAGTGCCGGGTGCCAAGCCGCGCGGGGTGGGACTATACAATCTATCCATATTGGGTGCCGTCAAGGATTCTATCTCGGTGGTTGTGGTGGTTGTGGTGGTAATGTTAGTAGTAGTATCTGTAGTAGTATCTGCTACGTACGCCTACAACGTATGCGTAGTATATGCCAGGGACGCGAGCCTTGGACGCATCCTTATCGGGTTGCCGCCACATTCAACCCCCTGCTACATCGCAATATCTATGTCTCAATCTCTATCTGCCTTAACCCCTTTGGTCGTGTAAAACCTCCGGAATCAACTTCCCAAGATCGGAAATCAAGCAAAACAAACTTAACTTACACTGACAATCTTAACCCTTATGATCCAGTATTCGGTTAGCCTTGATGCAGGTATTTCCAATAAATGGTAAATGGATCGGCAATATCTTCCCGCGCCGCCTCGACCATGCGTGGTTTAGGACAGCTTCCTCTTCGAGTATAACGACTCGTTACGAGGTTACGAGGACCCTCCCGGTGATATCGGTACAGGAGCACGTCAGTACTTGTTATCCTGATGTCGTCGTGTAAGCGAATCGTAAGCTACGAGGACCCTGATCATCCTCCTACCGTAGATGAATGGTTACCCCTGCAGGGGTGACTTAGACAGATGAAGTCTCTCTATAGGTGTCCTGATCCAGTATCTCGACCCCTGCATAAGCTTCTGGGTTCTGGGCTCCTGCAAGAGGTCAGGAAATTGGTGTGCAATGTCTAAGACAGATTGTCAATATGATCGGCATCGTGGTAGCCGTGATAGTCAGGGATGACAAATGGTACAACTAGGCCAACTCGACTATTGGATCCTACCATTCCCGTGTAAACGTTTCCGATAGACGCCGTCAGATCTATAGAAGAGCTACTTGCCTAAAGTTGCATCCATGGGGTTCCGTGCTAAGGGTGGAAAGATTTTCCTATCCCCCGAATATCAGGCTTTATTATTGTAACTTACGACAGCCCACTTGCGACCCCGGACGGGACACGACTTATTACGCGTTCCGACTGTTCTCCTTGAGACAGAAATATAAACCGCATTCTCGACCTAAATGCTATCTTGACAAGTCTTTTCTTAGAGTACTCTTGGGCTCTATAGTACCGTCGCAACGAAATCCGTAGTCATGGCCCCGTCAGCCACAAGCCCCAGTGCATATGGCACATCCAACGGAGTCCACGAGGATTCGAGAGCTCCTACTAACGGATACACCAACGGGCATACCAATGGCCATACCAATGGACATACAAACGGATTCACTAATGGCTCTTCACACACCAATGGCAACTCTGAGCCAAATGGGCATCATGCTCAACCCTTCGGACAGACCAACGGTCATCGAGTTGGTCAAACCAATGGCCTCAGCAACGGCCTCAGCAATGGAGACTCAAACGGCGTGAATGGGGGCCATACGTCACTACCTAAAGAGAAGCCGATGCCTATTGCCATTGTTGGTATGTCTTGTAGGCTACCGGGCAGCGTAGCAAGTCCAGCCGAGTTCTGGGAACTATGTGCTAGAGCTCGAACTGGCTACTCAGAGATACCAAAGGAACGGTTTAACACCGCCAGCTTCTATCACCCGAATCCGGGGAAAGCTGGCTCCCACAACCCTGTTGGTGGCCACTTTCTGAACACAGACCTACAAGCATTCGACGCCCCTTTTTTCAGTTTAACGGAGAAGGAGGCTATCTCTATGGACCCGCAACAACGCCTGCTCTTGGAATGCACGTTCGAAGCGCTCGAAAACGCGGGTATTCCCAAGCACAAGATCATTGGCAAGGATGTCGGAGTCTTTGTTGGCGGATCATTCCCCGAATACGAATCTCATTTGTTCAGAGATTCAGACACTATTCCTATGCATCAAGCTACCGGTAAGTTGGCCAAGGAATATTGAAATAATTTTTTTCCGCTGATGACGTTGGCAGGTTGCGCGTACGCCATGCAATCTAATAGATTATCGCATTTCTTTGATCTTCGCGGGCCCAGTTTTACTACAGATACGGCATGTTCTTCAAGTTTGGTCGCACTGCATGTGGCTTGTCAGAGCTTACGTGCGGGTGAATCGGGCATGGCAATAGTTGGTGGTTGTCATTTGAATATGCTCCCGGAGTTTTGGATATCCTTTTCTAAGTCGAGGTAAGGGATCTCGATCTTAGTATCAGATTTAATGCTCATCACATCACTAGACTCTTTTCGGATTCAGGTCGATCATTTTCCTTCGATAGTAGAGGTACGGGATTTGGTCGTGGTGAGGGGTGTGGTATGGTAATCCTCAAGCCTCTCGATCAGGCTCGCAGAGACAACGATCAAATCCGAGCAATCATTGCCGGAAGCGGGATCAACCAGGACGGAAAAACTCCCGGTATTACTATGCCCTCCGGCGAGGCGCAAGGTAAGTTTGCAAAAGGCATTTTTCGAAGCATATAGTAACATAACTAACATAACGCCTTAGAAATATTGATGCGCCAAGTATATACCAACGCTGGACTCGACCCCGCTGATTGTGGCTTCGTGGAGGCACACGGAACGGGAACTAGAGTTGGTGACCCAATCGAAGCCACCGCAATTCATAATGTATTGGGTGCCGGGAGGTCTCCGAGAGACCCCCTTTTCATCGGATCTGTCAAATCCAATATCGGCCATCTTGAGGGAGCTTCTGGAATTGTTGCAATTATCAAGTCTGCTCTCATGTTAGAGCGAGGTTTCATTTTGCCTAATTATGACTTCAAATACCCCAATGAGAAGATTCCTTGGAAGGAGTGGAATTTCAAGGTTTGTTTTATCCCCCCCTTTTGCTCACGTTGTAATCTGGAGAGCATTTGCTCATTTAATACAGGTACCCATTACCCAACGCCCTTGGCCGCGGAATAAGAAATACATCAGTGTCAACAACTTTGGGTTTGGCGGTACCAATGCTCATGTCGTCCTTGAAAAAGTCCCTTTCACGCAAAAGGGCTCTAAGAACGATGCCGATCTTAAGAACGACAACCCTGGGAGGAAACTCTTCCCAGTCACTGCGAATGACAAAAACACACTAGAGGCAGTTCTGAAGAGTCTGATTATCTACTTGGAGCAAAGACCTGAGATGTTCCAAAAGGACTTAATGTCTGACGTTGCTTACACTCTGGGTCAACGACGATCTCTGCTACAATATCGGGTGGCAATTCCCGCGCTTAGGTCGTTTGACTTCATCGATGCTATCAACAACCAGAGAATTACCCCCGGTAAGGAGGTCGACCCGTTAAGGATCGGATTCATCTTTACTGGACAAGGTGCGCAGTGGTATGGTATGGGCCGTGAGCTCTACGACCAATATCCCGTATTCGCACATGCAATTGACTATGCGGATGCTTGTTTGAGCACGTTGGGTGCTTCTTGGTCTCTCGTGGAAGAATTAAGCAAAGATGAGAAGACTTCTGCCGTCGGAGCGGCTCATATTAGCCAGCCATCTTGCACTGCTATTCAATTGGCCTTAGTTGATCTTATGCGATCATGGAATATTTTACCCACTGCAGTGGCTGGTCATTCCAGTGGAGAAATCGGTGCGGCCTATGCCGCGGGTATCCTAACCTTCGAGGCATGTGTCTCTATCGCTTACCACAGGGGCCGTCTCATCCCTGTCTTAAAAGAGAAATACCCTGATTTGAAAGGCTCCATGATGGCTGTTGGAGGTAGCAAAGAAGAGTTCGAGCCTCTACTTTCGGATCTCAAAGATGGTGTAGTGAAGATCGCGTGCTATAACAGCCCTAGCAGTCTTACTATCTCAGGTGACGAGGCTGGTATTGATGAGTTGAAGAAGGTTGTTGAAGAGAAGCAACTCTTCAACAGGAAACTTTTTGTTGACACTGCTTATCATTCACACCACATGAATCTACTCGCAAAGGATTACCAGGCATCCATTGATCAGCTTGAAGGACCAATTTCGACTGACGTCAGATTCCATTCCTCACTCCTGGGCCGACGTATTGACGGCACTGAACTCGAAGCATCATACTGGGTACAGAACCTTACTTGCCCAGTCAGGTTCAACGAGGCAGTACAGACCATGCTTGAGCCTATTGATGGCCATAGAACAGGTGTCAACATGCTTGTTGAACTTGGACCTCACTCTGCGCTCCAGGGACCCCTTAAGCAGATCCTTAAGACGGTAGGTGGCGATGCAGCTAAGATCCCTTATGCTTCTGCCCTCGCACGAAAGAAGGATGCTGTAGAGACTGCCCTTGATGTTGCTGCTACCCTCTTTGCTAAGGGAGCTCCAATTGACTTTGAAGCCATCAACTTCCCTAAGCAGGGCAAGCCGCCAATGTTATTAAGCGACTTACCTCGTTACCCCTGGAACTATTCATCCAAGTACTGGCACGAATCCCGCATGACAGATCTACACAAGAACAGAACCGCTCCCCGCAATGATATCCTCGGCACTCTCGCCAACTACTCTAATGAACTTGAACCTACGTGGAGGAATATTGTTCGCCTCGATGACTTGCCTTGGCTGCAACATCACAGGGTCCAATCCCTGACAATCTTCCCCTTCTCAGGCTATATATCAATGGCTGTCGAAGCAACAGCTCAGCGAGCAAAGGGCGCACACGTGAACTTTGATAAGTTTGAGCTCCGTGATGTATCTGTTCTTGCACCATTGGTTATACCCGATGAGGATGTCGAGATGACGACTACCCTCCGGCCACATCAAGAGGGTACTTTAGTCTCATCAGAAGTGTGGGATGAGTTCCGTATCTGCTCGTGGACAAAGAGCAAGGGGTGGAAGGAACATTGCAAGGGATTAATTGCTGTTCAAACTCACGAATCGAACGGTGTGGATGATGCCAGACAGAATTTGGCGTCACGAATCCATCTCCAGTCAACCATTTCTGACATCAACGCTGCCGCGTCTTCGTCTATTGAAATGGAAAAGCTGTACGACAACCTCTCTGAGGTTGGTGTCGCCTATGGCCCTACCTTCCAAGGAGTAACCAACTGCAAGGCCTCTAGTTCCTGCTCGCGAGCCGACCTCCTTGTTCCCGACGTGGCCAAGGAGATGCCTAACCACTACCTAACCGACACTATAATTCAACCGTCATTCCTTGAATCCCTCATCTCCATGTACTGGCCAATTGCTAGCTCAGACAACTCATCCCCAGACACCATATACCTACCCTCATCGGTCTCAAGCGTCTCCATCTCGACGGAAGTCATCGAGATCAGCAAGACACCCGGGAAGGCCGTCAAAGCGTATTGTCTTGGATCCCTACCAACGGATAGCCCCAGGCCAACAAAGATGAACATGTTCATTGCCGGTCCTAATGCGTCGGAACCTGTCATCAAGCTGGATGGTCTTACCATTGCCCCTATACTAGAGCGCGACGGAGAGGCTGACCAGGAGGCTCACCGTGAGCTATGCTATAAGCTCGACTGGGAACCAATCCTTGACCCAGTATCAGTGGACTCTGACAGCTCATCGTCGGAATGGGTACCTGTCGAAGACTGCCAACTACCCGACTCAGACATTGAGATTGTATATGGAGTGGGTAGCCTTCAGGCACAAATAGCTTTCAGCTTAGCTGAGGCCTTACAACGAATCACTGGCAAATTACCTACCACGAGTACTCTTCTAGAGGCACAGGCCGAGAACAAACTTCTCATCTTCCTCTCTGAGATTGACAAGCCGCTCTTATCGCAGCTGAAGGCTGATGAATTCACCGCTCTTCAAAAGATGCTCACCTCTGTGCAAGGCGCCTTGTGGGTTGTCCGTGGCGCTTACGACAACTCTACTTCTCCAGACCTCAACATGATTCTTGGTCTTAGCCGAACCATCCGCTCAGAAACTCTACTACCATTCTCCACATTAGACCTCGATGGACGGAACCAACTATCGACCGAGCAGGTGACCGAAGCCGTTCTCAAGATCTTCACCGCAGTCTTCGGCAAGAGCAGCGCCTTGAATGGCGAGCTTGAGTTCCAGGAGAGGAACGGATCATTCTTCACCCCGCGAATCATCAACGATCAGGTGATGAACGAGATCGTCCACAGAGAAACTAAACCCTCTGCTCTTCAGCAAACACCATTTGGTGAGTCAGACCGACAACTAAAGATGGCTATCACAGACGCGGGTGCGCTTGAGACACTTCACTTTATCGACGACCTGGTTGCCGAGGCACCCCTCAATGGCGAAGACATCGAGTTCAAGGTCCACGCCGTCGGTGTTAATCACAGAGATCTCACAGCTGCCCACGGCAAACTCGCGACGCACGACTTTGGTGTAGAAGCCAGTGGTGTGGTCACCGCCATAGGGAAGGACGTCAGGAACATCCAGGTTGGCGACCGAGTTGCAGCTATTACCAAAGGCGCCTTTGCCACGTCAACCCGTACCAAGGCTACCTTTGCATTCAAGCTTCCATCGGACATGCAGTTCGAAGAGGGTGCAACACTCCCTCTCGCTTACAGCACCGCCTACTATTCTCTTATCGAACTTGGGCGACTGGCCGAAGACGAGACTGTTCTAATCCATGCCGCCGCCGGTGCCGTTGGTCAAGCTGCTATCGCGCTTGCTCAGATGGTCGGCGCCAAGGTATTTGCTACCGTAGGCAGCACTGAGAAGAAGGAATTCCTCATCAACGAGTACCACATACCTGAAGACCGCATCTTCTACAGCAGGAACCTATCTTTTGGCAATGCTGTACGCCAAGCCACCGGTAACATTGGTGTTGATGTAGTACTGAACTGCCTCACCGGTGACGGTCTACGTGAGAGCTGGAGCAGCCTCAACAAGTTCGGACGTTTAATCGACATCGGTGCTCGGGACACTAACACCAGCACAAGACTGGAGATGACCCAGTTCGACAACAACGCCAGCTTCATGACCGTCGATATCATGGCAATCGCTGCTGAGCGACCTAAGCTGCTACAAAGACTCCTCTCCGATGTATCCAAGTTGATGCGATACAACAAGATCCGCCCCATCTCCCCCGTCACCGTATTCCCCATCTCCGAGGTAGAGTCCGCATTCAAGACGCTTCACGGCGCCAAGGCTCACGGCAAGCTCGTCGTCGTACCACATGCACATGATGTCGTCAAAGCAACGCCTCCCCGTAAACCTGCCCAGCTGCTCAAGGCTGATGCTTCATACATCCTCATCGGCGGTACCGGTGGGCTTGGTCGAAGCATGGCCCGATGGATGGTCAGCCGAGGCGCTCGACACTTGGTTCTAGTCTCACGAAGTGGCAGCGCAACGGGCAAGGTCAAGGAATTAATTGAAGAAGCGGCCTCCGCTGGTGCAGAAATCGTTGTGCGCCGCGCTGACGTGGCTAACGCTGCATCTGTTGAAGAGTTAATTCAGCACGGTCTAGAGGGCTTGCCTCCTGTCAGGGGTGTAATCCACGGTGCCATGGTCCTTAACGTAAGTCTTTTCAACCCCAGCATCACTCTAGATTAATCAACTAACAAAAAAAAATAGGATGTTCTATTCGAGAAGATGACCTATGACCAATACACCACCGTCATCGAGTCCAAAGTCCAAGGAGCCTGGAACTTCCACAACGCCCTCGCCAGCACACCCCTAGACTTCTTCGTCGCCATCTCATCCGTGGCCGGCGCCGTCGGCAACAGAGGTCAAGCCGCCTACGCGGCCGCCAACTGCTTCCTCAACGCCTTCGTCCAATACCGCCTAGCCCAAGGCCTACCCGCGTCATCGTTAGACTTGACAGCTATCTCCGACTCCGGCTACCTGGCCGAGGATCTCGAGAAGGCCGCCGAAGTCGCCAAGAACCTCGGCAGCGACACCATCTGCGAAGCCGAAGTCCTCGCTCTCCTCGGCGCCGCTATCAACGGCAACCTGGCCACCGCCTGCAACAACCACACCATCACCGGCATGCGCATCACCCCCAGCATGCAGCCCTTCTGGACCCCCGACGCGAAATGCAAGCACCTGCGCGAAGCCATGGAAGCAGCCGCAGCCGCCGACGCCGCCGCCTCGGGCAGCACCAAGGCGATATCGTACAACGCGGTCGTGAAAGCGGCCAAGACGCTCGAGGAAGCCGAAGCAGTCGTCTGCGACGGGCTCGTGCACAAGCTCGCCGCGGTGATGATGATGGAGCTCGAAGACCTCGACGTGACGCGCTCGCTGTCGCACTACCCGCTAGACTCGCTCGTCGCCATCGAGATCCGCAACTTCATCACCCGCGAGTTCGAGGCCACCCTCCAGGTCCTCGAGTTGCTGTCCAGCGGCTCCATTCAGACGCTGTCCAAGGCTGTCTGCGTCAAGAGCAAGTTGGTTAACTTCTAGATGTGGGAAGACATAACTACCTTATATTATATATACATAGGAGGTGGCCTACCATAGGGTTAGATGCCTACCCAACGCATTTTATCGCAACGATTAGAATGAATGATTTTGGAGGATGGGGGAGCTAAGCGCTTTTATTAATTTTTCTTTTCTTTTTACTTATTATCATTATCGTCATTAACATTAGTTATTTGTCGTTTATTTTTATTTTCAGGGGTTGTTTTGGTAACATGTCGTCTAGAATTACTACTGTATACAAGTTCTTCCCCCGAGTTATCTGGGTTGTTTTTTATTTGGCTGTAACAGGATGGTAATATTTTCTTATATAGGTAGTATAGGTATATCATTGATAATTCATAGATTGTTATTACATTATACTTTTGCTTGTTTCTTCATGCTTTGCATCATTGGTGTCAATGAAGCTTTTCTTGACGGCTAAGCTCTTGGATCCCAGTTCGCATCGACCTCCTTCATCAACTCCTCCCCGAGTACATCTCCAAGACTAACCAGTTTGTAGCTCGCTTCGTTGCTTGTGCCTCCTTCTGGTAGTTGATTGGCATCGTCATGAGTGACTATTAATCCGTTGGGGAAAGCATCTCCGAGGGCTGCGCCTACAGCGGTAAGTCCATCAGTGTTAGTTACACCATCTATGCCTTTCTCCGAGTTCTCGTAAATCGTGAAGGTTTCGACGAAGTCGTGAGGAGCAGCCCGACGGTACACATTGTACGCACTGACACCTTGCTGGCTGACGAGTATGAAACCCTTGTCCGCTGATGGACCTTCAACCAATGTAACACCTTCAACGTCTGCGTACATATTGCCATCGCCAACTTCTCCGATAAGGAATCCTTCGCTAGAGTCATCATCCGGCTCTGCACCATAGCGCCAGAGAGCACGAGGTTCCTCGCCGATGATAATCCATCCGTTTGCGTCGTCTGAGACACATCCCTCTACTTGACTGCCAGTTCCGCCCGTGAAATTACGCACTAAGGTAGTTTGCAATGCATCCTCAGCCCATGTCAGTTCATATTGAAGATACTCGGCCGACTTGGCGTTGACAAACAGATACTGCTTGCCACTTTTACGCGAGTGATATACGCAGCTACCGTAGACCTTATAGCCGTCTTTAGTTGGCTGCGAGCCACCGGCTATTGTCTGTAGAGTACCATTGGTAGTGATCTCAAAGAGGCTAAAGTAGTTAGCTACAGACTAAAATGAGTTGGTTATAAGGAGACTTACCATAGAGTATTGTCAGTTCGACAAGCAGCATACGCCAAATCAATAGTTCTATTTCCAGCCTGGAAATTGTATATCACGTCAACGTTATCCGGCTCCCCGGCGTCTATGCTCTGCAATAGCTTCCCACCGAGATCAAAAACGCTCAGTCCAGAGCCTTCTTCTGATTTCGTAGTAGTGATAATCCTCGATTCGGCCTTATCAGTGGGCGATATCCATATCGCAGGATCATCTCCATCGCCGCCGTGAGCATCTGTTTCAGCAACGGGCTGCACCACCTTGAATGCGCAGTACAAGCCGCCCCATCCATCTTCGCATTGACATATATTCGCTCCAACACATTCGCCATGCGTCGAACAGTCATTACGACACGTAATCTTTGCGCAGTCCTCGCCGTCGAATCCTGCGAAGCATGAGCACGAGAGTGTACCCGCGTCGCTAGTACCGTTTTGACAAAAGCCATTGAAGCTGCACTGAGAGCAAACAGAGCTGGAACTGCTTATATTCTCGCGAGGATCGTAAGATGTGTTCAGATCTAGGCCTAGCCCACTGAATGCTGCTTCCAAGGAACTAACGGCAAATCTCTTTCCAGAATCACCTTTCGTAGCATAGGTTACTGCGCCGGCTGGGTATTTCTTTGTCGGCGCTTGGTAGACGTTTAGGCCCTTAATTTCGATGTCCTCATCTGAGGTAATCTTCATAGAACCCAACTGGGTGAAGGAACTATTATATACCGCTATGACATCGTTCTCAGCAACCAGGATATAATCCGAGTCGAGGCTAATGTAAGCGGCAAGTGCCGTAACATCATCTTCAGCCTTTCCGAGAACACTGATTTGCGGCGCTGAAGTTGTCTCCGTAGCTGGAAAGGTATAAATCTCAGGGCCGTCATCCGCTGCGAAATATACAGCCTCCGCAGACAAAGAGACGGCGCACGACGTCGCCTCGATTGGGTTTGCGAAGGTTTGGATCTCAACAAGTTCATAAGTTCCATTATTTTCCCTCAAGAGATGCTGCACAGTTTGCTTCTTGCCGAACAAGTAGATATACTGTTCTCCACTGCTTTGGCTCTTCCAAGAGCAGAGAGCTGACCAGTCACCTAAGGTACGTGCCAGAGGCTCACCAACTTGCTTGGTGGTGCTTGCGTCGTAAAGTCGAAAGAAGGAATCAGGTTGGGCGATGGTAACGACGAGGTTTTTCTCGCCAACCCCGTGGACGGCTGTTACAAGCTTCGTGCGACCAGGAGTCTCGTGGGCCGTTTCTGTCAACGGGGTTTCGCCGTCCAAAGTAAAGAGGCGTAGTCCACCAGTACTAGCACCACCATCATTGCCAACGATGAGGGGCTGTGAATCATCGTAGAACACGGCTACTGAGTCTGACTCGACGTCGCCAGATTTTGCTGAAATCGGCAAATCAACTTCCAATGCAGCTACAGTCGCGCTCGCAGCTAACGAAGTAGCGAGAAGGTAACGGGATCTCATTGTGGAGTTGGACTTGTCGTTCTTGCTGAGAGGGATACCAGCTAAGAACTCCAAGACAGACCATCATCGTCTCATCCTCTTTAATATAGTCGAATAATTATTTGAAGTCATTACCTCTCAGGGGCTCATCGGAGCTCACCCCTGTGTAAATCATAGTCGAAACTGACCCGTGCAATCATGCGACAATGCCGTTGGCTCAAAATCCCCACGCCAAGCAGTTAAGAGATCTTCGCCTTCCAAATTAGCCATAGTCGTAAAAGATTTGCTCATCTATTTGCTCGTCGGCATTCAAGAGCTTACAAGCTAGAAATTTTTATTAAATCACTAAAACTTCTCCTCGTGAGTTTATTCCTCAATTCTTCAAAACTCCCTTTGAGAATATATGAGACTACGGAGCAAGCAAAAGGGGCAAGCCCCCCTATGAGCGAAACCGCTTAAAATATTAGCGAATCATAGTAGCGATGAGAGTGGGGGTACGAGGATCGTCGGCAAAACATGAAAACAAGCATTAAGAAGCTTCTTAGATCGGTAGCTTATTTCCGCAAGCTTGTAACATGAACTATTCATGTACGTAATAAAACGTTAGTAGACATATAATGCCAGCATTTATGAGAATTCAGAAAGACGACGGATGAGTCTTTTAAAAATTACACTGATAAGTTCTTCCAAAGTCGATAAGGATCACTACCAATTAGTAGCAGGATTTGGTACAGATCTAATCAATGCCAAGAAGTAGCATCCTCCTGGAACGTGCGAATATGGATGGAGAGTCTCATTGGCTACCTGGTCCCTGGTATCGGATCCGAAAAGTACCTACGCACGAAGTTCATGGAATTCTACCTCATCATCATGGTGTACTTCGTACGAGTCTTTTCTCGTGGTTCTCTCGCGTTTCTCGCCTTATAACGTCCGAAGAATCATATGAATCTGACGATGTTTCGCGAGATGCTGCGGCGCTGTGTAGCTATCGGGAACCAAATATATATCCTTATCTCGCGAATTGGATAACCATGATTGGTGGTACCAGGGTGTGGCTTTCTCGAATTGGAAACGACGTGTCACCTCGAGATAAGACTGCGCTCCCGGAAAATGTCTATACATCTGATAGGTACATATGATCTAGAGATGAGTGAAACAGGTCTTTACCGCAGCTACGGGATACCCGATGTGCGTCTGTTTGGGCTCGGTGTAGGGCATCTAGAGCTGCGTGGAACTTCGAGAAAACGCCTAGGTGACAACAGAGCTCTAATAAGTCGGGCGATCAACGTAAAGCAAGGTAAAACAAGCCCTATGTGCAACGCTCCGTCAAATCAAGCAGTCGGTAGACGGAAAACGAGGTTGTTGATTCGCTACGATAAGGACGTAGGATGCTACGTTCAGCCATGACGCCTAGGAATCTTTGAATTAAAATGAATGGCTTTTCAGCTATTTAACTGGCTCTTGGTGCTGCTTATGGCTGGAGGCTGATGGGTCATACCGCATCGTAGGAGTGTCGTGTGCACAATGGTTGGTGTTGTACATCGTGGAGTTTTGATGCTTGTGCCCGGGTATCACAACTGACTCCGGTAAGACGTGTAGGTATGTATCCTATGCATTTTCGATTTGCATATATAAACTCATATATCGTGCATCTACCCTTATTATTTATCGTATAGGTAAGTACTTACAGTAATTATTATATAAGACAAGTTGGTTTGATTTTTGGTGTTTCTGGTATCTCTGGTATTTCTAGTATTTCTGGTGTTTCTAGTGTTTAGGTAAATCGAAGGATGCGTTTTGTGCAACCCCCTGACCAGGTCGGAAGCTTGACCTTTGAGTTGTATAATGCGCTGTAAATCTTGTCGTCGATCTCGTAACCATGTACATTAGATGCCACACTGTCTCTCGTTTACCATCCAGTCTAAGACATTCCGGAGTCGTCTCCTTATCGGTTCTACGAAACAGTCAGAACACAGTCAATAAATCAACAAATACCAACTCACAATTCAGCCGTCCTGGAATAAGCAAGGCAATGTTGCGCCCGAGGCTTGCCTTGTCAACCTTGTCTTCGGACCTTCTATGATTATAATAAGGTTATTGTTGTTGCTGATGGTGTTAATGTTTTATTCAGCTATTCAGCTAATTAAATGATTCAGCCAAAGACTTTGGGGGAAGTGATTATCTTAGGTACTTGTCTTCTGTACTTGTCTTCCCATCAAATCAGGAGACGTGACTTCCTCGCTTCTCTCTTATCGAATCCTCCTTCCAAAGTCAACTACAACCGGTTGTTACACGTGGCACTGGCAAGGGGCGTCGCAACTTAGAGTTAATAAGTAGCAACGTGCGCGCCTTCTACTTCTTATTATTACTTTAACTCCTTCCAGAAGGCCTTCTTCTCCATTTCCTACTCTTAGGTTCTTCAATATTAAACCCAATTAAAGTCATCCATCCTTCTGGTATCGCCTTGCGCAGTGCGTTACAATAATTAATGGCGGGCGACGATTCTCCCAGTCCTTCTGCTGTCTACAACGGCAGTGAAGATCTTCATGATAAGAATCCTTCGTTCGCTGGTGATCCTTACATCGATGATGATGGCGATCATGGCGCAGATACCGAGTTGAAACGCTCTTTGAGCACGCGTCACTTGACCATGATAGCACTTGGTTCCAGTATTGGTATGGGTTTATGGCTTGGTAGTGGTACTTCTTTGGCCAATGGTGGTCCCGCTGGTATCTTCCTTGGTTACTGTCTCGCCGGATCTATGATTTGGTGTGTTAGTCATTCTATTGGCGAGATGGCGTGTGTGTATCCTCTACCGTCTGCATTCGTGCAGTGGACTGGTAAGTACAAGGCTCATAAATCAAGTCCCTATAGACGGCTTCAGCTAATAATATTATAATAAAGGAAAGTTTGTCGACCCAGCAGCTGCTTTTGCCCTTGGTTGGTCTTATTGGTTCAGCTACTGGTAGGTGACACTCAGTATCTTAGGATGTCAATTACTAATTACTGATATCGTAGTATCACGATCGCGAACGAGTTGGCATCAGCGAATACCGTCATCACGTATTGGACAACACGTGTGCCGATTGCAGGGTGGATCAGCATATGGCTAGTTATCATCATCCTAATTAATATCGGTGCCGTTACCCTCTTCGGTGAAATCGAAGTCGTCGCTAGTACGATTAAATTTGGCTGGATCTTCGTTGTTATTATCTCCATGATCGTCATGTCAGCCGGAGGAGCAGGTTACGACGCGGTGGGTTTCCGGTACTGGAACGAGATGCCATTTACGCATGGTTTCAAAGGTTTCCTCGCCGTAATGCCTACTTGTATCTTTGCCATGTCGGGATCTGAGAACTCGGGCTTAGTCGCCGCCGAGACAGCCAACCCGAAAAAGTCCATACCTCGTGCTGTCGGATCTATATGGCTCCGCCTCGCGCTTTTCTACTTAGTCGGATCGCTCATGGTTACTATCAATGTTAATCCTAACAACGATCGCCTTTTCGGTGCTAATGGCGCCAGCGGAACTGGTTCTTCGCCGTTCGTCATTGCCTATAGCGACGCAGGCATTCCTGTTCTGGCTCACATGATGAACGCGGTTATTCTCATATCGGTTGTCTCAACTGGATCTATCTCAGGTTACGGTGGTTCCCGTACGGCAATGGGGCTAGCTTACTTAAACATGGCGCCCAAAGTATTTACAAAGGCTGACAAGATTGGACGCCCTTGGTGGGGTCTAGTCCCTACGTTCGTTCTTGGTGGTGGGCTTGCCTATCTCAATGTCAGTGAATCCGGCGTTAATGTCTTCACTTGGTTTTCAAATCTCACCTCTCTCTTCACCTTATTCGGTTGGGGCATGATTTGTCTCTCACACATCCGTTTCCGTCACGCTTGGGCAAGGCAGGGTCGTACAGCTGAGGAGCTTCCCTGGAAGTCTTGGATCTACCCAGTTGGTCCCTGGTGGGGTTTGACCATGTGCATCCTCCTCATTATAGTCCAGTTCTACCTTGCTGTCTGGCCACTTGATCACGAGCAGGGTCCTACAACCTTCTTTGCAAACTACATCTCGGTCATCGTCATCGTTGTACTATGGCTTGGCGCTAGAGCCTATTACCGTGGAAGATGGTGGGTCAACCTCGACCACATCGTGCTCGACGAAGGACGAAGGTTTTACAAGAATGATGTTGAGAAAGCGAAGCCCACCGGCGTGAAAGGATATGCGAAAAGAGCTGTCAGTGCTGTTTTTAGCTAAGTGAGCAGTTATCACTATACCAATTATGATGAGTTTTGAGTACACATTGTAAGTTCGCGAGAAGTGTATCGGAAATAGTCACTATTATAAGACTAGATAACTTAAATCCCTAAGTTACTCATACATTGCTCTGTGTTCGAGACGTCTTGAACTAAGACCAATTGCCTTAACTACAATAGTCGTTATAAATAATTGAGAAATGTGACAACCAGACATGCAGGATAACTGTAATCGTAATTCTAGTTTGGAGAGCTTATGTGTTCGAGTTTGTCATAAGATGTTAGTTAAACATCTTTCTAATATTACTTCTTATTGATGAACCTAATGAAAGTTATAGTTGCACATTATCTGTCATAAAGTCCACCACAGCTTTGACATAACACCTAAACCATTGACGATATACCGAACATAGGCGTAGTATACGTTACCCCTACCACATATGTGTAGACCCACAGTGATAACTGCATGTATGTAAATCTCCAGTTGCTTATAGTGTAATTAAAGTCAGATATGAAACGGCGATTTAGCCGCCACAATTACTACGGAGATCACTTGTATTAAATAACGACCCCTCTCAGTTGACCTTGAAATATCCCTTGCGGGTCTCTCATCCAATCAAATAAATTTTATAGATCATAGGGGGAAAGTCCTAGACCCCACTTTAACCATCGAGAAAGATTTGGCTGACCTCTTATATAGGCGTCCGTATAGCCTCAATTAATCCAGGTACACCAATTAGGTACGACGAAATTTTATTTACTACTTCCAGCTAAATCACTGTCGATCAGATTGGTACCTATGTTAACAACTCGACAGCTCGACAACCGGCACATCTAACGGTATTGGGTCTAACGGGGTTAATTATCGTTCCGTTGCCAATTTAGTAACATTACTCGGCTGAGAAATGTAACTATGACATGAAGGATTAGGAAAATAATTTCTATGATTATAGGGTGTTAAGTTAGACGGTTTCAAAAAGTCATGGCGGGATATTCTCATACATCAGACTGGTTTAATAGGTATTTAACCTAACGTATACATAAGTCAGAGTATCAGCTCTAGCAGCCCGAGTTATTTATTAAACCTATACTCTACTGTTAATCCATTATGAATTAGTATAACTAAAATAGGAACTATAGTATTTACAGTGAAATGTGCAATGCAACGGATACGAAGCTGAACTATACCCCTATCCGTTTGGTGCTGAAGCAACTCTTGCGTTTCTAGTAAAAACTTGGTTTACTAGGTCAGAATCACTACCAGAGCTTCATAGCAGTATTACGAAGCATTATTAATTGAGTATATACTTTGATTGACGATATTGTGGCTTGGCTATAGTACTATTTCTATCACCCAGCCTTTTCAATTATACGTAAAGGTTTCGCTACACTGTTTCATTTAGCCTGACAGGAGAGAATTAAGTTATCCAGTATCTAAGAGGTATTACATTGTTTTTCGCTATAACACTAGCAATTATACTGCGGGATGCACGGCATGTCCGGCGAAATGTTAAGTAGTGGGTAAAACTTGCTGATATACGAAGTTATCACAATCTCTGGTAACTCCGAACTTTTTCCATTTTATCAAAACTAGCTTGGACTTGGAGGGCTTAGAAATAGAATTGTTGATTAAACATTATTGCTTGAACATTCGATTAAATAGGTCAACTTTAAATCGGCTTTCCTTGTGTGTTTCTCCGTAGTCGGTCAGATAGGTTACTTGTAACTAGCATTACTCATCACTTAGGAGCCCCCTTTTCAAATATGTACCTGTATAATATCTACCAACGCGTAGCTTGTGATGAATATCATAATTAGTTTCAATCTAAATACAAAGGAAATAATATGTTACTATAAGGCAGAGGAACGGGAGTAGTTATATTTCATAGTTAATAGTGGCCAAAACTGATGTCTAACTATTTTGAGGCTTGAAAATAATAGGGGTAATTAAATATTCCTATTCATCAACTATATACTCAATTATCTTCTACATATAAGCAATATCATAATCACCAAATCTTAAGTCTGGTTATATATTAGGTTGTAGTTATACTCTGCCATAAACCACTCCCGAATCCAACCCCTCACCAGCTCACATACTATGGCAAGCCCATTCTATTCCCGAAGATAGGAAGGCCATTTGGAGATTGTTACTATGAAAGTAACCATCTCCACAACTCTATAAAAGGCCTGTTTTGTTTAACTTGATTTTATCTCAAATGCTGACAAACGGTATCCTGTCCTCAGGACTATAATTTCTATCCAGACAGCGCACTAACGATCATGGCAACCTTCACGCTAGCATCCTGGGCTACGAACCTAACCTACGCCAACCTGACTGCGCCCGTAGTCGACGCAGCCGTCAAGAGCATCTACAACTGGGCCGGCTGCGCCATTGGCGGGTTCGCGCAGGCAGCACCGCAAATCGCGCTCAACACGTCATTATCCGCAGGTTTTGGCGGGCCGCCAACATCTAGTATCCTCGGTCTGAACGGGTCGCTAGACGGAAACGGGTTGGGGTTCGGGATAGAGCCGGGATTTGCAGACGCCCAAGTCGCCGCGTTTGTCAATGGCATTGCGTCGCATGTTGATGACTACGACGATACGCACCTCGCGAGTATAATACATCCTACTGGCGTGGTAGCTAGTGCGCTCCTCGCCATTGCTGAAGCCGAGTCCCAATCTCAGGGCAATGGAAATCGAGCCGCCGGAGTAGTGTCAGGGACAGATTTCCTAACCGCTTTCGTTGCCGGCATCGAGGCCGAGCTTAAGCTTGGACTATCAGTCTACCCGGAACACTACGACGTGGGGTGGCACATTACAAGTACGACGGGTTCTGTGGGTGCGGCTGTCGCAGTTGGCAAGCTATTAGGGCTGGATACCGAGCACCTCCAGCACGCAATAGGAATCGCATCAACACAAGTCGTCGGGATGCAAGCCTTCTTCGGCTCAATGACCAAGTCGTTCCACATCGGGCGCGCAACGCAAGGGGGCATGCTGGCCGCGCTCTTAGCACAGAAAGGATATACAAGTTCACTCACGGCCCTGGAGGACAAATATGGCTGGCTAGATGTAGTCAGCACGCGCGAGAACGCATCCGCCAACTTTGCACAATTGGGAAAGGGGACTTGGGAGATCGAGAGGAACACGTTCAAGCCATTTCCATGCGGCATCGTCATGCACCCTACCATCGACGGGTGCATCCAGCTACATAACCAAATACTAAGCGAGGGAAATTCGATTGAATCGATTAAGAGCATCAACCTACGCGTGAACCCGGAAGTTCTGATACTCACCGGTCAGACAGATCCGCAGACGGGGCTCGAAGGCAAGTTCAGCATATACCACGCCGCCGCTGTTGCACTATTATACGGCCAAGCAACTCCCACGCAGTTTACGGATCAAGTAGTGCAGAACGATACAGTGATAAGCATGCGGAAGTTAGTCAATGTAACTATCGACGACAGCGTAGGCGAGGATCAAGCATACACTTACGTAACCTTCAACGACAACAGCACCATGGAAAACTACATCGAGCACGCAATTGGCAGCTTGGATAACCCTTTAACTGTGGAGGATCTAAAGACAAAATTTATTGACCAAGCGTCACGTCAAATCGGAAGTGTAAAGGCCGAGAGAGCATATAATGCTTTCACAACTATTCAAAATATAACCAATGTAGGGAAGTTAAGATCACTATTCTAAAAGTTGACTATGGTTACAATCATCACTAAACAGAGTTTTTTTACGGTTAGTAAACGAATGATAGCTTGCTTTTAATACCTTGAAATAAAAGCCCCTATAGTAACAAGTAATTAATCACCATGAAAATACCAACCATGATTATTATCATCCGGAATATACTTCTGAACATTACCAGAGTGTATAAACATACACCACAACGTAAGTAATGGAATTAACATGGCAAAATATTCCATTTCAATGTATCCGAATGCTCTCTCCTTATCATCTATTTCCAGGTGTATTAACACGCCGCTTATGTTACAAATGTTGTCTCCTTATTCAGAAGTCTCAGAATACACGTGCTTATTATGACTGGGGGTCCGATGCATTAATGTACTCAGTGACCTCTTTAAAGGCAGAAGGCCTCCATTTAGAAGAACTTTTTGCGGAGCCGATATTTACGATCGTGATCGTAGGGCCAGGAGTGTTATCTCTAGGATGTGACTCGCTCTGATCAGTCCAGACAAGAGAATCCAACTTGCGAAACATTCGAAATCGCTCTGCGCGGATTCTTTCGGCTTCAACTGGTTTCTTTATATGCAATAAGAAGGTCTCAAGTTGAAAGAGGGATTCAAGAATGCAATCGCGGGAGCCAGTAAGCCTTGCCGCAAGCACCGAGCTCCTATAAAAGTTCTCGGCCTGTCGGAAGTCCCTTTTAATGCACTTGATATACCCAAGCCAGACACAACGAAAGGATTCATCCCTAGCCGCCAGGGAACTAGGACTTAGGCAAGATAAAGCTTCTTCGGCTTTGTCCAGGAATCCTTGATTCAAATTTAATTTGCAAGTCGCTAGTGCATGCTCCAGTTTAAGCAAACCGAGTAAGGACCGGTCAGCAAAATTGTCGCGGATCTTAGACAAGTGGTATTGGAGACCTTGTAATTGAACTCTAGGATCCTTCTCCCTTTCTACAGCGTCGAAATATTTGAGATATGTCTCGATAGTTAAGGGGTGAGTCGATCCCAGCCGTGTACCATATTCTGATACACAAAGTGCTAAGACACGCTCCGTAGCATCCCGCTGTTCGATGTAAGGGATTGATACGAAGCTTCTCCAGAACCTTGCGAGAGGACTATTCTGACCATAAATTTCCATGCTTAGGTCTTGACAAAATTGAAGTAGCAAACCGCGTACCTCTCCGCGTCCAATTCGATTTAAATGAGTAGCAGTCGATAGTATTTTGGGTATGAGAATTGGCGGGGGATTCCTCAATACCCTCGCCAGCATTGAAAATGGGGTATCGAGGGCTTTCCTAACTACAACTGGCTGTGCTTGACGAGACACCGATAGGCCTGCTGTTACGCACCTATCAAGTAGTGAACTTAAGAGTCCTGAAGGTCCACACCGGCCATGAGTATTCCAACAATGGGTATCTGACCAAGACCAGAGGCCCTTCTCAAAAGATTTGTCTAAGTAAATATGTAGCGCCTGAAACATGTCCTCGGGGAAAGAGGGAAGTGGGCTACGGCGTCCTCCCGGTGTTGAACATTTGGGCCGTGGCGAAAGACGTTTATGACTTGGAATAGGCGAACTTGAAGGAGGGGTTCGGCAAGTCACGTCTCGAATTGCTTCCGGGCTGGGCGCTGCACCGGCTTCGAGCTTCGCGAAGACAGCGGGGTTTCGTGACAGATACAGCTGGAGGTTACCATGATCTACCTCTCGGCTCCTGATATAAAATGTAGATGGTTTGTGCGTTTTATCGCGATGCTTCTTTAAATAGAGTATTTGAAGGACCTCATCAAATCGGAGGTTTTTGAATGCACCCCATGCTGCAAGTTTCTTCTTATACATGGGAACACTACCCAATGTTAGCTAAATCGTCTAGTCCTATCTTGTAAGTCCATACGTGGAGTAAAATTCATGATGTTCTTCCATGTACGACTTGACCTCCTCGAGAGTCTTATCTTGGTCAAGGTATAATTTCGTGATAACATCCTGTAATCGAGCCCAATCTTGAGTTGTGGTATGGTGCGAGTCTGGTGTATTCATTTTTCATGATGACTAAGTCCGAATCAAAGTGATCAAATTCAGAGGCCTCCGACAAAAAGCTATCCATAGTTTTCCCGTTGATTTTATACTACTCATTCGGAACCAAAGCGAGGCTTAGGGTAGTTAGAAACCCAAGGGCATCAGCAACATACGGTACTAGCACATCCGTAAGGCGGGATCGAATAACATCCCGCCTCGATGTTGATTGGTTAGGCGAACAGGGGTTTGGCCAATGACGGTAAAGGTTACCTGCAAGAGCCTCTCTAGAGAAACCATATGGGCTGAAAGAAGGTCGGTGGGAGCTCAAAGGCAGCTGAAAAAGAGCCGGGGTTCGGATAACTAATATCTCCATTGGGTGTTTGAACGCTTCGGAAATCTGAAGCACACCTCTATTCCTAGGAACCACGATCCATTTCTGACAACTGGCACACTTGTACACTGGCTGAGGCTTCATCAACCCGGTTTCGGTAATGACGGGGTCGTAAAAAAGTATCATGTGCCTTCACAAGCTCGTTGCCGCTCGTTGCAGCTCGCTGCTTTTTGATAGTGAGCGATGATCATGTCGCTGGTCCAACGGAAAACGGTAGATATCTGGCAACATTGTGCGAACTAAGACATTCATAAACGGTCCATTAGAGAGATCTAGATTATATGCCATGAGTGTGGCTTAGTCTCATACACGGATAATCAAGTGGTACTAGATTCCGTATATGTGATGATTGTGATAAGAGAACGTAAGAAGAGGCGGAAGATGTGGGGCCGAAGTCTTGGGAGGTTTTGGAGGTTTGGGGTAAATTGCCATTATGTATTTTGTATCTCATAGTGGGGTTATGCTGACTTTATTTTTAATGTAATTTGATTGGTTGACTTTAATTGACAGTCGCGTTCCACCCATTAAGGACGCGTTTTCCTTAGTAAAGTCGCGTCGTCTAAAATTCCATAATGTGACGAAAAGTCTCCATGTAAACCTTCACGATCTAAGATTGATACCCCATAACATATGCTATATGCTATTTAGGATTCGTAACCCGTTACGATGTTAAGGCAAGATATTAATCGTATAGACCCTAAAAGACGAAATGTCGTCGATCACCGAAAAAAACAATTCGCCGAACCTACATATAAGGAAATTCAATATCCTCATCGTCTAAATTTCTATGAGACGCCCCCGACGGCAGACATTACCTTGGAGCAATTTGAGCAATGGGCTATCGATAGGCTTCGGGGTATGAATCAATTCTATATTTATTGCAAATTCGTATCTTAAACTGACGATAGCATCATTATAGTCCTCGCCGAACTAGAAGCATGCTCATTCCGCAATAAATCCCCTGCCGAGACCGCCGCACATATGAAGCCGTTGCTCGAGAAATACCTCCCACTCGATTCTAACTCATCTTCCTCGTCCAAGCTCTTGGCTGAGAGGCAAAAAGACCATTACAGCCATTTCATTCTCAGACTTGCATTCGCATCAACCGAGGACCTACGCCGAAGATTTAGTCGCGTCGAGACAACACTCTTCCGTCTACGATTAGCCGAGGACAGTACGCGCGAGCGAAACGCCTTTATCCAGGGTTTAAACTTGGATTGGGAACCTGTAGCCGAAGACGAGAGGAACAAGTACTTTGCCGAATTGACAGCGACCATCGGCTCCAGAAAGGGGGACGAAGAGACAGCTTGGTATAAAGTCGATTGGGAACGTGTACCCGATTTAGTTGAATCTAGGAGGGTATTATTAAAGGCCGGAAAAGCCTACGTTCCTTCAAAAGAGCTACCAAGTATGGTCACTGCTGAGTTCACGAAGAGACTAGACCGATCGCTAGAGGTAAGTCTTCTCTCAAACAAGATGTATGTCTAGGTAGGTTAACCTAAGTTGCTATAGCTTACGGCACGTGCACTACCACGACTTGATGAAGACGATCGACTTACCCCGATCCTCGATCACCTCTCCAAGAATTTCGTCACCCCTGATGCGGCTTATATCGGCACCAGTTCTGCTGTCCCCGGCGCCGAAATCACAGCGCGGAATATCGACAATATATCTTCACATTTCCCTCTATGTATGCAGCACCTTCATCGATCGCTGCGCCGGGATGCACATTTGAAACATTTTGGCCGTCTACAATACACACTTTTCTTAAAGGGTATCGGCTTAAACTTGGAAGAATGTCTAATCTTCTGGCGTACTTCCTTTCACAAGATCACAGACGATACTTTCAATAAGGAGTACAGATACAACGTAAGGCACACATATGGCGACGTCGGTGGAGATTCAAATAGGCGCGCCGGTGGCTATTCGCCGTTCTCGTGCCAGAAAATTTTAACAGAGCATCCACCTGGCCCCGGTGAAGCCCACGGATGTCCATATCGGCATTTCAACCTAGAGAATCTTACTTCCCTACTCCAACAAGTAGGTATCTCTGACCGGTCTGTCTTGCAAGGAGTCAAGGAAGATAAAGAAAATCAGAAATTCCACATGGCTTGTAATCGGTAAGTTTACCCAATTCCGTGGCACTATGAAGCATTGGACCCAGATTAATTGATCGGTATAGTGTATTCGAATACGTGCATAAGAATGAACTCAAAAAAGCTAAAGATGAGGGCATTATGACCGTTGCCCAGCTCGAGACGATCGTCCACCCAAACAAGTATTTCGAGAGGAGTTACTTGTTAAAGAATCTGGGCAAGTCCAATAATGGGGACGACATCAAAATGGAGGGATTCTAGTTGACGTGTGTATATCTTTAATTGTGCTAGCATTATATGATTTGATTGGGATGGAATGTATGCATTATTCACGAATTTCCCTCAGGGCCACGTTGGGTGCGCAAGAAACTCGGATGGGGCGTTGTGGTGTTTTTCGATAGTAGGGCATAATTCGATAATGTTTCACTACGTCCATTACATAGTAGAAAGCCATGGGCTGATATACATATGCATGTCAATGAATGAAGACAACAGTATATGCAATGACGATTTCCTGACGAGATTTAAGACATCGACAGGTCACACTACAGCTCATAAACGCCAATTCAGCTTGTACGACAATTAGGCCTCGAGGCTTGTTGATATTAGACACATAGTCGAGTATACCGCCCAACAAAAGCATATATGGCGTGCATATTGCGGCGGCTATGAAGTGGCCGACCCTTAATTCTGTCTAGGATCCAGGGTTGACATTGGGTACCTATTCCCCGGTTGTAGATAGACGAGGCTCTAGAACACAGAACTATATTACCGGAAAACAGGATGTGTCAATCAGTATATGCAAAGGGTCGTTAGGTACGCCTTCCGATAAGTCAGTCAAAGGCCGAATCCTGTCGGCTCACGCAGGTGTTGGTATGGTGGACTACGAGGTGATATAACATGCTATAGAGTAATACCGTGATCCAATGCAGGTCGAGGAGCGATTTAACAGAACATGTAGCAACGTATAAAATCAGGATGACTACTGTATGCACGTTCCCGGTTGCATCTTCTCCCTGCAGTCATCAATACGCGAACATCCCTATAGACCGGGTGGTGGATATAGAACGGGTACTGTAGACACCCGTGTGTGTCCGGGAAGAAATACACGGCGTTACGGAGCTTACCCTCCTATATTGTACACCAGAGTGAGCCGAACCCCGAGGGTGGTGGAACGATCCCCCGGCATAGCCCATCCGCGATAAGTAATGTAGAAGACGTTAAATACCCAAAGTAGCTTACTCGAGGATTACAGACCGGTTAGGATTAACGCATCCTTCCCTATGCCACATGTAGAAAATATACGCTTACTAAATAAACAGCGGTCTAAGCGTCTACGCACGCCGTACGTGTACAGAAACTACATCACGCGCGTTCCATACGCGGCCTAGTAAAATATATTAAATATAGTGAGTCAGTTTTTCTACGCACGGCCTCAGCGGGCACGCAGTCAGCTCAGAGACGGGCAATGAAGAACCCGCGGAAACCCCTATTCGGAAAATGCCAACCCGGACGGCATCCCATGATAAAAAACGGAAGACTCGGCAACCAAGGCTTAGCGGCCAAGTCTGACCTGCGGTGAAGCCAACAAAGGCTGTGAGCTCCACAGAAATTCTCTCCGAAGTCGCGAGAGTCCTGAACCTTTGTGTGTAGACCTTCGGTGAGGCTGATCTAGCATAACCTTGAGAAAGCAATTTTGGCTTTGTCTCGGGGAGCTGAGTGAGTCCTATATTTTTACTCTCGGACAATTTACGGAAAAGTACAGAAACGAAACGGGTACTGACATTTAGGGAAATTATGCGCGAGAGATTGGGGGGGAAGGGGGAGCTAAGCTTGTCCCTGTCCTGCCTTGTGTCCTTGTACTCAAAGTTGCGAATCTATACAAAGATCGACAGGGGACGAAAAAGCTTGTGATGATTCATGGTACAGTCTGTACACTTTGTGTAGACTAGAGGTAGTAGGACCATATTTTTTACTTCGAGAAGAAAATAACCCCCCCTCAAAATCGATCCCGTGCACAAGAATCGCGCGTGGACAATGGGAAGAAGCGGGGGAGAGGACAGGATTTATGCAAAAGAATCCGATTTCGAAGGAATGGGAAATTTCTCAACGTGGGATCGACTTTTCGATCTCGATCAGTGGTTAGCTGAAACTTGTTGTCTAGTGAACGTTTTGCGATCTATCGCATTTTATCTCCTTGGCAAAGGGACATATGCCATCACCAACTTGCCAATAGTTCGCAAAGGTAGTCCTGGCCGAATAAGGCATAAAGCTTAGAATGAGGAGCACGAGCTCAAGACTATGTAGTTAGACTCACACAGCATACAGAGGTAGTAGTAGTATTGCTCCGGAGAATTTTGCGTAGTCTCAATGGTACGGAATAATGTAGAAATTTCCAATCCGAAGCGGGTTACCTATTTCTGCGACATTGCGATGCTACCCATTTTCAATCTTAGTCTAATCGGTGTGATAATTAATCTTCAATTTGCTTTCTCCTGAGTAGTACGCCGTACGTAAAATGTAAATCTAATCGTGTTACCTACTATTATTATGTACCTTAGGTAGACATAATGTATGTACCTCATATGTAGGTATGTATAATTCGGTAAAATAAGAAAATGACAATGAATGAGGACTGGATCTGGAACGCCCTAGGACCCCACCGTTCCCATCTATGTGCCACATTACTGGGGCAGGGCTGGGCAACGGGAATCTTCGATCCTCTTTGTCGATCGTTTGTTCTGTCTAGGTCGAGATTCGAAGCCCGGATAACATAATCGGTCGTATGTTGTCGGTATCAAAGATTTTCTTGATAGAATCGTCTAGATAGGACCAAAGAGTCTAGATCACGGGAAATCATATGGCAAGGGTATTGTTAAGTGAGGCTCTATGTATTATCTACAGTTATCTCGAGTCTAGAGTGTGACTGAGATGCTTCATGGAAGATTCAAGAATAGCCGGCCACGAGTCCGTCTTCGCCGGTCAACTTCTCAGCTCGTCAAAGGAAATACCGAGCGATGCATCCGGGTAGTGAAAGATTCAACGCATATACGGAAATTATCTAAGTGGTCCAAGTCAGTGACGAGACCTGCTTTTCACATAGAGGGCTTGCGGTTGTGGTTTTTAGGCTTGCATATAGGCGTCCTGTCGGCGTTTTTGCTCAACCACCCCTCGAATGCTAACATCTGACCGGTTACACGAGTTTATACGTAAAGATATTGAAGATTCAGCTAAATTGACTACGCAAGGTCAAATGCTGTATAGAGAATTCCATCTGTCGGCTGCTAACCTTAAGGTACACCGTCGCGGGACTTCATGATTGTTCTCCAAGTTTCGTAGCCCCCCACAAGTCCACCCTGAAAGTGGATCTACAAGATCAGATAGATCCATTCATACATAGAACCGTAGTGAGGGTAAAACTGGAGTCGACAGAGACTCGGGTTCGCGACTGCGCAAGGGGGGCATACGATCCGGGATAAGGGCATTAGGCTTGATACCGGATCTTTTCTATCGAGTTTAGTTCTAACTTTCTTTGTGAACCGTTATGAAACAAACGCCGCGGTATTATTATGCTATTCTTGTGCGAGTGGCAAATATGTTTTTTTTCTTGGACAGTTGGGGCTTCTAGTGGGTTGACTATAGTGTGGGATCTGGAGGATCCCTACCGTTAGTGATCGTCACCAGGTCTAGCGGGAGAAGGGTCTGGATCGAGACTTAGCAGATTCATCGGGGCTCAAGTCAAAGGTTCGGCCAGCTCACGATCTCTCAGAGTAAAGAAGATTGGTGTGAAAAGCGCCATTATCTCAATCGTTACTCAAATTGGATTTTCTTCTTTCTATGGAGTCTCGACTGAGAGAGCCCTTTCTAAGAGAATACCAAGCCTGCGCAATTTTTAACCGCTGAATAGTTTACATAGTTATATCAAGCCACCTATTTGTTTGTTAGGTAATGCCATCCTTCATAGATCGGATCGTGACAGTTCACCACAGGTTTGCATCTGCAAGTGATAAAAGCAGTAGAAATTAAACCCCCAATAGTAGCACGTGTAAGAGATCCATCCAACGAATAGCATGCCAAGGAATAATGCAAGCCAAGTATCAGCAAGTATCAGCAAGTCTCAGCCATCGTGGTTCTTCGTGGTCATCGCTTGCTGCTGCTTTAGAGTAGGGTCAATATCAGAACAGTATTAACCACATTTCGTCAATAGCCTGTGGTGTAGTACATAACCATGTTATAATGGAGAATTAAATACTAATACAAGTCTCGGAGCGTTTTAGATATCAACAGGAGGCTCGGAGGTCATCCCAATTTATTACTAGGTAGAGAGTAATTAGAACAGTGCGTAACGCCGGATTTTCATCCGATTCATGATATTGGTGCCCACGCAATAGATGACAGCATCTTCCCTCCATCTTGGAGTAAACCTGCTACACCAACTATTTACGTAGCTTAAAGTAATACCTAGTGTGGTCCTACGACATTACCTACAATTGACATCTTCGATGGATTAATAAAGCGCATTTACGGATCTCGATACCGTTAAGCCATGATTCATTATATGATATAACTCTACAGGTCTACAGGGCACACAGTAATAACGGTAAAACTAGACGGTCAAATAGGAATATCCAATATCAAATTGAGCTTTGTTAATTCCCGAGGCTCTGTTTACTTTGTTTTTGGAAACCATGCGAAACGACTTAAATACATACATCCACAGTTTATTAATCTCTTATCTTGGGAACAGCTGTCGCAAGCAGATCCATGGTATATAGCTGTCCACTGTCGTCCTGAATCAATCATTCCCGGGATTAATCTGGGAATATTATTACATATTGTAAACACAGATAACAAAGCGCCAGACCGAAGGTTCATCATCACATCTCGCCCTGTACATATGATTCTAGGAGTACATCGTATCATAGAAGAAAAAAGCCACCGCAAGAAGTATTCAACGCATGAATGAAGCTGTTATTTGAGCCCGACGGATCCGCTTGAATAGAAGGAAACGCGAAACGCCGAGGTCATCGGGATTTTAGGCAGCACGCTATTCCATCCTTTTTTCTTTTTTTCTTTTTTCTTCTTACACTATTATACCCCCTACCTCCCTACCTATTACATACCTCCCCTACCTTGCCCTGCTCGTCCATACATACATAGGTTACACCCTAGTTTATTCGTGACCAGGCACAAACTGGACACCTGCTGGCCTGCTCCCCGTCAGTTCCCCACTTGGATACTTGCGCCATATTACTGCGTTCTTATACGGTTATACTTGTCCTGTGTACTACCTCTTACTAGCTAGCAACCAAGACTGGGGCCTGTCTTTTCTGGGATTTGGTCAGGCCTCTACCATAACCTACATTAACCCACATAACCCTACTACATACAAAAAGAAGAGGGCCACCCTTGCGGAGCTCTTGTTTTCTTACCCACCCCTGGTAACTGTGGAATAATAAGAACTGGATCTCTCGGCTTGAGCCTACGCCAAACATTCCGAAACAGGGCCCCCCAAGAAAGCTCCACGCCTCATATTCCATTCCCGACTTTTTGAAAGGCTTCCATATAAGCTGCCAACATCCCCCCCTCCCCTCCACACAGATACATATACGCTAGTCCACGCCGCCTCGCCACTCTTCAACATGTCAACTCGTCCTCAAAAAACACATTACGCTAGCTCTTCGTCCATAGATTCAGATAGCAGCTCACCATCGTCGTCCGACACCGACCTCTCTATCCGAATCAGTATGGACGTCCAACCCGTTGCGTCGGTCGAGGTGATGCGCTGCCTCCGCTGCCATCGCCATGTCGAAGCCACATCGACCGACGACCCTGCATCGACAGGAATGATTCGAGTTGGATTTAACCTTTACTATTGCCAGAAGTGTGCGACAGCGGTTGGATATAAATGAACACGTCGCCAATGGGTGTTATGAGAGATAGAGAGAGAGAGAGAGATACAGACAGACAGACAAACAAACAGACAGAGAGAGGTCGATTACATATTTTCGACGACAAGATTTTCCTACAAGACTACAACAACTCAACAACATTCTAACCTGAGCTAAACAACATTTTACCATGGGTTTTCGCCAGAAAAAGAATATGGATTTTTGAACAAATCGCATTTTCAGACCTCCATGAGAGAAGGAAGCCGACAAATGGCATCCCGCAAAAGCTTTGCTATGGTCATGCGCCTCTGCGCAAAAAAGGAGAAATCAGCCAAACCAGCCAAACACAAGCTTACGACGCTCCGCTGCATCTGCATGGATAATAATTCTCCAAGATGTCAGGATATCTACATTCAGCGACAGGTGCATATCATCTACTCAACGCACAGCCAAACAGCTTCGCAGGGATTTTTTTTTTAAAAAAATAATTTTCATCCCTTTATTCTACTCTAAGCCAAGTGTGGGTTTTCTTTCTCAAAATTCCCAAATTACTCAATTTCGCCACCATCGACCCCAAGCTTTGGGTCGCAGCAGCAGCAGGTCGACCTTATCCCAAAACATACGATTGACAGGGAACTGCGAAACATAGCGAATTCGCTATCTTGTATCTTGCATGGCGACACGGGATCTTAGCGGACGCTCTCCCGGCTATCTCGCATATCTTCCCGTCACCCAAACAGATCTGAAGAAATGATGGATGGGTTTCGGATCGGGTCCTTTCCCCTTCCCCCCCCCTTTTCTCCCCATATCCATATTACTAACAGATTTATATTTGATGCAATTTGGAGAATTGCATGTTACCACTATGATTTTTTCATCTACGGGATATTGATCTGATCTCAATACGGGATACGCGGCATAGAGGCGCATACGCCCAGGATGCTACCAGCCGTTGAATCCGAGTCTTGGTTGCTAGGCATAGGTACGAATGTGAGCACAAACACAAACACAAGCACAAGCACAAGCACAACATCGCCTTTATTAGCCAACCAACAATCGGGGTTAAACGAGTTCGATGTGCCTTAAAGTTTTTGAACTTTACAGTCGGGCGACGAAGGACTGACTTTACATTGTCACAACACCATGCAAACATCACCACTTCGTTTTTCCCTTTGCCTAAGCAAAGCCAACACACGAGAGCGGGAGGACTTGGAAATAGAGCAGAGACACTAGCATGTGCCCCTCTCAACCCCGGCTTGTTTCGAGTCTTTTGCTTCGATGGGGCCTTCACACGTCATACGCATCTTGACCCAAACAACCCGGGCCAATCCAAAGTCGCCAATGGCCCTTCGCTGTGGATTCCTATCTCATCGTTTAGCCAATCACCGCTCCGTAACCCGGCTCTAGCCCCGGCAAATACTACCGAACCCCGGTCCGTCTGCGCTCCTGTGACGTTTTCCTGCTTTTACCTCCCACCAATGGCGCCGGCGCTGCGGCGAACGCTATGCAATCACACACATGTGGTATTCGCTTGCGCGCGTGCAATATATCAATCAATCTATTTTCAATTTTCTCCCCATCTTCCTATGTAATGTAGGGAGGGGGGGAGGAGGAGGAGATGTCCGCTTCGGAAGACGCACGTGCAGCTGGCGGTCTGCTTGCGTCCGACCGTTGTTTTGTTTCTGACTTCTCCCGTTTACGTGCGCGTGCATCAAGCATCGTGCAGCATGGGGGAGAAAGCAAAATGAGAAGACTGTTCCTCGAGTCGGCGACTACGGAACTACATACCCTACTTGGCCCTTGCAGGTCCCATGTATAATCATTCCCCTCTTCTACTGGCACGTTGCTGTCGACAGCATTCCTGCCCTGCAAATTAATTCGCTTCGCTTCACTTCTTCTTCCCATCGAAAAGCAAAAAGAAAAAAAACATTAACAAGCTCGTATTGATTGGGCTGGCTGTTTTTTTTTTTTTTTTCGTATCTCATCCCCATGTCGCTCTGTCAGGCGCTTTCGGATGGCCTTTTCTGGTTACCGTGATATCTTATTCCGTTTCGCATAAATTGAATGAGTGGATGTTTCGATACCCCCCTCCGCCTTTCCCCCAATTTTTTTCTGTCTTGGCGGGCTTTGGTGGTAAACTTGCCGGTCGGGTTGCATTTGGTTTTGGGTTCATATCTTTATTTTTTACATGTACTTTGCTTCTTGTTTTTCCACGGCGTCCAATTGGGGGAACTAGGGCTGGGCATGATGTGTGGGTACCAATAGACCTCGGGTATATGAATTGGGGAGACATCTAGGGTATCGACATGCTGCGGGTAGGCGAATACACGAAGGGCATAATGGTTTTTTGGGGTATTTGGAATGGAAAACCATACGGGGATCTACACTGGGTGGCATTTTTATTACTATATTATGATATAATTCAAATGATGATATATTGTCTTCTCACTATTCGTCTTCGTCTCCCTACCTAATGCAATTTTTATCTGTGATTTGATTAAATAAACTTAATCAATATGAATGATTTGGAATTTTATTGGAGGTTTCTAAGCTAGTAAAGATATTCTAACTCAAAAGACAAGTACAAGTGGGACTACCTTAGGTACTTTTGAATAGCCGGTTTCTCTAAATCACCTAACTGCCACTATACCGAATTGAATAAATGAGGCTCTCTCGATCAGGTACTTAGCCAACTACAAGACTTTGAACATATCAGATACGCAATGTACATACAGCTTACGTGTGTAAATGCTCAATAGTTCTGCCCAAGCCGTCGCAGTCCATAACACTGCCGCATATGTACACGCATTCATTTACGCGTATCATACAGCCCGGCTAGAGAAGCGGGCACTAGATGCCGCACTCTAGATTAGAAGGGAGCTGGCAGGAGACTAGTGTCGTACTATAGGAAAGACGGCGCGCAACGAATGCTCGACGGTTGTTTCTAGCTTTGGAATAGCCGCATAGGGCGCTACGCTGAAGGATTGCCGTACTCTTAGTGGGAAAACGAGGCGGGCTATTACGTGTATGGACGGGAAAGTCTATGATACCATCGATAGCGCGCCCCTTTTGCTTAGAATATTGCGTACATATGTAGGTACCTAAGGTAGGTATCTAGCATATACATACGCCTGAATGAACTCCAAATCCCTAAAAATTACAATATTATATCTTGCATGTCTATCTATCACTTAGGTACACAAGATTATCTCTTATGCCATGTGGTTGTACTGGGTAGGGTAGCTATGAGGTAGATTGGCATCATGATAGCTATGTCTTACCAAACACCCTGATGCAAGATGTTACCAAGAAACCAGTCATATATTCATTATATTAACTTACTATAGTGTCGTATATTCGGGTCTATCGGAGAGCTTAGATGCAATAGTCATGACCGTTATTGGACCCTGCTTGTCCTCCTTGATCTCCTATAGGTCAGAGAGCTCTATCCCAGCTCAACTTCGTCCTACTATGCTAGTAACAGCCGCGAGTCAGAGCTTCAGAGGTCGACGAGTAATCTTCATGCCGTGCTTATTCCAACTACATGAGCTCGACATGTGAAGTAGCTACCTACCTAGGTAAGCTTGTCTGCACAACTGCACTGCGACACCATGATAGCTGTCTTCAACCATACATGCCAAGCCACGACTCCGGCAGATCCTTAAATCCTGCTCGTTCAAAGAAAGGGTTCGGCAGCTCTCCGTCTGAGGGGACACTGTAACCCTCCCGTCGTTTAACATTCCCTGTGAGCACATGCGCGCATAGGAACAGGTGCCCTAAGCATATGTCATAGAAGTTGGCAAGCTATGGTTGGTCCGAACATGATCCTGAATTATCCAATTCAGCCAAAATGTGACGATCAGGGTCCTTTTTCATCATCATGCAGGATGTGCGTCGACATCATCGCGCAGCACAACCTCCTCGTCCCGAATTTTCGAGGTACAAAGCCAACAGGTCGAACCGCAGATCAAATTGGTGGCTGGCACTTTTTAACACATGTATACATTTATGCGCGGTGTGGATTCTTGTCATCCCTTGATGAACGTGCGTTCGCGGCGTCGAATGCGAGCCTAGCATATATAGCTCACAACATAATTCGGCCCCGTTCGTAAAACGTTGTGTGTACTTTTGCTATTCTACCCAATACGAAAATTGCCTAACCCTAGGTAGGTAGCCACGCAACTCAATCATGCCCTGCGTTGGCGCATATCAACGAAAAACATTCCTATCTGGTACGCCATGGTATCGCGGGGAAGTTAATGGTATTAGCCTAGTCGTCGGCTAGTCAAGCAAATGAGGGAATTCAGAAAGCTCCGCGGGAAAAGCTCAAACCCGCTGGCGGTCCGCGCAGCATCCAGTAGACGGGTTGGGATGGTGACATTTAACTTGACCCCCACAAAAGAGCTTGGAAGCTGGTTATCCGACGTATCTGAGTTGTTACTTGTTGATGTCGCCGACGAGTCATGACTGCATGTTAATGCAGACTGGGTATGGTTTTGGGGTAAAAAAAAGGTAAAAAGTAAAAGAATGATAAGCTTGAGGGGGAAGTATCGGCGCCAATACCAATACCAACACCAACACCAACGCCAGCATCAGCGCCAGGAACGTGGTTCCCTTTAAAAAGTTTACGCCGGCTATCTCGCGAAAAGCGCAGCTACGAATCATGTCGGACCAGCAAAGCGCCGTCGATTTGCATGCCTTGGTCAAAGATTGTTAAGCCTTCCATTTTTTAATTTAAGCCTTAGGTTCTTTCCTTTGGGTAGGAAAGTTTTCCGGACTCCGAGCCAGTAGATTAATAGACCAATCAAAAACAAGTTCTCCAAGATTAGCTTGTGTTAGGTAGGTAACCTAGTTAATAAACATCATAAGCTTTCACAAGCTTTTTCCCCAATAGCTACCTATGCAAGATGGGATGGGGTACCCACCCAACCAACCTTTTACCCAAAAACCTTAACTGAAGTTTCTAATGCGAGATGGCAGATGTAGATTGTTTCCACCAAGACGGATGATGTATGTAGTGTAGCTAAATCTGTAATATGATGCAATACCGAGATCCCGGAACACCGGTTGGTTTCCGCTACCTTGCTAAACTTGGTCGGTTTCCCGGTTTCTTGTAACTAGTTTTTGCTAAACATCTTAATAGGTCTTATATAATATAAGCTTGGATTAGGTAGGTATTTATCTAGATTTTTAGCTATTTAGCTAATAAGAAGCCTTGAATTGAAGGGTGAATCGCGTAATGGTAGACAAGCATTTAAGGAGTACCTAGAGCCTCTTGGTCTTAATACGCAAGTCTAATGACTTGGGTTGATTCAACCAATCGGAAGCCTATGTAGTGACGATTGCTTCAATTTTCGAGATGTTCTTTTTTTAGGTATATATTTGTAGCAAGGTAAGTAATAGCAAGATTGGTAATTTACTTAAGGCTTGGAAAGAGTTTTGCTTCTTAGCTCAAAGGTAAGACGCAGATGCGCTCAGTCGGATGGGAAGCTTGAAACTGAAGGTATGAAATACCGAGTCTTTTAAAAACTAGCCCACATAGTTAACTTTAGAAAATTACAACTACTATTATCTCTCTATCTCAACCAATGTCTACTTTTTGAATTGATCTCTATAACTCCTAGTTTTACCAATTGCCTTCTTACCGGACCTTTTACCATAGAAAAAACCATAGTAAAAACCACATTGATCTTAAACTGGCTATTCGTATTAATTAAAAACGTCTTGTAGATTATTATTTACCTCTGCTATTTATGAAAATAATGTCTTCCCGATCATGTCTAGATTTATGAACCTATAAAGGATCTTATGCTGAATGATACAAATTTCATCGTATTAATACCGTTACCGTACGTAAGCAACAGCCGCATCAGCCCCGCCATTAATCGATACGATCTCCATTCTTAGCTTCTAGGCACCGGCGAACCTGTGTCAACTTAGTTATGGTAGTTGTGAGATAAAAGGGGCTGTTTATATAAAATTCAAGATATTCTCGATAATCTGTTCCATATGTCTTGATGTTAAGCACCTGTCACAATACAAGCACCATGTCGTCTTTTATCTCTCTCGATCTCTCATACGAGGGTGACTCGGATACGGAGAAGAAAATCGTTGCTACACTACAGGACCTTGTCGACAACAGAGAATCTCCCGAGTCTGCGGCGAAGATAATTAATGGGGTGATTATTGACGACTGCCGCGATGCTTATACTTCTTACAATTCGGTATCAGATCCGACAGCAGAACAGATAGAATCCGGTGCTGTTCGTGCCCCTAAACCTAGTGGATGGATGGGATACCTCTGGGACTGCCTAGGAAGAGCAGCCATGAAAGTACCTGTTGACCATAAAGGTCAAGACAGACTTGTATATCTGCTCCTGGCACTCCAGCAATTACCTAAAAGTCCCGTCCCCGAGTTCGTTGCTGGAGAGATGAGAGAAACCATACTCTGGAATGTCACGAAAGAGACTCGGTATGAAGGCCTTACTCAATGGCTTTGGGATCTCGACCAAGGTACTTCCTCGAAACTTTTCCAATCTAGATCCTGCAACTCATCTATTTAACCTAGGCAACTTTAACGGTGCGCGCCAGGTAGAGAGTGACCCAAGTGCTGCTACTGCCTATACCAACTTCTCTGCTTTCCTGGCCCGCCTATTGGCATCCGGTGTAGCGGACACGAACACTCTAAGCGCACTACGGCGACCGTCGCCCTTCGCAACAACTCATCAAGATCATATCTTGCAAGAGTTGCCTCGCCACGAACCTTACGCAGCAGCGGCGGCTCAGTGGATCATCTATGCTGGAGATGCGCTCTTTGAACTATGTGAGAAGCGCATACTCGTCGAAGTCGGAAGCTTGAGATATAGCAAAGCTTTGTGGTATGTATGGAGTGTTAAGTTTAAGGTTTTTGCAGAGAGTAATGAGTCCAGCCCCGAGGTTAGAGAGTTCGCTAGGCAGGCTGTGGATAAGATAAACCAGTGTAAGAAGGACGGTATTAATCCTGCGAAGAGTGTGATTGAGAAGTTTGGTTATATACGTCCGGAGGAGATCTAGCATTATAAACTAAGTCAGTAACTAGTATTTGCTTAAACTAAATCTATCTTAATAATAAGCTCATCATCATTCTTCATTCTATGTAATGCGCCCTATGTTGAGGTGAAATCTAGTGTATTCCTCATCTTTACGTCAACTCGTTAAGAGTCCCTTTCTATATCCAAAACTTGAAGGAACCCATATAATACCATCAAGATCAGCGTAAAATAATTCGACTAGCGCATTGGTACACTATCGAACCATCGTTACCTTAACGTCTAACTTAGAGACCTATTGCCCCTATTACCCCTATTACACCCCACTTTTCGCACGTCCCCACGGGAACATCAGGCGACCAGAAATATTGAATATGTAAACCCCTTTAGTGGTCTCGAATAAAGGGATATGCGATGCGATTGGACCGATGCGGTAGCGGCCCTTAGTCGCCCTTACGATTGAGACTCTTGAATTATCGCTTTAATAACTTGACGAGCTTACCCAGAGCACCGAAGACATAACCAAGTCCGAAGCTCCAGTTGCGAATTCGCACCGTGTATATGAAGAAGTATACAAGAGCCCAATTAGAAATGCAGAAAGCTAGGAAGATGCCGAAGTCTAACATAAAATGTTAGCATACATCTCTATGCGTACATATGCATCTTTTATAGGGGACTTGTAGAAAATATGGATTTCAACTTACCTCGCCATATTTCGCTAGCGTTAATATTTAGTGTGGCAAGATATTCATTGCCAACACTGTACGGGCAGTACTGGCACCCAGTTGTGGCCTCAGGATTGAGAAGATAGCCTCCGAAATTCCGTGTAAACTCGCCAGCGTAGGACTGACAAGTTTCGTTCGGAGGCGCGTTAAACTGAGCAGTCTCTGACGGGTCGCAGTGGACAGGAACCCCATCAATCGACGCAGCTAGCATGCCGCCGATCCAGTATGTAGAGGGGTTGACCCAGTACATCCAATACCTCCAAAACACAGGGAGTGTTGAGTAGGATCGTACTACACCGTTGAATAAACTAAACATGACGAAGAAGAATGGCAACACCTACACCTGGTAGTTAGTATCAGAGAGCTTATCAAAATGTCAAATCCTAAAACTTACGTTGTCAATGACTCTCAGGCTAGGTGCAAACGCGCAAATCCACTGACCCCAGCTGGTCATGAACAGGAACATAAGCACCGTCATTATGAACGAGTATCCAGCAGACAAGCTATTATCAGCGAGGCCGCTAGGCCAACACCATAGAGCCCAATATATAATACCAGAAGCTATGGCAGCGGGGATTTCAGCAACGATGTTAGCAGTACTGAAGGCTACCCAGCCGTAAATCCGAGAAGGATACTCGCGGGCTTGCCACAGGCCTAGATTTTGGTCGAACCTAGGTACGACGGCGTTGACGATGGTGGCTGGAATTATGATGATCAGGAATATGGTGAACATGCGGTTCTGCATATCCTGGACACTATTTCCGAGTTTCCAGAATGTGAATCCGTTAAAGATGCCGATAAGTACCGCGACGAATAGTCTTCCGTATAGATAAGACGACTTACGCCAGTATTGTCTGAACATGCGCTTCGTCAATTCGACTGTCTGTACCCAAGCTGATGCGGCGAACTCCCTTTGCCGTTCATTTGAGATTTCACCACCATGTGGCACCGTGCTACGGACTCTCTTGAGGCCATCAATCTCTTCGATAACTGCTTGTGCCTGCTCGCTGTTCCTCCATTCCTCGTTCCAGTCAACCTTGGTACCATCAGGTCGCCTATGAGGTCGCGCGGCAGTTTCGAGAATGAACTCGGCGACGTTTTTCTCAGGAGGGCATGTAGCCCCACGCTGGGCAAAGTAGTCTATGACATCCTTGCCATTTTCTCCGATGGGACCGAAATAGAAAGTGTTTCCTCCCGGGTTAAGAGCAAGTACCATATCGAATTGTTGGATTAAGACTGAGCTCGGTTGGTGGATAGTACAGACGATAGCTTGGCCAGCAGCGCAGAGCTTCTTAAGGAAAGTGACGATTGAGTAGGCTGACTGGGAATCAAGACCGGATGTTGGCTCATCTAAGAACAGAAGTAGGGACGGCTTGGCAGCGAGCTCCACACCAATGGTAAGTCGCTTGCGTAATTCAACGCCGAGCGAGCTGATGATCGCATCCTGAAGATTATTGAGTTCGAGCAGGTCGATAATCTTGTCTACATATGCGAGTTTCTCGGTTCGGGGAACGGACGCTTCTTGTCGCAACAGAGCAGAGAACTCGATGGCTTCTCGAATGGTTTGAGTTTCGTCGTGAAGATCTCCTTGGAGGCAGAATCCCGTATTCCGTTGGAACTCGGGTCCCAGCGGCTTTCCGTCAACGAACATCTCACCTGTTACCACACCAGTTCGCTGTCGTTGCGCCAGAGTATTTAGCAAGGTCGACTTGCCAGCGCCGGAAGCACCCATGAGTGCGACCATGATACCAGGCTTCGCATAGCCGTTGACTTTATTTAGAAGCTTACGCTGGCCGCCGAGGTAGGGTACGGTGTACTCGACGTCTCGCCAAGTGAATATTGATTCGCTCTTTGTTAGTTGTCCTAATGCCTCGTTCTGCTCCTCACTAGTAGCCTGGGAGTTCTCGACCCTGGTAGCGGAAGACCCACTGCTGTCGGCACCTCCGTTCTCAATGTCGGATGGCGTAGCAGCCTTCTGAGCTTGCTTCTTCGCTCTTCGACTCTTCTTGAAGATTAGAGCACCGCCGCCGTCAGATGAGAAATCGAACATCTCCGTCGCGAAAACTGTGATTAGGAGATAGAGAATCGAGAAAGCAATTACAACACCAAAATTTCGCCACAGGTTCGAACGGCTATAGCCAAGGGCAGTTTGTAAGTAGTCACTGCCCGCAACTACTTGGGAATTTGGCTTAGAGCCAGTAAGAGCGCACCCTTGATACCCGGGTAGGATGTTAGAACCTCGAGGGACGAGCTGCTCAGGGGCGCAATCCATCAGTTGGTCCGAGAGCTCATTTGTTAAGACTGCCTCGAAGCTGTAAGATAAAGGATTAATCCAATATAGCCACCCGAACCAGATGTACTTGTCTAAGAGTTGTGTCTTGGGTATAGCATACCCCGTGAAAATAACAAGCAAATTGAGAGCAAGGGTAGAGAAGCGCACAGCGGTGTCAATTTCCGGCGATAAACTAGCAAACATCCGGTAGAGGGCCGTGATCATTATCGTCGTGGTATAAACGAATAATAAGTATATCCAGAACTTGCTTACATCGACATCCAAGTTCGTCATGAAATACATGGCTATGCCAAATACAGAAACCTGAGCGAATATGAGTGGGAAGTCTAGAATAAGACGGGCAAGCGACACGGCAGAAGGGCGGTAGAAGGCATAATCCCGATGTCGAGCGACGATCGCACGGCCACCGACGGCCTTCCCGAGCTCTGCTAACTGGAGCCAGCCGAGGAAGACCACGGAGAAGAACAAGGCGCCACCACGGGTGAAAGCCCCCGCAGTTGAGAACGGTTCCTTGAAGTAGATGGAGCCGACTATGAGACCGCTAGAAATTGTAATGAAGAATTTCGTCCCGAGAGTCATTTTATCCCCGATTAAGAGCCAGAATTCTCGTTTGGTACACGCCCATACCTGGCGAGTGAACGACACTGTATAGGGGGACTTCTTGCTAACGTGCCTCGACTTAGCCTCCTGCACGGCGCCTTCAAATTTCCTCGCATCTGCGAAATCTGTGCGCTGAAGATGCTCTTCATAATCTTTGACATCTTCCAACAGCTTTTGGTAGTTCGGCGAGTTACGGAAGGCCGTCTCCAGCTCTTCGGCCGTTTTCGGTGCTCGGTCCTCGAACCCAGGTCTGAAACGCCTCTCATTTGGATCCGTGACAGCGGTTAAGAAATCCGCCGTAGTTTGCCTTTCGGGACATTCAAACCCAAGGTCTATGAAGTATTGCTTCGCATCCTTAGCTGGTCCTGAGAATATCTGCCGGCCTTGGTCGATGATTAGGACTTTGTCCATGAGCTCGTAGATGCCTTCACCGGCTTGGTATAGTGTCACGAGTGTTGTCCGATTGCTAATGTCGGTCATAATCCTTAGTGACTTGGCATAGTCAAGAGCTGTTGAGGCATCTAAACCGCGAGTTGAGTTGTCCCATGCCATCACGGTGGACTTTGATGCGAGCGTTTCAGCAATGGATACTCGTTTACGCTCGCCGCCGGACACTCCTCGAGTGTAGTCATCGCCAACGAGTGTATACTAATCTTGTTAGTAATTGACTTACCGAGAATTGTTCAGAGATATCTCAGGGGGCTATGGTTATTACTTACCTTGGTATGACCGATACCGAATATTTTTAATAGGGCGTTAGCGATGATTGGTATTTCCTCTTTAGCACCCTTCTTTGTCTTATTCATAAGCGCAAATGTGAAAGTTTGCCAGACATTAAGGGAAGCGAAGTGAATGTCGTCCTCGGGGTTGTAGTTTACTTCACCTCGATACATCTGCTTCTGCTTCTTGGATGGAATACCGCCGTATGATATTTCTCCTTCGATGGCCGCAAATGAATCGACGTTATTGCTGGCGGCTTTAAGAAATGTGCTACATCCGGAACCGGGACGGCCCAGAACAAGCATCATCTCGCCGTCGCGCACACATCCCGTAAAGTCGTTGATTAATATACGCGTCGACTGATTTCTGCCGAATCGCAAAAAGGGAAAGAAACGCGAAACAATGTGGTATAGGTCGGGACCGAATGTTCCAATTATGGCATCCGGGAGTGTACGAACGAAAGAAGAGGCGCTCTCCACACCCTTCACTGTGAGATTCTTATATATGACACCGACTCGCTTCTCAGAGCCGTGTTCTGTACGCTTTTCAAAGTGGCCATCACGCATGAACTTTCCCAGCTCGAATTCTTCCTCCTCCTCTGTTACGGCCTTTTCGTCGTCCCCGAGTTCAGCTCGAGCATGTGTTGAAAGTGCATCGGCTGCTTCACTACGACGACTGCGAACTTGAGTCAAATCGAAGTGTCCGCTGGCTCGTGAGTCCCTCGTTCTTGTTCCTTGTAGCCGTGAGAGGTTGTGTCTTAGTACCTCTAGCTCCTCCATAGCCTCGTGTTCGTCAAAGTGACCAACATCTCTTTCACCCCAGGTGCCCTCTCCATTACCGGTCGAGTCAGAGTCATCATGTTCATTATGACCTTCCAAGTCCTGCGTAGTTCCAGTTGATATTCTCCTATCGATATGAGCATCTTCACGATGCCATAGATTCACTGGCACTCCAAGCTCCCTACGATGAGAGGCATCGCCACCCAAGCCGCTAGACCACATGGCCCTAGTCTATTAGCGACGTGGGTAAGGTTTGTCGGACAGGCGTTGCCCACGGGCACGAGTATCTTGGAACGGCTTAAACAAACGATGAAACACGATAACCGTCTCTTAGCTGAACCTGAGAAATCTTTCAGGGGTGGTATGAAGACCGTGTAAGTTTGAGAATAGCTATAAGCTTTCGAAATTTGAAATAATTCACCAAGAATCCCACTGTTTTCACTGGAGATAATAAAAGTGACGATTATTGGTAAAGTTAACGCTAGTTCTAACGGCAACCATAACAAAGAAATGGTTGATTGTTAAGCAAGGGACTAAGGTTAAAAACCAACCCGGTGGAGATGTAAGTATGAAGTATGTTGAGGCCGGCCCACCACACTTAATCGCCAATCAGTCATGGTATTAAATATAATATGTGCGATATGCCGACCGGATTCCCTAGTTTATACCAATCTCGAGTTCCACGACGGATGTGTCAAGCTTCCGGACCTGTTATCATTAGGAACACACAACTAGAACATACACCGCGGCATGTACTCGTACAGTACCGATAGGTGAGCCATTGATAACTGGGACAGCTGAATGCTTTTTCAGTGGCCGAAAACACCCCCGGACATACCACCACATGTCGGTGAGATAACGGCCCAGTCAGCTCAACAAATAAGAACGGGAATAGATAGGCCATATTAATCGCCTCGTCGAGGTATACGCAATGGTTAGTACTAGGTGCTACTGTGAATCCCAAGGATTACGATATCGCTGACGGTGATAGATCTTCTCCACTAATAAGGATGGAATGGATCAACTCTTTGATAAAGAATAAAAATAAGTACGTAGATCCCTCATCCCACATATGTTTCGGTTTTAAGCATGGAGTTTAGGTGAGGTACTAAGATCTTAGATTTAATTTGCCTAGAAATACTACAGTATCTGTACCAACAAGCCGGGACCTGACCAGACATTGTTGTGATAGCTGAATAATAACATAAGCTTACCCTTGCGGCCAATTTCGACCCGAGCCTAATGTCTCAAAACTCCGGGCCCTGCATGTATGTAGGTAGATCTCACGTGGGTCACATACGACTGCTTTCAAGATCTAAGAACCCGAGCCAATAGGAGCTCCTCCAGAAGACCTCATGTAGATCTTCAGGTTCCATTTTTTTTGTTTCTTTTTTGTGTAATGATGCTCACAGTATATCATATTGAACGTAGACACTCCTTCAATATAGGTTACTTCGAATCATATAGTTTGACGGGTAATCACCGATTAGTTCGGAGCAGACAAAATCCTAAAAATGTAAGATATGATGTTTATCATGTACTTAATGTTCTCTACACGGTTATTATGAGGCTTATTAACGCTGTTAGTAGGATTACATGGCGATGCTACACTACGGGGTATTACATCCCAGACCTGAGGCTTTATCTTTTACGCATATGAACTTTAGTTATATGAAGGCTTAAACGGGCATAGGCAGCCTCATGAGGTTCACAATATATAATACCTATAGTTTACTCTCAAGCTAATAGATAATCTTCTTTAGAAATTGCGAACTCATTTTTACCCGTAGAGTCGTGAATAAATATCACCGAGCCTTGTCAGGCTTTGGCCCTTCTGATTACAAATTTACGCTTACGAAGCGCTAATGCTGTGCTTCCTTCACAGTTAATAGAAGCCAATCAGTTAATATAGATACAGCTAGCTAGGGCTGGAAGATATCTGCCGAGAAATTGCGGAGCACTCCCAGCAGCTTCGCGATTCGGGTTCCAACCTTGTTATTTAAGTACCTAGAACCCCTATCTCGACATGTACATAAATTCTCAATATGTGGTCCCAATACTTCTTGGTCTCATATCAACTCTTCCAGACTTTAAGTCAAGGTTAATAGAGATGTTATAAACCAGTAAGGTATCTAACAACTATTCAAAGTATATCCGCACAATGGTCGTAATAGATAATTAAGCCGTCAACTTTTTTCTCCCCTTCGTTTGAGTTGTTTAATACATTGAGATTGACAATTTCAAGCTACCCCTAAAGCTTTATAATTATGAGGCTACACGATTCAAAGGTTCACTCACAGCAACCATGCCTCTTGTGTAAATATGTAACCCAGTACAAGTTAATCTCACTTCTTGGTCGGTCCAAACATTAAAAGTCATGGAAATAGACGTGAAATCGGATTTAAGTTAATAAGCGACGCGTAGTCGTCACCGTTATAAGACAAAGTTCAGCTTCTAGGACAGTATGATCATCACTACCAAAAGCGGTCCTAATCTTGCGCGACTTATCTTAAAATAACTCTTGTGTTCCTTACTATCTATATAAGCTTATTCCGCCACGTCCGGATCTCCGATTACCTAATAATCGCCTTTAGGAAAGATGTTCTAGATCTAATATCCTTTTACCCCTGAGTCTGTGTCGTTGAAGTATAGGACGCTGATCTTGACGTGGAGAGCTCCAAGGGCCGTCGAGAATAAACTATGAGTGAGATACTTACCAAATACAAGTTCTCGGCAGTTTCATGTAAGGTAAGTAAATTATATGTAGGTAGGTACTTACCTTATGATATCACTTCCATATACATCCTTGTCCTCCCCCGCATCAATGTCTTTCATCCTTGCTATGGTTTGTTCACCAATCAAGTTCGTGCGACTCGCCATATTTGGCAGTTCATTAAAATGGCGTAACAGATATCCAGCTGCCATAATAGAGACGGTGCGGGTATTTTGCCTTGATATAATTTCACTCGATTCTTAAGTTCCGAATAACCAATAACTAGAACGCTTAATAGTAAGATTTAGTAACGGTAGTTTTCTTCTTCTTTTTCTTTGTTTCTTAATAACTAAGCTAAGAGGCAGGTATACCTAAGGTATGCTCAGTAATACATTAAAGAGAAGATAAATGATGGCAATGAACCTGGGCCCCAGATATTATCCTGAATCTGTTGAATAATACACGTCAACGCATACAAAGTCGTGATTCCAATTAAGCTGCAATGCCGAAAGTTGAGTATAGGCAGGGACTAACTTTGATAATGGACATGATCACGACGGCAACTAATGTGAGAATGGCCGCATCTTTAGGTCCTTATCATCCTCCGGATTTCCTGGAATAGGAATATCCAGAAAGTTCGGCTCGATATACCAAGCAGGGTTACCACCCCATTCATTATCTCCTTCACCCTTCGAGTGCGTAAGACTCCACCCGTTCCCTAGCCACCTCAACTTGTTCGACCCGTTGCTATCAATACTTTCCCAGTCATAGTCTTCCCATCTGGGTGCTCGTAGAGCCTCAAGCGCATGGAGGGCACTCCCCGGCCATAACCCCACAATACGCTCGCCCAAGCCTCCCTCACTCTTATACCAACTATGACACGCGTCCGTATAGACAGTACGCTTGAAATATTCGTCGCAGTACTCATCCCAGTCACGCATACGCTCGGGCTTAATCGTCATACTGGCGTAGTCTTCTTTCTGTAGTTTCCGGATACTTTTTATGATGTAGTCGCCTTGAGTTTCGAGCATCACAGTTAGAGATCCGGCCCCGATAGCTGCATTCGGGCCGAGCATCATGAAGAAATTGGGAAACGAATCTACTGCAAGTGCGAGATATGCTGTGGGGTATGGTGTGAAGCGTGACTCCAGCGATTGACCAGTGCGTCCATAAACTGGGAATGGTGGCGCCGACGAGGTATTGAATCCTGTAGCGCAGACAATAACGTCAAGGGGAACCAAGCGACCCGACTTCAGAGTTACTCCACCTTCTGTTATCGCCTCTATAGGGTCAGTAATGAAGTCTACGTTGTCCTCGACGAGCGCCTCGAGGTAACCCGGCCCCGGCGTGTTGCGCCGACAACCAATTCCAAAAGCGGGAATCAAGAATTCTGCGATTTCGGGCTTCTTTAACAGTCTCTGTTTCATTGCTTCACTTAATAACCCAATGGCTCCTTTCTGCATCTCTGATTCCCTTAACGAAATAGGGTGAGATATATTGCCGTTTACTTCGATAATTCTGCGAAAGTTTAAGAATTTCTCAGGATCGTTGGCGAATTCTTGACGCTGTTTCGGTGTAACTTCATAAAATAGTTTAGATCAAATCCAAAATTAAGGATAAGAATTGTAAGAACTCACAATCAAATTTAGTCGGGTCCAATCCAAGCTGTTCCATCACGGCTACGGTTGTCAATATAAAGAAGAAAATAATCGAAAAGGGGGAACGTACCGTCGCCAAAAGGATTTGTGATCCACGTCTTGCTTCTCACAAAACATGAAAGCTTCGTCCCTTCAATCTTCTGTAAATTCGGGACGATCTGTATAGCGCTAGATCCGTTCCCTATAACTCCAATTCTCTTATTCTTGAAGTCGTAACTATTACTTATTAGTTAACTAAGCCATCACATTGCCAAGGTTATACACGCCTTTCCTTCCATAATGCCGAATGCATGGTTTCCCCCTTAAAGGATTTTAAACCAGGAATATTCGGCCAAGCAGGGTCGCTAAGACTTCCTCTAGCAGAAACCAGCACATCAGCTTCGTCTTCAAAAGTCTCGTTGGTATCAACCCGCTTAATCGTTAGGGTCCTGTTTCTATGTAAGCACATGGAAGTCCATCAGGGGAGCTTTTCCAAGACCATTTCTTCCTGTTATCATCCCAACGACAGGATTCTACACTGTGTGACAGCTTGACGTATCTGAGGACTCCATATTTCTCAGCTGTCCCTTGAAGATACGAGCATATCTCCTTTTGAGGTGCGTAGAAAGCAGACCAGTCAGGATTCGGATTGAATGAGTATTGGTAAGAATGTGCTGGAATGTCGCATGCACACCCTATAACATGTGAGCGAACTAGACGAGTAATAGCCGAGATGAATAGCACAAATCCATACCTGGATACTTGTTCACCCACCAAGTACCACCGACGGATTCGTTTCTTTCGTATATTTGTAAGTCAACATTGCGTAAACGTTGTGGTATTCGAATTCCCATGTAAATTCCGGAGTAGCCAGCCCCTATTACCCGAACTCTCATGGGCCGCTGACTATCTATAGGCGCCTCTTTGATTTTAAATGGTGTTGAGTAGTTGACTGAACCCATCATGGCAAAATAACTCCTGTACTTAACATACGAAGAACAAAATTTATTGAAAACAAACAGGCCATGTTGGAGATATATCTCTTCTTATAACGAGTACGTCTCAATTGGTTGATCATCTCGGTAGTCGTAAATATTAGCTAGTCAATCGCTTCCCCGCACTCCAGGTTCGAGATCGTATCCAACACCCCGGCATTTTTAAGCCATTCGGAGGAGCAAAAGGGGGATATCGCTCCAATAGACGGGGGTATCTAATCAAGTTTAGCGAGTTTGGTACGTAAGTAAGATTGTAAAACAAAGACAAATCGGTTAATACTTTCGGAATCCGACTATACTACATGCTAGTTGAGGAGTAGGTAATCTTTAGGTCGATTATCTTCCTTCTAATGTCATGTTGACCAACATGGGACCGCGTCGGCATTTATGTGGCTCAGTTGGAGAATTAAAGGCCCGCCCCTCGCAACATCGGCAATAATGTCAAAAGATGAAAATAAATACCCGGGCAGTCAACTCCACGATGTTTAGCAAAGCAAGAGTGGTCAATTATTTTGTTGGGGTGTTGCTTAGGATCTGTCTGGCGAACAACTCTTAATCTTTACATTAGGTGTAGTTAAACTAACGAGATAGCTCTATATTTATAACAGGAACCTAATATGATATTCCAGTGGACAAGTGAATACTATTATCATTAATCAACCACGTAAGCAATTTCCAAATATAGACCTAAAGAAAGTAAGTTCCTATGGCTAATAAGTTTAGTTATACTACCTGTTATGTAGTTGTACAATGTATCTAGCCTATACTCGCCTCATGAGCTTCCGATAGCGCCCAAGCCGGGCCTCGATCAATACTCCAATTAGTGATCCAAGATATCCGAGTAATTCACATGTTGGGGAATCCGAGATACTTGAGGCCAATCAGTATAGAGCGATGTGGGATGGAGGAGGGCTCGTAAGAGGATTGGTGGGAATAGTATTTTGTAAAGACCTCCCTTTCTTAAGTACCAACAAAGTTTTCGGGAATTTTTATTTTCACCGCTTAAGCATATTTACGTGGATTGCTGATTGGAATATGCAGCTTCTATCCTTACTTGACCTTGAGGTCATATTATTTATAGAGTCAACAGTTAGGACCAAAGGGCAACTTAAAATTAAGGATTTTGGTATATGCCTATTAGGACAATGTGATTTGACTCTTTTATGAATATCTTATATATCCATGTTTTATATCGGCTTCTATTTATTATTATATTCAAGTATAATTGGTCATGCTAGATAAACTAAGCACCTCCTATTTCTAAACAACAAATGACCAACCTAAAGTGTATACTTTCAAAATATGTCTATATAAACTCTCTTATACAGCCATCCAGCCTCCAAACTCTTTTATCGGGACTCTTGCGAAAGAGGACAGAGATGTGGTGACATTGAGGCTACTAGCATTTGATAATGGCCTGAACACTTTGTCTGAGGAAAACTCATCTTGTAGGTGATTTGGCTAGAGACCTTCTAGAGAGATAAAGTTGAGATATATTTCCGAACTATCATGTCCCATCCGTACCATTTAAATATTATCATACGCGTGTGCTTATCAGTTCCTTCTATACCATCGAATGGTATATAAGTTATTAAGCAGAACTTTTAACTAGCTAAAAACTAACTCAGGGTAAAGCATTGTCTTAAATAGGTAGTGAAGAGTTAATTAAAAAAGTTAAAAATATTTGTTTAAGAAAACAAGTAAGACGTTATGTTAAACTTATTTGGACTAACTACTAAATTGGGTTTCTCGATGGTTTACGTATCAAGTCTCATGTGCTTTGATCGTAATCCCTGTTTTTGGTACGATATTTGGCTCGATAAAATAATGGCAAAGAACAAAACAGTTTAACTTTATATTCCATTCTTATAAGCTAACGCCTACCTATTGAGGTTAAATAAGTTTTTGTCACAGTTCGACGTTTTAATGGCTGGTATAAAGTTAATAGCTCAACCGAAGTAAAATACGGTTCAAGCGTTTAAAACACCTTATCTTTCTTACCTTTAACTTGGGTGATATGAGGTGTACGTCTCGTAGAAATAAACAAAATGCCGCAGCAAGGTAGAAAAAAGATATAAATTAGCTGGTGGATTGTGAAACTATTATATCTCGCATGTACTGAATACCAATGATGTTATTCAACATGTTCAACATATCGATGAGTAACCAGCCAGTGGTCGATAAGCAAACCCCACCAAATGGACGGAGACGGTTAGACGAAACGAACGAGCCAATAAAATTGTACAGTATTGGACCGTGTTCTACAAACTCAATTTAATGGCTACTTTAGGTACATATGCATGTACATACATGTAGGCGTCCAGGATCGTCAGCGCATGGCTGCTAATATTGATGACTTAGTCATTTTGGCGTACACGTGTATATCTAATTGGGCGTACTTTAGTATTTGTACGTATGATCTGTATACAGGTAGATGACATCAGCGCCATACATATTACCCAGACCGAAAATCGAGGTTTAGTTTTAGGAAGTACCCAAATAAAAGTACCTAGGTATGTAATTAGCGAATCTCGGATCGCGTCGCAAAAGAAGAAAAAGGAGGTACGTATTTTTTTGAGTTGGAGCAGTTCAACGTACTAAATCGTCTTACTGTGCCCTTTCTTCAAGATCAGAGCGAACGGCCCCTCAGGCAGTCTGGGCAGCCTGGGCCCTGGGCAAGCATATTGATGTACATACAGTAATGGCGATATCTGGATGACGTGCATTCTGGAAGACGAATTGGCTTATCAAACCATAAGCGATGATACGGTACTTATATGAGGTACCTACGTAAAATACATACCTGGTACATAATTTAGCTAACGATCTATAAATAGTACTTTCAATTAGGAAAGATAGCGAGGGTCTATAATATTTTGATAGACGAGATTGAAAAGTTGAGAAGTGATATCATTTAAATAAAATTTGGGGGAAAAGCATTTTCTAAAGATAACGGACGGTATTGGAACATGAGAACCTGGGAAATTCAATGCAGAGTTTGGGGAACTGAAACATTTAATGTAGGTACCTATATACAAGCGATACCGATACCTAGCTTGCAGATAAAGTATATACATCGGAATCTCTCTCCACTTTACCCGTTCGGTGCTGATATCCGCCATTACGGACTACCAGGTTAGGACATTACGACTTTTAGCGTATATCTAAGGTTGTCAGTCTGCCACTTGGGACTCTTAGTAAGGTACTAGCGAAGTTAAATGCTTAAGATATTTGAACTGTCAGGCCATAGTTGTTCGAGTATTCCGTACCGCCGTCTGGCGACCACCTGACCTAATGTAAATCAAAATTAAGCATCGATCTTGCTAGGTACCCCAAAAAATTTGGGCCCACTCAACATATCTAATGTACATACAATATCTAACGGGAGTCCTGGTTCTTCGTACCGTCTACAACCAAATCTTCTTCCCTTTACATGTGGTGTAAATGTAAAGGACTGTTCAATACAACAATCTTTTGAATGATCAATACTTCCTAGACACCTTTTGTTCTCGTCCGATACGTTCTTTTTCTCCATTGTTCGTACAGACACAAATACATTCTTCTTCTTATCTTTACCTATTTATGTTAAATGGATTAATTATCTTACAATCATTAGATACCGATTTCCCCCACGTCTTGATATCCATCATTCGCTATCCGTCCTTCTCGGTCGGTGGTTAGTGGTTAACAGGTCGCTACTTGTATCTCAAACGAAACCTACCTTATTACATCCTAATATCTATTAACTCATATTCGAATAATTGTACTTACACTACAATACCCTACGCAGTAAATATAAAGGCTGTGTTATAAACTGCGAATTACTGCACCACTGTATAACAGTTATCTCATTCGGCCACGAGGCGACGCGCATCGTACCCTGGTCGTAGCCAGGTTTCCCGCGCTGCACTGTACCTCGCCCACGGCCTAAGCTAATGCAGACTGAGGTCAACGTTACAATTCACAGCTTCCGGAGTGTAGTACTTCGAGTGTATACTGTACCGCCGCCGTCGCCGCCGAGTTTCTAATCGACTCGACTCCTCTGTGTCTAACCTTCGTTGCCTATCGACTATCTTGGCTGCGCCTTGCTATTCACATCGCTTTAGGACCTAGCACCAATAAGACCGGATGCACAGCATCGGCCTCGTCTCATTTCAGTACTAGCCGCGTATGTTAAACGCCACCTTCAACTAAATTCTAACGTATACCTCTCTCCGGAACCCCATCATTGGAAACGAGGTTGTTATTTATTGACTTATCGACTACGAAGCGTAACTGCCGGACACCGCGCCGTATCGAGAACGTGAATCTTCAACTTCTTCCTCTGAATAGTGGAGTTTGTTCCGTCCGACTGCCGTCGCCAGCCCAAGTATTTCGCTACATTTGCTACGTGCTACAGTACTTCCTTTACTGGGCTTCTGACCCAGTACCAAGTGGCTCCCTGTAAGAAAAAAAAAGACTGTCAACCCTTGACACAAACGCTTTCCTAATCCTTGCTAGTTAATTCCCTCCTACATACCACTCGAGACTCGAGTCATTCACACACACAAGATCCCGTCCATCGTTTCACACCGTTCCCAAAGTTGTCAAGCCAGCCGCTGTCAACTCGTACTGGCTCAGCTAGCAATTAAATATGTCCAGCGGACAAACTCAACCCCAGTCTCAGTTTCTGCAGGGAGGCATTCTCGCAGACCACGACCGCCGATCTGTGTCGCAAACACATCCTCTTAACGGATTACCTACCACGGGAACACATACCTTCTTAACAGCTGCTGACGCATTAAATCGAAGTCATGTACAGGAAAACAACATAGTACAATCCTATAATGGCGAATCCACACATTCCTCCAACTACCTATGCGAAGAGCCGATGAGTTCGATACTACCAGTCCCCCACGGTCAAATCCAGTTCCAATCGCATACGATAGCTCCTTCTCCGCCTCTACCACAGCGCCAGGTAGAAGAACCAATTTCGTCTCCCGAGGAACCGTCATACTTCCCATCACCACTGGGTAGGGGCAGTAATCCTCTGTATGTCGCGACTGATGTACCGCCTGCATCTCCAGTACGATCCGACAGCCTTAATAGCAACCCTAGCACTTTCTCATCGTACCGCTCAACTTTGAACCTGCAACGTAAAACTTCTTCTCCGAGTCTGAGGCCGGTTTCGAGAACTCCTAGCTTCAAGCAGCACTACTCGAAAAGTATTAGCTCTGCAGCAAGTTCGACCTATCCAAGTCCTATGATATCTGCTATGGGTGACGTTACGCCCCTACCATCGCCATTGCTAGGTGGTGAGTCTCCCGGTCCTTGGAGGCGATTTGGATCCCGCCGCCCGTCGCAAGCGCGGGAGGTTTTACCTCCAGTCATGCCTGACTCAGTCCTTATAACCGCAGCCGGTGAATCTGTTGCTTCCGCACTGGCTCATCAAACTAAACGGAAGGTATATGCAGGACTCAATGTCAGCCACGCAGCTGAAATCAGCAGTGGCAAGGTTGAACATAGCCGGAACAGAAGTATTAGTGAATATATACCAGATCCGAAGGGTATACCCAAGCGGCAGAACACTGTATCTGGAAAAGTTGATGAGAATGACATGGATGGTACTTCCGACCCTCATTTACGCCGAGAACCGCATCTGTCAGCTGCGCGAGGCATTATACCAGTAACGAAACCGCCGTCGCCTCCTCCCAGCGAGTCATCGCAAAGTAGTGATAATGCCAACTCTAAAAGATCACGCTATGAGTATTTTGAGGCTCGTGGTCGATATGATGGAAGACTTAGGCGATGGCGTGCTATTAAGGAGCTGGGACAGGGAACGTTTAGCCGAGTGATGTTGGCTACAAGTCAGGTAGCTGCCGACGACGAATCCAATGGTACGACTCAAAATGGGACGAATGGGCTATTATCCCCGATAAATGGTGCCCAACCAGATCGTAAGACTTTGGTAGCCGTCAAAGTTTGTGAACATGGGCCTCGGGGTGGGGCCTCAGAAGATCGGATTGAAATGAGCCTCAAACGAGAGCTCGATATAATGCGATCGATAAGCCACCCGTCATTAGTTCATTTGAAGGCCTGGAGCATAGAACCGACAAGGGCATTGTTAGTATTAAGTTATTGCCCTGGGGGCGACCTATTTGACGTCGCAACGACCTACCGAGATGCCTTAACGCCCCCACTTTTGAGAAGGATATTTGCCGAGATAGTGGGTGCAGTAGGATACCTTCACGAACGCCGGATTGTTCATCGGGATATCAAACTTGAAAGTAAGTAATATTGTAGATTAAAGTCATTGTATAACGAGTTCTCGTTTGCTAACGATTTTAATAGACGTCTTAGTGAATATCCCGCCATCTGAGCTTACAAAACCAGACCAAGATTGGGCTGTATACCCGTATTCCGTGACAACGGTTACGGATTTGGGCCTATCACGACGCGTAGCCGATGACGAGAAGCTCGAGACTCGATGCGGATCGGACGACTACGCTGCACCTGAAGTCATATTAGGACAGCCGTATGATGGGCGTGCTGTCGACGCCTGGTCACTTGGTGTTTTACTCTACGCTCTCCTAGAATCACGACTTCCGTTTGATCCTCCTCCTGGTGCTAGCGATGCGCAGAGGATGCGAAGCAGGACGAGTCACAGGATCGCGCGCGTTGAATGGAGATGGATTAAGTACCAGGGCGACGACGGCGATCATGACGCGAGCGAGGCCAAGTTTGAGAGTGAAGGCCTAAAGGGCGCTATGGAAATTACTGAAGGTCTTCTTAAGCGAGCTAGAAGTCGCTGGCCAATGGAAAAAGTGGTCAAGCACGAATGGGTTCGCGACGGAATCCAGGCCGAAGGTGGCCTAAAGTTTAGAGAAGAGGAGGAAGGAGAAGAGGTGTCATGACACTAGCTAGAGTCTACCGGGCGTACTTTTGCTTAGAGACGTGCACTAAAGAGTGCATACAGTTTTCACAATTTCTTGGGCTCAATTTTGGGAGGTCTGGCTCACGGCTGGCAATGCCGTGGCGAAAAGGACCTTGGAGAGCTTTTCAACTGATTATTGGGGATGATTCCAGACTATGCTTTTAGGTGTTTCAATGGCTTTACATACGAGCAAAAGATAGACGCTGCTGCAAAAGACGAGCTCGAACAATATAGTCGCTAGCAACGGTGTTTCTGAGAGCGGTTTTGGCACTCTGTATTATAAGGGATACATGGAGAGAAAAATGATTCTTCAATTCGAATTACCTAACAATGGCATCGACATTTACAATACAATCTTGGCAATGAAGTCTTAACGCTCGGCTCGTTTAAGGGGATATTACGTTACACCCCCGGCTAAATCGTGCACATGACCAACAAAAAGGGGCTGAGTGTCGAGTGCTTGGGGTATAACCAGAGAAATGATAATTACGGCACGGCTTAACCACAGATAGAGATCTAGCCAGGCTTAAGGTAGTCCTATCACTTAATTTCTGTGTTAAAGTTGGGATGTTACGTTTTGTGTATGTTCGACACATGGTATTGGGCTATATCATGTCCCTGGTAGGATAGCTTGATGAGGAATGTTGAAATTAGGGATGGAATCTCTAGTTCACGTGATAACCATGGTCTGATTAATGGAATGAGATATATACAAGGAAGTGTTAGATATACTGTAATAGTGAAAGTACTATTACGAAATTACCTTGTAGTGATGTAATGGTATATTTGATAGGAAGTTAGAAATTCAAGTCCACGTTCGTGAGATCAACCTCGATATGGATTCTATATATGGAGACCTCTGCCATGAATTCGACAGCGAGAATATAAAGGGAAAATCGAATTCGAGAACGCGTCTTGAAAATAATGGGATAATCAAGTAAATATTAACGTGGTTACTTGGAGTCATAATACCCTTTTTTGATAATTCAAGATAAAATGCATTTTTCTATCCGCAGGTCAACAACGCCTATCCCGGGTATCCCTTGAACGCCAATGCGACTGCTCTTTTGTAACTGCCCGTCCTAATGCCGTTGCACAACCAACCTAGAATCCTCGTCTCGATCCTCTCATTCAATAATAATTGCCTCTCGTATTTTTAAGGTCCTCCGATACCGTTCTGGTTCCTGCCAAACAGCTCGTTCAAACTGACCTGACGACCGGGCCCTTGTGCTACGGACACGTCCTCCACGTCATCACCTGCTGATCCACTCGTGGGGGGACTAGCCGGAGCTCCTCCCGCCTCGTCTGGGGCGGAACGGGCCTTGGACCACATCTCGTTGATGAGAGCAGAGTTGGTGCGTCGGTCCTGGTCGTCCTCGGCGTAGATCCACATCCCGATGACCTTGGGCCGCACGGACTCTCCGTTCTCCATCGGTATCTGGGGGCCCTCCTGATCAAGCTTGAAGCTGAGCAAGTCGGTGGCCAGCTCGAAGTTGCTGACGGTGCTCAGGTCGAGAATCAGATTCTGCAGACCTTTGCGGTTCAATATGAACAGACACCCGTCTGCGGCGGCCGCCTCGCCGTCCTCGTCCTGCGCGCAGATGAATAACGGGCCTTCCACGGTGGACCTGTCCCATTTGGCCGGAGGCGTGAAGACGTAGACTACGGCGTGGGCGGCGATGGACAAGATGCTGGTGATGCTGGGTCGGTATCGGCGGAGGACGCTTAAGTTGAGCTCGGTGTTGGTGCGCGCGGCAAGGGCGGCGGCGGGAGGTGGTGGGTGCGAAGCCATGTAGTACGCGGTATCTGATTCGTAGTCGGAAGCAACTGCGGTTGTGGCGCCGCCAAATTGTGACTCTGCTGCCTGGGCACGGAGTTGCTGAGACCTGTTTCGCGCGTGACCATGCTGTAGTTGAGAGAGCTGTTGCTGGGTATGCGGATGCGGGTGTGGGTTCGAATGCGGCGAGCGCGAGAAGGATGGGACTTGCTGTTGCTGTTGCTGTTGCTGTTGGCCCCGGCTTTGGTACTTGCGGGGTGTTGTTTGAGACATTTCGCGCTATACTATATAATGGGCTTAAGCTTTGTTTTTTTTTTTTTTTCGTGTGGCCGTTTGTGTTAGTTGTGTTAGGTAGAAGGCGTGAGGTTAATTGTGTAAGAGGTATGAATTGCTTTGTTGTTAGGTTCTAAAAGTGGTGTTGATGGCCAACACAATTTAGGTACATTGTTAGCTTTAGGACCCCGCCCCCGCTTAATGGAGCTTCTCTGCTTGGTAGTAACCTCTTAGAGAACCAAATAATAGGTGCGATAAATGGGCTTATCTAATCGATACCTTATATACAAGCACAGTTCACCTTTAGCTTGTCTGCTTGTACAGCTCAAACATGCATGTGAGGTAATAGCCCAAACTCCTTCATTCCATTATATGAACTTCCCTGTATTTCCCTTAAACTATCTCCTTGTTTAGGTGGAATTCTGATTTAATATCAATTTCTTTCTTCCCGACGCCGGCTTTTGCTTAAATATAGTTCGTTAAAGTCCTTGTTATTGTATTTATCCGCGCTCCTATATTTTTCAAGTTTAAACTCGAAACAGCCCCTCGATACGTCACAGCTCACGATGCTCTACACCGATTTTAGCGCACGCGACCAAGAGTTGACATAGGCACTTATCCGTCTATCCTATACCGCATTTTCCTTTTACGCTATTTAATATTTCGTCGTCGTAGGGAATCATTTCAACAGTTCGACTATATATAACCAACTATGTCATCCCCTAATCGAGACCCTTCCGTTGTGTCGAACACGGAACCAGTCGAGGAAGAAGCTTCGAACCAATATTCTCTCTCCCGCGCCGTGCGTGCGAGAAAGTCCGAATATGTCAGATCCCATCGAATACGGATAAAGGTTGGATCCTGGAATGTTGCTGGTTGCCCTGGCACGGATAAAGACTTGGCGAGTTGGTTTATTGACGGCAAAGGGGTTGAACCACAACTGGATTCGAAGCTGGCTCGGATGAACTTTTCCGAGGAGAGTGCGGAACTAGAAACAGATGAGTTTGAAGATGCTAGGTCACAGACGAGCGAGAGGCACAGTATTAATTCAGGGGTTCAAGAGAGCTTGAACTTGGACGACGAGACTACGCAAGGTGGAAATGAAGAACCAAATATTCGCCTACTGGGTGGTGATAAGATAGGGCTTTATGTTCTTGGACTTCAAGAAATCGTCAATTTGAACATTGTCGCCCAAACCTTCTATTCTGATCCGGCCGCTATTGCGAAATGGAAAGATGCGCTCGAAGCCGCCCTACCAAAGGGTTACACCCTTGTTGCCTGCGAGCAACTTGTCGGCCTTCTTCTACTTATATATGCATCCCCCGAAGTAGCTGAGACTATTTCAAACGAGTCTACAATGAGTGTTGGAACCGGTATATATGGCTTATTGGGCTATTGGGGTAATAAAGGGGCAATTTCATCTCGCATCCTCCTAGGCGAAACTACCCGACTAGTTTTCACTAATTGCCATCTCGCCTCTGGCCATGATCAGACCAGTCTTGACAGACGATGTTGGGACTATAATAGGGTCATGACCCAGACTAAATTTACTCCTATTAATCACAGCGGCGTGCTCGAGGATGAGGGTGAAAAATTAGGGGACGAAGACTTTTCTTTCTGGTTCGGAGATCTAAACTTTCGCCTCGATGATCTACCTGGAGAAGATATCCGGCGCTTATTAATGCTACATACTCGCGGCGAGTATGACGTAAATAAGAAGCATACCGGGGAGATGTTCAGCGACGACGGAGTCATTGTGTTACGCAACAATGACGATGAAGATGGCACACATACGCCTGGCATGATTTCACGTGAAACATCTTTCGATAAAGATTCCAGCGACGAAAATACTGAACTCCCAGATCCAGATGACTTCGTTCCTGGCCCACACGACGATCCGGCATCTTTACAAGCTACACTAGATTCCTTACTCCCGCATGACCAACTCAAACGTATGATCAAAGAGCGCAAAGCATTTCACGAAGGTTGGCATGAGGGACCTATCACGTTTTTACCAACCTACAAGTATGATGTCGGTACTGTAGGACTCTTTGATTCTTCGGAAAAGCAGCGAGCTCCGAGTTGGTGTGATCGTATCTTGTATCGCACGCGTACGGATATAGGGCAATATGAGAAGAAATGCCAAGACGAAATTGACGCTAAGAAAAAGGACGAAGATATGCAAAAAAGAGGCATTGACCAGGCTGTAGAGGACGAAAACGTTTTATTTGATTACGATCCTGCTACTGATTCAAGCACCGAAAACCATGGATACAGCGACGCTAATTCTTATGAGTACGACGAATACGACGAGGGAGATGAGGATACGGGACATGTTGTAACGAAGGAAGGTTTCGTTGATGAAATCAGCTTGGATATATATACCAGCCATCAGCGGATCATGTCGTCAGACCACAAACCAGTAGTTTCCGTGTTTACATTGGATTTTGATGCTGTAGTCCCCGAGCTAAAGGCAAAAGTCCACGCTGAAGTAGCGAGAGAACTTGATCGAGCGGAGAATGAAGGGCGGCCAGGAATTACTGTCATTGTTGACGGAAAAGACTCAATCAACAAGGATAATGGTAACAAGCACGCGGCTGATGGAAGCGAAGGAGTTGACTTTGGTGAGATCGGGTTCCTGCGAAGAGAATCTCGATCTCTAACAATTGCCAATACTGGACGCGTTCCGGCGAATTTCTCCTTTGTGGAAAAGCCGAACACGGTCGATGCAAGCGAATACCCAAATTGGTTGGAATTTAAATTTGTCCGCTCGGAAGTCAGCCACAACGGAGAGGTAGAAGATGCCCTTGGCGACGAAATCACTTTAGAGCCTGGGGAAACAGTCAACGCTGTCATACAGGCCTATATTTACGACCTCATCCATGTACAAGCACTGAATGAAGAAATAGCGCAACTAGAGGATGTGCTAATATTACGTGTCGCTGATGGGAGGGACCATTTTATCCCGATTAGGGCCACTTGGATACCAAGTTGCTTCGGGCGTTCACTTGAGGAGCTTATTAGAGTCCCGCGCGGTGGAGGCATTAGAGCATTAGTAAAGGAGCAACAAAAGGGAGGGCCAATACCTTACACATTGGAAGTACATAAATCATCACCCGGTGAGCTTTTTAAGCTTACGGAAGCCGTTCAAACCTTAGTAGAACGGGTGATAGCCGACGAAAACATGTTAGAAGAAGCAAGGGTGCCACGCGACCAGCCTGGTTGGCCATTCGACGGAGGTGCATGGCAAGCGTCTCATGCTGAAGATCATGACGAACTACGAGTAGCCATTGTTGAAGCTTTAGAGGAGGACAGATCTGTGCTAGACACTATCCGAGCTGATGTACCGACATTAAAACGCCTCGAAATCGTGAGCGAGGTACTCCTACTGTTTCTTCGCAGCATGCCAGATGGGATCATTACTGCAGCCCTATGGGCCAAGATCGAACAGGCTCTACCTAATATAGGGAACGGGAAGACCCCTGCTGATGTCGAAGCAGCCAAGACCGGCATCCTCGATATACTGTCAACGGCGCCTTATTATAATATTTCCTTCGTATTCCTTATGTCTATGTTGACACGGGTCGCAAATGACCTAGTACCACTCAATAAGGAAGAGTTCGGGGTCTTGAATTCTCTCAAACCTACCATAGGAAGGCGCAGCCTCAGCTTTCGTCGAAGTACTGGATTAGGGACTATCGACGTGGCTGCGATACAACGAAGGTCGGCATGGGAAAAGAAAGCTTCAGAGGTTTTTGGCGTAGCAATATGCAGAGCACCAATGCCAGCAAATCCAAAAGAGAGGAAGGCTCTTGAGGATAAAATGAAGGGATCTGTTGAGGTTTTCCTCCGCCCGGATAGCATACAGGGGTGAGCCTCTACTAATAGACAGGTTCTTGGGTGCGAAATAACATCAGGAGAGTGGTATATAGAGAGAAAATGCCTAAACGATTTACTGACACATTATGAGTTTATACCTAATGCCTACAATAACTACCTGGTGCTGATATAATTGATATTTTGCTAACGCAGGGCAAATTTTAACCCCCTTATCATGAATCACGAGAAATTCTTCCTCACCGCAACGATTTACCACACTAGCAACACCCCTTCGAAGTACGATTTTAAACTTTTGAGTAAACGATAAATGCAGTTCCATCACACTGGCGGTCGAAACATGGGCCACCACAGTCAGGAGGCATCGCGCAGCTCAAAGTGATATCAACTGTGCCCTCAACCTCAGCTTTCCTATTCGCACATACACATTAGAAACTCCCTTATCGGCGTGATGCGCGTTATACTCACCCCGGTCCACACTCCCGTTTCTGCACCAGCGAGAACTTCGCTGGGTGCGCGCTCTCCTGATCGCCAACCGCAGACTCGAACTTGAACGCGAGCGCCGCATCTGGTGAGCCGATGAGTAACTTGTCGGAGTTCCAGCACCGGTATGTCCAGGTGTTGAATTGCTGTATCTCCTCTACTTTCTCGTAGCCCGTGTCTACGGTGCATTTGTGGGGTGTCGGCAGCGCTGGACTGGATACCTCGAAGTCGAGTTTCCGCCGCCGGTCTGCACGGAGAGTAATTAGATTCGGGGTAGCGAAGTCGGTGAGGGAGAGACTGGTTATGGTCCATGTGGTTTCGTTGGGGCAGGGGGTGGTTGGTGTGGGTGGAGGGGATGAAGGGGATGCTAGGGAGAGGGGGAGGAGGAGGAATGGTGTTAGGTGGGATGGAGTGATCATTGTGATGGGGTGTGTAGTAGCTATAGGTGGTAGACTTGAAAGACTTGAAGGGAAAGAGGTATAAATGGAGAGTAAGCTAGAGGCTTTGGATATACTCAATCGCTACAGCCGGAACTGTCTATATAGCATGATGTCGACTGTATTAGCCGCGGTATCCCTATTGGCTTGTTTTGATAGATAGAGCTTAAACTAACATTGAGTTGACTTATGTTTGATCGATTATGATATATGAGAGGAAGTTAAGGTAGCCCTTATATGATGGATAGTCTCGTTAGTCAACCTATAGTCTTACATAGCATTACTATTATCGTCACGGCTGTATGTTATTTTGGGTATGTAAAGGCTCTATATAAAATCTAAGTCGGCTTATATCCTTCTCCTCCAATATAGTAACATGATAACAATTTCTTAGGTAAAAGGGGCAATATGTCTATGGATTAACTAACTGCTACTCCATTATAGGGGCTAGTATATACCTCAAGGGGAGGCCGTTTTTGTTCGATGTAATGTGCAATCTGCTATTTAAACTTATGAAATATGGACTCTACATCATAGATTCCTTCGATTCAATAAACTACTCGTGATTCTATCTCTAGAAGAAGCGTTGCCAGTCCGGCTCTCAGGGGCTTTTTTCGCTAAGGTATGAGGACTCGCCCTTTGGGATTAAGCTAGAGAGCTATGACACAAATACATCAACTCTAAGCTTCCGATTTGCAATGCTTATATCACAATCAGTATTACTAGATAGGACTTACTCCCTTAGTCAATCAGGTATTCCTATTATGGTAACTTTGACATGACGCTTACACTGTAGCCCCTTTACTGGCGATCTTTAAGGCTGCCCTACCATAAGCCCGTTAACACGGCTATTAAATACTCTGTACTAATCGTAACATATCTGCCATAAATCAGCGGCAAGACCTAAAAAACTACTACTCTGAGGCTCGGGCCTGGCTAAGAGCGAAACCAGCCGTCCATGTCATATCAGGTGAGGATGAAGTATGAATGAGTACGCGTAAATAGAAGACGACGTGAAGCATGTATATCGTATACCCCTGAGATCCAATACTCATGCCCAACAGAGAGTCGTTGAACAGACAAAAAGTTACATTGATACCTACCACCTAACCTTAGGAATTATCATAGAGTTTACCTAGCATTCCGCCGGACTACCTCGCGTCTTCATGTAGATATAACACCATCAATTACCAGAGTGTAAGAACACATGCAAAATAGGTACCTTTAGTATATAACTGCATAAAGGCCAAGAATACCCGATTATTCATTGGATAGTGAAAGTAAGGGAATTTCGGTTACACAGTTGCTCCCATTCGGTATTCCAATCACATGCATCGCAACGGCGCGACAGGGACATTTGATCCATTTATGCGTCTGACATTTGATAATTATTATCTAGCCATTCAAAAATAGTTATAGAGAACAAATTGTTTCATAGTTTGCCAGCGTGGGCGTGCCCTACGATACCACCATTGGGTTGTATCTGACTTCTAGGCTTGCATGAATCGGTGTAAAGGAGGCAGCATATAGAGGGTTGCAGTCCATAGAGCCCAGAGTTCCCAAGTCCTTCTATCGGCATGTTTTCCCGAGCAAGTTAGACAGCGCACAGCCACAGTCATACCAAGCACAACGATGCCAATGCCCGCCATTCCTACTCCCCAAAACCATGTACAATAATACGACCAAAAGAAAACTGGGATAGATATCGTCCACCGAGCAACTCTATCTCCGAGCACATATGGTGCCAATCGACGACCGCGTGCACGATCCCCCTCTTGATCCTTAAGGTCTTGAACATGCATAGTTGTTAAGATGACCCCACTTACAACGATCGTCCATACCTCTCCCTTTTCAGTAATATGTGCCGTATGGCCGCCGTTGGCCAACTTTGCAGATCCGGTGTTATACATCCAGAACGCAGTTGCAATAATGACATTTCGACAGATCCAGTTCTCATCACCCCCCATGAGGTCGTTGTATAACCACGTAAGCACATACAATAGAGACGTTTCAGTTCCGACTCCAAAGATATGATTCGTGATAAGAACTATCGGGATCCAAACAAGCATAGCTCGTCTAATCTGGACGGATGTAACCAACCCGCCAGGAACTGGCCTCCAGGGTTTGTTTAACGCATCCTCCTGAGCCGACTCCGGAAGCCGCTGATTCGCTAGGTCAAATATGAGAAGATTGGACCAGTTGAAAAATATCACCCGAGGCAGCCGTATGAGTATACTTGCGGCGTCGCTTTGAGGTGTGGCTAGTACTGGAGCCGAAAGAGCGCTGCAGAGACCAAACACAACGTTAGGGATAACAAAGGTTCCAGCGTCATCCACAGTGAAGAGCCAGAAGAGTACGAGAGCCTTTTGGATTTTCTTGCCTGTGAAATATATTAGACGAGAGAGAATGTTGGTATTTAGGGGCGGTCGTCCGGGCTTGCTTTCGACTATGTGAGCCATGGGGGCTAATATATTTGAAAATAGTGGCAGCAAGTATTTAAGAATTTAAATATAAGAATAAGGCTTTCTGGTCACTCTCTAATATTATAACCTAGACTTTAAGCGGGTTTAACTATCGTTATGATTACTTCTATATTATATTTATGTTGAATATTCGATGCCTTTATACTCGCAACATGCCGAGCGTAATGAAATCAAGAAATGTGTAGTTGAATCGGTGTTGTGTGTAAGGTGTTGATATCTTACTTACATGCAGGTATCTACCGCACATCGTGACAAATTAAGAAGACTTAACTCCTAAACCAATAGGATGCAACCTATCTAGCATCAAGGTGAATATCACGGATGAAATGGTAATATCAACAATTCACTAACTATAATATGCCATGGTTACCGGGCTTGCTTCAATATGTGGGATATTATGCAGTTCATGCCCAGCATGGAATCCCGAAGGATCCTAACGAGGTAGTTACACAAACCCTTATTGCATCCGACTTAACCAATGTTCATTAAGCCTCTATCCGATGGTAACTCTTGGTAAACATCGGTTCGCGTTTTGACGCCTATTTAATCACTAACGCGATATAAGTGTGGATATATGAGTAAAGAGCGGAAAAGGAGATATGAAGTTCAGTGAGATCTCACAACATTCTAACAAGGAAGGATTTACTAGTGTATAGAATTGTATACAAACCCGTAAGGAACTCAGCAGATGCCCGCGTAGTAGTTATCAAGTAGTAAGGCATATTTTTACAAGATTACTTTAAGTAATATAGTGTTAAAATCGACTAGGACGAGACTCAGGTATATAGTCAAAAGATATTAGTGAAACCGAGCTGAGATTCTGGGGAAGCATTATTTTATGAGGCATTACTTTTAGTTTCATATGAATAGCCTGGTAGTCTAGTTAGATCATTACTAATTGAGGTAAAGAAGACTGTCTGGATTCCTGGGCAAACAGCTCGATGGTCTTGACAAGGGTCAACGTGGAAACGCGACAATTCGAATCACCAAGGAGTATCTCTATCTAGAGCTTAGTTTTCCCAGCTATGGTGGACGGTGATGTTATATCTAGTTGACTTACTGGATGAAATGAGCGTATAGGTCTATAAGATAATGGTAGACTTCACATTTGTGTAACCCACTATGTCGGTGCCCTCGAATCTTGACATGCAGAATTAAGTTCTTACCATAGAGGATTCCAAATGTATGACTGCATGTACATTTAACTTATACTACGTATTAAGACATTTTAAGTATCGATCATCGCAGCAGCATTTTCCTACTTATTGTGCCATTATGCTATGAAAGCTGGTTCTAGGCTGCTAGGAGTCAGAAAATCTCATTGATAAACTACAAGGATAGACACGGTATGTAGTAGAAATTCAAATGTGCTAAACGATTGCAGTAGGACCTATTTGTATACACATACGCCATGGCGTGGCGTAGATAGGGTCCCCCGGAATTCGGATAGGAAATCCTTACCCTTCCCTTAGCGTGTATGTATACGTGTGGATAAATACTACTGTAACATTATGTCTACCGTATGTGGTGACTATTGAAACATCTCTGTGATATTCGCTTAGATATAATTTGTCTCCAGGTTGTTAGTAAGAACTTCATATGCCGTAATTCTATGCTACCTTGGCCTACAGGCGTAGCTATGTATATGAGGTAAGGATCTTGATTCCTTCGGGTAGCTTGTAACTCCATGTTCTTTTGAAACATTGTGAATATTGAACATCCCATTTTCACTTGTTACAATGCTGCCAATAGCTACCTCTGGCCTTGTCGCCGGTGTAGTAGCGCATCATGGCATCTTCATCCGGGGGGAGTGGCACATGAAAATTCCGCAAGTCATTGCAAGCCATTTGATTCTTATGGGCGTCCTATTGTATGCTCTGTATGACCATTATAGTTCCTTAAAGATCGCAGCAAGTGCCTTGGGAACAATGATTTCTTGCTACTTCTCTTCCCTGTTCATTAGCATGACGATATATAGACTGTTCTTCCACGCTACTTCACATTTCCCAGGTCCGAAATTGGCCGCCGTCTCGAAGCTTTGGCACGTATTTCATATTCTCGATTCGAAGAACTATGCATTTCTGCAAAAGCTGCATATGGAATATGGCCAGTTTGTCCGTACAGGTAAGAGCATTCTACTCCTAGACAGCCTTGGTTGAGTCATGGCTGAAAAGAAATTTACGTCTAGGACCAAATGAGATTACTATATTCCACCCTGCGGCTATTCAAGAAATAGAAACTTCGAAGAACCAGACGACCAAGGATGTTTGGTACGATCTCCTGAAGCCGCATAAATCTGCTGTTTTTGCACGGGATGATGACCTACATAAAGAATGGCGCAGGTCTTGGACGCAGTCCTTTTCTAAAAAGTGTAAGCGCTGCCCCCGTATTCGCTATCACTATCTCAGCGACAATATTGGGTTAAGTAGCTGACATTGTCATATTAGGCATAGACGCGTACCGTCCACGCATGGTAGAATTAACTCAAACGCTTTCTCAAAGCATATCAGAATATGAAGGCGCCCCCGTAGATATTGATGAAGTCATGACTTGGTTCTCGTTTGATGCAATGGGCGATGCTTTATTCGGAGAAGACTTCGGTCTTACCCGCTCCAAGTCTATACATCCCGGAATCGTTCATCGGGATCGAGCCCTATCCATTCTCGGGCCTCTCGAGGGAGCTATATGGATAGCCCGTCTTGGGTTTTCATTAACACCTTTCTTAGGAAGAGTTAAAGACTGGTTTAAACTGGTCTCCTTTTGCGATGAACAATTAAGGAAAAGGATACAGGTACAGTCATATCCCAATTATGCCGCGATGCTACTAATACTGTCAAATTAGCGTCCAACTGAGTCCTTGAAATTAGATATGGTCTCCTTCTTCCTTGAAGAATATAACAAAAACTCCGAAACGATGAACGACACAGATCGGGGTCTTCTACTAAGCGGAACAGTGCTTTCGGCAGTTGTTGCTGGCAGGTTCGTCTTGTTCTCCTATCATAAGCCCCGACACAAACCTCAAGTAGGGAAGCTCACCTTACATAGCGATACTACTAGAGCCGTTTTGATTGCAGCTTTCTGGTTCCTATCGAAATATCCTATTCATGCCGACAAGATTCGGTCTGAGATTCAAGTTTTAAATCCAAACGACATAGATACTCTATTAACCCTTCCGCATCTCAACGGGGTAATAAATGAAGTATTGCGTTTAGCACCATCAGCTATGACGGGGATGGCCAGAATTACAGGGCCTAATGGGTTTGTATTCGATGGTACATTCATCCCACCGTTTACTAGGATAACAGCACCTAAATATGTTATAATGCGGAGTAAGATACGATATTTATTACCCCGCTACGCACGTATTGCTCGTCTTGTTAATACATAAATAAAAATGCAGTGGAAGCCTCGTTTGTATTTCCGAACGAATTTATTCCCGAGCGCTGGTACTCGAAACCGGAGCTCATCCGTGACGAACGCGCTTTTGCGCCGTTTGGTTTCGGTACGTATTAACACGAATTCCTTTCCGTGTAGGTTATCTGATTTAAGCTTACAATGAAATAGGTAATCGCATGTGTACAGGTAAATCCTTCGCTCAAACGGAGCTCTGTCTTGCTATCTCAAATCTGCTCCGTCGCTATAAGGTCTCTTTTGCGCCGGAATACGACCCCCAGACAATGTGGCGAGATATGAAAGACCAGGTAACTGCGCAGCCGGGACGTGTTTTGTGTATATTCGAGCCGTTAAGTGACATTAGAGATTGATGAATATTTGGAGTTGAGTAAATTATTATGTAGAATGTAGATCAACCATACATAAAGAGATCCTTGTCAGTCTCGGCAAGCTTTGGCCATGCTTGGCTCCAGCTGCTCACTTCTTCAACATGTGTATTTTACTTTACTTGAATAATTCAATATAAAGCTTCTCTTTTAAGCTAAGTCATAGGATTTCAAAAAGGAGATAGATTAGAAAAGTAAAAGCATATTATTGATATAAGGCTGTTTCTTTCATTTTAGTCTTACTATTTCCTGCAAAGCCTTGTATTAAAGATAAAGAGGTTTAGTATATACAATGTCAAGATATCCCACAGGTGCTTGCCAAGCATCTGGCAGCCGTCAACATACAAGATACATCACACCCCCTATTTAGGTACCATCGCCAAAAACATTCATCCATTTATAGTAATTCTTTACGATTGCTACCCCCCTACATATGAGCCTTATATTCAATGGAATTCCGTATGTTACAGATCATTCCAGAGTCTTAGCAATTCTTGTCTTACCCTCAATACCACCAATGTGTGAAACCCGAGATGCATGTTCTCTAAGGCTGCTTCAACATACATACGCCGTATATCCCAACCTCGATTATTTCAATAGTTCAGCTGTAGATTTCGCTGCAAGCCTACTTCCACACCCAACCAATCGTTAAGTTCAGAATTGATTGGTAGTGTGGGGAATGCAACTGTCTACTTTTAGTAGTGGAATGCGAGTGTGCGACCTGAGGTAGAAGCAGTTAAAATTTTGGATAATGGATAGCCGACAGAGGGTGTCTTAACTTAACCTACTATGCCTAGCATCCTGTCAGCAAAATGGTGGCTTAGGGTAATTCTTTATAGGCATCATCACTACAACCACCCCTACGATATCTAATTATCGTACATGAAAGATTTCGACATATCAACATATCCTCAGGATATATACTACTGTCTTATTAGAATGGTGCTGGATTGTTCAAGCTTACTTTCCGTCTCTACGATTATTCACTCACTTCGTTAGAAATCCATCAGTCAAAGCAAAATGAACACCTTCCAGGGCGAGTTGAGCATACCGCACCATACTTATCTGAAAATTCAGATTGCACTAGATGTTATTGTTACCGTCTTCGTAGCCGTTCGGCTTTCCACTAATTATCGACTTACTAAGAAGCTCGCAGCAGATGATTGTAGGTTAAAGCGCTATGATTCCAAACCTTAGTGTCTCGATCCGTCTAATACCTAACACCTTGTAGACTTTTCCATAATGGCTGTTGTCGTTCTCATCGGCTATTCAACGTCAAGTTTTCTAATGACCCGATGTGAGCCAGCCTCGAGACCCTTTGGCACGCATCAATATTTAAATACGAAATCTAGCGTTTGAGAGTTCGACCACTACTATACCCTCAATCACAAAGGTGGCTACCTCACATCTTCTAAAATCTCTAGCGTCGTTATTAGGAGGTGACAAAGGCTAATTCCATCAAACTATTAAGATATCGGTAGCATGTCTATTCACCGGCGGAGGTGCGATGTTCTTCGCAAAGGCCCCGATCTTCCTTTTCTACATCCGCATATTCAACGTTATGAACTGGTTGCGAATTACGTGTTACGTCGTCTTGGCTACAACGGCTATAGCATACTTGGCTTGTTCAATATACTCAGGTGTCAACTGCATTCCTAGCGACGGCGTTTACGATACTTCTTTCTTGAACCGGTGCGCGGACAGGACTTTGATTCAAGCTATCGTGCGATGTTTCATCTCGATCTTCTCGGATATCATAGCCCTTTCCTTACCACTTGCTGTACTCACCAAACTACACCTGCCACCTACGAGGAAGATAGGTTTGGCCTTGGTATTTATGACGGGTATCTTGTGAGTATTCTAAACTTCTAAACTGTTATTTTCCTGTTTGGTATCAAAACTAGAATGATTTACGGTCGCTAACAAGAGGAACATTAGTGCCATGGTAGCAGGTTGTATATCTCTATATTATCAGTGGAGAATGGCGCGAACGGGAGATCCGCAGGATATGACGGTTGCTATGCTCTGCACGTACGTTATAATCATCACCTAGGTATTTATGCTATGGTCCCCATGTCTAACGACCTCATAGGTGTATTGAATGTTCTATCGCCATTCTCGTCATGTGCGCCCCAGCGCTACATTCTCTCTGGAAAGTCTACATTTCGAAATCTCGCTTAATCACCAATCCTCAGTCACTGTATACATATCGTACTAAGAAGACGGACATGTCAGACTCTTCGCAGAAACTTAAAGGCGCATCACATCATTACATAGAGTTGAGTGAGCCTAATAGGGCTGTCTCGGGATATCAAGCAGACGTAGTTAGCGTTAATAACAAGGTATATCAAGGGGTGTAGATACCAAAGCTTGTATTATATCTACCAGAATAAAACTAGACTCGTGCTTAGGTTGGGCAGCTCAGGAGGTATCCAGGGTAGTTACAAAAGAATAGTTGGGAAATTAGAAGGTTTACTAAGGATTGGGTGATACGATGTAGGAGGGTACCTTCGTGTAGATTACCACCTTTATTATCTAATGTTCTTCCAATAGAATTTTTGATATTTGAGTATTTATATACAAGACTTTATGTATGAAAGCACGTAAAAGCAAGAAACTAGCATGGGTTGCTACGAAAATATGTTGTTGGTTGTGTGACGCCTATAGAATAGACACCAGCCACAGGAGCTGAAAATCCTATCCAATATTTCCTAAATTAAGTATATTAATCCTACCCCCTCGATTTATCTTATAAACTCTTAGTTCTCCTATTTATCCATTCTATTCTGGCAATGCTACCAACCCAAATTTGTTTTCGACTATTTCTCAATGATGGCTTCAATTAACCCCACTACCTCCGACTCCGTGGAAGCCAACCCTTTTGATCCCCGCCTGAAGCTTCAAGTTCTGCTTCCTGGGGATCCTTTCTACGTTTCTCGTCAGGAGTCGTACTGGGCTGTTAATACTCGGCTCAACCCATCTTGCTTTGTTCTTCCCGAGTCTTCTCAACAAGTCTCGGAGATACTTAAAGTGCTGGTGGCTCTAAAGCGACAGTTCGCTATCCGAAGTGGTGGTCATTCGCCAGTGCCGGGAACTAACAATATAGCAAACGCTGTTACCATCGATCTCGGCTTCCTGAACAGGGTTGCATTTGATGCTGGCTCTGAGACGGTGAGTTTTGGCGCAGGCGCAAGGTGGAAGGACGTATACGAGGAGTTAAGCAAGTACAAGCGGACTGTGGCCGGAGGGAGGGGTGGCGACGTTGGCGTCTCGGGCCTGCTCCTGGGTGGTGGCAGCACATGGATGATGGCGAAAAATGGCTGGGCTGTAAGTCATCTTCAGGTTCAAATAACTTGACGAAAACCTCTTTTATTCATCTTCACCACTGCTAGTATCACTACAGTACATAAAACTAATGACAATATCCAAGTGTGATAACGTACTATCGTATGAAATCGTCTTAGCGGATGGCCAAATCATCACTGCGGATAGAGATAGGAATGTGGATCTATTCCGCGTATTGAAGGGCGGCTCGAACAATTTTGGAATCGTCACTAGGTTTACTATGCCGACTATGCCGTCGGATAGAATTTGGGGGGGCGTAGCTGCCTCTCCACAAACGGCTATCTCTGAGGTTATCGATGTGATGTGGGAGTTTACGGAAGAGCAAGCTAAGTATCCGGACAGCTACCTTATGGTTGTTATCGGTTATTTCCCTGACTTCGGGGCTAATGTGGCATCGACTGCTCTCTTTCAAGGAAATAATGATTCTACCGGCCCTGAATTCAAAGGGTGGCATGAACTCCCTAAACTCGTGGATACCACCAAGGAGACAACGATACATAGCATATCCTTCGATATCACGCTCCCTCATAGCTACCAGTAAGTAAAGCCCACGGTTTAGTCTCCTTTCTCGATACTGATCACTAACGACATCATCTAAATGAAGTGACGCATGGTTTACTCTCTGCTTCAAGAATGATAAACGTATCATGCAAAAAGCTGCAGAGGTGCATGAAGTACTCGTCGAAGAGCTCAAATCACTTGTCCCGGATGGCAATTTTGTCACCCAGTGTATCTTCCAGCCCCTCCCTACAATTGTATCGAAACACTCAACTGCAGCGGGTGGGAACGTAATGGGTGTTGAACGAAACACCGATAACGCCATTATTTTCCAGTACGCGGCCATGATGGATACAGCCGAGCAGGCGGCAATCGTATATCCTAAGATGCTGGTAGGAATTCAAACTATAAAGGATTTCGCAGCTGGCATAGAAAACGGACTGATGGACTGGCTGTACATGAACTACGCGGACAAGACACAAGACGTTCTTGGGAGTTACGGCGCTGAAAACGTCAATAAAATCAAGCAAGCAGCGGCAAAATATGATCCTGATCAGGTCTTTCAAAAGCTATGCCCTGGAGGGTGGAAGATATCAGACATAAGATAGGAGCAGTAACATTGGTTTCGGAGGAACACGACCATGTATCGTATCATTCGACTTAACTAAATATTGAAGTGTTCAGTCGCAAAATCCTTCTCCGTATATCATAATTTAATCATTACTGACTGACTATCCCTGATAGTTTTATATTCCTTGTTCACGACCTCTACTACCAACCTTGCCGATGTTAGTAAGCTCTACTGAGTGGTGACCTTCACCTCTTTTTCTCATCATATCTTTAGTTAAACCTGGCAAAGACTCCAGTGTTCTACTCTAATAGAATTCTGTCGCGTTCAAAAAATCCGGGTTATCCTTTACTTCTTCTGCGAACTCCACACCGAACCTGAAGAGACTATATCCATCCAGCGAGTCAGACCGTCTCTGACGAAATCCATATAGTATTCCCAGTAATGCACAAGCGGCACTCCAGACCGCAAAACAAACCGCAAGTACATTTTGGGGTATTATTCCAGTTACCAATATCTTCCCTGGTATTGAAGAAGTCAAGTTTTAATTTATCCATGCATCTTCGAAACCGTACTCTTTATATGTATAACTGATCCCAGTAGAGCTACCCTTGAATCTACCCCTGGTCCACTTATTCCCCGATACATAAGGGGTTAGGATGGTGATCTCGGCATTCACACCATTTGTTGGTACGACGTGATCGGATTTGTGCAGTAGTTAAATGATAGCTCTTACATACTAATCATGACAACAAGAGCATTCTTAATTCTCGACTCAATTACCTACCTAAAGTACTGGGCAGCGAATCGTGTAACCACACAGGTGATACTGACATAATAAGAACACCAAGCTACGATGATATTTTTCGGTGAGAAAATAATAGCGAAAGCGTCTTAGCTGGAAACAGTCTGCGATCAGATACTAATTTGGTAGATCATGTTACATCTGTTACAGTATAAATGATTCAGATCTATGTAGAATACACGAATCTAACGGACCATTCTCCGGGTTAGCCACCACCAATATGTACCTAGGCTACCGATTTAAAATAAGCCACCTCGTCATTTAAAATCTGCCTAAGTAGCTGGCTACGTTATGAAAGGTTTATTACTACCTCCCAGCTGTTATATTCGCAAGTGCGGGAGTGCTACACTGTACCCTTTTTGGGGGGGTATGTCCAATCAGAGGCTATTCGGTGAGTTTTTGAACCAATCAAATTACTTATATCCAAAGAGGTTTACTGTGTAGTACCGTCGCACTTGAGGACATACTCCACCCAGCTTTTATATTCCATGAATTTCCTGCCTCGTTTTTTTGGTAATGGTGGAGGTAGTTATTAACTACAAGCCTTGCATACTATCAACTTTTGACTTTTACGTATCTTTGACTGAAGGTGATGAGTCTAGATCTGATCATTTCAAGACACTCGCAAGTTGTTGCCGATGAACTCAAGCAAAATAGAAATGTCTAGCTGCCCAGTCAAGCCAAATTGTTCCTCAGAGACGTTCGATGCTGATCCAGATATCGTAAGTATCCATACTCTATTATTGTAAGTCTCGTTAGGTTAACCATCGCATAGGCCGGAATTGGAGTACGGAGGTGATCTCCAATATACTTTGTTTCTAATTCTTACTATGCCCTAGGTAATTGCGGCCTTTTTGATTTCCGCATGGTCTAGTCTATTAATCACGAGTGTCGAATATGCATCCCGACACGCGGACGTTTTTAGCCCCTATTCAGGTTATGCCGTGCGGCTAGATGATCTATTGAGGAGTTACACTAGACAGCTTACAAGGCGTGTAAAGAAGCCGTGGACTCTCCAATCCATACAACCAGTTGTGTTAGCGGCCAGTGACCAGCAACTAGTCACAGGCCTGGCAATAATGGCAACAGGCTACATTCAACATTGTATTATTACGCAGTACCATTTCGACATAGTCGCTTCTTTAGGTGGCATTGCGTTCAACGTCTACCAACCTACTCTATATGCTCTTGATGGATACACCAATAGAGATCCTCGAATGAAGCTGTGGAGAACGATTCTGATGACGATCCTGTTTGGTATGATTATTCCAAGCATTTTCGTGGTGTTCAACGTCAACTTTCTAAACCTATATGGAGCATCTACTCAATGTATATGGGATGATTTGATTGATTCCCACCACGACACGACTTTGGACGTCCTACTCAGCTTCAACTTAATTTTAACTATTTGGGCCTATATAGATAGTATGAGATATTTATATCCTATTCTCTTCCGGAGGTTTCCACACATTTCAAGTTTTATATTATCCTGCTTTGAGATGTTATATTGGATCGACAAGAAAACATTCCAATTTGCGCAAAGTATCAATTTGACAGATCGGTTATATAAAGAAGTCAAATCCCTAAAGGCATTCGTTACCCTTTCCTATCATAGGCTCGTGTATACTACAATAACCGCCATAGTCCGGCCAATATTTTGGGTTATATTCATTCCAATCTTTACCTTCCAAGAAATCATAAGGTCACATTTTATCGACATCTGGAGAGCTTACACAGTGACCTTAGCATGGACATTGAAGTTATATCTATCAAACAGGACGCAGTCTCCTCCGAAGTCATAAATGGCAGTGAGAATAAATGGGGGTTTGGCCAGATACTTCCACTATTGCTTTTGATTCTCCCAATGATGTCAGCTTGGGAGTTATTCGAGGGTTAGTACTTATTGAAACGAGAAGACAAGCTACCTCAAGATATATGCTGACCTTTTTTTATAGAAACACAACGTACCGGAAATGAGGGAGGGGCCAGAAATTCGTACAATCATGAACTCTTAGAATATAGTGAACCTATTATTCGTAACGACTCAGCCGCATCATCTCTTCATCCCCTCTTCCAACCACAAGAACGTGATGAGTGCGAACGAGAGGCCGTAGAGGTTCAAATTGGATTCTTACCTATTAGCATAGCGAATGGGATCAGAGTTGGATCAGATATCTCGGATCGAATGTATGAATCTAAGTTGTTTAGAGCGTGGGCTATTTTCTGCACCCTGGGAATTTTTGGTGGGAGTACTTACTTTGTGGTTCGAGGATATACAATTTAGAAGGGGAGCTCTTAGCTACGATACGCCAGTTACTACGTTTATATACTAAAGCTATTGACGAACTATATTTTAAAGACGCCTCATAAGTCAACTGACTAAATATACCTTGAATTTTGCGTTGGAGTCCGGTGCATCGAAAACGCGCTTACAGATACCCGAACCAAGAAGGAGAAGTGACTCTTCGGAGATATCAACTTGAGGACCAAATAGCTGGCGGTCCAAGTAAAATACTACTTTATTCATGATCTAAATGAGTAAGGTGTTATTTAAAAGTCTTGCGACGTTATTTCAACAAAACAGCAGTAGAAGCCCTAAACTCGCTGCCTCAGGATCCAAGGACTTGGGCATCCGTTTCGGGCTCACATGGTAGAAATGGCAAGATTGGTTTAATTTTTATTTTCTACAATCACTACTATTAATAAATAATTGTAGAGGTACCTAATTCAGCTACTTCTAATGTTGTTAGTCTCCTTAACCTTTCTAGAAGGGCATCACTTTGACATCAGTAACCAATTGGGTCACTTCAGCCAAGCCGCCAATCTCCTTCAAGATCTCTTGGCGCGCTGAGGTGTTCTTCGCGGCATCAAGTTCCTTGTAAGCGTATTAATATCAGTAACTTGAGCATTTAAAAAAGACTTTGAATACTAACCGCCTTGTCTGCAATTGCTCTCACAACGGTGATCTTCTTCTGGGGAAGGTTCAGGGAGCTTCCATATACACCCTCAGTGTCGCTGATTTTCTCCAATGTCGACTGTACTTTCTTCAAGATAGCCCCTGCTTCTTCATCGGACGCATTCTTAGGGCTGATGAGCAATATATCCAGGATAGGCCGGCCGTCAAACAGATGCGCGCCGGGGTTGGTCTCAAAGACATTCAAGTCCGGAGGTCCGGATGAAAAGGGCTGTGCCGCGGCTTTATACTCTGCGTAGCCAGGAGATTCAACGAACTTGGAGAAGTAGGAGAATTCGGGCCATTCTACCAGTTGTTAGAGACTCAACAACAAGATGTGTACCAACCAACCCGCGTACCGAGAGCAATAAATTCTCTAAATTCCCCGGTCGTATCTTTCCCGTTTTCCGAGATTACAACACCTGCCGCTCCTCGTAGGACACCTCCTTCTTTTAGAGCCTTGAAAGCGATGGGGATCGTCCCTTGTGCACCCTTGATGGATTCGGGGTCATTCTTCACCTTGGGGAAGATAAGCTCGATGATAGCCATGATGAAATAAAATAAGAGCTTGAGAATAGAGTGAAGACTTAATAGATGATCACTTTGTTGAACGGGGACAAGAGAGAGCGGGGAGACCTTAATATATGCGCGAGCGGCCGGAGCGGAAACAGCTGGCACGTTTTTCATATGATAAATACAACCAGAAATTTAAAAGCAATATATCACAAGCCTATATTAAAATTCTGTAAATTATAATATTTAAATAGTTGTTACGAAATACTTACTACCTGTATAAACCTTTAATTATGATTTTTCTATATTTTTTTTTTTCAATAAATGCTATAAATTAATTCATTAGTTTATCACCGATGAGATCCCAATCACCGATCACATTGATGTTATTGCCGAAGGGACTATAAGGTAGGTTAGGTACGTATTAGTTCCCGGATGATGTAAATGTTCAGTTATTTTCTTGCCCGCAGAGGTTACCGCGCATCTGCATCAATTACACCATCCGGATTCCGGACCAACAAATGGATCGGGATAACGTCCTGATTAGTCAATTACAATCTTGTTGGGTATGTACTTAAAATATCATTACGTTTACCCTTCAGATCTTTTTGCGGCTAATTATATTCTTACGGCTTACATCAGTAATTCAGATGACTCTTATTTGACATTAGTCGTCCTACTTCGTGTACTCCTCATCATCTAAGTCCCCGATGTTGGATATGTGGAGATAAAGAGCTCCGTTCTAAAACCCCGCATCGGAACGCGAAAGTGTTACAATAGGAGGCTTCGGGATAGAAATCATACCGTACCTAAGCGCTAAATATTCCCATGAGCTACGATATCACTGTCTCCGCAGCATCCGATGCAGTGTCCGCTATTCCAAGAGACATGACCCGGAATAGTTTATTTCAATATACCACCTACGGGTTAGCACATTTAGTTTGATGTACGTCATCCTCCCGACACGGTATCATATCATCCCGGAGTAATACTACATACCAACCGAAACTCCCCCGACGGACTTAATAATTAAAAGTTTTGAGCGAACCTTCGGCAACATAGTGAAATATTATTAACCATATTTTACGCCGTACCCTTATTAACTTACCTGATTGAGGTTCTAGGGACGACTGAAGTATTGTCACATATATGATGTGTGCCTAGAGTTATATTCCCACGGTATCAGGCTTTCCTCGATCTCTACAATAACATCAGATAACTTTATACTTAATGGGCTATGAGTTAGATTCCAATATAACAGCCAAGTTATCAAACGCATACAGGTCAGAAAATGGCCTCGTGAGCACACCCTAACTAGGACTAAGAGCTGAGTGCTTCTTTAGAGTCCGTAGTGATGCTTATATCATAAAGTAATGATGTGTATGGAAGGTACGGAAATGACAAGACAGACTTGCCAGCTATAAAACATTGCACAACTCGAGGGGCTCCCCTGACCATTGAAGTCTACCATATTGTATTTATCCACTTGGGATTGCCCTGCCTCAAATAAAGAGCACTAACGAAAGAACGCGATGGGTTTAATTGGACTACTATCCATACTAATTAGATTGTTCCAAGGGAGATGAGAGACAGTCTGTTTTCGAGATGATTGGAAATATATACATCCCCACAGCCCCAACTAGTAGCCAACATGATTGCACCCATAAGGCGGAGCAAGGTGGCTTCAGCAATGCCTAACAACAAAGACCCTCAACAAACCATGTAAGCCCACATAACGGCATCAAATAGTAAAGCATGAAAGATGAAATTTCTACTTGTATTAGCTTTAGCCTTCTTATGCCTTGAGGCAACCCCTACCATAGTCTTACATGATTTAGTAACTGGCTATAAAATGGCCAACAGGACGATAGCCGGGAATTACCCGGACTCTTGTCAGACCTCATTCTTGTCTTGTCACGAGGCGGAACCAAACAACATGAAAACAACTTTGTTGTTCCGTAAGGAACTCTAAACTATCTACGAAGTTTTAAATCTATGCATACTAAACATATCCTCTGTTCTAGATGAGACATCTAGAATCCTAACAACTCTCCGATTTAATACTTTTACCAAGAAGACTACGTCTCTCTCTCTCTCTCTCTCTTCAAATTTTATTCAGGCATCACATCTTACGTCTAATCGCCAAGATGAAGAGGATATGGTCTTTCATTTATTATCTAACCCATCTGGAGTGGAAGGAAAAAGTGCAAACATACTGCATCTTTTGTGACAGAAGTAGATTTGAGGAGAACATCGTCTATGAGGTACAGCTCGACAAACATCAAATTGTAAATGATACAAGTACATTATACTAATGCTGCTACTTACCTAGGATGACAATCTTATTGCGATAAACAACATACGAAAAGCAGGCCGCTACCACTGGCTGATAATGCCCAAGTTGCATAGCTGGCGCGACATCGAGAAGCTAGAATTTGAGGATGCGTCGCTAAGTCAGTAATTACCTGTGTATATATCGTAGAAGGTATTTTTAACTAAGTTGTGTTCTAGTCGACTCCATGGTGGAACTCGGAGAACATCTCCTCGAACAAAACTGTCCTACCGTCCCATCCGCCAACGTACACATGGGATTCCATCGCGGTCGCCGTGCTCTCTTCAGAGATATTTACTGGCCTGACATCGTCTCCATCCACCATCTTCACATGCATGTTATCGTCGAGCCTCGTTTCTGGCCGAAGCTGTTCAAATACCCCTCGTGGCTGGCGTTGATGTGGAAGTCGGAGAAGCAAGTCATGCGGGAACTAAAGGGGAAGTCGAGGAAGAGTGGTAAGTTAAGGACGACGAATCTGCTTCGCCGCTTCTTGTTATGTTGGTCGTCTTCTCGTACGCGGTGACCTGGATCTGTTATATTGTGCTCGTATTTTCGCGCACATGTTTTACTGTGCCGTCGTAGTAGGAATTAGAATATAGCATCGCAAGATGAATAGGCGTTATACCCTTGTTTCTGTCCCAGGTCATGATAGATAGTTTATCTAGTCGATAGTTTACGCGCAATAGTAAAGCTGATTTCTTACTAACTACTTGGTGTACATATTTATGTTTCACTGAATCTGACTTGCTTCAAGGAGAACTTAGGTTCTTGTTAACTTTGACACTCTACTTGTTTGCTGTACCTCCTTTTCCCGCACGTTTATATAATCACCGATAGGGTATTTCTTCCTGGGGGGAGTTATTCTTAAGACGCATTAGATATTCTAAGTACTGGTTAACATAAGTTTTGCCTAGAGTGGAGTAAATAGAGTATAAGCCTCAAAACGATTGTAGTCGCACCACCCCAGCATCCTGCTGCATGGCATCCCATGGCCAATATCGCCCCACGATTGTATTACACCACTAATTAGGTGGTTCGCCTCGTGGTAAGAACCAGTGGAACTAGATGGGGCTGAAGTTCTAGGAACTATTACTAGGTAAGATAGCTAGGTCAACCCGAAGCGGCGGCGCTTGTATGCACGGGACATGCAAGATGAAAGCTGAAGTGGGTTTGACAGGTTGACTGGGTAGATAAACCACCAATTAGTTACACAATATGTTTATGTAACACAATAGAGCTAAGCGATAGCTCACGATATGTCTGTTCCCGTTATGTTTGACAGACCATACATATCAGTATACGTAGGCTAAGGGCCACGTCAGGAGGTTTCACCATCCATCTGACTGAACGCCCGACTTTCGACTTTTGTAAGCAATAGCTTTCAGCTTGATATAATCCTAGGATTATTATAAATGCATCTAATGAGCATAGAATGGAATCATTCACAAGGTATTTTATACAAGTCTTCGTAAACATCATGCTGTACCTACGCATAGCAGTAACGTTAAAGTGCCAGGTAAAATTTGATAAAGTGCCAACCCATCCGCTTTTCCACGTGATCTAAGCCACCAAAGCCACAACGCCATAATGAAAATGGCCCGTTCACTTGACCAGTATAGGGTAATTTTATACCACTTTTTATATATTATTATTAATAACTCTATGAAATCTCATCCAAATATTTTACAAAATATACCATTATTTAAAGGAAAAAATAGAAAAAATTACAAACAAGGTTGCACGTGACTACAACTAAAATTGATCTCGATGCGGCTAAAAATAATCTTTTTATTTTTTAATATATTTATAATATAATAATAATATTTTTAAATAACTTTATAAATATAATATATAAAATTTTATAAAAATTATTTTCATATAAATTAAAAATTTATAAATTTAATAAAAAATAAATGAAATTTTTATAATTTATTTCGTAAAAGTATTTTTATTTTTATATAAAATATTAAATATTAAATAATATATTAAATTTTCATTTTAATTTTATAAAAACTTAATAATAAATTACGTAATTTTTTACTTTAATTAATAAATATTTTTATATATTATTTTTATTGGCAAGCGCAACTTGCCATAACTAATTATTAACTTATGTAATTAGTTTTAAACTTAATTATAAATAAATTAATAAACTTTTAATTTACTAATATATTTATTTTAAAAAAATTAATTAATTATAATTTTATTAAAAAATAGCCTATTATTTTAATAATTTTATTCCTTTTTTTTTTTAAATTGTATATATTTATTTAACCTATTTCGATAAAAGGATATATTATAAATACCATAACGTTTTTTTATTTTCCCGTTTTTTTTATTTTTAAACTTTATTCCTAAATTAAACCTACCTTTTTTTTTAATTAAATTTAAAATAAATATTAAAAGATAAAATAGTAAATTATTATTAAATAATTATATTTTTCTATAAAAATAATAATTTCTTTTAAATATATAAAATAACTTTTAAAAAAATATAAATTATAATATTTATAACTTTATTACCTTTAAAAACCAAAAACAAATATTAAACTCCCCCGCCATTTTTTAAACTAATATAAAAGATTCAAAATTAAAAGTTTAAACCTTACCTAAATAAATAAATTATAAATATCTTTAAAATAAAAATATATATAACTTAAGTAAATAATTATATCTTTATTAAATAAAAAAAATAAATAAAATA